GGGCAAAATATTTGGAAAACTACGAAGAGGAGCGAGAAAATGATGAGGATGTTGACGACGACGACGACGATGAGTGCGAAGACTGTGTTGAGGAAGATGATGATGAAGGCGGGGACGATGACGAGAACGAGGTGGACGAGGACGACGAAGAAGATGAAGATGAAGATGACAATAATGAGGACGAGGAAGTAGATGGAGAAGACGACGACGACGACGAAGAAGATGAAGATGACGATCAGGAGGACGAGAACGACGACGAAAGCGAAGATGACGACGAAGATGATAATCATGGTGGGGATGACGCTGCGCTCGACGGCGACTCGTCGATGAACTTCTTGAACCAGCAGAATTTATTTGATGAACAGTTTTTGGATCCAGATAACGACAACAACTACCACGGCCGCAATGAAGACGAGGACGGGATTGAAATGGATCAACACTACTACAACAACGCGACGAATACGAGCAACAACTTCCAGCCCAATCGCACGCAACTGTCAAGCAACATGATGATCCCCTTCAACGCGTTCCAAGCTAGTAGCGGTAGCACCAGTTCGATTCCAGATGGTCCGTGGAATAGTAGATCCATGTACGCCAGCAGCAATTATAACAACTACAACCAGAACAATGCTTACTACAGCAACAACCTCCAGTCCGCGTCATCTGCGTCGTCCTATTTTCTCCACCCTGGTGATGATCCCGAGTATATGAAGCACTACGCCGACCACATGGCGAAACACAGCTCGTCGCTGATCAACAATTCCAAGTTCCAGCAGAAGAACACGAAGTTGAAAAAAGAACAAGGAAATAACTACGATACGACGCTGCTAGGCCGCCGACCTTCGACAAAGATCAAGAAACAACAAACGACAACGCACGACGGCGATGTTGGTGACGACGAGGACGAACTCGTTGACGTTAATATGCTGTCCTTGATGAAAGAAGCCAAAGCTTCTCTCCTGGGTGGTAGCAAAAAGAAGACCAACATCTTGAAGAAGCCGCAGAATCTTGTTGGGCGCGCTCAGAGCGCGACCAAAGTCAAGAAGCAAAAGGACTCGACGAAGGGCCACAGGGCAGTCGGTCGCGGTGGGGCGAAGGCTGGCACATCATCGTCCGCCTCCTCGTCGGCAGCAGCTGCTGCTCCTCCTGCTGCTGCGTCTTCTTCTTCTTCTGCCGGTAAAAAATCATCTCTCGCTATGAAAAAACAAAAGCAAGATCAGCAGCTATCGGCATTGAAGAACAAAGCGAAGACTACAACATCAGGCCGAGAAGGTGCCGGGGACAGCAAGAAGATGAAAGTGAAGAAGCAGGCGAAGCAGGAGAAACAAAAAGCGAACAAGCCAGCACCGAAAGGTTTGCATATTCCGGGCAAAGGAACAGTCCCGAAGCTGACTGGTAAGCACGCGATGAAAAAGAAGAACGGCGACTAGTACTTCTAGTGCTACCGAGTAGTAGCAGCTACTAACCACGACCACGATTAGCGACAACATCACGACTACGATCTTCCTGCAGCTATTCCTCTCTCTTCATCTTCTACTTCGTCTACTTCTGGATCCACTTGTACTGGTGCAAGAGCTAACTTCTACAACGTCACCCACTACATCACCTTCTACTTGACCGTCTTCGTCTTCCTTTGAAGTAGCAGGGCCCTCGCTCGTCTAATACTACTAGCTGCGCGCCGTCAGTACTACTACGACTACGACGACGACGATGGCGACGCACTGCTGGTGGTAATTATTTTTAAAGTTTGGCTTTGCCTTTCAGTTGCAGTTGTCGCGATAGGCTGCAGAAGAACAAGCCTCACCGAGATGCGATCAAGTTTTGCCGATAAATGAAAGCCGCGAGTATCACTGCGGCTCTTGTTCTGGTCTATGATAAAATAAAAGTATAACTATAGCACGATACTCAGCTGCAGGAGCTTCATCGTAATTTTTATTTTTATTCGAACACAGAGTCGCTGTCTTGCAGCAGCTGCAGCTGCACGGCTTGCAGCAGGTGGATTGGTAGCTATCAGCACTAATAGTGCTAGTAGTAACTACGAAGCTTGCTTCGCCGCTTTTATTTTTCACTTTCCATCTTGACTTGTTCAGCCTGAAAGCAAGACGTTTGCTCTGTTCTTCACCGTCGACGGTATGTAGTAGCTCATCATTGTAGTGCGCACCCAAAATTTTTATCCGCGACTTGTTGAAACCAAAAATATAGAAAGTCACCACCCGAAGCAGGGTCGCAACTACGAGTTAGCAGCTGCAACTGCTTTCTGTGTAGCCGCCCACTGTTTCGAGGATGATGCTGATGAAGAGCTTGTTTATTTTGTTTACATTTAATTAGCACGAAAAGTTTCGCCCACTAGCAAAACCCAAAAATATGAAAATAAAAATAAATAAATAAAACAGCTGCGCTTCTAGCTGCACTACTAGAGCTTTTATTTGAATCGGTTTCAGTTTACACAGCTCAGACGTTGATGAACAAAAATAAAAGTTGCGAGGACTTACTATTGTATGATTATTGAATGCCAGACTTTGCAACACAAATACAATTATATTGAAAATAGTAACGACGTATGATTTTCCTTTAGCAGGTACCCTTCACAAACAAGCCAGTGCCTTCCGCTGGTGTAGGATTTGATTTTGTTGCACTTTTCTTGCACCTTTATAATTAAAAAAAAGTTCACCCGTGGTTGCAATATGAATGATAAAGATGAAACCCGAAAACCAAAATCGTCATCAGTACTCCTGGTGGAAGTAGTTGCTAATCTTCATCGTCAGTGCTATCGTCTATTTTTGCCGATGCTTCTACTGAAAAATAAAGATAGCCCGTGCTAAAAATTCCGAGAATGAAAAACGAAAATAGAATTAGGTGACAACGACGAGAAGACGCCGAAATAAAAGCTAGGATGTAAAAACTCAATGCAAAACTATAACTATAGATAAAAAAAGATCAGCCGTCTTCTACTTATAGCAGCGCCGCGACTACAACGTCGAAAACAAAAGAGCGACCAGCTCTAGCGCTGCTCTGAGTTATTCGGAAAAAATATCCGCTACTGGTCGACCAATCATCTCGCGTTGATCGGGCCAAGAAGTAGGACAGCGAACTACAAAGAGCAGAGTCGTGGTCGTCGTCTACCTCCACCTGCAGGAGGTGCAGGAGGAGGAGCAGAGGCCGCGTTGATTCATTTTTTGAAAAGCGCCAAAACACATATGAATGCTAGTTCTTTGCTGATGTCCTCGCCTGTCGCATCTCAAGCTGCAGCAACAGGATTGCGAAAAGGATTGCGGCCCCACGTTTTGATGGTCGCAATCATTTTTTTCACAATCGCAGCCTCGCCTGCGCTTTCGACGGAGAGGTAGAACTTTTCTAACTGTCCGTCTTCGTTAGCATTGCGAACGCCGGGGGCTTCAGGGAAAAAGGATAAGCTTGTCTTGCCGGCTTTTCCAGATCCGCTCAAGTAGCCAAGACGCGACAATTCTTTCCAAGGAATCAGAGCGCAACCGTGCAGGCGCGTTTCATTTACGCCGCCACCTTCCGCATTCTCGCGCACGTGCAAAAGCAAAAAATCAATAGGGTCCGTTTCGCAGTAGGGCTTGCCATCAGACCGGCGCATTGGGCAGCGTAAATTGAGCGGCTTCCCATTATTGTCCCGCCGAGTGCCCAGAACTTTTTCTTGGATAGCAAATTTGGTGCTGGGCAAATCGTCGCACGTCAGAACTCCGTCTACGCATGTGAATTCATTCTCGGGCGATTCGTAGGTTAGAGAGCCGCGCGGTGCTGCGCCGTTGTTGATGATTTTCAAAAATTCCCGCCGCGATTGCTTCTCCACCAAATTCGCATTGCTGTAGGCCGAAAAAATAGGTCCATCACCTTCGTCAGGATCGGGCACGCACGGATTAATTTCCCACAGGTGTTTCAGGTGGGTATTGATTGCGCTGGCGGCAAAGTTGTTGCTGTCATCATTGACGTCGATCTTGTCGTAATTCTTTTGCGCATTGACGGACTCGCAAAAAATTTTTTGCGAATCATCTGTGTACTCCTCGGCGCCAGCGCCTCCCGTTCCCTTTTCAAATCCGATAAATGCGTGTCCGTGTAGAGCCCGCTTTTGCTTTTTTAGAACGTGGCGCATTTTGCGACACCAGGCAGCATCGCGTCGCAGAGTAGCCTTGAGCTGAACCTGCAGCCACCGGTTGGCTCCACGACGGACTTTCGGACGAGTGTACAAGTCCGCTCGGCTTTCTCTCGATTTTTTCACGTCAAAAACTTGCTCAAGTATAGAGTTTAGCTGTTGATAGCATTCAGCTTCAGTCATTCGAGCACGCATACCGGGAGGTGGTTGCGGCATTGTTGAAAAGGTGTATCAATATAATTCAAAACCAAATGCCACCTGCTCCAGCACAGCACTACTGCTAGGGCCACGGCCACGACCACGGCCACGACCTCTATACTGTTTTCTAATAATATAAAAATTGAAGAAGAGCGAGCTCCTTTTGCTTAAGTATAGAACTTATTTTTGTATCAAAATATAAATTTTCTGACTCCTTGTTGCGCAAGCCAGCAGCTCCTCAGGCTCGTCGACGACGTCAACTACAATTACGCCTCCTTTTTGGTAATGATAATTCTGAATAAGAATTTGAATCACTAACAAGAAGCCTGTGCACAATTATGATAGAAATACCCCCGTAAGTAATCAAGTATGTAGCGACGAGTTGATGATGTCAGTGGTGGTTTTTTGTGTACATTATAAATGCAAAACCAACAGTGATTGATGAAGATGGTGTTTGCACACCTGGCCGCTACTCTCAAAAAGTTTTGCATCACCATCCCGCTCATTGGTGAGAACTAACCTGCCACGACCGAGGACTGCTTTCGCTTTCGCAATTGTTTCAGCCGAATTTTTGTTGTTGCAAATCAATCGCAACCGAGCTCCCAGCTGCTGCAGACGAGTCTGTAGATCATCTACATCATCAACATCATGCAGCGGACTTTTTTTATTATCGTGTTCAGTAAATATGAAAAAAGCTTACGACTGCGATCATTCAGAACAACGTCAAAGCATCATCATAAATGAGATTGCTCGAGGTTCAAGGTCTTTGCTTCAGTATGATCCAGGTCTTGCAGCCGTAAACCATCGGCGTGACTTTGTTGCTGCGCCGATTCCAAAAGTCACCATCTGAACATCTTGAACAACAACAAAATTTTCATCATGATGCTCATGCTCGCCGCACCTAGATCAATGACGATGATGATGAAGAAGAAGGTCTACTTGTTGCGCTTCATCATCTACTTCTTTATTATTCGTTTTTTCATATTCATTTGCTGCGGTCAAGTCCAATTGTAAACGACATGACTCACAACCAACACATTTTCAGCGACCTTGTATCTTCGCCGCCTCCTCGGGCGGGGTATAAATGCGAGCCCTTTGTGAACTATGTGCCAAAGTCGAACATAATTACAACTACTACTGCCATTACTATTTTTCACAATGTCCTCCTTGCTCGTCCCACCACCGCAAAGATCCGCCACCGACAGGAGGGCTCGATTTCAACCCCCGGCGTTCCAAGACGCAGCCACGAGGAAACAGCCTGGTCAGCAACCGGTTCTTCAATAGTATTGGCAAATGAAACTTGCCTCCCACACCATCAAAAGTCAACCACTCTTCATATTCTTTCGTAGACCATCTGCGATATATCGCAGATGGTCTTGGTCATGCATTTTCATATTGTCATGTTGACTTTTGGTGAGGTTGGAAGCAAGTTTTCCTATCATAATCGCGGCGGCTCCAGTCGTCGCAGACGGCCAAGTCGACAGTTTCGGCGGAGACGAAAAATTTCGAAATTTACAAATTTTTCATTAAGAATTAATTAATTTTTTATTTAGTTTTTAAATAGCTATTTTTTTCATGAAAAAAGTGAAATTCTATTGTAACAGTTGAGATTGTAACAGCTGAGCAGGCTATATTTGTCAATTCTTCATTCTACAATTGTTCGTGTTCCTACTAACAGACCAGGCCTTTCTGTCAGTTAAAGGCGCATTGCATAATTAGTAGAACGAAAACTATGATTTTTGCTTACCTCGCTGACGAAGCTATTGACACGTCCAAATCGAGTAGATCTTGTCTCGATACCTTGATTTTTACCCTGACTTGACTGCGTAAGTATTTACACCATTTGTTGTTTACCACGACCCTCTACTTACAACTACTTCTCTAGTCTTGGCTTCAACTTCATGATCGGCCTTCTTTACTAATTGAGCACCCTCAACGTCAAGCCTTCTGGTGCCTCTTATTGTTGTAGCTACCCCTTGTCTATAATATTTCTACCTTCCATTCTTTTGATGTTCGCTCCCACGTCCAGCACATCCGCAACCGCCCGCGTCCGCCTCACGCAGCTCGCCCAACAGATCACCAGGAAACCTAGCGGCAACTTGACGATTGGCAAGACTCCGCTCCTGACCTCCGCCAGAATGGTCGCTAGCAGCTCGTCTTCCACATCCTGGCTGAGGGGCACAGCACAGGAAAGCGTGGACGCAGCAATTCGAGACAAGTACAACATAGAACTGAACTTTGAGTTTTATCGACATTGCGTTTATTTATTTTTTGCACGCGAAGTAGCATAAAATATTACCACTTGACGTTGACGCCCTCCTAATGTTTGCCAGCAATAAAAAATCGAAAAACAGCAAGCTGGTCGTTTTTTCGAAGGAATGGTGCCCCTTTTGCCGTAAAGCCAAGGATACGCTGCAGACGATCCTCGACAGCGACACCACGAAGTACAAAGTCCTGGAACTTGAGTCTGTGGACCGACGGTCGCTGGTGGCCCCCCTGCATCTGGACGACATTCAGGACTATTTCAAGCAGCTTGCGGGCACCCGCACCGTGCCCAAAGTTTTTCTGGAGGGAAAGTGCCTCGGCGGCGGGGACGAAATGGTATCCATGGCGCGCACGGGCCAGCTGCAGGCACTGCTGAAGGAAAGCGGGCTCTTAGCTAGAAACGACGCCGGCGAAGAGCAGAAGAGCGGGAACGGGGGCGCGGGGCAGGTGAAGGCGGCGGCAGGAGGGCAGAATGTCCGCTATTTTCGGAACGGGGCAAAAGTGGAGAGACCCATTGAAGGGCTTTCAGCATTTGCGGCGGCCTCGAAATGATCTATCAAATGAACAATCTTCGAATGCACCAGCGCCAAGTAGCAGCTCCCTGTAGCACTACTGCGGTAGAGATTGAACAAAAGGAAAAGCTCAAAGTGGTAGATTGCGTGAGATTGTATATCCACAATGGAACGTTTCACCGCATGTTGAGCCACGACCTGGGTGGTGGTGCTGGCGGTCTTGTTCTGAATACGTGAAGATCGCTCTTTGGTGGAGCAGGAACCTAGTGGAAATAAGTGGTCGTGGTTCTACTCAGCCTAAGTGATCGCTTGGAAGATAAACGGGCGTGCTTCTGTCTCAGAGTCTTCTTCAGTGACGTGTAAAAAGAAGAAGCATGTTGAATTATCGTCTCGCCTGTTTGTTTCGTTGTGGAAGTGTAAGAAATCGTGCTGCTCTGACTGTTCCTGTTGTAGTAGATATTAATAATAGAATATGGGTCATCGTCCAGCAATCGAGAAGGGGAAGATGTCGTATGAGAGTGCACAGCACCCTCTTCTACTCATTTGAGAGGCATGCCACCGCGTAGCATCACAGACGACATCGGAAATCTTGTACTATTGTCAGGTTTGGGGCTCTGGACAAACGTGCTACTGTTACTGATATGGAAAGATATGTCGTAGACGAACTACATTTTTCCTTGTCTCGGGTCGTCATCGTGAGATTAGGTTCGTATCGAGTAAGTCGATAGATACGTACTATTGACCAGTTGGCTCATGTCTGCCTATTTGGATGGAAAGAGTAAAGGCAAGAAGGCTAAATAGCAAATCTACTAGTATTAAACTACCGAAACTGCGCGCCGGCAGTATTTCTATTTCGAACATTTGAGCTTCTTTCCTCGTAGTACTACACTGTGAGGCCTTTTATAAAGCGACATAGCCGCATCTCCAAAATGGGACGCGGCCGCCGAAAATGTTTTTTCGCACGACCGGCCAGCACCGCAGTGGCAATTTTCATCGCGACGTCGGCCTTGTCTACTTGGGCACCGACGTTCTTTTCGATGAGTGGCCTAGGGCCTGTTGCCGCCTTGCGAGAACATGAACAGTTCGTGGAGGAGGAGTTTAGTACGGAGGCCGCAGCCGCAGCAGAGCATTTGCAGGACCAGCATCGTCATCAGTTGTCGAGTGGAAATCACCTCCGGGCCGCGGGGGCGGTCGGCGGATTCACATCATCTAGCACCAGTTCATCGATCTCCGAAAATAAAGCTCAACAAGATATTCCTATTCGCCACCTCCACGCACTGACCTTGACGCCCGATGGGAGATCTTCTACTTCGAGTTCGTTCCTCGCAACTGAAGCAGAAAATGAGAATGAGCAAAACGACGGAAATTTACTGTCAGCTACTTCCGACAATGGTGGCTCGAAGTTCGAGGAGCAGGTGGGCGATGACCATGAGCATCACGAGCACGACAAGCCAAGAAGCTCTACTAGCCCATCTTTACCATCCTGGGTCAAGGACACTGCGAAGGACACGGTGGAGTCGGCGATTCAAAAAAAGTATAATTTTTTAATCGAGGTTCTCGTTGTCTCTTCATCTTCTGTTTCTACAATTGAAATTGAAGTCAACCTCGAGGTCGAGTCACAGATGGAGTCCACCAGAAAAGTTGGAACGAAGTTCGTTTTTTAACAGAGGGCGACAAACCACGAAAATGAATAAACAGCAAACTCGTCATGTTTTCCAAGGCCTGGTGTCCGTACTGCAAGAAAGCGAAAAAGGCTTTGCAAAACGCCCTGAAAGAAGCCGGATCGCATACGCAGCTGACGGTCATTGAGCTCGAGGACGAAAACCATCAGTCCCCGCTGCTCGTCGGCACGTCGTCCACAACAAAATTTTCCGCTTCCGACGTCCAGAGCGAGCTTCAGAGCCTCGTCGGGTCGCGAACCGTGCCCAAAGTTTTTCTGGATGGCCGGTTTCTCGGGGGCGGTGACGAAATAGTGGCGATGTACACGAGCGGCGCGTTGAAACACTTTCTGCAAGACAACGGTGGATATCAAGTGCAAATCCAAATATGTCTGGGTCTGGACAATAAATGCCATGTTTGTCATGCATATTTTACATGACCCATGGTGTGTCTGTGTTGCATCCCCTAGCATCACAAATTCTGCGAGGGTTTTCTGATGCTCATACCGTATGAGAAATGCCTTCTCCGCGTAGCAAAAACTGGAGCATTTTTGCTGTTCATGCAAGACAGATTTCATGTAAGGCCCGAAGGTGGGATGACAAGTTGCCTCCTTCCAGACCACCCAAACACATTTGCTGCAATCGATAGTGGACTGCTGAAGGGAACCGCAACGGAGACGATCGACTCCGTGATTCGGGAAAAGTACTGCACAATTTTCTTTTTTTTCATGCTCTAGCTGTAGGAAGTACTTTGAGGTGATATTAAGTTTTCTGAAAAAACATCTTCATCACGTCCGCTTGTCTTGCTTCAACTGTTCTATCTTACGACTCGATAGCTCAACCAGAAAGGAAGACGCGCACGCGCGACGTGGTCGACATCATGATTATCCGATGAAAGAGAAAGTAAGTACTTAACTCGTTTCATCATCAAGCACTGGTGATCTACTACTATTCCAAAACTACAGCAACCTGGTGCTGTTTTCCATGGGTTGGTGTCCGTTTTGCCAGAGGGCGAAGGAGGTTCTCCGTGGGAGCGTGTTGCACGGGGACATTCCGTATGATTTGCAAAAGTATCGTACTCGTATAAATGCATGACAAATTCCCTCAGCATGAGAAATAGAGTTTGTAAATGCGGATTTAGCTTAAGAACAGTAATGCATATTTGCAATTACTACGAGTGCGATACTTTTGCACGGGGACATTCCGAAGTTGGTGGTGATCGACATACAGGACAAAGACTCGAAATCCCTGGTTGAACCCCTGGACGTGAACGATTTCATGAACTACCTGGCAGAAATTACCGGCAGGGGAACGAATGTGCCGAAAGTTTTCCTCGACGGCCACTTGCTAAAGGGCGAGCAGTATGGTACTCGGCAAAAGTTGTACGTAGTATCGCAGGTCGTGTATAATGGTAATGCATGCAACTACAGAGAAGTCGTCTTGCAGGACCTCAAAGACGTCGAAGATGCCCCCAGCTCGACGAAAAATATCAAATAAGGCTCTTCGTCGGGGGTGAAAATGAATATTCCAACAGTGCCTGCATAGCATGCGATACAAGACGAGCTTTTGCGATGCATATGATCGACGAAGTCAGCGTGGACAAGTTGGACAAAACTGGAGAGCTGAAAGATATTTTGAGAAGCAGTGAGTGTCAAACGTGCAACGACGACAAATAACAAAGCGAACAAACGTATGCTGAAGAATGGCAGGAGGACAGTGTGGTCTTCACCTTCAGTGGTGATCATCATAATAAATAATTCGAAATTTATTTACTGTCGCCACTGCGCCCTCGACGGGATTGCGCTTGTTCTTCTGCATGTTTTCAAGAACACTGTCAGGCGTGTTCGCAAGAGATGAGAGCACCATCGTGCAACTGCAAGAAGAACGACAGCGGAAAATGGGCGGTTTTGATCTGTGTCTTTAGAACTCTTTTAATGTCCACCGACTCAGGATGGATCATGGCGCTTTATTGCGGAAAACGAAGCTAAGTAGAAGTACTCACTGGTGCGTCCAGTCGCATATACAGGAGCCGTACTGTACTAGAATACTTTCACTTTGCGATGCACTGACTTTCGAACGAGGAGAAGAAAGTAGTGCACTGGTGCTGACACAACACCAAAGATCAACGTGTAAACAAAGATAATTTCTGATGTACCATCTAGCAAGAAGGCTACAAGATAAAAGCGTAGGAGCGCGCTTGATCCAGCACAGGATTACCTTTTATCAGAAAAAGAGGATTTTTCTCTTGGCGAAAACGAAAATGATAAAAAAGGTAAAGCCAATGCCGCTTATGCTGGAGAATAAAAGAGACACGCTGTCCATTGGAGGCAATTGTCTCCGCAACAAGGTTAAGGTAGACAGAAAAAGGGTACTCTCGAACGCCTTCATCCGGAGAATTCCATTCGAACAGACACAGGGAAATTTATGTTGTTTTCGTCTCATGATAGTCATTCAGAATTCATATATAGAGTTATTTGCGATCATCGTCCCAGTTTGTTTATTGTTTTTCGCCTCGTAGTGATCATCCCTGTAGGATATCAATCTGTTGTCTTGCTCTTATCTTAATCGCACCAGAACAAGCAGAATTTCGATACCTTGTCTATATAAAAAAATGTAAAGCTCCTGCTTCGCCCAAGACGTGGTAGGTGGTGGCCAGCCACTGCCACAAGCACCAGCACTGAACAAAGACACAAAGTTAGCGAAATCAGCTCCACAAGCACTATCCTTTGTCAGCGATAAAATCGCAACAAGAAGAACAAGCGCTACCCTAAAAGGTCAAATAAGAGATCTATGTCAACCACCTTCCAGCGAGCATGCCGTGCGCCGGGCGCTTCTGCAGTATTGTCGCGCCCCCCCGTCACGCAGGGGGGGGGGGCGGAGACGCACAGGACGAGGCGCTGCAATGCTCGCGCTTTTTTGTGTCTCTCGTTTTTTTGGCACTTTGTTAACCAAGAACCACGACGACCACGCTGCAGATTTCGCTTACGCTGGCGCAGCGACCGCGATGAGCGATTTGCCGTATTATTGTTATGCTTCTATTTCCACGCCAATAGAGTTGCACTTGCACAGCCAGGGTCGCCCGCCCCTATTGCAGCGAGTTCCGATACTGCTGCAGTCAGGAATCTTTGGAAACGCTTATGAAGGAAATAGTCCGACGGTCCGCCGGGCTGCAGCGACATCAAATGTACAGCATTTCCACCAGAGCGCATCGCACAAAGTCGAAGGCGGGTCGTCAGGCTACGAGTCCAGCGGAGAGGCCGCCAAGACGTCGACAAGCAGCGCCAAGAAGACGCTTTTGGAAAGCAACGCCGAGCTGAACAATGCGGACTGCCTTGAGGCATTATACTCGCAGCAGCTCTACTGTCTCGCAAGTGCGCCATTTGGTGTTAAGACGCTTCCACGTCGTTGTCAAGGAAGGCGCGGGCGGTTGCTTTCTCTTTCCGAAGCAGGCACGAGTTCTACAGCAGATAGTCAGCCCCCTCCTGCTGGGGGGCTGCGGAGGGTTGAAGCCTGCTCATACCTCGGAAGTTTGGGCATACCAAGCTCGCAGGAACCTAGCGAGCAGCGTGCCCCGTGCATCTTTTTCAGCGAGGCAGCAGAGCCGGCGCCATCGCCGTTAGACAGCGGGAGCGGCTCTCGTACTGGTGCTGGATGCGTGAACTCTATCCCGCCGATGAGGACATACCAGGGGCAGGGAGCTGCAGGAGACGGAGACTCCGACAGCGAGCCAGGCTTTTTAGCTCGAGCGTTAGGGCTGCGCTCCGGCTTCAGCAGGGCGACGAGTTGCGGCAGCGACTCGGGCGCAGCAGAACCGCCATCGAACTCCTGTCACACTACCGCGTGTTCCGGGGTTTAGTACTCGGTTGCTTGGGTAAAAAAGGTGTGAGTGTCGAATCATGCCAGTGAAAATGAAAGTAACTGTATCGAGCACACACGAAGCCTCCCGATTACAGTAAGTTGCACAGCCTAGTAGCAAGGAAACGTGGACCACACGACCGCCAGCGTGGGTCACTCGCGAGTACGAACCGGGTAGAAGAAAGAAAGAATACAAAAAGTATAATGATTTACAGTAATTATCCCTACGGAGAAGTGCCGGCTATGGAGTGCTTTTTGTGTTTTGTTCTTTTCGAAGAGTCGGCACTAGCACAAGAGCTCCAAATTCGATTTCGAACTCAAATATAATGACGCGCCATAGTCAAAATATCATGACTGTGCCTGTAGTTGTGCCAAACTCAAACTACACAATGTATGAGACGCACCACCTTCTGGGCCTCTACTGCCTTCTTCAAAATTTTTCCAATTTTGCCTGCCTTATGTAGGAGAACCATGTATTTGGATGTTGAATGTGACCGTGCGACGAGAAGTGCTGCCTGCACATGGGCCGGTCTTTTTGATATTCTACCTGACTTCTTCTCCTGACTATGTATGCACCACTACGACCACCACAAAAATGGGAGGCAAGATTTGGACTCCTACTTACCTACCAACAACTATGAGCTTGTCAAAATACCCTTTGCCGTGCAACATTGATTCTGACCCCTTTCAGGGGCGTCGTGTTGACCATAGGCAGTATGAGTTTACGATGGTACTGGAGATCTCTCAACAAAATTTTACCGCCTAAATATTGGTTTTCTAAAAGTGCTTCGCTTTGTTTTGTTTACGTGTGCAGTGCAACTTTTCTACATCGCTACGAGCGAGGATTCGCAAGAAACGCACTGACTTGCGAATGCTTTCCGAAACACTACTCGGCTCGACTTGACTGGACTGGCGTTGCATCCTCAGGCGAGCTACGACATCGAAAAGGAAGATTTAGATATTATCGTTTAGAGCTACTAGAGGAGTACTACTCAAGATAAAAATATGTCCCTACTGTAGAAGGGAAGAAACGATGAACGAGAAAAGCAACAAAGAGTGCTCTGATGTAAATGCTTAGAATCGCGCTTGGTGTCCTTTCTACACGGAAAAAAACAGACTTCTCTTGGAGAAACAAACCGCAAAGGATAAAGAAGGTAAAGTCATGAAGATTTCAAAGCAAGACTGAGTTAGCTGATGGAAGACGGAAGAAACACGCCTAACCGTTCCACACAAATGAGTGACGAAGGTTTTCTGCGCGCTTGCTGTGCCGCTGCCGGCCGCGGAGGTATTTCTAAACTGTTGAGTGAACGAGCGGCATATCCGGAGTTTCGCTGTGCTCGGGTGTACTCACTTGTCAGCTTTTTCTTGAGGATGAGTTTTTTATTGCTGATGGAGCCACCGTGTCCATGATCGTGACCGAAACCGTAAGACAGGAAGTAGTTTACGAAGTAAATTGTATGAGCGCAACTGCTCCTACGTGTACGTACAAGCTTATGGTTATGACGACTAGTTGAGCTAAGTGGAAAAATCTTATTGTCTTCAGAGTGGAAAGAAAAAGATGCGTCTATCCGTGTGCAGTTCGTCGTCTCTTGTGACGACTCGTGCACACCAGCAGCTCGAGATCATCGGCAAAGCGAGATGCTCGTGCATGTTTCTCAACGCGAGAACATCACGCGCAAATGTAAATGACGCGTTCATCCGACATCAGCCCCGCACTGGTCCTGGTTACAACATCATTGCTTCTGCAAAAAGACACTTCTATTTGCATACCACACAGCGAGGAAACCACTCGAACCAGGAACTACAGCCGAAGAGGGGACTCGCGCTGTGTCACAGCCCGTCTTCGCCCGGCTGCCGTGGCAGTGATGTAGTTGGAAAAATAACTTCTACGTCGTCCTCCGCTTGTAGTGGGAAGAGTTACTCGTCAACGTCGGCGGGCAGCTCGTCCGCAGCTACGACTTCGAGCTCCAGTATGGAAGCGTCAGGTTTGAAATCGCCAAAGTTGAAATAATTTCTCATGCATAAACTGCAAGGCATGAAGTGCCTCTCTTGCAGGGACGACAATTGAGGCCGACTGTCATCCTGTTTGGGGTCTGCGGTGGAGCTGCTAAAGTTAAAGTAGCATGACAAAAGACGCCTTCTGTCCCTAAACAGAATGACAAACTGGATTTAGACGTCGCCGAGATTTGTCATGCACCGCTTGAAAATTGGGCTTCCAACTGGCACCATTTCATGCATTACAAACTATTTCAACTTTATCGATTTCAAACCTGACGCTTCCATATCCAGTTCGTCCGTGCCATCTTCGGTCCCATCTCCATCTTCCCCACCTGCGATCTCCCGCGATGCGACCAAAGCGCGTATCCCCCTGGAGTTCGTCCAGGATCTTGGTGGCGCCAGGAGGGCTGAAGCAGTGCAGCATGAAGAAGGCTCTATTTCTGGTGGTAGTGAAGCCGCACAGGCAGGACGACCTGCAGTTGCACCCCACACAGACAGCACGATCGTCGCACAAGACTGTGTACAACAACAAGAGCAGCACGACCTTCCCAGCCTTCCCTGCCGCCTGGTCGCCCTGCCCGAATGTCGCACTGGCGTGGCCGCCTGGCTGTTCGGGACTGCGGGAATGTTGATGGGGATGATTCTGATCGGCGGGTTATCCAGGAAAAAACACCCATCCCAATCCATTTTTTGCATGAGAAACAGACTGCAGCTTCTGCATGTTTCGCATGACAAATTAGATGGGGATGGGTGTTTTTTCCTGGATACAGGTACACGAGACTCTCCGGCAGCGGGTTATCTATGACCAAATGGAAGTTTCAGGGCACGTTGCTCCCCTCCACCGAGGAACTCTGGAACGCAGAGTTATGCATTGCAAATATGTCTGGGTCTGGAAGGATGCAAGGTTTGTCATGCTTGTCTGGCATGACTGCAGAGTTTGTGATGCGTGTCGAAGTAGAGACCTTTTTGCTTGTCAAGCAAAACGCAGCCTGTCATGCGGAAAGCGCAAGACTAAGCAGCGCAAACATTTTTCATGTTTGGCTGTGCATTACAGAGAATTTACTCTTCACGGCTCAGCATTACAAGTTTCCAGAGGACCCAGATGACATGTTTGCAGTTGATAAGAGTTCACCGAGTACAAGAAAACCCCGGAGTACCAGAAGTTGCACGCAGGGACGATGGATCTCCCGGGGTTCAAGCGCATCTACTTCGTGGAGTGGTTCCACCGCATGTGGGGCCGCGGGACGGGCATCGTGTTCGCCCTGCCGTTGGTCTACTTCGTCGCGGTCAGGAGGGCGTTGACAAAAACTATGCATTGCGAATATGTCTGGGTCTGGAACGCTGGAACTTGTCATGCTAATTCTGGACAGTGCAAAAATCTGTGTTGCGTGATTACCAAAAACTGCCCACTTTTAACCAAGTTGACGAGAGGCAGTTTCTCATGCAGACGATGCCTGATAGAGGTCCTCGCACAGAATCTGTCATGCTAGATCATACGTGACAGACCTCATTTGTCATGCAAAACCTGCATGACATTCCAGACCCCGACATATTTGCATTTGATAAAAGCCATGTTTTACCAACTATCCGGCTTGTTCACCCTCGGCGCGTCCCAGGCGCTGATTGGCTGGTGGATGGTGCGGTCGGGATTTGTGGACCCAAAGGAACACATGCCGCACTCGGACAACAAAGTGCCGCGCGTGTAGGACACTTTTTGTTTTGGAATTTCAGATACGCTTTTATTGAGACCTTCGAATCATTCCTTGGAGTCAGTGATCAATAGAAACTCGATCTTCATCATGACATGTTGTATTCACCTTTCTCATGCGACGGCATAGATTTTTACGAAAACGAAACTACAGCTCCGCCTACCGGTTGGCTACGCACCTAGCCGCCGCACTCACGATTTACGGTGGCGTCCTCTGGACGGCGCTGCGAGTGATGGACCCCCGCAGCTCTTCCCTCCCGACCGCACCACGCCCGATGAAAGGCGCGCAGCTTTACTTCGCCAGCAAACCGTCTACGTCAACCTCAACGATACTCGCAAACTCCGCGGCTAGAAGGTTCCGTGCGCTCACCATCGCGCAGGCTGTCCTCGTTGCGACGACTGTGATATCCGGCGCCTTTGTTGCCGGGAACGACGCCGGTTTGGAGTACAACACGTGGCCAAAGATGCTCGACCACTGGGTTCCGCCGGAAGTGACAGACGGCTACAAAACCGCTCTGCAAACTTTTTCCCCATCGGTTTTGTTGGAGCAGTCCGCCTGCGTGCAGTTCAACCACAGGTTGCTAGCATACACTTCCGCGGCCGGGGCGTTCGCGCTCGCATGGAAGGGCCGGTCGGTGTTAGCAGCGAAAACCGCAGGAGGAGCTGCGACAGTTGTTGGCATCAGATTGAATACAGCACGGTTTTGGGCAGTATACGCCTTACCAGCGGCGGTCACCGGACAGATCTTGCTTGGAATCACGACCCTGCTAAATTGTGTGCCGATTGAGCTAGGCGTGGCGCACCAGGCGGGCGGGGTCACGGTGCTCTCCGTGCTGTTGACGCTATTGTCGAAACTGTGAAGAAAAAAAATGAACGAGAACTAGTACTAGCTGAAGCTGCTGGGGAAAGTCGCTTATAGCTCACTCCTGTGTTGAGATGAAAATAAATGAATTTATTGCTTTGATCACAGTCGTTGTCATCGTCGAGTTTTGTGCAGAGCGTCTGATGATGTTGACCGCTGTTGCTTGTACTTATTTAAGTTCTCTTCTATTTTCCAACAGGATGAGACACTCGCACTCAATCTCACTTTCCATCCTGTTCCACCGAAAAGTTGAGGCAGCGCAGCCTTGCTGCGCCATGCAACTTGAAACAAGTGTCATTTGTGATTAACTATGACGTCATTGACGAAAAGGATGAAAAACTTATAACTCGTGCTTCTATCGCAGAAATGCAACCGCCACGCTGCGGCACACCGCCGGGATGGAGGCGACTGCATACAAAATGTCATGGCGTTTGTGTATTTACACCCGCGAAATAGGAGCGGTGCTTTCGCGGGCTGCAAGGACAAAGAAGCGGGAACAAGAAAGTCATTCCGCTGGCAGCTCTCCCTCTCTACTTCTCTGTCAACTATGCTACAGCGAGAGACTGAGCCTAAACAGAGTCTGTCACTTTAGTGAATTTTTAGATACAGGATTACCTATTAAAAAATTTTTTATTCTCAACAAAAGAAACAAAATGAGGGGCTTGTCGTTCTGGATTTGGCTGCTTCCGTTGCTTTCCTTTCTCGAGTGCGGTTTGAGGGCAGCAAGCGGGAGCGATGTGACTGACAGTATTTCATAAATAGTACATGTTTGCTTTTGATCCTGTTGTACTCCTGATTTTCTGTGTCACAAGTTGAAAGAAGGTGAAAAATAAGCATCACAATGAGGCGCCGCCTTTGGGAGCTTTGCGCTCTCTTCTGCGGCGCGATCTTGACGACGACGACCAGCCATGCTTTCATGCTTGCGCCTTTTGTTCACGATAAAGCGGATGGCAAAGGAGAGGTCTCAGCGCCGCACGAACAGCAAATCGACCGCAGTTTGTCACCTGTAGTTGTTGTACCAGCTTCATCCACTCAGAAACAAAAGCAGCACCAGGATCATGCTGCTCCTCCTTCTTTTATCCAGATCGAGGCAAAAGTAGAACAACATCAAGGCTTTCCTTCGTGCAAAAGCGACTGTCGAAAGTGCGAGCAACTGGTCAAAGAACTGACGACTGCGAAGAACGGGGAAAAATGCGCGCAGTGCTCCACCTGCATGAAGAGCGGCGCCGCGCGGTCGCACGGACCGCCCGCCTGCGGACAGGAGTGCGGCAAGTGCGGAACCAGTGGGGAAAGACTGCTCGCCTCCTGCCAGCCGTGCCACGACTGCAAGGTCGCGGGCCGGCCGGTAGTGGTGGCGGAGTTGGAGAAGTGAAATCGGAAGAACAAGCGACAGACAGTGCTAGCAGAGGATTCCTCGTCATGGAATCATGCAAATGCAAAATCAAAACAGCATATTTACAATGGCAAGCTCATCTCAATTTCATCCTGATCGGAATTATCGACGATCCGAATTCTGTCAGATCAAGCTCGTCAACATCATCCAGCATGTGACTTCTCCTCACAACAAAACAAACAAAAACAGTGCTCACCAAGACCCTGTTGAATTGCCCGTTGTGTGCCGACAAAGAGCCTTGCTTCGTCGATTGCAAAGCCAGTGGAGCCGGGTGGGACAAGTGTCTGCAACGGTGTTTGGGTGACAACCCCATGATGCTCGACATGTTTTCCCACATGACCGAGAAACTGCAGGCAAGAAAGCAGGCGATGGTGGGCACCACGACGGGTGGTCAGGCCGAAGCGTCAAAACACGATTTTTCCGCCACAACTGCTGCCGCTGGCGGGATGAAGAAAAAGCCTTTGATTTTGGAGGGAAAACCTCTGAAGTCGTTCGGACGGGAGCTGTGAGCAGGGCGGAAGGATTGCTGAGCGAAATTGTCTGATATTTTTTTCCATCTGATAAAGAACAAAAACTTTTTTCCACCTGCTTGCGTAGGTAAGTAAGTACTTCTACCCCCATCGGGAGCGGGCCACTTCTACTGTAGCCCGGTATAGCAGCACTGTGCTTTACCAAAGCGCGGAGGAGTCAACACTCTGACCGTCGTGCTTATCTCCGAGGAGCTGTGTTCTCTCACTTTTGTGACGCTGTAAGGCAAAGTCAAGAACCCTTTTTTTTTGAATGCCATTCTTCGAGGAGTTTTTTGGTACCACTAGCAGAACAAATTATTATCATCTTCCACCAACGAACGATATATGATAAGTCTTGTTAAGTAGAAGTTCTCTTTTTCTGTCGTATTGGTGTTTCTGTTTGTTTCTGTGTTATCGTGGTTTTCTTCCAGCGCAGGAAACAGCCACTATCTAAGCGTTGGGGTGATTGTGAAAAGAAAGCAATTTCTCATAATTTAATTTCATAAATAACAAATTGCTTGTCTTCGATGATATTTTCTAGGAACACGCGACCAAGTAGCAAGATTTCTCACGACCCATAAGCAGAATGGCGGCCGTGGCGCCAGAAGGCGTCCTCAGCCGCGTCATCGCGGCGGCGGGCCAGGGAGCGGTGGGCGCGATGGTGGGCGCAATCTTGTCGGCGTTAAGTGAGCCAATCGTAAACAGGGTGCTGGTGAAGAGAATACCCCTGCAGCAGGCAATGGAGGAAGTGACTTTCGAAGTCATTGCAAAGTTCTTCCAGGTATAGCAAAAATGATTCCTCCAGGAACCGTGTGAGTGTGTGTGCCGTGTATTTCGTTTTCTTCATATTTGGAGTTGTGCCGTCTCACTTTCATGCACAGGAGCCGTCTCACTCAAAAGCGGCTGTTTGGGTAGTTGGTCTGCATGGATGTTCCTAGTAAAAATGATTTTTAAAAATCCGCATGCGCAATTGCAAGAAGAATCGCCCTGAAGAATCGCATAATGAACATTTTTCCAGACCACCTTACCGACGAACTTCGTGAAGTTTCCGTTTTTCGAGGCGGTGAACGTAATTATGTCGATGATAGACGTGAGTCCGGCGTTTCGAGGGACCGTCACGGGAGCGGTTTTTACCACTGCAACCTTGCCAATCACAAACTACCGCTACAGGAAGTCCATGGGCCTGCCAACAGAGCTGTCAGGCCTGTATCAAGCGTATGTGCCAACGGTATAGCATAGTACTCTGGGCTAATATTTTGTTTTGCTTTTGTTTTTTACCTTATTTGATGCGGCCGGTGGAGCGTCAACATCACCGCGACACTCACGACCTGGTACTTCTTGTCGCTGTCCGGGGTGTAAAAAACACGACCCTCAGTCGTACTCTGTGATGCACAAGGACAACATCAAAACGTGTGTACATGGTAAGTTAACAATAGCAGACCAACAATATCACTCAAATTCTATCAGGTTCTCCGCGACATTATGTACGGCATCGTCCGAAATAACGTCACCACCATGCTGCTGTCCCGCAACCCGGAATTTGCAAAAACCAACGGCGGGCGATTTTTTAACATGTTCGTCACGGTATTCTCCGCTTGCGTGCTGTCTGCACCCGGAAACGAATACAGAGGTATGTTCCTTCAGGGAAATTTTTTTCGTGTTGTGGGGGCAAGTTCTTCTTTATCTACTTACTTACTTTACTAAATGTGAACGCCATTGGATGAAATGAGTAGTCGCGCATAATATGTCTATGTCTATCACGCAAAAAAAAAACGACCACGCGAAAGAACCGAACTATCAGGCTACTGCCTTCAGCCCAAGGGAAAGGAGAAGCCGTTCCGGGAATTTTTCCAGCCTGTGAATTTTGCCCGCAGTACGATAATCGGATCCTGCATCATGTCAACAGCGCTGGCTTGCGGGGCATTGGTGACGCCACAGGTATAGATACACCTACATCGCACGATCCTGCTTCGAGCTTTTTTCTAGGAATGCTGAGCTGACGCGTTTGGGTTTCTTGTGGTGCAAGAAAGCTAATAGAAAGCGCACTGTGTGGCTGATGTTGCTCTTCTCATGGACTAGCGGCAACACAGCGGCAGCTGGCGGCCGGGCTCAACCTATTTACAATAAATTCTAGGTCACCGCCGTGGTCGACCGGTTGAAGGCCTATTTGGACGCCAATCCGCTGGCCTACTGCATAATAGCGCTCTACATGGCCCACCGCGCGCTGGAAAAGTACGAGAAAAAACAGGACGGGAAAGCGACGAAATAAGAGACGCGACCCTTGGTACAGTAGGGACTTTTCCTGAAAACGGCAATGACTATCACTCGCATGGCAGATGTACAACTAGTAATTTTTGAAGGAAATACAAAGGATGTATATGATTTAATAGTTAGAACAAATAGCCGTAGCGCAGCGTCAATTTTGAAAATTCATTTTCCCATGTCGCCACGACAAAGTATTGACGGCGAGACATGTGTGTAGGTGTATTTGATAGATAGGCGAACTACGTGTCCTTTGATAACAACAACGAAGAAATAGAAACAAGCTCAAGTAAGTAAATCATTTTCCATTGGAGCGCATCTCCATCTGTCGCCATGGTGTGGCGGCGCAAGAACTTCCGCATCGCTCCCATGCAAAACAAACGAGAAATGGAGCAACGATTTTGATTGTAAGGAAAAATCAAAGTAGCTGCAAAACCGAGGCGCAGAAGAAACAACAGGGATCTTCGTAAAAGCGAACGGATTTATTTTGCCTGTGGGGTGGAGGCGGTGGGTTTGCCCAACAGGAGTTGAGTCACCTCTTACGTCACAAATACCGATGCGAGTTTTTTTTTTCTGCGGGAAGGAGAGACGAGGAGTGCTGTCTCAAAAAGAGGTCGTCGAGCACGACGACAATGAAGAGAAAAGAGCCAGTGCATGGATGAAGATGAGAGAAGAAGTACGGAAGGGCTATCAATAGGCCCAATTTATTTGTTTCCTTGTCACCAGTGTCATCAGGTTTTTTTTTTTGCTGCTCCTTGTTCGTTCTTCAAGCGCGCACCTTTTTTTCCAATCTCCAGGTCGGAGCAGAGAGAACGAAAAGAGCCAGAATCAGAAAAGATGAGATGCAGTAAGAATCTGCTCATCAAATACTTCGTCGAGGAAGCTGCATCATGAATGGAATGACGTTCTTTCCATTTTGACGAAAAGGAAAATATGAAATTCCGGTAGTTAAGCTGGGTCAGAACAAACGGCATCATGCCTGATGGCTTGTTGTAATCAATATCAGATTACTTGAACAAGCAGAAGCAACAAGGAAGGACCAAGAACGGAGAAAAGCGATCTGCCCTGCCTGCTAGGCAGCAAGTTACGTCTGGACCCAGCAGCTTCTAAGCAAGCCTGCGGAGACACGACGACACACATAAAGCAGCTGATACTGCACCGCGCTCGTCCGTCTGTTTTTGCGAGAAACGAAAAAAACCGCTTTTGCAGGAGGAAAACCCACTGCTAGCGTGAACAAGAAGATGATGCTGCGGAGGACACCAGTCTGCTTCAAGGCAGCCGCACTGCTCCTCGAGTTGTCATGTTCCGTATTTATCCCGTTCTTGCTAACGAGCGTGTCCGCCCAGGATGAGGCGGCGGACCTTGCCCACGGCAAGGGCTTTCAGGATGCGCAGCAGGTTCCCCGGGAACCAATGGTTTTCATCTGCAGCGACTGCCACCCGTGTTTGTACCCAGACACGACCACCTATCATGTGGAAACCGCACATGACTGCGAGCAGGCGTGCTACTTCAGCAGCTCCTGCCGCTACACGGCCTACAATCCCCGGGAACAGGAGTGCAATCAGTACACAACGTGTAAGGTGGACAAAACCGGCGATCTAGAGTACACAAGGATGCACAAGAGGGACCCAGGTTTTGGTTTCATCTTGAGTTCTTGGGAACTGTCATGCATCTTCACGAAGCTCAGCCAAACTCGGTTTTTACGTTGCTCCGTCAACTTTTTTTTCTGCTGCATATTACAGCGCTACTAGTAGTAGTTCTTCATCTTCCTACATTCATAGACGTGCCTCTACGTCTCCCTCTACTGCTCCGCGTGAACTACAACAAAAAACGCACTTTTGCGTTCTACTTCTCATTCAGGTGTTCTCTCCGACCTGTATCTGTCCTCGTCCTGCTCCCTCGAGCCGGCGTTCCAGCCCATGGTGCAAAACTACAAGGCCGGGTGCCCCTCCACGGCGGTGGGCGCTGCGACGTTTAAGTCGAAGAACGACCTCTGGGTCAACGACGAGCAGATTTTCCGGTCTTCCAAGGGGTACGCAACGGTACCGGCCGAGCTCTACCACGACACGCCCACCGTGCTGAGCATTCAGACCCTGATGGACATCGAGATGACCGAGGACGACGTCGTTTCCTGCAGCGAACACCACCACTGCCAAGGTTCGGATAATTACTCGCTTTTTTTTGTCATGCAAGTTTTTGCACAGCAGACGCGGCGCGATGCAGGAGCACCAGATCCAGATGCTTGTGCGTTCCCGGCTCGAGCTCCTTCATCAGGATGAGAAGTCTATTTTTTATTTTTTGAGCAGCTGTTGCTGCAGCAGTTGTAGCTCGTACCAAAGGATGAAATGTTCCAAAAACGTCGAAACCCAAACTTCTATCACAGCCGGTTTCTGGAACCCGAACCAGAAATGCGCTGGCGGCTTCTGCCGGACCATTGCGCACACCTACACGGTAGCCTTTCAGGACACGTCTGTCGCCGACTACGACCAGGCCACCACAGACCGGTCGTACGGCGCGCTGTCTCGGGAAACCATCATGATCAAGCCGCCGGATGCCGCGGATGTCATTGCGGACTACGCCCAAGTCATGCAGGACTACGCGGGCACGGACTACGAAAAGGAAGTGCTGGCCACGGTCCACAACAACAAACCGCTGCAGCCGGTTTGTCAGCACTGCAACAAGATCTGCGACTACGGGTCGGACTACGAGTGGTTTTTGCGGTCCGAGGGAGCGCTGCCGCGGTTCCAGTGCATCGAGTCCTGCTACAAGGACCGGAAGTGCGTGGCGGTGAACATCAACGAAGAGGAGGGGATTTGCGATTTATTCAAAACTTGTCACGAAAAGGACATGCTGATGCTTTCCCACACCGACGCTGGCGAGTTGCTGAAGATGGAGAAGCACCCGGTCTCGGGGGAGCACAAGGTCATGATTGGGGGTGTGGAAGTGAAGAAACGGAGCTTGGAGGGGAAGGAGGAAGACGAGGAGGAGAAAGGTAAGTACTAAAGCATCAATATAGATCTGTTGTTTTATTTCTGTCGATTGTTGTGCTAGATCATGAAGCGCAGACTTATACTGGAGACCGCGACGTCATAATTGATAATTGCAGCGTGGTCCTCTACCTTTTTGCGTCATATTGCAGCTTTCAACAGAAGAGCTGCTTCTGCTACGTGCTACACTTTTTCCAAACCCAAGGTAAAAAACCGTCCTCAAAGGAAGATGCCCAAGAGCACCAACAAGAAAAAGACGACAAAGACGACGATGATAAGAAGAAAGAATCAGACAAGCCGAAAATCCTTCCCGGCCAGAAGATCAAGAATCCGGAGACTGGGAAAACAGAGGTTCTGAAGGTTCCGGAGGAGTTTAAGATCTCGCCCGGAGTCTTAACCCAGTTCATGGTATTCCGGCGGCCCGAGTTGAACTCGCCGCATTATGTCGCGCCGGACAAACATTTACTGGACTTTGGCGGCACAGAGTACGGCACCGTTGATCTCGTGGGGCAGTCCGCCGCGCAGGACTGTGTCCTGAACGCGCACGCCGGAAGCGGCATGTCGAAAAAGGAGAAGAAGTAGGACTACTAACTTTTCATTGATGATGACGGCCTGTAGTGATTTTGCTTTAGGATTTCTTGAAGAACTTGACTGTTGTTGTTCCCAAAGAAGAATATCTTTTGTCCTGGTCATGCTACGAACACAGCACGTCAATGCTAATATTAGAAAATCCGAATCCCTACCTCCCACATCAACAAGGTACGTCCGTCTGACCTGCACCCAGGACACGCACACGGTTTCCGTTTACATCACCGGTCGCGGGATCGTGCCGTCCAATTTTGAGTGTGGGAAACCGCTGTGCGGGAAGCGGAACCAGACGGAGTGCGCGCAGGAGAACTACGGGGAGGGAGTGACCACCATGGTGAACGCCATGGCGTCGGTGGACGAATTGGGGACCATGCGCGACACGGTGGAGTTGGCGAACGACTTCAGCTCGCGGCACAAGAAGTCAATCATGTTCAACTGCCAGTCCGAGAATTTCGACAAAACGAAAAAGTTCGAACTCGCGGTCGATATCGAATTCGCGGAGCACACGGATTTTGGCCTCATCATGAAGGAGAACCTCCGAACGGAGAACGACAACGCGAACGAGGTGTTCAAGGTCGGCTACGCGCCACGGTGCAGGTTCCCAGACCTGCGCGCGCTGTTCTACGACTACACCGCGTCCAAATCCGAGTGCGAACAGATACCGAAGGACTGGGACGCCAGTAAGGAGACGCAGGTCCGGTTCATTTGTCCGCTGAAGGAAACCTCCTACGTCGGCTTCAACGCGGTGGTGGAGGACGCGTCCGCGAAACTGGTTTTCAACAACAAGTTGCTGCGGAATTTAAAGTCCATCACGGCCACCGACGGTACCCACGGCGGGACGGACTTCGGCGGGGTGGACTTTTACTACCCGATCACGAACTTGGAGATAAAGTCCGACAACCCCGATGGCGTGCAGTCGTGGAAATTGGACACCTTCTGCGAGGAAAAGTCGCGGTCGTACGATTTCATCCTCCAAAACGGCTGGATGATGACACCGGTGGTGACGGACTTGAAAGTTTCCACGGGCGACAACTGCATTATTATGCATTGCAAAAGTATCGCGCTCGTAGTAATCGCAACCACGTTCATGACGCACCATGACAAATTTAATGCTCGTACGTGATTCAGCATGACAGATTTTTGCGTTTTTGTTGTTGAGAAAATTTTTTGTATATGCGATTTAAGTACAAGTAGCACGAGACTTTTGCAATGCATAATGATGAAGCCGAAGAAGTTTCAGCTGAACGTGACAGAGTACCTGATCGAGTGCCCCCAGTCCACGGAGTACATCGGAATTACCCCGATGCTGAAAGATATCGGGACCCGGATGCTGGTCAACGACGACCTGTTCCCCGCCAACGAGGAAATCGATATGGCATTCTCAAACGTTACATTCTCAACTGTTACATGGATTTGTCATGCAAAGCTACCTGCTGAAGCCGCCAGTCGGAGATAATCAAGCATCTACGCATGACAAATTCCCGGAGTGCTAAACAGCATGCAAATCTGTAATGCAAAAGGAACAATCTTCCCCCTTTCGCTTTTGCCGTTCTTGCATTACAAATTCATGCAACAGTTGAGAATGTAACATTTGAGAGCTCCATAATCGAGCCCGTGCACTTGGAGGCCGGCGACGAGCACGTGTGGGACATCACGTTTCTGCCCCCGATGTATGCATGTTGCAAAAGTATTTCGGACTCGTAGTTGTACTTGCAATCATGCATGACAAATTCATTTCCATCATAGCCATAGGCATAGGCAAATCAACATAAACAAATTTCACTTTTCAGAAAAGTGAAATTTGTTTATGCTGATTTGCCTATGGCTTTCGCTTTCAATTTGCTCAACAAGAAAATTTCTTGTTGAACAAATTGAAATTTGTAAATGCAACTTTATAGAACCAGCACGACTACGATACTTTTGCAATGCATACGATCGACCCGGACACGAAACAGGCGGTCTACGGCTACAACGCCGACTCGAAAATCCACATCAAGGTCACCGGCGTCCGGTTCGCTATGGGAATGTCAGGATTGTTTGAAATCGTCAAAGTTGAAACTATAGTTTGTCATGCATAAAATCGACACCACTTGGAAGCCCAATTTCCAAGCAGCGCATGACAAATTTTGGCACCGTCCAAATCCAGTTTATCATGCTGTTTAGGGACAGAAGGCGTCTCCTGTCATGCTACTTTAGCAGCTCTATCGCAGACCCCAAACAGGCTGACCGTCGGCCTCACTTGCCATCCCTGCAAGAGAGGCACTATATTCATTCCTTGCAATTTATGCATGAGAAATGATTTCAACTCTGTCGATTTCAATCCTGACGCTTCCATATTCGCGCCCTGGGGGTTGGGCCAGGCCGCGACGGAGATGATCGCGTCCATCTGTTCCGCCGCGGGTCTGGGTCTGGCGGTCGTGTCCGCGAGCAACTTCATGGGGGTGGCGAAGTTTCTGCAGTTTCTCGGCATTCTGGTCGCGGTCCACGGCACACCGGACGCGTTTAAAACGTTCTGCGCGTCCTTTTCCAAGGTGAATCTGCAGTTCAACCACCTGGACGACTACATCAAACTGCCGCACTTTGACATCAAAAAGTACATCCCCTTCGACATCAAGAAGTTTCAGAAGATGGCCGCGCAGGCCGCGGGCCTCCCGTTTCGCGCGCTGAAGGTGCTGCAGAAGCACGCCGAGACCGCGGTGCTGAAAGCGCATCTGCACGTCGCCGGTCCAGATGAGAAACTGAGCAAGAAACAACAGTCCATCGCTGATATGACAGTGCGCAAGAACTCCCCCTCGTTCTCATTTCTCATGCAAAGCCCCAGATCCAGTTGCTTCCACCTTGTTATCACTATTATGATATGTATGACAGATTCCGGAAGCTGCGTAAAAATAAAAAAGCTAAACAGTCGTGCTACACTAGCCGCATGAAAAAGTTGTCATCCGTAGCCTCCACGTGATGTGCTGGTGTTTGTATTGCTGTTCATGCTATACAGATGAGGGAGGTAGTTGTGACCGGTCATAGCTGACGCGGCCAAGCGCGAAGCGGAGCAGATCGCGGCGATCCGGAAAAAGTACCGGAAACAGTACATCAAGTTCAAGCAGAACTTCGCCAAGCTGAAAAAATCTTTTTCCGAAAACAAGGGAACCCTGTTCAACTTGTTCCTGATCCCGATGATGCTTTCCGGCCTCATGGTTTTCTACGTCGTGCGCTACGTGTTGCGGCTGACCCTGCCCGAGGGGTTCATGGGGTACGACTGGGACCAAGCACGGAACGAGCAGATGAAGCCCAACTTCATTCTGCTCTTCATCTGCGATTTGGGCTTGATCGGTTTCGTCAAGGCTGCCTCGAAGATCTATTGCGAGGGCAGCACGATCGAACTGTACCTGCCGGATGCGCACGAGCACTGGGGGTTCTGGAAACCGCCACGAGACTTGATGAACCACGTCTGTTTAACCCTGTTCTTCCTCTACCCGGTCGCGTTTCTCTACTTCACCGCACGCGAACTCGCGAAAAACCAGCGGCAGGTGATCTACAACAAGGCACTCAAAGGGTACGCCGACAAGGAAGGCTGTTTGGAAATCCGGGCGTCGCAGAACGCGCCGTTCCCCATACCGGTGCTGGGGCAACTGGCGTCCAAGGTGAACTTCGCGATGAGCACGAACATCAAGTCCGTGTCGCCAATTTTGTGGGCCAAAAACACCAAGGGAGAGTACATCTACGACAAGACGAAAAAGACCCACTGGGTGTTAGGCCTCGGGACGATGCTCGAGGGAAAAGTGAAGCTGAACACGTTGGAACTTGCGCAATCTACAGACACCGCCCGCGGCGGCACGCACAAATCCGACGTGTACTACCAGTGGGACCAGATCAAGGTCGGCAAAGTCGAGGACAGCGAGAAAACCCCGCTGAAGGAGGGAGACGTGCTTTTGAAAATTGGCAGCAGAGACGACTTTGAGATGGACAAAACCGGGTACGAATTGACCGACAAAAACGGGCGGAAAATTATCCGGATGCGGGAAATTCCCTACATCTCGCTGTCCGCTCTGGAGGACGAGTTGTCGGACCGCTGTTGGGTAGAGGTGAGGCGAAATGGAGAAATCAAAAAGTTCCAAATGCCCCCTGCGAAACTCACGACCGGATTTGACGTGTGTACCGGGAAGGTGACCGGGGTCTGCAAGGGCGCCGCGAAGGGCGGGGGCGGTTTGTCGGCGCTCGCTGGGTTGACCACGACGGAGGAGCCTCTGTCCGCGACCTCGCAGCTGAAGTTGAACTTCATGCACAGCTCAATGGACAGCAGTAGCGAAGTGGTCACGACCAACGTGGATCGCGATTACGAGGTGCGGGTGTTCGTCGGGAGCATGACCGACGGGTTCAGTTTTAAATCCAAAATGATTCCCACAAAGGCAGGCGATGAGTCGTTGGACAAGAAAAAATCGGTGCGACGGTCCGACTCCGCGCCTTTCGGGTCCCTGGATCCCTCGAATTTGATGATGTCGCACGCGACCGACTCCATCAGTTGGAAGCCGGCGAGCGAAGGGAACCAGTTGCAGGTGACGGAGCCGGCCTCGATGGGCGCCGAATGGAAAGAGCTTCCCGATACCAATTTGGGCTATTACAAGTACAGTCTCAAGACGGGCGGGAAGTCTTTACGAACGGATATCATCATGGAGTACAAAATGGTCAAACCCAGGGAGAGCGGAGACGACCTGATGAGCCAACTGGCGGACGTATTTATTGGCATTTAGATGGAGCAGGACCAGGAGCTAATGCTTGTTAGAACTTGCGTATGCAGAAAATATGTATGGCTTTTGCTGCTAGTCCTCGTGCTATCGTATTCTTGTTGCGATCTTAAACTGAGTCTGGTAGTGTGTAGTCGACGAGGCAAGAACACATGAAACATGACATGTTGAATTTAACTACATCAGGCCAAAGGCATGTGCTGTGGCGCGGAGGGCGTTGCCGGCGATAGCTCCAAGGGCCCGGAGTTCGACGTGGACGATGCAAAATTCTTATCACACAGAAAAAAGCTGGCAGGGCACATTTGTAGCGCAAGAATAAACGCACAAAAAAAACCTGTATTGCATATCGGAAACAGCATGCTATGGGGCCACCCATGACAAATTTTTGTGTGTGTTTATTTTTGCCTTACAAATCTGACCTGCCAGCTTTTTTCTGTGGGATAATTCTACCAGCGAATTTACTCCGAGGAAGCCAAGTACGACGCCCACACGTGTTTGACCGGCATGGGCATCGGGAAACAGCCCTTGAAGCCGCAGTTCGACCGGGCCATCACGGGGGAGCAGGTGCAGGAGGAAACTGATAGCAAGGACGTGGTATGCATTGCAAAAGTATCGTATTCGTATAAATGCAATACAAATTTCTGCAGCATGAGAAATAAAATTTGTAATGCAGATTTAGCTTAAGAAAGGGATTTGTAATGCATGATTGCAATACGAGTACGATACTTTTGCACAGGATACGTGGAAAATGTGGACAACCCCTGGTTCCGCGACCTATCAAGTGCAAAAATGTTTGGGTCTGAGAGAGCATGAGCACAACTTTGTCATGCACATTTTCCATGATCCATGCTTTCTGTGACGTATGCCAAAGCATCACAGATTTTTTGAGCGCTTATCTATGCGCAGCCAGCATGACAAATACCCTCTCCGCGTAGCCGAATTTGAATCCTCTTGCACAGGTTTTTTTAGCATCCAAATGCAGCATCACAAGACCCAGACATTTTTGAATTTGATACGACCCCACCTACGACACAAAGTACTGCCGACGAATCCTCCAGCTGCCCATTCCGGAGAAGCTCGCACTGGAAAACGCGGACGGCGAAAAGGTGCTGGCTAACTTGAACCACATCAACAAAATCGTTTTGCGCGGGATGGGCAGCTGCTCGCGGGGGCAGTCCGAGGTGTTCTTGGTGCTGCGGCAGGCGAGCCGGTCCCTGAAGTTGGACTTCTCCGTGGTGGGCTCGAGTTACTACGCGCGGTCCGTTCTGGCGAAACTGAAGGAGAACCCGACGCCCGGGCAGCAGGCCATGGAGCGCACGGTGACCGGGTTGTGCAACGCGATGTGGGAGAAGACGAAGGAGCTGGGCGGCCAGCCGATCACGGACCAGTTTGTGTCCATCGAGAAGTGGAAGGTGGTGCCGGGCAATCCGTTTGCGGAGGCGAGACTACAGGTTTCCGTGGATGTGGACCTGGACAAATCCGGTTTTGTAGAACAAGGAACGGAGGACGGATACGATTTGAAAACCAAGGAGTTGGTGGACCACTGCGCCAAGGCGTTCCAAGACAACGGCAAAGGGTTTCTCACCCTGTTTCTCCGCGATCTCGCCGAGTTGATGGGCTCCGCCATGACGCAGGAGGAAAATACCGCGTTTGCGACCATCACAGAGACCTTCATCCCGACAAAGGGGAAGCCGGCGGCGAAGTGCTACCTGGATTCGATCAAGGAAAAGTCGAAACTGGGAACGTTGAAGAAAAAGCTCACGCAGATCAAGTTCGAGGACGATTTTGATCACCCGTGTCTGAACCAGGCGGTGGGGAAAGACACGTTGGAAGTGTGGATCTGCGGACCCTGCTACAACGGCGTGGAAGCGAACTTCAAGGTCGCTACGGCGTCCATAACGTGCGAGAAGGACGCGGCGAGGACAAAGGAGCAGTTTGCAGAGGTAAAACTGCATTATCCTATGTAAAAACGTACCCACCCCATAGTTAAGATGGGGAATCGGCTAGACAAATCCACAAGCTTTGGCTGTTTCGCATGACAAATTTGGACGCGTAGCGTAGTGCTGTTTGAGCTAGTTCAGCAGCATTACAGATCTAGTCTCTCATGCTGATTGGAGCATGACAAATTTCAAAACACCATTAGAAAATGCTCCTCATGGGGCTCCGCATGAGAAACATTTTAAGCATGCAGATTTGCATGGCAACTATGGCGTGGGTACGTTTTTACATAGGATATGCATTCCGACGTGTTCTGCGGGCGGGACGGCATCAGTGTCGAGGCCTCCGACGTGATCGCGGCCTCCCTGGGATTCCTGGCCAAAGACGGCGGAGCAACTTTGGCGAAAAAACAAACGAGCAAAAGTGGCGGAAAAGTGTACAGCGGAATCGTGCAAAGTATAGACAAGTAGAGTTGTTGTGTACGTTTTTCCTGTATTTATGTATGAATCTCTGTGTTAGTGTTTCGCTTTCGCTTTCGAGGAAACACTGAAACTGATGTCTCTATGTTGTCACAAGCCGCCTGCTGTATTAATAAATATTGTAAATCCCGTGCCTGTTGGTCCTGTCAGGAACTCGCCCACCGATGGGGTTATGTTGACCACATCGCTGCTAAAAAAGAATGCGTGCATACAGTAATAGATGAACAAGTATGAAGTAGGTGACCACAGGAATGATCTTTTGTCTCTAACTGCCCCTGCCCCCTCTATCTCTCTCAGCCGACCAAGACGAGACCACCCCTGCGACAAAGGCGCAGATTATGGAGCAAACCGCTCTCCACAAGGGTTTGTCCCCCGAGGGGGTCCCCTACCGTCTCTCCGACGCGTTTGACCGGTTTCCCAACGCGTACGTCGGGCGAAAACGGTTTCAACTCTCGGTGCTCGGCGACTTCAACTACGAGATGGCGGGGCGGATCGAAAACCGGCACGTGCCGGTCCTACACTACTTCTCGCCCGACTACCAAATGGAGGTCCCCGTGAAGCACCTCAGCTTCCCGCGGCGCGACTACTACAACCACTTCTACTCGCAGATGAAGGAAAACCAGCGGTGGAACTTCTTGTTTTCGCGCGTCATCACGCTGGTGTCCATCCTGATGGTGATCTACATGGGCCAGGCGAAGTCCGCGATGAACGGCGCACTCGACGCGGGGGCGTCGGAACTCTCCCACCTCACCGAGCACGAGAAAAAAGCGGCGGTAGCGGCCGCCAAGAAGACCGCGGAGACCAGTGCCGGGTTCGTGCAGTTGGTGGCGCTCTTCGTCGGTACCTTTGTGACGTTCGCGACGGCGGCGTATCCGGACATTATGGAGGCGTACAAGGAGAAGGAGAAAGAGCGGCTGAACGAACTGAAAGATGCGAACATGAAGGAGTCCGCGAAGATGTGCGGGTTGGTCGCGCAGTACGACAAACTCCTCTGGTTCTCCCAGAAGCAGCACCGCAACTTCGCGCTGGACGCGGTCATGGACGGGGCAAGTTTCATGTACGCGGCGGAGGTGATGCTGATCCTAATTCTCCTGTTCGGCCACGAGGGGTCGCCGTTTGTCTTGAAGATCCCGATGGCGCTGGACGCCTGGATGCTGATTCTGGTGACCGGGTACACGCTGGTGAAATTAAACGCGGAATTCCTCGCCGTGCAGGCGGAGAAGATGAAAAAGCGCATCGCGGAGGCGGATGACCGCATCATTGCGGAATACGAAGCGAAAATGAAGATTTACACCGAGATATCCTGAGCAAAAATATCCCCTCCACCCTATAGTCAATTTGCTAAATCTGCAACACAAATCTCCAGGAATTTTTGGGAGTTGTGCGTGACAAGTTTCCATCTGCAGTGTAGTGGTGGTTAGCGAGGGAAGCCGCATGAGAGATCGACTTTGTCATCCTGTTTACGGCATTACAAATGCCAAAAGACGACTAGAAATGCCTCTCATGATGGGGATGCGCATTACAAATGTTGAGCTGGGCGCGCTCAGATGGCACCCCGTCCACGATTTTCTCCCGATTTTTTTAGATTTTTTTTTTAAAAAAAAATTTTGAAGTCGATGTTTGCAGGTGCGAAGTGGCCTGCTTTGAGAGCCTGCTTGTGACTGCCGTCAGTCGTATCTCAGTACTACATCACGCCAACAGTATTTCAACTGCACTTGCCCGCGAGTCATCACCTGTTTTTTTGGTTGAGATGAACATATACAATAGCTGCATCAATGCTTAGACATAAAAAGATCGTAGTGCTACTGTGTTCGCGTTTTTTTTTCAAGGAGTGGTGAGAGATATAGAGCTAGCTAGCACGCAATCCCGTTTTTTTTTTACTGTACGTACACAATTATGTATTTCATCGTGATCTGCACGTCGCCCGGGTCCGTCGTCTCGCCACTCCGCATCGCCGCGTAGCATTCCCGCCTCCACCGTCAGCTGTCTTTTTACCGCGTCCTCGTTGCGACTTCGGAACCCGCAAAACCCGATTGTGATTCATGATGTAGAGCGGGTCGATGCGGGGAAAAAAAGCTCAACCTTCCGTAGAAGGGAGGAAAAATCCACTTCCATCCGTCGGCAGCAAGCAGCAGATCCAACAGCACCACCGCTGTTTCGTCCGCATCTCGACGTCCACTTTCCAGTCGTCCGCGCCACAACGAAGGATGGCGTATTCGCAAATCCGCATTCGCTCCACGCCGCCACCACAGCTCGTCCACGCTGCGATAGGAACCACCTGAGGTTCAAAGTTTGCGAAGGCGGACGGAAGTTCCACCGTCGTTCCAAATCCGCACTCCAGCCTCCGCTCGTGGCTCCGTAGCAGCCAACTCCGCATCGCGTCGTCGCATCGCGGATCCACATCGCCGTTCGCAGGCGGAGCAGTCGGGCTCAACGCCGCAATTCCGCTTTCCACATCTCGCTGCCACCGCCGGTAAGTCCACATCGCAGCTCCGCATCCACTCCTGCCGCCGCAAATCCGTCTACGCCGCCACGAGAACCACCAAAGGTTCAAGGGAAGCGAAGGTTGTCGTCGCGAAATCCACATCGCAGGTCCACCGCGCGGCTCCACATCGCAGCTCGCCAACGCCGATCCACATCGCCGCTCCACAGCTCCACATCGCAGATCCACAGTCGCTCGCTCCACCGCAAATCTCCGTTCACGCGGCGATGGGAACCGATGGGGGTTCAAAAAATTCCAACGCTGCGGTCGCGGCGTCCACATTCGCAAAATCCACAGTCGCATCTCCACATCGCAGCCCCGTCGGCACTGAATTCGCGGCGCAGCCCGACGGCCCGATCCGGTGTGCTCGTCAGCACAAAGTTCAAACTACATTCTATTGCTGGCGTGATGTAGTAGCAGGCTATTTTACAGCGTATGCTAAGGCACGATTATCTTTTTCTATAGTAAACGCTACAGCCTCCCGAATTTCTATCCCGCCCGGGGAGGCGGCTTGCATAAAGCACTGCACGCATGCAACTGTCACACCGATCGCGCTTTTCTTTACTCTGTATAGTCGCACCGATATTACACATGCGCTTCTGGTTCATCACCGACTTTTCATTTGTATGCTGTGATCTACACCGACAACGTTCTCACCGACTTGTGCATTCATGTCTTGCATCGTGTTTCATCAAAGTTTGTCATGGGCAACAAGTAGAACATTATGTAGAAAAGATGGAAAAAAGCAGCAACTAGCTGGACGTCGACTCTATAACTAAGCTTTAACTTCCCCCCTCCTTCTGTAGATGGTTCTGCTTGAACTCAAGTAGAACATTTCTACAAAGGAGGAATTTTACATTTGCGTCAACATCTCACACATCCACCATAACAGAGTTGTTTTTGATATATTATACAGAAAAATTTTACATATTATTTTTGATTAACAACTCTGTTCCCGCTCCTATTTACGTGTTGAGCTTTATTTATTATTCCCTCCACCACGTGTGAGACTGTTGGATATGGGCCTCCTGCCAGTAGGAACAGTGAGTTCTTTACGAAAACATTGAAGCCTACAAATATCATTAAGTCCCCGACAAAATGACTCACTGACTGACTTACTGGTCCATACTTTTACTATTATGTACTTGTGGCAAGATGAAACTGTGCATTTTCGAAGTATAAAAAGTGCGAAACAATAAATCAATCAAAACCTAGCAAAAGTTGCTTGAGTAGTATCCTCTGGTCGATCAAACCGACGGTGATGAAGCAGCAAATATTGGTATGTAAAGTGCGACTATTGCAAACAACTTTCACGGCCAAAATTATCCGTCCAACTACTCATCCTCATCATCGGATCCGCCCGCGACCGCGTTGTTGGCAATGGGGGCGTTCACGTTGGCCTGCGCACCACCCGGCACGTGCAACTGGAGGTTGATTCTGCGTCTCTGGGGCGCGGGCTGATTGGCGTTCGCACCGGCCGGGTCGGCACCGTTCGGGAACTGGCGGGTGATCTCACGCCAGAGCAATTGCTTCTGGGCGGGAAAGAGAAAACTGAATGGCACCGTCATACTGTTGTAAGCCTGGGCGGACTCCTGGTACGATCCTGATATTATTTTTGGCATGATGTTGTAGATGCAGTTTCGCATAGTATTATGCTCATTTTTGCTTTGCATAAACCAATCTGTCTTGCATGCAGTAGGTCGTACTTCTAATTGCTTACAACCAAGAAATTTTCTGTGCGTATACCGTTCGCCAAAGCGATCCGCAACGGACCCTCCTCCAACTCCTGCATGCGGCGGACGAACTTCTCAAACGTCTCACTCAACTTCTCCTGGATGGACGGGTACTCGGTGAACAGGCGCGCTTCCAAATCCTCCTTCATCGCTAACATGGTGTTGGCGCGGTCGGCATGCTCCTGGTGCGCACCACCGGTGTAGCAGTTGCACATCTCGCGCATGATCTCGTGCAGGGAACGCCAGCGGTTGCGGGCGGGAAAGCGGATTCCACCCAAGAAGGCGAGCAAGTCGATCATCTCCTGCTGCGATCCGCGGTTGTCCCAGTCATGCAAGAAGTCAAAAGCGGTGCCAATGGCCAGGATGCGGTTGTCGAGGTCCCGCAGTTGCCCCTCCACGCGGGTCTGGTCCATGGTCAACAAGTAGCGGCGCAAGGCACCATTGTACTGCTGCGTGAAGTTGCCGGGCAATTTGGTGTAGTACAACGAGGTCGTGTTGGTGTAGGCGTCGTTCAAACCGATCAAAGTGGTGATGACCGGGTGCGGCTGGGGCAGGTTCATCCACTGGCGGATAGTGTTGACCATCTGACGCATCAAGCCCTGGAGATTTGCATTGTAGAAATTACAGACGAAACTATACGACAATAAAGCTGGCACTTCAGTATCAAACTTGTTATGCAGGAAGATTCGTTTTTCTATCAACCAATAAAGTTCGCTCTCTCGGCTCGTGATAACTCTCAACTCAAGCAGCATGAAAAAGTAGTACCAAATCATGGATCTCCGGCTGGGGGGGCACCTCTCCCTGCGCGCGCTTGATCGCTTTCGTCACCATCTCCTCAGCACAACGCGAAGTGTCGAGCGCGCGGGTCAAGTCAGCCTTGCTATGCTATGAAAAAAACCTTGGAGCAACACACTGTTTTCCTTTCAAAAGGTGCACGACGGGTGCACTCTTCGACTTTTTTATCACTTCTTCTTGCATTTCCTCCACTGTATTTTGACGTCCTGTTCTCTTGGTACTTTTACAGTGCAGTACTTTCTTTTTTTCAAGTCCCAACCACGCGAACTCATGAGCATAGCATGCAGAGTAAAATCTGAAAGAGAAAACAGTGCTTTGAGCCAAGGTTTTATCTTTGCATCGTCGTACACGGTGAACTGGGCGTTACCGGTGCGCAAGAAGGTGCCGAGCTGAATCTCCACCTGGACCAACAGTTCGGCCACGGCGGCAGCGCGGAGCATCTGATGTGGATTTGCAGTATGAAATGCAACATGCGTGCTCATCGTTTCAGGATATGTTTCTTATCAATATTGGATGCTTTGTTCGTCATCTGCGCTACACAGTAGTTCTGTCATGCATAGAAGCTAAAAACTTTGCTTCGTCAGTTTCCGACTACGCAATACACGACTCAACCGATGAAACGCGCTCATTTTGCAAAAGGCACAACACTATATACGTCCATCGCCTTCTCCCAGAACAACTCCTGGAGCGTCTGTCCGCCGTTGACGGGGGCACCCTGCAGCAAATGGGTGGAGATGGCGTCTTCCAGCAAAGACACCTGCTGCAGCTCGATCGCATTGCTGATCATCATCATGTTCTCGCGGATCTCGGGCATGTTGTTGTTGCCGGACACGAACGCGCGGGCCTGCGCGTACGCCCTGTTTTTTATTGTCAGAATGATGTATCTCATGAAATTACAGTTGCGTTTTTCTGTGGCACTGAAGCATGATTTCAATGGACCGACGTAAGATTACGATGTGAACAGCATCACTTTATCAACAAAAACACACAAATATACCAGTCGCGAAACTGGACCAAGGTCCGGGGCTGGCGGGCCGCGGTCCGCTGGAAGGCACCACCCTGAAACAAAGCGATGATTCCCGCGCGCTCCACTTCATCACGGGCTTCTGGGTGGCGCATTAAACCGCACAGACGATCGCACACGCCGAGAGCACGTAACCCGTTGGCCTCATCGGTCAGGGAGGCAAATCTCCCCTGGAGATGGACCTGAGTCGTGGTTCTTGGCCATGATTTCCACTTCAAATGGCAGTTTTGTCATGCAGAAATCCATACTTCACAAAAGCATCATGCGATTGTCATGTCGGTCAAGTTTGTGATGCACAAGTTCCAAAATTGATGTAGTACTGCCACACGACGTTCTTGATCGAGCGTAGTATGATTGAAATCGGCCCTTCCCAAACGGGCCGCTTCGCGGGCGATGATGTCGGTGCGCGTGAAGAGCACGATCTGACGCACCGCCGAGGGCAACGCGGCCATGGACCTGGCGATGACGGCTTCGTGGGCCAGTTCGAGGTTACCGATCTGGGCGTCAGTCAGGGTGGAAAGGTACTGGACGCGACTCAAAAATTATGCAAGTTGCAACTCTAGCTCAGCACCTCAGCCGCGTCATGCATGCCTGGCTACTTCAAAAATGCAAAAGCGCATGACAAACTCATATGATCAGATATGCTATTTCACAAGCATTAAGCACGTAGTCGCACAGTTGGTCGAGACCAATTTGCATCATAGTTAGCATGACAAAGCAGTAGTGTAAGGTGCTGAGCTAGATATTGCTACCATAACAGACGGGTCCGCATGCGACCTTCCTGACGCCAGAGGGCACCCATGGCAGCGACATGATTCGCGTCTTGCTGTAGTGGTAATTTTTTTGAATTTACAGTATGTCTTTTTCACATCAACAAGCGTCTGCTCATCCATGATAAAGGCATTCTATGCATGACAAGTTCAAAAATGTGTACCGGCAGAGCTGCGTTCTGCAGAAACTCCTGGGCGACCTCTCCAGTGGGGTGACGGGCCAATCTGTTTGCCATCTTGACACGCTTTTTTTTTCAAAGGAAGAACTCTCCACAAAGGAAGAACTCAAGAAGTAGTTGGCTACGGGTTTTGTGTTGATGAAGATGATGAAAAGCAAGTATTAGATGGCGCGCGTCAGAAATTCAAAATTGTAAAATGAAAGTATCCAAACAACATCAAGATCATCAAAGCAGCCGCCTTTTTTTCTTCACAATTACCACTGTCAAAGTGAGATCTCAGATCTATCCCATAACTTGAACTACAACAACAACAGTCATCTCATTCTAGGCACTGCAATGCGCTGCTTCATCTCTCACAAAAAAAAACAAAACAAAGAGCCGACTTATTTGATGATGTCAGCACGTTTTTACCAAGTACTATGTGTGCTGAAGCTTACGACACGACAACGCCATCATCGACGCCGAACTCACACAAAAAAAAACCTTGCTTTACTTCTGTATTGTGCGCGCAATTCTACCTCTATGACATACTTGCATGCTGTGCTATATCAACTCGAGAAGTGCCTTCTTTTTTCATGTATGTTCCACTACTTGCATGTGCAGTCTGTCATGCTTCTTGTATGTCAATCCAGCGTACTCAATTTATGACATGCACTTCGAAGTCTACTAATTTGTCATGCTGTGTATCACAAAGCAGCAGTACTATGCTGCTTCAACTTCCCATGAAGAGTTGCGCTATGTCCCTATGTGTATGCATGATGCTACTACTGTGTGGTTTTACTGTCACGCACTACGTCCATCTACAGGTACACTGTTTGTATTACAAGCTATGTACTTTCACACGAAGTAAGGTCGTTCTACGCAGTTAAGATTGTACAAAGTTGTCAACGCTTCTGGCTTATATATAGGTCTTTTGCGCGATGCTAAAGTCTACAGCTGTTCCTATGTAATATTCAATTTGTGCACTATATTCTACTACTTGCAATGAAACTACTGTCAGGTACACCACTATTCTACACGGCTGGCCATCGGTAACTCGGACAAGAAGGCGAAGGTCATGGCGCAGATGGTCAACGCGTCATGGTGGTGATCTAGGGCTCGCAGGTATCCGTTCGCCCATGGTGACCATCTCCGTTGCCGCATGACCGCGAGGGTGAAGTAGTCGTGGTGGGCCAAAGTTCGATGACCAGCCGTGAAGTTACTATATACTACTTTACTAAGCTTTTCTTGTTCTAGTAGTGCTCTTTTTGACACCTTCTACGCATTACAAATTGACGCTTTCTTGTCTACTTAAAGCTACATTTTCTGACATCCTTTAAAAATGACGATTTTTCCTCACAAAAAGTGATCACTTTTCCTGCTCAAAAGTGAACTCGAAAAATGAGACGTTTTGCAAATTTGACCTCGAAAAAAAAGTCTTCTGATTTTCTAGAAGGTGAACTCGAAAAAGTCTCGCGATAATGGAGAATATAAGTAGGACATGAGTCTTTTTTCTAGACTTTTTTTTTGACTATGCAGATGCAAAAGGTGACTTCGAGGAGGAAAAGCGAGAGACTTTTTTTTGTGCTCAAAAGTGATCATTTTTGAGCTCAAAAAGTGACCACTTTTTGTGAGGAATAATTGAGATTTCCTTTGAGAGATGAATTGTACAATAAATCAATGCTTTTTGAACCTGAAACTGTGCAGAATATAAGTGTGTTCAACTACAACTTGAGGTGCCCGACCACCTTCACTGGGCCGGCACTTGGGACGCCGATTCTGCGAGCACGTCATGCTGTTTACCCGCACCTGCAGCAGCCATCTTTGGCTGCTTTTTGGTCTTGGCCTTGATCCTCTGCTTCTCCACAAGGACATCGGCGATTTCCAGGTATTCTGCGTCGATCTTCTGGAAATCCAACCACGACGTAGTCGACTTTCCGGGCGAGAGGTACTTGTAGGTCTGGTCAGAAATGTGCATCAGAGCGTCGAACTCCTTCTGCCTGGTAGCGTCCTTTCCAGCACGTTCGGCGGCAAAAGCACGGATCTCCGAGGTGTAGGCGGCGTACTGGGACTTCAAAACCTCCAAATCATCTTCGGTGGACTGCGGTTCGTACTTGCTGTTGGAGCTGGCTTTTTCGCAGATGAAACGGCACATCACGGCCCACCCGTTTAGGAGGCACTCGACCCAAAGGGGTCCCTCTTTCTCGCCAAACACCATGCTCCTCATGGGCCTCTTCGTCGACTGGCACTTCATGTCCAGGTAGGGGTGGACGAGGAGCTTTTTCATGTTGTTCGCCAGCTTGGTGTCCACGCACTTCATGCTCAGTCGGACAGCATCTCTTCCGGTTCTCTTGCGGTCAAACACCGTCGACGCTTCGATGCATTTCCACCCTTCGACTCTCGTTGCGAAGAGACGATTAGCAACCTTCTGTCGCTCCAGCTGATGCAGTGCGTATTCCTTGCTCGAGAGGTGCATCTTCGCCGTCGCAGAAAGGGCAGTCATGCCCTGCGTTTCCACCTGCGTTGAAGCCTGCGTTTGCGGTTCCTCCACGACGATCTTGTTCGTCTTTCGCCACGTTTCCGCATGGACGTCATCCGACTGTAGTGGCATTGCTACCATCTTGTTGTCGTCCAGAACCCAGATCTTGTCGGTCGATTTCGGCGCGGTCAAAGCCAGCATCGTAGGCTGCAGAAACTTCTCCAAGTTGTCCTGCATTTGGGCTTTCTCGCTATTGCTAGCGGAGGCCCACCCTTCCCTGAGCACCTTGTCCTCCTCCTTTCCCGCCTTGGTCCGCTGCTGCCGGTACGACAGGTTGATCCGTTCTCCACAGAACAAGCACGCTTTGCTTCTGCCGTCCTTTACGTCGACTTTCATCGTGTACATCGGCCCGAGTGTATCCCGTGAAAAGCATTGAAGCTGCAAGCCAAGCATTACTACTATGCATTAGATATTTGCATGAAATATGTAAAGGTTTTGCGCACAAGAAATCAAATTTTGTAATGCAAAAATCAACATTTGTGATGCTTGTCATGTAGCTTCAATGTTTTGGTTGCATACATCGTATCCAGGTCGTATTCGGTGCCGCGGTCGTCGGAGTACAAGTTTATCCAGGTCATTCGCATCCTGCACTGCCACCACTCCTTTCCCGGATCTTTCTGCAGTGCTAATTGCACCGCTTTGAACGATGATGGAGACAGCACCACGTCTGAAATGAGGAACGTGTGCATTTCCCCCGACGGACGGTGCTTGTACTGCGTTATGAAGAATGGCGACAATAACGACGACACGTCGTGCACCCCCTGCAGTACCGGCATCGCGATGTTGTCGTCTTCCCCAACTTCGTCTGCGTCTTCTACCAGCAGTTCGTCGTCGACTATCGATCGCAACAATCTTATCCTGCGAAGAAGGCCAAAGTTTTTGTATGCAAGCATGCGAAGCTTTCTGTTTCTTCGCAGGATAAGATTGTTGCGTTTCGATAGCATCATCATCCGGCTCGGCGAGGTTCAGGTGAGCTAGATCACCGGGTTCGATTCCAGCAGCCTTCTTCTCTTGTCGCAGCGATTTCAGCTTACCGCGCTTCGCCCGGATGAAACGCGATATCAGCACAGCAGAAGCCGGTTTAACTTTCGCCCGCACCGTCACCTCCGGCGGCTTTTCCACTGTAATCAGCTGGTTGGTTCTGTTGCACATAGCGGGTGCAAGTTTTCGATAGTCGCCGTCTTTTGTCAAGTACTTTTGCAGCACTCGTTCCTGCACCCCTTCGTAGTACAGTTTCTCGCGGTTCACGACAGCAAATTCCCGGACTTCTTCCTCCTCTTCTTCGCTTTCTTCGGCATCCTCATACTTCAGCTCCGCCGCTAGTAGCTCCTTCTTCTTATCCATTTCCGCTGCGATGATGGTGTATTTCGCTTTTTCGTCGTCGTCCTTCCAGGAATTCAATTTGTGACACTTTTCTAGCACGTCCGCCGCTGTCATCTTCACGTCTTCTTCACCGTCCTCCCACTGGTCTTCCCGTTTCGCATCTATCGGTCGTGTGCAGGCGTAGTGCCGTTTCGCTGCGGGTTCGCCGGTATCGTCGTCTTCTTGATCCGGTAGCAAGTACGGCCGGCATTCCTCTTCCACCACCGAAGCCATGTTTTGCCAGTCCTTTCTGTTTAGCTGCGCGTCCGGTCGTATGCGTTGAAAATATGTAAAATAGCCTCCTGCAAGTAAAAATCAAAACTGAAAAAGCACTGCAGTTTGCATGCAAAAAGTTACGTTCTCATCATGTCGTTGCACAGATTCGTCATGCCTTATGTAGTATGTGGTGCCTTTTCAGAAAAAAACCTGTAATGCAAGAAAGCTATGCTACACATTTTCACTTCATAACTCCGGGGATACTCTTGGTTCCAGTCTTGCACCGCTTCGCATGCCACTTGTAACGTCCACCCCGTTTTTCGCAGTTTTTGGTGCTGCGGTTGGCAACTTCGAGGCATTCGGTGAGGGATTTCATCTTCGCTTCGCGGATGTTCTGCGGCAGATTCCGCATATACCGCTGTACAGAGTGAAGCGATATCGACCCGGGATCCCCTTGCGTGTACACGTCGAACTTGCACTTGTCCAACTGCTCCATGGCCTTCTTCAGGTCGACCCGCGCGTTCCCCAACCATGTCTCATGCAGATCGCACTGCCCGTCGCGATAGAGAAGAATACAGCGGGAGATGATGAGGACGTGTTGTGCATTTATCCGCGCCAGCTCTATCTGTTTTGCATTTTAATTCTAAATATGCATTTCAACAGTCCTCGTGTCATGCTGGAAAATGTGCATGACAAAATGGAAAGGTTGTTTTATTCTATACCAGTTCAAGTTGCGCATCCGAAAGCGTCACACTTCCGATCCCGATGCCGCACATCAAAAACGCCAGATCATCCAGCACTGCCTGTTTGTCGCTGAAGTAGTTGTACGTGCTGACGAGATCCTCCCGAAAGGTTTGCTTCAATGCCGCCCGTCCTTTTTCCCGAACATTGCTCCGCAGCGTGCTACCATTATAACGCTCGATGGGGCGTATCAAGTGAAGCAAAAACCAACTCGTCACCAGGAAGAGGAATTGCGTTCCTGATTTTGTTATGAGTTGAAGATGTAAGTTTGTCATGCTGGATTGGCAAAAATGCATGATTTTTGCATGAGAAAAAATGTGCATTTGCATGCTTTTCTACCATGCACTTTGTGGAACCGTCGATGCATGGCAATACTATGTATTTGTAGCACCTGTCTTGTTGCGCATGTCCACCGTAAAACCATGCTCCAAGATTTTCTCTTGGCCGAAAGAAATTCTTTCGCCCAGTCCCGTAAAAATTCTTCCTAGGAAGAACGCGGTCGCCAGGGAGAGCTGCGTCAGACACGACATCACCGTCAGCCATCGTGTCCAGACCGGACATTTGAAGCCGCGGTACAGACAATGCAGCGCTCGCATGCATTGATGCTTGCTGTTTCGCGGGATGACGAGCAACTTCTGCCGCACACTGCAGTCCCGGAAGAAGTCTTTTTTTTTCGTGTCCATCGGTAGGCGGTCCAAGAAAGCACACAGCTTCTCGTCTTTGGGTGGTTTCTCTCCTTTGTCCCACGGAGCGAGCCATTGCTCCACCTGGTCGAGGCCGTTGTGGATCTTCTCCTGCAGCAGCTTGATGCTGTGAACCTGGATGATAAATATAGAAAACAATGTTGATGCGCATAATATTTCATTTGTCATGCGGAACGTCATAAAATTTGTCATGCAGAAACGAAGCAAATACTGCGTGGCTATACCTGTAACCAAAGCCTTTTTTGCCAACCAACCGGGTCGAGGTTCATCGTCCCCAGGTATAGCTCCGCAACCTGCTTCGTAACAAGGGCGGTTTGATGGACTTTACAGCGTTGCGTCCAAAGTACAACGTCGGACAAGTACTTGGACGCCATGAACAGGCCCCCGACATAAAACAATGTCGGGATTGTACTACCGCCGGAGTCCGTAACCGGCGACCATACTTTGATGGTGTTCTGCGACCAGTTACTGAAAAAAACTTCCGGCGAGTGATACGTCCATAACTGGTCTGCCACCTCAAAAGCTTCACTGTACCCCCGGAATGCTGATTTTTGGTTTTGTTGTCGTGGTCCAAAATCGTAGCTCGATGGGTACATCACAGTATGTGATGGCAGGAAGACGGAGCCCATTTTGTCGATGTTGCCACAGCAAAAAGTTATTGCCACCATGCTGATCATGACGTGGGCAAACACTTTTATTTTTCCGCGAATGCTATTCTCGAATAGCATGTTTTGGCACGTAGTGCCATCTATTTCGACTCGATAATGTACGAGGGAAAGCCTGCTGCTGTCGTTGAAGTAGGTCTGGCTGAACTCGAAACACGTCTCGACCAGCAGTGCGGCTAGTTTCCACAACTTCCTCGGAGCGAGGTACGACTGCGAGTTGAAAAAGGCCGCGCGCTCCTCCTGTTTTTCGTTCTGTTTCGCCGCCGCATCTTCTTCTTGCTTTTTTGTCTTCGGCGCCTGGTTCTTCTTCACCATTTTCCTACTCCGTGTTGTTACGCCGAAAAACTGGTGCGGAAACACAAACGACGGCGGAAGAACAGGACCGCGCCAGTAGATGCGGATGCAGTTGTTATTATATAGCTTTACTTAGATGGGATTGCGTGCTAGCAAATTAATTATTTTATCTTAGGTATGTGGGTATTGCTTAGTTTAAAAAAAAAACCTGCCTGCTAGTAGGAGAATAGAATATGCATTTTGTATTTCCAAAAAAAAATACTTGCGTTTCCCCGTTCTCGTGCTGGCACTCTTCCGCAGCCCTTCCCTCCTGATAGCGCAGCCAAAAAATCTCTCAGCCTTCTCTTCTCACACAAAAAAGCAGCTCGTTTGGTATTTCGAAAAAAACGTCGCTTCTTGCATGACAAAAAAATTACCGAACACTGCCTGCAATTATTGCAGATGTAGTTGCAGTTCGCAGCCGCTTCTCGGCGCAAGATGTTACTCGCAGCGACACTGCGAGCGCTTTTGTTTTGTGTGTATCTCCCACCGCCCGGTCGCGCTACCACTTTCCTACCGCTGCCTCTTCTACCCGCGCCGACTGCTTGCCCGGTTCTATTCTGCAGAGGAAAGATCTTGTTGCTATTCACGCGAACGCGAACAGGTGCAGAATCGTTTCCCTTTTTTACAAAATAGCCGACTATACACAAGCCCGCTACAGTTAGAAAGGAAAATCGATAAGCTCTTTTGCCGTACTACATGATCGTCGTGCTATGCATTTCGAAATGCATAGCACGATGATCATCGACAAAAGACTTTTCGTTTTTCTCTTCAGCCTTCGAAGTAGCAGCTCTGTAAAAGTCCTCCGCTGTGTGCAGCTGTATCTCAAAACCGAATACACGAGGGTCGACGGTATTATTTGGCTGCGAAAGTTCGCAGCCAAATAATCGAGTAACAGCTGCACGTTGATCAGTACTATTTTATTTGCGCCGCACATCCGCGTATGGATTGTTGTGTGTCGTGATTACTCATCGACACACAAGAATCCAAACCTGGGCGCTATGCTACGAAAATAGTACTGATCGCATCGCGGAAAAAAAACTTGTCGCCGAGAATCGAACCGGCGATCGCAAAAAGGGTGAAAAGGGACTGAGACAAACAACTCGGCCCCTTACCCGCTCGGCCAAACGGCCGAGCGGACTGCATCGGTCATCGACCTCGGAGACCCTATCACAGCCCAATACGGGCTGTGTACGTTGTCGACATTTTTGATCATGCGTTTCCGCATGATAAACTGCTTTGAGCGACACGACGACAGCCAAGTCGTCTGTCGCGATAGAAGTATAGTGCCGGGTTTCGAACCCGACCTCGCGAAGGGTGAAAAGGGACTGAGACAAACAACTCGGCCCCTTAACCGCTCGGCCAAACGGCCGAGCGGACTGCATCGGTCATCGACCGCGGAGACCCTATCACAGCCCAAAACGGGCTGTGTACATTGTCGACAAATTTGAAAATGCGTTTCCGCATGATAAACTGCTTAGAGCGAAACGACGACAGACAAGTCGTATGTCGCGATAGAAGTATAGAGACGGGTTTCGAACCCGACGCTATCGACGGCCAAAAGGAACTGACGGAAGCAGCTAGATCGCTATTCCGCATGGTATGGTGGAGGATCGACAAGTCGAATGACCACCATACCATGCGGAATAGCATCGATGCAGCATACCATGCAGTTTCGACCAAAAAAATGAGATGAGAAGGCGAAACCGCTATAGAAATGCACCTAACGACGTGAATAGCAACTTTGTTTCCAATGCAAAGTAGACCGTTTTTTTCCAAAATTTTTCAAAAAAAAAAAATCTCAAAAAATTGAGAGAAAATCAGATGACTTTTTTCATCTGAGGCGCCCAGCTCAACAAATGTTCCTGCCATCGCGCATTTGCATGACAAACTCTGGGGAGGTGGGGGCGTTTTTAGACAGGATACGAGAAGAAGAAGCAGGTCATGGACTTCTTCGACCTAAAGAAGTGGATCGAGGGCTTCAAGAAAAAGAAGGCCGCGTACCAGGACAAGATTGACGCGATTCAGGACCGCATAACCCAGGCCTTCGCGACGGCGGAGAAACTCCGCCAGATGGCGGAGGCGCGCGCAAAGGCGGCGGAGGAGGCCGAGAAGAAGAAGCTGGAGCAGGGTTTGGTCGAGGAGGGGGAAACGGAGGACGAAATGGAGACGGTGTTCATCGGGAAAGTGAACGAATCCCCGGCGAAGAAGCCGCTCCTCTCCACGACCGCCGGCGCGGGCGACGTGGAGATGACAGCGTTCGGGTCTGACAAACCCCTCCCCAGCGCACGCAGACAAAAATTCGACTCCGTGGAGAGCTCAAATTCCGCCCCTCCGCTGACCGCTAGAACCGTGGAAAAACTCGCGGCGAGCGAGAAGTCGAAGTGGGACGACATGCTGGTGAAGTCTGCTGGCGATGTCGGCGCCGCACCTACCGCCGATTCAGTAGACAGCATCACCGCGCCCACGAAAAAGTCCGAGGTGGTGGTGATTCCGGGCGCGAAAGCACTGGTCGAGGTGCAGGCCGTCACCGGGTTGTCGCAGCAGGGCCCGTTCGTTACGCTCGGGAAGCTGGTCCGCGCGATTTTGAAAACGATCACCTACCCCTTCGTGGTTCTGCTCAGCCGGGAACAGTTGTCCGCCCTGATCAAATCCGTCGCGGCGGTGTTCGGAACCCTGGGCGTCATGTACGCGCTATTCAGCACCGATTCGACGTTTTCCATGGTGTTCATCCTGGCGATCACCGGGGTCGTCGCAAAAGCAATCTTCGACGCGGGCGCGCGCGCGGCCACGCCCAGCGAGGCGGAGAAGGAGGAGCAGAAGCTGCAGCAAAAAGCGAAAGCGCTGCAGGAGCGAGCGCAACTGGAGGCGAAGAAGGTAACCTCCATCCACACCAAATCGGTCCTGAAGGACGACGGGTTAAACGCGAAAGACCACGTGGTGTCCGCGTTGGAAGCGTGCGAGGCGGTGGACGCGGCCTGGGCCAAGGGCGAGCACACCTTCGTGAAAATGCCGCCGGCGATGATAAAAACCCAGAAGCGGGTGGTGCCCGACGTGAACCGCGGCTGGTTTGAACTGAAATTGAACCACTTCGCGGCGGGAAAGCAGCCGGACGCGCAGGAGATCGGAACCAGCCTGAACAGCGACGACATGTTCACCATGAAGGATTACGTCTTTGACGTGTGCGACATCATCGTGGACACGTTAGGTTTGCGATTGCCTTCGGACGTAAAGCCGGTCAGACACACCAAGACGCTCACGAAAAAACTGCTGCAGGTACTAGAATTGATTCACTGCTAGTATCGGATGAAATTGTTGAATGATCAGCATGATGGTAACAGGATCACTGCGGGGGCAAACCTGGTCCTGAAATGATGATGCTATGCGAATGCAACAAAAATTCGCCAGAAAAAAAATAAAAAGATAAACTCAAACACAGGTTAACAAGCCTCTCGGAACTACCCGTGACCTTGTTCAGTCCTTTCCGATCCAGATTTCCGTCGAGACGCTCCGGGGCGAAGCGGAGAAGAACAACAAGCAAACGCAGGTCGCGTGCACTCTATCAACTGTAAAAATGTCTGGGTCTGGAAGAATTCATGTTTGTCATGCTTGTCTGGCATGGCTCTTAAATCTGTCATGCACGTTACCCAAGAGCTCTGCTTTTCTGTGATGCAGGAGCGCAGTTTGTCATGCAGAATAGGCAACACCTAGGAGCTCAGAAACTTGTCATGCTGAGCCAGCATCTGTAGCTTCATCATGAGACGCCACCCAGCATCACAAGTTTCCAGACCCAGACATTTTTACTTTTGATACACCCTGCAGATTGTGAATTTCGTGGGGAAGGGGCAAGCGGACCGGGCCGATAACGACAGCTACTTGACTATCATTTGTAAAAACGTCCCCACCCCAGAGTTGTGATGCAGATTTGCAATGACAGGAACATTTGTAATGCGCATCGACATGAGAGGCGTTTCTAGTCGAGTTTTGGCATTTGTAATGCTGTAACCAGGATGAGCAGGTAGATTTGTGGTGCGTTTTTCCTTGCTAGCCTGCACTATACTAGGGACTGCATCTTGTGATGCGTGAGTCCCAAAACTTCTGGGTTTGTGTTGCAAAATTTCCATCTTGACTCTGCTGTGGGGACGTTTTTACAAATGATATTGACCCTGACCGACCAGAAAACGATCGGCGCGAAGAAGGGCGCGGGCGTGAACATTGACACGTACAAGGTCGGCGACGACATTATTTTCAACGACTTGAAGAAGGGCGACCTGTTCGAAATCGTCCAGGACGAAGAGGGGGAGGAAGTGACGCGCATCCCGAAGTTGGCCGACCAGGGCGCCTGGCAGAAGGCCACGGACGGACAGAAGCTCACGAGCGCCGACATCGTCTACGAAGACCAGGAGCCGTTTGAAATCGCCGAAGACGGCGGCCCGGATTCGCCAACGGGAAGTACTCCAGGCACCGAAATAAACGCCCTCGTACGCAATTGCCGCTGTCTAGCACTACAGGCGGACCCTCCCCCATACATCACTTCAGTCAAACGTCAGGCGGGCTCTAGGGCCTTCGTGGTCGTAGTGCCTGGGAGATTCACACTCGCTCCGGAGCCGGCGCCACGCCCTGGGCGACAAAGCAAAAGCGCTTTGCCGACGGCTCGCCCCGAAAATAACTTGTGCCGGGGCGCAGTGTCGCAATGATTATTTTTCGCGCATTCTCCAGGGGTGAGAAACGCCCCGCGTCGGCTTTTGGATTCGGCGCCCCCCACATTGAAGTTTCGCGCCTTTTCGTGCTATGCGCTGCCAGGCCAGGTGCGGCCACGCCGGCGACTTCTCTGCCGTGGTGCATAAGTAATAAATAATCTGCCTTCTTTTGCGTACGAGCGTTGGCGAGGCGATTCCGCACGCGGGCCGCTGCTGCAGCGCGGCCTGCCCGGCTGACCTCTTTGTGCGTGGGATTCTTTCTCGACTTGGTCTTGCACGGCCATACTAGCGAGGGGTAATGGAATCAGGCGCGTTGTTTGTTCGTGGGCTGGAACCGCGGGCGCTTCGTCTTGCGACGGCGCCGCCTTCGTGGTAATTGTGCAATCCCTTCCACCGTTGGTTTTCAACGCATAAGCATGATCAGCGTGCGTGCCGATCGTTGTTTTGCGTGTTTTCCCCCTCTTGCGCGGGCGGTGCAGCAAAGGAAGTCTCCAAAGCCCAAGCCGGCGGAACGCGGGTAGGCCTGCACCGACCCCACCGCCTGCGTTGCGTAGTGCGATGGGGAGAGCCCGAAGCGCTCACACTTTTCGCAGAGAATCGCCTTAGGAAGCGCGCTGGCCTGGCAGGAAAGATGGAAGCGCGGGGGCGCCGCTTGTTCCATCTTGCTTGCCTTGAAAAAAGGCTCGGGGATGTTTGGTTCTTCCCTGGCTTTGTTGTCGTTGCCCTTTCTTTCTGCGGCCGGGGCATTGGTAGGTTGCAAAAAAGCGCAGGCATGGCCCAGTTGTCCGGAAAGGAGGCAAACCGTTCACCATTGCCCCGCATCGATCGGGCGGGCCAGGCACCGCGGGCGTTGCCAGCCTCTCACGGTTGGACGGCGGGGCGGGGCGTAGCTCTCTATGGGCGTTGGCATTCATGTTTCATCTTGTTTGTCTTGCTAGACAGGTCGTGTAGCTGCTTATTCCGTACGAGGGCGTTTATTTCGGTATATCGAGTACCATGCGCGGCGGCGGGGCCCGGTTTGAAATCGCGGAGGACGGCGGCCCGGATTCGCCAATAGGAAGTACCATCCGCGGCGGGGCCGGCACGATGATGAACAACTACGTGGAGGGCCAACACAGCGCCGCGCCAAAGTCCCCGCTGCGGGGCAAGAATTCGACCGATTCGCTCGACGGCGCGGTCGCGATGGAGATTTCGAAATGGCGGAAGCCGGCGCTGCTGGAGCTGCGGCCGGACGACTTGGAGAAATCAAACAGCAGGGCGACGATCTACGAAATTGAGAACACCTACGGGAACTACGCGCACGTGCCGAGGGAGCTCCGCGGCACGCCGCTGCCGCAGAAGCTGGTGCGGTTCAAGGTGCGGAACGACGACGGCGAGAAATTCTCCTTTGCGCCCGTGAAGCCCGGGGCGGGGCAGGGGCTGTTGTGCAAGCAGGAGGGGGAGCTGAGTTTGGAGGAGCAGAAAGCGAGGAAGTGCGCGGATTGGTTCAACGCAGTGGACGGCTGGTTCGAAGATTTGGGCGCGAGCAGCAACCTGCGGTCCAACGTGCACGCGGTCTTCGACGAGCTGTTTTGGGGCAAGGACACCATGACGCAGGGCGGCCGACCGGCGGACGTGAACAGTGAGCGGAAGAAGTTCAAGAAGGGCGAGCGCAAAGACCTCCCGAACCAGCAGAAGGGGCTTTTGGCGCGCGTGTTGGAGCGGAAGGACGCGGGGTTGACGGTCAAGGAGTATTTTGACTATTTGATGTACGGCGCAGAGGACGATAACGAGTGGCCGGGCTTCATCTACTGGTTCCGCTTCAAGCCGAAGGGCGAGCAGGAAGTGGAGCAATTGAACAAAAACCCGAAATTTCGCTACGGTGCGGTCGTGCCGCCCGGCCCGATCGTGGGGGCGCTGGCCAAGCCGGCGCTGACGCCGCAGGTGCTCCACGTGGTGCTCACCGACGCGGATCTGAGGGCCCCGGGCGACGTGGTCGACGCCTGGCAGCCGCAGCGGGGAGAGCCCCACACCGCGGAGATGTTCAAGCTGGACAAGGAGGGCTACAGTCGCGGCGTCGTGGGTCTGCTGAAGCTGCTCCCCGACAAGTTGCAGTTTGAACAGCCGGTGGGCGACGGCGAGGTGGATGCGGAAACGCTGGCCGACACCTTGAATTTCGATTTTTCCGACACCTACGCAATGTTCCCGGTGGTCAAGGACGTTTTCAAGATCAACCCCAAGATTATCCAAGACAGCATTTTCATATACATCACACAGCCCACTACCACTTTGATCGCGTTGCTGCAAAGTGACATTTTACAACATGCAGCAGCAATTGTATAAAGCAGAGTCCTGCTCTGATTCAAAAGAACTTGCCGAAGACCAAGTGTGTAGTTAACTGTGATGGTGATAGATGATTCTTTCCTCCATAGCCACCGGGGTGGAGGAACTGACAGTGACCGGAAAAACGTTGTACTTGCAGATGAAGGGCGGCGACATCATCGCGTTCGGGATGGACCAGAAGAATATCAACTGCAAATATGTCTGGGTCTGGACGAGGGATGCGAACTTGTGATGCTGCGTCTGGATTCTGCAAAAATCTGTATTACATGAAGAGCAAAAGAGGTCCACTTTTTGCCATTGCGAGAGGGTATTCGTATTTCGCATGCGGTATAGAAGGCATCAGAAATCCCTCACAAAATCTGTGATGCTAGGGCATGCATCACAGACATCAGGACTCATGATGCAAAGTGTGCATCACAAGCCTTGCATCCTTCCAGACCCAGGCATTATATTTGCGATGCATAAAGAAGATCGAGATGTGGGCGGACTTGATCGAGAAGTACCAGATGTCGACGCCGCAGCAGTTTATCCTCGGGTACGACGGCAACGTGTCCGAACACCCGGAAGACCCAAATCTGCAGATTCGGGAGGGCAAGCAGGGCTACCAGAAGTTCTACCTGAAATCGAACTGCCCGGGCGTGGGGTACGTGCCGAAGTCGCGGTACTGCGGGTCCTGGAAAAACCACAAGTACCACGGCGACGGGATGTTCTACAAGCTCCAGGTCGCGGAGAAGTGTCCGCACGTGGCGCTGTACCCCGGTTCAAACAACCCGTTGGGGCACAAGATGAAGGACGTGTTCCTGCTGAACGACCGCGAGCACCTGCACCACTCCAAGGCAAACTACGAGCGGCAGGTGATTATGTACGACGGGAACTTCGAGAACGGGCTGCGGTGCGGCAAGGGCATGGCGTTTTTTCCCATTCCGACCGCGAAGGGAAAGCTCCTGTACCGGTTCAACGGGGTGTGGTGCAAGGACCGACCGGTGTTGGGGGAACTGATGTACGTGTCCGGCCCGATCGAGCAGGGCTCGCTACCGCAAGAAATAATGGGGTTGCAGTTTGAGACGATTGATGCTGTAACTTCAGCTCACACAATGAATTTACTCTGCAGATGAAAACTTGCAAACCACCAAAGATCATCTGATCATCAAGGAAATAAAAACGTATGAAACCGCGCTCCTATGTTGCATATTCGGCACGGTAGAACTTGCCTGTGTTGCAGCTTGCAACAGGAGCAACGCAATGTGTGACTGTAACACCTCCTTTTCCTCCGCATACCCACCCACGATGAAGTACTACTTTGGCACGGTGGTCCCCTTGAACGCGGGGAAGAAGACCGGGGACGGCAAGGCGGAGGAATTTTTGAAAACGCGGCTGATGGACATATCGCCCTTCGAAGTGTACGCCGCCGCCTGCCTGTCCTGCGGGTCGAACGGCATGTCCCCCTCCCAGGTGCTGTACCAGCTGAAGAAGGACTACGCCGCGCTGATCTCCATCAAGTCCAAGAAGCTCGAAAAGTTGGCGGAAATGACGGAGCCGCTGAACGCAAAAATCGAGGAGACCAGGAGAACCTACGGCTACTACGACGAGCCCCTGAGCGACTTCGATACCTACATCCTGTCGCGCTGCCTGGAGCCGTTGAAAAAAATGCCGAACATCAAGAATCTGATGGAACCAGATGGCAAGGACTACTTCCGCGACGGGCTCAACATCAACGATTACAAGTTCACGCAAAAGCTCAACGTGCGGGATTTATCCAAGGAGAATAAAGTGTGTCAGTGTAACTAACTTGTGTATTCACTTTGAAGGAACAGGCAGTAAAAATTTCTCATGCATGATCAGCATGACAGACGCAAACGCAATCGCCTCCTGCACGTAGTTGCGCATCACAGAGCTACACTGGCAGTCTTGTTTTCGTGGATACGATTTTCACTGCGACGAGTACATCCGAGACGACCTGGACGTTTTGTACAAAAAATGGTTCAAATATGAGTGCTATGCATCACAAAAACATCGCACTTGGCTGTAGAATGCATTTTTACAAATTTCATTTTTTTCAAATGATAGACAGCGACTCAGTGTCAGCGAAATATGCAAAAATTATCTTCTGTCATGCAATTTCAAATGAAATTCAATTTCTAGCTCTACACTTGTTGCGATATGCAGTCCCTTATTTCCTTGGGATAAGTGCTATGATGACGAAGATCAGAACAGCAAGCAGTCCGGAACGATCTACGCCGTGGACGCGGATGACAAGACCAAGTGGGATTCGTACAAAAAAGGGCTGGCCTCCCTGGCGGAGGACTGGAACAAGTTCCAAAAAGAAATTGCTTTCGAGGACGCCATTATGTTGATGGAGATGGGCCGCAAGAAAAAGCCCAAGTGGATGAGCAGCCTGCAACAGAAGTCCTTCTGTGAGGACTTGTTGCTCCAGTGCCTCCCGGCAAAGGAGGTCGCTCCGGCCTGGTATTCGCAAGTCTCGGGATACGAAAACAAAAAATTGCCACGCGGCACGAGAAGGCTGTTGTCGGTAAAAAAATATTTGCATGTGCATGGAGTACGCTACTTAATTCAAACGCATTTACCACCTACTTTACTTCATCGCCTCCGACTAGGTACAAATTGAAGCTTCGAAAAAAAAATTTTTTGGGGCAATCCACCTATTTATCGTGTAGCACTTTTCGTTTTCATACGGCAGAGGTTTACGCGGAGGAGCACGCCGAGATGAAGGAGGTCTTCCGATCCCTGAGTCGCAAGCTTTCCGCAATTTTCCCCACCGCACCAGCTTTCAGTGAGGAGCTCTGGGAAAAGATGCCCAAGGTTTCCAAAACGGTCACAGAGAAGAAATATGCTTAGCAAGAGTGTCGCATTGCTCGCTACATTATAGATCATGACCTTTCACTTATACGTGACGCAGCACCACAATAAATTTCATTTCATTTCCTTCGGAAAATCATGAAAAAAGCAGCCGGCGTTTGCATATTAACATTTATCCGACAGCGCGATACTTTTTCCATGCATGAGAAGCTTGCGAATTCCTTTGCAAGCGGGTCAGACTTGGATTTGCCGACGCAGTTCACCTATCAAATGTAAAAATGTCTGGGTCTGGAAGATTGCAACTTGTCATGCTGATTTTGGATTCTAAAAAAATCTGTATTGCATGAGCAGCAAAGAGAGTCCAAGTTTTGCTACACGGAAAGAGCATTTGTCATGCGGTATAGGCATCAGGAAGCCCTCGCAAAATATGTGATGCTAGGGCATGCATCACAGACATCAGGAGTCATGCAAAATGTGCATGACAAACTTGGCAATCTTCCAGACCCAGACACTTTTACATTTGATATCACCAAATACATGGGCCGCTTGCTGCAAGTCAATGGCATCGTGGACGACGCGGGTCTGGTGGCGGAGTTCCAGGACGAACTGCTGGGAATGTACGACGGCCAGGACAAGGACGACCCCTGGACGCAGGGCAAACTGTTTGATTCCTTAAAAGACCGGCTCTGTTTGAACGGGTTCATGGCCATGCAGACTGTGGACGAGAAAAAACAAACCATCGACTTCGCTGCACCCATGGTGAACGGGCAGGCGAGTGGTAAGAACGCGTATGTGGCAACGAACGAGTTCTCTTATGCCGGCGATTACGCGGACGGCAAGTTTTATCCTCTGCAAAAACATCGTCGCACTCACGGTAGTTCTTACTGCAATCGTGCCTTACAAAGAAAACGACGGGTCTCTCAGGAGGCAACTCAACATAAAAAACTCCGTTTGCCATGCTGAGAAAACTATCCTAAGATTGAAATTTGCATATACGATGACTCACCCAGTGCTGCGATGCTTCTGCAATCCATAAGTTTGACGGGCAGGGGGTCTTGAACGTGAAAGAAGGCGCGCTGAAGAAGTTCCAGGGCTTGAAAAAGTACGACGGCGAGTGGAAGGACGGTCTGAAGCACGGGAAAGCGGTCATCGAACACATTTTACGCATTGGTGCAAAAGTAGACGTTACCGCAAGTCCAAAATTGGAATTGCACGACAAGCTTGCGCAGCATGCAGCATACAATTTGTGATAGCTGATTTGGCTCAGAAACGAGATGTCTCATGCGTGACTGCGATTGGAAGTGAAACTCTGTAAGATAGCGAGAACACAACTTTTGCACAGGATGGATTTCCACCACCAACGACGTCTCCAACGTGGACGGGAAATTTATCCAGTGCAGTTCAAAAACTACGCAGTTTCCACCGAGTTATTATGCACAGTCTACATGGGTAGGAAGTTTGTCATGCTGTGGCTCCTCATCACAGGCATTGTTTTATTGTGACGGCAGGACTGAAAGTGCGTAAGCTTCAGCTTCTTCTAAGTCCGGCACTAAACGACATGCCCAAGAAGCCACCCAAACTACCTGTCACGCGCGTCGACCCCCAAAGAAAATCTACTTCGAGTTTTCTAGCAGAAAAAGTCCTCGCCCTCGCAACGTATTAATTCTGCAGCGGGAACCAGGTGGAAAAAAGTAGTTTTCGCACAGGATAGAATTTGAGAAGGGAAAGCTCTCCGAGGTGACGAAAATCGTCTGCACGGGCGGGATCAAGAAGGATTCCTACAAGATGATTCAAGAAGGCAAGCAGAAGGTCCTCGTTTTCAGCGTGGACGGTAGCAAAAAGGAAGTGAAACTCACCGTTCCGAGCGGCGACGTGGGGAAACTAAAACAGAAAAACCTCGACATCAACGGGCCAATCGACGTGAAAGCCGAGGGCTGCGCGATAAAAGGAACCGTGTCGAAACACCAGCTGCAAGGAAAGGGTAAGGAAATAGGAGAGTTCTTGCTGCGTCGCGTAAATATGAGCCACTTCATCTTCTACAACTGCTGCATTATCAGCAAGTTGGCGTTGATACTTCTGCTTCTGTACTTCGCGAGAAGGCACGACCACTTGAGCCATATTAATATTTTAAGTACATTATTTCGTCACATCACACGACCCGTCAGGTCTCGTCGAGGGCGCCGGCGGCAAGTACGACGGAAATTTCGCGAACAACCAACGCTCCGGCCAGGATATCCGGTGCAAAAGTATCGTGCTCGTACTGAGTGCAGCAGTCACGCATGGGAAATCTTTTCTGAAAAGTTAAACCAGCACTACAAACTTGTCACGCTGAGCAAATTTGGCATGCACTTAGAACGAGTAAAGAGGCTTTTGCAATGCATACAGGGTGTCTGGACCTTCGGCGAGGAAGCCGTGTTTGAGGAGGATGCAGTATGAGAGAGCGCGACAATTAGTAGTCCCATTCAGCATCTTGTTTCCCCCTATTTGTCATGCGAAAGCTTTACAGTTGCACCCGTTACCTAGTAGCACTACGCTGCATGACAAGTTGAAGCACTTGCTCAAGCAGCACTGGGATTCATGTACTAAAAAAATACGAATGATTCACTGTCATGTCATTAACATTTCTAGCACCTGTTCTGTTGTTGGTCCTTCATCATGTTCATTCCATACGGAAATGAGGGGAAAATAAACTAAAAGGGAGCTGCACAACAGTTCTCCAACGTTCATACGCAGCCAAGGGCAACTACAAAGGCACTACCGTGACGTGCGATGGGGTCACCGGAAAGTTCGACTCCGATAAACCATATTAACCAGAAAAGTGTTAGCGATAATGTAGTTACACGGACTTTGTGATGTAGCAGCGCATGCAGAAAGAACTACACACGAAAAGAATTTGTATAGCTTGGCATGCGTGATAGACAAAATTTGTGATGCATGGCTGTCAGCTGTGAGAACCTTTACGCATTAACACTGTTTTGGTTGATAGGCCAACCGGAAAATTCAAGGTGGAAATCGTGAAGGACGGCAAGATATGCAGTGCAAATTTAAATGTCGATCAGGGTCTAGAATGAATCTTCATGTTGTGCTGATGCTAAGAAAGTACTTGGTGTGGAGGTCCGGAAGATCATTGACAGGTATCAACTTTCAAAAATCTTCTTACGCGACCACGCATGAAAAGTGTAGTTGCTGTGGAAGTAGTACGACTACCTGGCGTCGTACTTAAAATGAGCCGAGCGACGACGACGAGTCGCGTTTTTGCGCGCCGCAGACACACATATATATGAATGGCGCCACTTTAGTAGAGCGAAGACGCAGACCACTTTTGTCTCGTGTCAGAGTCAGCCTCAGCCATGGAGCAGAATGACAATATAATGTTTTGCAAGCTGTTTCTGCACCCAGATGTAGTTGACAAAATGTTTGCAATGCATACAAGAAGGTGGGCACTGTGAACTACACGTGCCTGAAAGCGGGCGACAAAGCTCGCGTGAACATGCTCTCCTGCCCGCCGGCCTGCTGCGCCGCACCGCTGCCCGCCGGAATGCTGGACGAAAAGTTTCCGCGGACCCAGGCCTTGCCGTTCGGCGCTGTCGGCGGTATCCCGCTGGAGTTCAACGACATTACAATTAAGGTGGAGTACCCAGCCATCACACCCTGGGGCGAGGCGCTGAAATTCTAGACGAAAAAAAAATCACATCAGCGTTTCGGTCAACAGCCAGCACCGCGAAAAAGCGCTGGTGCTGGCTGCAAGGATATATTTCGAGAAGGTACTTTTAGTACTCGTCGAGGTACAAGTAATTTTTTAGTCCTTTACTTTTTACAGACATGTCTCAGAGAAACACACACCAACATCCGTAGTTTCCGTAGTATGTATTGAACAAGAAGAAGAAAGCAAGTAGATATGATTTAGAAAAACTCCAAAATATGATTATCTGCACGTAGAAATTTATCTAAAGATGATCCTTACAGCACGAGGCGACTGACGTGGAAGAGAGACGAAGTCTCAACTTTGACGGCGCGAAACTAATCACTTCATCTAGCCATGATTTCTTTGAGTTTGAGCAGTTCTCGAGTCGGAAGGTGGGACTATCTCAGACAATCGCAGTATCCTGTTACATCATTTTCCTTGGAATTATAAAAATCAATACTCTATTGTGCTGTCTGAAATGAAGGGATATGCATAATGATAATCTTTGGGAAAGAAAAAACACGTGGGAATAGTGGGAATAGATAATGGTCGGGAAGCTTCCGATTTTGTGTAGCTGCAAAATTTGAATCAAGATGAACTATGCAGTTCGGGATTTTTCAACAACACGAAAATTCTTTACGTAGACCACATAAATATCGAGAAAACTTAAGAAAATTTTCCGCAGTCTCACGACCCCCTCCTGACTTCTTTATCTCTGCAACTGCAGCAAGAGAAACTGCATATATTTGTGGCTTTTATTCTTGCAGGGCTTTTGGGCGATGGTGTAATCGTAATGGGAACGGGAGATGCGAAGATTGACCAATAATCAATGCTGATGATTTTTTATCAAAAAAGTACGAGTTTTTAACCACATGACAACTAAGTAGAGAGAAAGTAACTTTTTCGAAAACGAAATCATCATGGGCGCGGGCGTTGCAGCTCTAGAAGCCAGTCAGAAAATGAAATAAACAGTGAATCAAAGAAGTTTCGATTATTCGTTCGATAATGTTTGGCAGAATGAAAATAATTTTATTGAAATTACATGAAGTACTACCGAAAAAATCAGAAAGAGACCGTTTGGAGAGCAGAGGCTTGTGACAATTACGGCGGCCTGACAAGAAAGCTTTCGCTTCTCCTCTTGGGAGACCGGAAAATAGAAATAGTGGCTCGCTTAGTAGAAAAAGTTGAAGCAGGTCGGCGTCGGGGACGCATGGCTGCATAGTATGCTTTTTTCTGCATGTTCTTGGTTGTAGTTGCGCTTGCGCGTTAATAGAAAGTACCTCCAGGCGCGCCCGGTCGAAGATGTCGACGATCGCCGTTGGAATCGAATCACAATCAGTGTATGGAAGATCGATTATTAGAACCGATCAGCGTTTTTGCGCTTCTCCCTGCATCGGCGTGATCATACGGTGGGCTTTTATTTGCCCCCTTTTTTATCCGAGACAGTAATTGCACCTTCCGGTTCGTTCGGTGGCAGCAGATCGTAGTCGAGGATATGCGTCGCGTCCAACCTGAAACGGTCCTCATTGATGAGCAGTTTGATGAAAATGGAGAAAAAAAATGTATCGCACCACCTCCACGGCGCTCTGTGCCGTTGAGGCTGATAGAATGAAAGAGATCCTATGACGACAGCGATGACGTTGAAGCGTTTTGTTAGTTTTGCGATTTCATTGTCTAATACTAATGGCGTGGGCCTTTGCCTAGCTACAGCTTACGCTAAGCATCTGTGGTTCCAAAAAAGCAACTGTGTCATCATCTTTGGGTTCCTTTCTTTCGCAGAACATGCGATCGTGGTTTTTAAGATCCATTCCGATCGTTGACTTGCTGCTCCTGGATTTCTACTCAGGCAGACACGACAGACAGCATTTCGAAGGATAGTATCGCAAAAAAGTACACCTACGCCCCCCGTCGCGTATCTATCTTAATTTGAGATGACGCGACGGCGTGACAAAAATGCAGCGATCTTCTCATGCGGCAGATAGTACTTGACGATCTTTGTTCCTTATTATCTTTCGGAAACTACATAAATGATGTCCGAGGAACCCGAGGCGGAGCAGGACGTTCTCTCCTTTTCGGAGCGCGTCCTGAAGCAGAGCCAGCACGCGCAGGCCCACTGTCTGAAAAAAGCCGCCGAGTACCGCCAGGACCCAACTAGGCTGCTCCTTGATTTAACGGCTCTACGAGAGACGGTGCTCTCGACCAAGGTTCCGGGAAGCCAAACGGGTGTCCGGGCGCTGGTGAGAGGCTGTGAAGCCCTTCGGAGATCACAAGTTGCAAGGTATGTCGAGGAGAATTACTTGCTACAACCCGGTCCGGCTGCTCTTCAACAAGGAAACAGCAGCGGTACGAGCGAAGAGGTAAATGCTCAACTGCAGCACAATCAGGACGCAGGTGGACCGCAGTTCCTTTACGACAACCCAGCACAACATGCTGAAGAAGGAACACCAGCAGATCCCAGCAACTTCACGATTCGCGAACTACTTCTGAAGTTCAGAAGAGCACTCCTCACGTTCTACCACTTTCTCGCGACGCGCCTCACACCGGTACAGCGAAGCGGGCTGCGATTGGTTTTCGCGTTTTGGATTTTCACGTGGCTGCTGCAGAGACGGTGGAGAAGGCTGCGAAATGCTTCGGAAATTACACGAACTGGAGCTACAACTTCTATTAAAGCCAAGAAAAATTATTTTTCTAGCGAACTGAATTCCACAAAATCAAAATCCCTCGCATCGTCCGGAGCAGTGGCTCAGCTCATTGGCCTCTCAACCTTGATGCATGACATCAAGGAGGGCAGGATTGAGAAAGTCGAGTTTCTCGGACCTTCCTCAGTCATTGCGCAGTACAACGATAGTATAAGCGTAGTTGACTACGGAAGCACTGCAGGAGGTCGGGGCGTAGCTGGCGAAACGGGTAGTGGTGAAAGAGGATCAGGAGGACGGACGATGAAAAATCAATTGTCACCACCAGGCCACCACAAGACCTACGTCCCAGCACCATCACCAAGCAACAAGTTTGCGCAGGCGGTGTTAGCCCCGGGCTCCCGGGAAGCGTTTTTCGCTTTGGTGCGGGAGCACGTGCCGCAGTTTGCTGTCGGCGAGGTGCCGCCGGAAAAGCTGGCGACGCGGTTTTTTCGAGGGTTGCTGCAGCTCGCGGTCCCGTCCGCGTTCCTGGCTGTTTGGTACCAGCTGCTAAAGTCGATCATCGATAAGAAAGAGGACTACGATCCCTCGAAGCAAAACCGGAGACAGTCGAACTTGGGGAATCCAAAGGACCGGCAAGTGAAGCTATCCGACATCACGCTGCCACACGCGGTGAAACAGGAATTGTTTGAAGTGGTGGACCTTTTGAATCACCCGGAAAAGTACCGCCACCACGGTGTGGTTCCCTTTCGCGGCGTTCTCCTGACCGGCCCGTCAGGAACCGGGAAGACGATTATCACAAGAGAAGCATACTACTGTTCTTCTCTGTATAGAAATTTGTGATGGCGAGGAGGCAACTAGCTACACAGATCATGAAAAAGTGTGTCACTACACGAGGCAAGACAGAGCATTTTTCGTCCATCTTGTGCTGTAGTTTTTTCTTCGGAAGCACGCAATGCAAGTTTCCTTTGTCGCGGAGTGGTTGTAGAGTAGCAGTTGTGACGCAATCGCAAGCCCAAGCCCCCTTCCACAAAAGTGATATGAAGGAGGGAACAGCCATTTTTTTTTTCCTCCCGATAACGATGGTGGCCCGGGCAGTGGCTTACGAAGCGGAGGCCGCGTTTCTTTCCTGTGTCGGGTCGGAACTGATCGAGCTCTACGTTGGCCGCGGGGCAGCAAGGGTGCGGGCGATTTTCGCGAAGGCGCGACAGCTCGCTTGTGCCGCGAGTGGTCCTGGTTGCGGAACGATAAGGAACGGGAAGAGGTGGAATTTCGGGAGCGGGACGTCGAGGAATAGAAGCAATTGTACTTCGTCTGCGCCGCCTATTACGCATTGCAAAACCAAAAGCAGAGTCAACGTACTAAATCATCTTAATTGCATTCACTACGTGTTGTATAGAAAAATTTGTGAAGCTGCAGCTGGTTTAGAAACTACAAGGGAAGCAGTACCACAAGACAGAACGACGTACTTCAGATGCAATATTGAGATAGGGGCTAGAAAGATGAATGCACGAACTGCGCGAGACTTCTGCAGTGGATACCTGCTACTCCCCTCCAACACTTTCTTCGGGCCGCAGCGGGCAGCGTCGGCGCGTCGAAATACTTTAGCATAAAGGCAGGGACGAGCCGCCAGCATGTGGAAAGTACCTCGTCCTGCGTGCTATTTTTCGACGAGATCGATGCGGTCGGGGCCAGGACTGGGTCGTCCAGTCGGATCGGCAGCAGCGGTCCGCACGACGAGGTGATTCAGACGGTGAATCAGTTGCTGCATGAACTGGACGGCTTCGGATGTTCCGCGTCCGACGACCGCGTGTTGGTGCTCGGCGCCACGAACCGGTACGAGGCTTTGGACAGTGCGCTGCTCCGCCCGGGCAGGTTCGACCGCCAGATCTTTTTGCGGTTGCCAACCGCAAAGGAGCGGGGTCTGATTCTGGAAAATCTACTCAGGAAAAAGCCGGTCTTGCTGTTTCCGGAGCTTGGCGAGACATTGGAAACGCTGTGCGCCGACGAAGTGATGGGAAATACGAGCAGCGGCGTCTGCTTCTCTATGAAATTGGAAAGGGAATGTTGATCATGTTGTGAATGTATAGTCATGTGGTCACGCAATACTGGGATGGTGAAAACGAAAAGGTGAAAATATAAATGAATTCATTTCTGTCATGCACGCGACAGACACGCTGAAATACTCCTCGCTGCGGGTTACTGATGTCCTCTTAGTTTGCACTGTAATTGTATCTCAAAACGACATCACAATTAGACTTTTCCAAGTCACATTCTCCGGAGCGGACGTTGCCCACATCGTCATGGAGGCTGTCTACAACAGTCTGCGTCGGGAACCGCAGATTTTGGTGAGGAAAATTCCGAAGCGGGAGAGAGGCGGTCCAGTTCCTGGCGCACCAGGAACATCAACATACACGAGTGCTACGTTGTCCCCTTTCGCCTTCGCGACATCAAGCAATAAATGGCGGCCCCTTGACATGTCCGTTTTGCAAAACCACCTCAATAGTGGTAGATCGGCGGCCGCGGCTCCTAGTACTGGCGCAACTAATGCAGCGGTGGAGAAGAAACCGAATGCGACGCGGCACTGCGGCCCCGGAACAGCCGCGGCGGCCTCGCGCTCCTCGACGTCAGGAGCATCCTCGCCGAGTAAATGTAAAGCGAAAGCAGCTCCTGCAAAGGGAGTTGCAGGCGGCACAGGAGCATCATCTTCGGTGACGACGGGAACCCCCGCAGCTCGGAGTTGTAACGCCACCACATCTTCCTCGTCGTCCGTCGAAACTCCGTTCCCTTCCTCTACCACAGCCACGCCCACCACGTGTTTCACCCCCGACGCAGATGTTTGGGAGCAATCAGGAAGGCTTGCCCTTGGCCGCCCCCGCGAACACGCAACAGTCTCAATCACCGGACTGGGAGCGGCCAGTCCGACGGGCGCTAGTGGAGGAAGCTACGGGGGCCAAAATAGCACTACGTACGGACTGAATAACCGCTCCCTGATTTCCCTAACCGGCACTGGCGCTAGAAACGAGAGCAGGACCCAAAATAGCAATCGACCGCGCGCGGACTCGACAGGCGCGTTTTCCGACACCAGTGGGAAGAGTGACGCGACCTTTCGCACACCGTCCTCTTCGGAATCGATTTCGGCGCAGGATGTTGCATCGAGCAGAAGGGGAAATGAGAGGAGAGGAAGTAGTGGGACGGACTCCAAAGCTCGTCGTGTTCAAGAGGAGCCAGGTCGCCGCGGGGCCCTAGCACAAACTAGCTTTTACAACATTGGTAGCAGTTCTGCTGGGAGCTCGGCAACCTCGGGCTCCCTCGCAGCAGGAGCGGACAGCGCCACGAATACCAATTCTAATTCCTCCTCTGACAGTTCCGACGATGATGAGGACGAAAATAAACTCGACACGTCAACATCCAATGCGGCAGCCAACCTTCTGTCTCGACTCTCAGACCATCAGCCTATCCTGCGCAGCTGGATGCAACGAGCAGCAAGCTTCGGCACTGCAACGGAGTCTCTAAATGCGGCCGGACCTTCTGGTGGAGTGGAGGCTCCTCATGAACTACAGGATCATATGACCAAACCTCCTCGCGTCGCGATTCTTTACTGCGACCTGGAGAAAGCCGTGGCTCGGGTCGCCGCGCAGGTCCGGACAAGGGCGCAGGGGGAAAGATGGAAACTCTTTCCCGGTGGAGGGGGTGGACAATTTGGAAAGGATGGTGAGAAATTTTTTGCAGAGGCGCTGGCTGTTTAAACAAAAAGAAAAAGAGGTGCTACTCGTTCAGGGACGAGGAGAGGTTTTCACTGGATCTGGAATTGGCGAAAGCCCAATTATCTCCACAGAGCCGCGCCCGAACAAGGCAGTTCTTTTTCATTTTGCTGTACAACTCGCGTTGTTCCCTCAATAGCATGACTTTCACAGGCGATGCCGATGTAGCCGTTGGTGGAATCCTCGTTCCTCGTCGTTCTCCAGCAGGTTGCTCTGTGAAATATCAGTTGTCGTATATATGCTTTTTCTAGTTAATAATTCTATTTGATGCGGCTTGTCGTCGTAGCCGAGTCCCGCGGCTCGTGACGAAGACAGAATCGACACCAGGCGGACGAGGACATTGAATATGAAAAAAAGTGTCTTGCTTGCTAAGTGACGTCGAGTGAGAGTGTGTCACAATTGCGATTAGCGCAGATCCTTCGAAAAAAAAGGCTCGGCCTTCGTGCCAATAAACTACTACAGATTAATAAATTTTAGAGTACGTTGCCCTCGCGAAGAAGCCCGAGACGGTCGGCTCCATTTTTGACTTGCTGCAGCCGGCTGAAGATCTGCATACCTAGAGCTTCGTTTTTCGTCGCTGGCGCCTGTCTTCTATATTCGTCAGACGAATGGGAATGGTCCTGATGTTTACGACATTTCTTGCCGCCCACCTCGCCACTTGGACTTCACCACAGTCCTGCGTTGGCCTCGTACGAGAGGCGACAGATGATAGCCCTAAAGTCCCACCTGCATCGTCCACGTACGAGACATACCAGGGTTTTCTCGACGGAGCAGCTGGGGATCGTTTTCGGGACCGGCTGGTGCCTTATTTGCTCCCTCACGCCGACCAGGACCAAGGAGGAGATCGACGGAAAGCCAAGTCACCTCCAATAGACGAGGCCGCGTTTGTGCACGTCAGTTTGATGCATTCTTGTCGCGGTAACGGAGAGGAGAAATCGTGTTGCAATCGCAAGGATGACGATGAAAATATCGAAGGCAGTAGAAAAGGCGCGAACGGCTCGTCTCGCGAGAGCACATCAACGATTTTCCGTGTCCTCGTCCTCGGGTCCGGTGAGTCCGAGCTTCCATGGCAGTTTTCGGAACACGCGTTTGAATGCCCAGCGCAGCCTTTGTCAGGTCGTAATCCTTTCAGCGGCGATCATCACCTCGTATTCGAAGAGGACCAATTACATGCCAAGGAGCAACGACTACTTTGCCTTGTGGATCAAAAGGGCGGCGCTGAGGAAGTTCTTGTCGGCGAGGGAGCTAAGAGTATGATGGGTGTTGCGAATGAAAAATGCTCTGCAGCTGCTTCTGGCGGAATAGATCAACATCAGCTTGAGCAGGTTGACAAGGTGGAGCAGAAGCGAAAGTCATCTCCCTGCTCTGCTCCCCCTGTCAGCATTGAAGTGTCGACAATTGAGGAACGCGAGATCCTCGTCGAGCAGGAGGACGAACCGACTCGAAGCCTAGTTCCATCTAGGGAAGCAACCATGACAGGAGCACCTGCTGCACCTGCAACAGACAGTAACAGTAGCATCAATCTTCTCGAACTCGACGCGAGCACTACCCCCGATGCCACACACAGCAGCCGTTGGCGCAGGCTCACCAGGCTGCGAGGAGATTTGTTCCATATGGAGGTGAGCCCGGAAAGACAAAGAGACGGTCGTGAAGACGACGATATTTCAACTGGAGCTGGGACGTTAAAGGACGCCGACGATGGAGGTTTGGAATCCAGGAGTTCGGTTCTGCATGGCAGTGACAAGGTGCTGGTCAGTTATCGAGTAGACGCCACAGAGGACCAGAGGGCTGGAACGGGAAAAACGTCGACCGGGACGACCTTGACGACCACTTCAAGCCCAAGCGCCATTCGTGGCACCAACGTCGTGAAGCATCAATTTGATCTGATAGTCGACAAGGGTGTCTTGGAACTCTACCCTGACGGGTTTACGCGGTATCTGAGCTCCACGGGATTCGACTTGTTGAAACCTGGTGGATTGCTCGTGTCTATCGGTCCGTACGCCCCACTTGTGCTACACGACAAGGAAAAAGATCTTGAAGGGGGAGGCGCAAATGCAAATGGAAATGGAATGCGACGAGATCGGGGTGGAAGCATGATGACCATGACACGGGAACAAGACATAGACAACTACGAACTTGTCGAAAAAGCTGAAGATCACTATCATGGTAGCAGCGCCGAAAGCAGCACAGACGACGAACCCGACCACCAGCTGCGATCTGAGGACAACATCGTCAGCATGGACAGCCCGCGTCTTTTTCAGCCTGAGTGGTGGCTGAGTGATAAAAACGCGCCTTCGAATTGGGTGAAGAACGTGACCACGTTTTCGGCCGTTTCGTGTGGCCGTGCAGGACGACAGGCTGCTGCTGCTGCTGCTGCTGCTGCAAATTCATCTTCTTCGGCATGTAGTCCTCAACCTCATAGAACGTCAAAAAGCCAAACAATAAGATCATGGCGTTTGTTGGGAACCGAGATTGTTCCGAATTCCAAAAAATGGGTGGCCAATCCCGACCGCTGGTTCATGTATGTGCTCCAGAAGCAGTGGGAGGGGGAGGCAGCTAAGTCTTTTTTCGCGGGAGGAGGAGCTGGAGCTGCTGCTGCAGTCAGCTGAGTGAAAACATGTTGAAGACTGCACGTACTAATATATGATCAACATGTCTTTGCGTCGTTTCACCACAAGAGCCTTCCGAATACTCGTCACAAGGAAGAAAATCCGACTTTCGCCTCTGTGTAGAATTATTCCACTTTCGCAGTCAGTTTTACAAGTCGACGCCGACGATAGGAATCCGAATCTCCAGGATCTACTTTCAAAGCGAGTTGTGTCGACATTGGCATGCCCATTCCGCGGTCTCAAAGATTTTAGTACGGACACGGATTTAGTGGAATTTCTTTAGTCGCTCAAGTTTAATACTACAGTGCGTCACGTAGAAGTAGGCGGCCACAAGGAAAGCGTCGTGCATGTAGTTCGCGATTCTGTTGCCGCAGGCAAACGCAATGGAAATGGTGTACTCCATGAAAAACTTTCTTTTTTTTCCTTCCCCAGAGCGGATTCGTAATGCATGATAGAAGCACGCGCACGCCTATAAGGTCAAGATCAACATTGAACATTCAAGAATTAAGATTAGATTTCCCTACTACGTGCTGACGTCAGAGATCCTTGCTATTTTTGACCTTCGCGCGAGCAGGTTCAGAAGGCATATTCAGTTGCACCGAGATCATTCTTTCAGGGAAGTGCCTACGACTACATCAAAATTTTCTTTGACAAAATCAAAATCTAAATCAAAAGGCAACATCACCATGGCCTCCCAGGTGTCCGCGACCTCTTCGTCACACGGCAACGCCCCGCCGCCCCCGAGCAACGCGGATTTCTTGGAATCTCTCCCAACGCACGCCCTGATCCAGGAACTGACGCGCCGCCACCGGATTCTGGGCGCCCCCCTGCGGAAGTGCGTCATCCTCGGCCCGCCCGGTATGGGAGTGACAGGTGGGGTGGGTCTGGGCGGAAATCCTCAAAGCGGATCGTGGGAAAAAAAGTTTGTCATGCGGAAATCATTTTTCATTTTCTTCTGGCTGCGCCATGATCCAATTCCAAGCGGCGGACGAGCAGGCGCGTTCGTATTCCTGCTTCCTAAATCTTTACACTTTCGTAAACTTACCGACGAGGACAGCAGGGGGCACAGGCGGCACACAAGAACTGTTCCTGTCGTCAGTATCATACTTTGACGAAATAAAGCTCCGTATCGGTCCATACCCATGCGCCTGACCCGCTCATACCATGGTCCGGGAAATCCGCGGTAGCCGACCATTTTCGCTACAACTTCGGCTACTGCTTATGAAGAGTATTTTTGGGGTAGGAGACTGCTCAACAAAAAAGAGAAAATGCCAAGTGATTTATTTGTAATGGCGCGTGAAGAAGTCTAAGCAAAATGACTCAACGAACACATGATCCTATGAACAACATCAACAAACGAAGCAAAGCAATCCCAATCCACTTGTCTCCCATGCGAACCGTTTTCTAATTTTGAAAGTCTCGAGTTTCCATTGGCATACTGCAACGTCTTACGCGACCATAACGGCGGAATACCGGGCGGTAGCGCACCATCATCAGCGAAGGAGAAGTTGGCGCAGATACAGGTACTGGATAGATTTCAAAGAGTGCTGCAATTAGCCTCCTTCTTTTACTTTTTATTGTTTTTGTTCCATTCACCGGCACGTGGTCCGACCATTACTTGAACTTGATGGTGTTGCTGGTGATCATGCAGTAGTGATTTATGACGAGTTGTCCTGCACCTGCTGCAGCTGCAAAATTATATACAGAAAGGTACTGGCGCAATTCTGTATCAGAAACACATGCAAACAAAAACAATAGGATCGCCTTTCCGAGCCCCAGTGCCGGCGAGGGTTCGTCGTCGACGGATTTCCAGAAATATGAAAGGAAACATAAACAATTCAGTCGACGAAGTGACATTTGTAGTGCAGAAGACCCTGCATATTTTAGTCGAAAAATAAAATGCTTGCTGTACCAGACGATGACCAGCCAACAGCAACAGCACAACTTCTGCTCACCATATTTGTCTGTGCTGCTTTGAAAATGCTTCATGTCTCTCAAGCACATGTATGTGGACCCAAGAAATTACTCATTTGACTACCACGAGCGTTGCCGCGCGTACCCGTGCGCGTACGTACCGTCCTTCTTGTTGTTTTCCTGCATAACACAACGGAGTCCAGGCGGAGATGCTCGCGTCAAATTTATCTGACAAGGCTATCCGACAGAAAACCCCCAGTTCTGCATCTGACGTAGTTTAGTGGAGGTAGTTGTACAGCTATTTTGCATGAAATAAGGTTCACGATGTCGTCAACACTTCCTGCATTTTTGGGTTTTGACATGCAAATCGAAGGGGCTCCTTTCGGCCTAGAGCCAAGAAAACCAACATCGTGGACGAGAGCGCCGCTACTTGCTAGCAAGCAATTTAAATTTTCTGGTTTGATAGCGCACAAGATAGACCAGTGCTTGATCCTGGACGCACCCACGGTGGAGCAGTTGCAGCAGGCCTTCGGTTCAACGAATGCGAGCACGAACCATGCGAGTAAAGCGGCATCTGGCAGCTCTACTGCGACGATCACGGAAAAAGAACTCCAGATCGCTCGCGAGGACGCAAACCGCGTAGCTAAGTGGTTTTTGGAAAAGAAAGGGGTTTTATGAAAAGAAAATCAAAATGTACACTTGATTGTAAATGTAGTTCAGTATCATCTTGTAAATGTTGTAGGCACGGTGGTGGTGGTCGTCCTCGTGTGATCTCAGTTTACCTTGCAGGACGAGGAACAGCAAAAGAATCACAAACTCGCGCCAGGCAGGGGAATAAATCTGTGTGCTGTGGGAGCGAGGGAACAACAAGTGTCTACTTCCCATTGCATACCTGCAGTGCCAAAAACTGGACATCTCCGGACTCTCGCGCGCGGAGCTGCTGCAGAAGGCAGGGGATGCGCTCTACTTCAGGGAGACGGGCGGCAGCTCATCCGCAACCTCCGGGGCGAATTTCGCGGGGGCCTGATGATAAAGTAGTGGATTTTCATGCACTTATGGCAGCTGACGCTGACCACGCGAAAAACAAGTCGCTCGACTACTTACTCTTTTTTTCTTCGTCCTCCCCACAGAGCGCAACTGTGCAGCTTTTCCTTGATCTCGGTAACCGCCTCCATTGCGACCAGTTGAGTTCATGATTGCCTTTCGACGCTTTACTGAAGTTTGGTTTTGAAAGACAACTACATCTACAGAAAGAAATACACGAGTTTTATGGGAAAGAACTCTGGTGGAAAATCAAGACAAAATACTTCTTTGGTGGAGGACAAAGATCTAAACGAACGACTTGTATGCAGTGCACAAGTGGACCAGACGAAGAAATACCAATAAGAAAAGTCCAAAATAGTGTATCGTGTCAGGTTCATCTTACACGGCCTTGTGCGTGATTGTCTCAATTTGATGCCACTGCTACACAAGCCCAAGCGTGAGGATGAGCCACTTGATGTTTTAGTAGCCAGCACAGCTGGAGCCTACGAGTCATGTCGTCTGAATAGAGTTAGTTGTACTTACCAGCTACAGAAAAAAAATCGGTTGTCCCTCCGTCACATGATTGATGTCATTCGATTCTGGATTCGGTTCGTCCAGCGTGAAATCGCCGTATTTGTAGCCGTTCTTAGAAGTGGAAGTGCAGCACCGATCTCGTACCACATCGTTCTGTCACTTTTTACGAAAAACTCTCGGTTTAGAGAGCAGCCTATTCCTCGTGGTATGTTTCTTTCTCGTCCTCTCACGTAAGTACTATATTCTCGAAAGCGTCTTCGTCGGCCTGCGTTCTTTGCGTACCAGTGGCGAGCAGTAGCAGAAGTGACCCAGGCAGCTGCTAGTGCTAAATGAAAAATGAGGCGACCTTCACAATTCGACGCTTTGGCTACCCGTGTTTAGTTGTAGGACTGCCGTCTGATACTTGAACTGAATACCAACCGACAATACTAGTGAAGTAGAAAGCCTTTGCCTGCATTCCCACAGCCTCCAACTAAAAACCTCTTTTAAACACCCCCCCCACAAACGTAATCAACGAAGTCGAAGGCTAGAAATAACTAGGCTTTTTCCGACTGAAAAGATAAAGAATACGATAAAGCCCCAAGCTTGATAGAGTTACACTATCATGCGCATTTTTTTTTTTGTTTTCGTTTTCATCTCAAATTAAAATTAATTAGATATAGCCGTGACACGTGTAGAGAGTGTCTTGCAACGAACTGACAGACACAATCAAATACGCTCCCAAGGAGCATGCAACTCCGCGTAGACGCGGCATTGAAATCCATCTACTTGACTCACGATGTACAGATGGAGTTCTTGACCCTGAGCAATCTTGTTTATAGTGCTAAGCACGTATGCCAAAGCCCCCGGTAAGAACTTCAGCATCATACCTCAATCACAATCCTCGAGTTTGAACTTAAAGCTAAATTTGAAGCAATGTGTGCCTTGCTGTTGCAGTGAAAGTTTAAGACGAAAAGATAGATGATCTTTGACTTGCCTATTGATACGCCTTCCGGGACAAGCCGTGCACAGTTTACACGGCCTGGTTGTAAATTTCTGTGTTCAGCAACCTCTCGATCGTTTCAGATCAGAGAACCACGGCCTGAAGAACACGTTGGGCCAGTCGGTATTCATTGTAACGGGATGGAAGAGAAACCTCTAGGGCTCCAGTAGCTCCTTGTTAATTTTCAACACTTATATGTATATGTGCATAGTAGAAACAATACGAATACCGAGCGAAGCATCATGGGCTCCGGCTCAATAAGTAGTTCCTGGTGATCGAGACGAGCGAGCGCCGCCGTCCTACTGTGAACGCGGCTCAAGATCCAATATGTAGTTTTTTCACTTGGCATCTGCAAATGGATCTGCATGATTATAGCAGGGATTTTTTCTCTTCGTTGGATAAGCCACACATGGAAAAAGAATCGGTATTTTGTTCTATTGTGTCAAAGAACGAACAAGCAGGGGGCTTTAAAAGTAAAAGAACTCAACTTGTGACTTGCGTCAGAAGTCCTCTAGCACCAACGCTCAGCGTCTCCGCCACCTTCCTAGGACGGAATTTTACAAAAACCTGAAAGCGTGTCGTGGCCGTGAACCTCCTCTAGAGCCAATTTACGTCGACCCCGCCGACTACTTTTATAAATTACACCAATCCTCTCGAAAACCAAGGATAATGATATTAGGAAACTGAAACACAGCAAGAAGGTTGCTCTCAGAAGATTTTTTGATCTTGAAAGAAGTTGGTCATGATCTGGTGTATCTATCAGTTCTTCGTTGATACTAACCGGAAAAAGAACTACTTACGCAAACACCACGAGTAGCTAGAGCTTTATTTACCGTAACAAGGATGTTGATGGTCAGTGTCGGTCTGAGAAACTATCCTGGATCCGGTTCTTTCAATATGAGTGGGTTGAGACCTAAGATCTCCGCTAGAAACGCTGCCTTCCGACTTGTTCTTTAGCATGGGCTGGGGTACTTGACACATCTCTCATAAGAAGTAATCAGTATCAGTTCTAACTTAAGTATAAGTTCAACGTCGCCTTTCTTGTGGTCCCTGACATAAATAAAAATCTGCTCCTCTTCACACCCACAGCATGTCGACCACAACCTTCCACATTTTCCGTTCGCGAAGATAATTGCCCATTGCCATACCCATATTTCGATTTCCATTGGTTTCGGGTTGAATGACCTAGACCTCCCTTCAATTCCAAAACGTATTCCCTACACCCAATTACAGCAAAACCAAAAATTGTAGGAACTACTGAAAAAAGTCTCATTAGATTAATACTTTTCAGCAATTAGAACAGTTCCTGCCGCGAGCAGTGTATTTTGCTTGTATGCAGACCGATTTCAGGTAGCAAAAGGAAAGTTGTGGGACCTTTTTTCTTTTCACCGTCGGGCGCTTATTCTTTAACGCTGAGAGAAAACAAAAATGGGTTACGGCGAAAAAAGCAAGAAGGAGAAGGCTGCCGATGCAGCGGCTCTCAACGACGCAAAGAAGAAACAAGCAGAGGAGGATGTATAGCTATTTTAGATTGCATCTTGACGGACAAGGACAATGTTGTGTCTGTGTGTCGCCTCATCAGTATGGTGATTGAGCATGACAGCAAATTCGCACCTTTCTTCTATGAACGCATTGAAAACTTCTATTTTCCCCACTCCTCTATCAGGCTTCCTGGACAGAGACGGATAAGGGCGCCAAGAAAAAGCTCGACCGAGCTTCTGCCGCGGAGGACAAGGCTGCTGAGGCAGAGAGAAAACGACAGGAGAAAAAGGCACTAGAAGAGGCCGACGCAGCCGCCAGCGGCGCGATTGCAGAGAAAGCAAATGCCAAGAAGAACAAGCAGGCACCGGGGAAGTTGACACAGGCGCAGATACAACAGAACATGGCCCTGATGGCAGCGGCAACGGCAGCAAACGTACTTATAGACAGTGGTGTAGTTTGAGGAATGGTGCAACTAGGAATAGCATCGTGTTGGCCTTTTACAGTTTCAACAGCAGTCATTCTCATTCAGAAATTGCCTCTGAAGATCTTGGACATTCTTCGAGAAAAAAACTCACTCTTCACCTAAACCCAGGCCGCGCCGAAGAAAACGAAGAAGACGGCAACAGTGGATGCGCCAGAGATTTTGCCCAACACAAACCGTGAGAATGACATCTCCGCTTCGAGCGTTGAAGATGCCTTGAAGCAGCTTTCACTGGAGCCCGGCAAGAAAATGACATTCAAGCAATTTGAGGCCGAAATGGCAGATAAGGTACAGCGAGGCATAGTGTGTTGAACAACATCATATCAGAATGTACCTGCGGGTGCATTGATTGGCATGCCGAAGCTTGTTGTCCATGCATGGTCCTCGTAATAGTCGAATACAACGTGAAAATGACCTATAAGTTTTTTGTGCATGATGTTGATAAAGAACCCTCCAATTATACAGGTCCGTGCGGAGAACCCGGGTCTGAAGCGAAATCAAGTAACCGACAAAGTTTGGAAACTTTGGGAACGCTGTATCGAAGGGAGAGACGTTTGCGCCGCAGAAGTGAATTTGAATTTGTCATGTTCGTTGTTCTCGAAAACGAAGAGGAAAAGCGAATACGTGGTGACAGAATGCTAAGCCTTGCAGCTGCAGCAATATGAGACGTAAACGTAAACTCGTGCAGCTGAAAGATACAGCGGGGCTATCAAGGACCACCCTGCATGACATTGACTAATTCCGATTCTTCACTTCTTATGCGTAGGCAATTTTCAGCTTGATATCTTCCCCGGTGAATCCGAAAAACATCCCGGCAGAAGCCTGAAGGATTTTTCGCAGCCTAGATGAAAAACAAGACACAGTAAATCGTCGTGTGTGCGGCCGTCAAGGAGCTGTAGTTCGACAAGTAGAATGTATGTAGTTTCACCCCGACGGACGTCGACGAGTCGCAGCAGAAGATAAAACGAAACGTACGCCGCTTCAAACGAGCTGAATGTGGTAAAGCTGTACCGGCTGTACCAGAGGAGCTTCCGAAGAGCCAGCGCGACGCATGTGGGCACCTTCATGGTGCACAAAGCCAACAATTCAAATAGAGAACACGACTCTCACTCACAAGGTGAAGAATGTTGGCAATCACACAGAAATGCTCACTTCATCACCATGACAAGAAACAAAACAACGCAATGAATCATAAGTATCACACAACACGAATAAATGTACGCTATTTTTTTATGAAGATGAAGACACTCTACTACACTCAGAATTTCCATGGAAATACCGCCAAGCACGCACCAAAACGACATAAGAATTGCTTCTCACTGCTGTGTAGAAATTGCTGTTGCAGGAAGGAGTATCTCTTGGACCCCTGTCCCGCGCTCGTGGACAAGAAGTAGTCCCCTCAAGAAATGAATCGCTCACGAGTGAGGTGCTGCATCTGATGTCATAGCAACAGAGGACATTGTGATCAAGAACGCAGCTATGTTTACCACGACCCAGCACAGAGAGGTGCAGCGAAAATGCCAAGCAATGTGAATCGAGTTATCCTGCAATGTACCGCAGCTCTTGGCAGCAGGAGCTGGCAGTGTTTTGTTCACGTGCGACGTCGTGTTCTTCCCAACTCTCTTGCGTTGTTGGCCACTGTGCACGTTGTTCTACGCGAAATCTGGATGAGATAAAAAGCGTGCGAGCGGAGACGGTGTTTTTTGTCCTTGAGAAGTGCACTCTTCTTTTTGTGTGAGAGATGCGTAAAAACGTGGTGCGGACGGAGTGCAAGTGCTTCGTCTTTCTTGTGCTGCAGCCCCAGAATCCCTCCTGCACGAAGAGCAGTAAAAAATCTTTTTTTCCATACGCACGCTAGGTAGCTTAGGGGAAGACGGACAAAAATGTACGTAAAGGAAGCGCCAGGACTTTTCTCGTGCGTTTTTTTGCCGGCACCACCGGGAGTCGCGGGATATCTGCCCGATCGCTTGCCTTCGGACCTTTCGTAGCTGGACGACGTGCATCTTGTCCTGCAAATAAACAACTTTTCGCACGAAATTGTTTCATCGACCAGACGCCAGGAGAAGTACTGGTCTGTTTCTGCACGGCCTGACTACTTGTGCTTCCTAATCCTAAGTGGAAGAAAGGGAACAAGATCTCGTACCGGTACTATCATCTCTCTGATTGAACATCGCTGTAAAGGAGTACGAGGTGGAATCCAAAGCAGAAGACCCTCAACATGCGGCCGGCGGACTTGAAGGCTGACGTCGCACCGGGGACGTTGTTTCTGCTTTTCCTCGTGGCGTCGCTTGTGTACTACAATTTGGTCGGCCTCATCATCTCGCTCGGGTACTACGACGAGCCGATAGTCGCCCTGATTCTGGTCGCGTTGGTCACCGGTTCCGCACTTCTCCCGGCATTTTTCCCAGTGGTGTTTCCGCTCCCGGCATTGAATGGAGTTTTCACTCTCATCGAAAACCGGCTTGTGGTATATCAACCCTATTGGAGAAGGAGAGCGTGAGCACCATCAGTTTCTTGCTCATGTCTGCGCCAAAAATGAGAATGAATCAAAACAGATGAAGAAAGTGAGGCTCTTTATCGTCCAAAACATGGCACACATCACAACAGCCGGGCCGGCAGAACCTCGGTATCGACCCGCAGTGTCTGAAAAAAGCGAACCGCCGCCTTCTCCACGTCGTTTTCACCGACCTGGCTGCGTCGTCGTTCCTCTTTTGCGCGGTGGGTTTGGTGAACCATTTATCGCTGTATCAGCGGTTTGGCTCGATCATGATGCCGGACCGAACCAGTTACGTTGACGTCGATCCGCGCACGGCCTCGCAACTCTGGGCCGACGCCGGGAAACTGCAGTTTAGAGAAGGTGCTTGAGCATGCTTGTCAAGTTGCAGTTGCTCGATGACTCTAGAGAAGTACTGCCTCACATGGTGCAGCAACTTATGTTTATCAAAATGACAAACAGGGTCTCGCGTCGACGGTTCTCGTGCGATCGCGTATCAACCAATCGGCGAACCTTCTACCTACTGCGTCGCCCCAGTGCAATATCAGGTGTAAAAATGAAAACTGGCAGGTTTGCATTCGGAGGTCCCCGCCCATGCACATGCTTCCTTTGCTCCCCGTCCCCGTAATTATTGGGATGCATAGGAGCAGTGCTGCTTACCGAAGAGTGTTGCTCTCGCACGGGAGTCAACAACTGCTAAGTAATATATAGCATGGAGGTGTTATCGGGAAATCAATGCAGTTTGTACCACGGGAACAGGACGGCCACACGGGCTATTCCTATTGAAACGATGTCTACTTTTTTACACGTGATACGGAATTTCAAAGTGTGGAGCCCACCGCAAAAGTGGAATACTGGGCGGTTGGAGTGGACTGCTGCAAAAGCGCCAACGTCTTCTCCTGCGAGGACAGTAGCCTGTTTGACGCAAAATCGGCCTACGTGTTACAACCGTTTCACTACATGGACAACATTCTGTTCCGCGCGCCGCCCATTCGCAAGTACGACCGCTTCCTCGAAGCCGTAAAAATGTCCGAGCTGAAATTCGTATCAGCTTGAGAAAATTTCCTACACGTACGTGACGAGTTATAGTGATTTCTTGTTGTAAGCAGGATAAGCAAAAGGAACGCGACGTGTTATCGATCCTGCCTTGTCCCGCCTGATTACAATGCGTATGCCTTGTTACCAGCATATTGCTGCTGCATGATCAACCACTTGGACTTGGACTCTGTCTTGAAGTTTTCGTGTTGTCCGTAGTTGATAGTGCATTCATTCACGTTTCCACTTCCGTGTAGTCGTCTTTTTCACGTGCATACCCCGGCCTAACCTCCAGCGACACGCCCCTGTTGCTCCGGTGGAAGAAAGACCCTGACGAAATCGAAAACGAGTTGGCCAGCGCGCGCACGTTCACGAACATTATGCAAGAAGTAATGGTGATCGTGCTGGCACTCGCAGTGGCCTGCTACTGTGCCATGGCCAAGGCACCGAGGATATACCAAGACTTCCTCGACGAAGACTACATCTTCTGGCCAGGAGGTAACTTTTTTTTTATACTTCGTTCGTCGAGTGTGTAGTTGATTCTATTAGGTGGAGGTGAAGCATCAAGTAAAGTCCTTAAATATTCGTTCCTGGTGATGTGTTGTGGCTAGTAGCAAAACTTTTATATCGCCGGCACCTCCTGCGAAATGTCAATTAACACTCGAGCGCGCTTGTTCTTATGCTACTTCCGTCTAAATTTATCAGGTAGCAAAAAGCCGAAGTCGTCAACCGCGCTCGACGCCACTATGATGCAAGGAGCCGGAGGCCAACTTGATGCCACGCTGCTGAACACTATGGAAATGAAAAGCGCTGGTGATACAAAACCGATTCAGATTGTGAAATAGGTGGTAAAGAAGTGATCCCAGCAAGCGCTTTCCATTTCCACAAACCACCGCAGTTCCATAGGCGCGGGGAGGCCGCCGGGAACCGACGCGTCGCTGTTCACGGGTAGGCAGACAGGAGGTAATAGTCCGAATGCGCCACCCGCGAGACCTTCTGGAGGTAGAGCAGCGCGACAGCAGGCCAGTATGGTGAGTAGTGGGGGCGGCGGGCCGGGTTGAGAAAGTCCAGACAAGGACGGGCACTGTTGTAGTAGCACGACCAGGAGCAGCTGCGTCAGTGTGTGATGCATAGTGCGGTTAGTAGTTGTACCTAGCACTACTACATCTGGCTTTGTAGGTACAGGTTGCTCGACAGAATCAGGGACAGGGTGGGGCCGTGGTGGCCGCGTGGTTCTAAACACTACGTTGTCCTTGTCGCTGAAGATTGCGTGATCATCCTCTCGATTTGTCCTCCAGAAGGCGAGCACAGTAATTTAAATTTTCAGATTACTTCTGACTTTCGCGTTCACCTGGGACGAGGTCGCGTGTTCAGTTTGGCCTGTGTCGCTGTTGTTGAGCGCGTGGATCCTCGGTGCCAGTCCTGGAAAGGCTACAGAATCTTCACACTTTTGGCCGCAATCGGATTCGGCGATAAAGGGTCAGTGTGGTCGTGGGATCCTGCAAGCCAAAGAGTGAACATCCTAATGTCCTCCAAATTCCTTCTTCCATAATCGCTCGAAGCCTTGCTGGAAAACAAACAATCACAAAACATGCACATCAAAGAATTAGAGACAAAACCGATAGAGCTACGGTTCCAATAAAAATAACCATGTCCATCACCGTCGGGCGGCCTCCGCCTTCCTCGGAGGCTGCTGGGGAGCAAGACGCCGGCAACAAGAAAACCGGCAAGGCGCTGAGAGAACTGAAGGAAGTGACGGTGTTTTTCCTCTTGGCCGTGGCGTTTGCGTACTTCCTCCCCCCGGCAGCGAGTCTAGTCGGCGTTGTGCTCTTGTTTGCGTTCTTCGGACTCGTTTCGGAGACGTTTTTCTGACGATTGTTGTTGACAACATCCTATTTTTCGGAATCGGACCCAGATCTTCGTCTTCCTTCCATGAAGATTCTTTCAATCTACTTCCTCTACGGAGATGGACATTGCAAACCGTAGAACGGCCACCTCCCTTTGGATTTGCAAAATCTAAGAGCGCCATCGAAGTGAGCCCTTTGTTGTCTCCGCAAGGACCGAAGTGTCAACATCGTGAGAAAGTTGTGTTTTCCGTGTCTACTTTGTCTATCGGTACCGGTGTGCAACGTTCAAGAGTCATGCAGAAGTCGAAACAAACTATTCGGTCGCAAAGTAAGCACTTAAACAGCATGAAGACGACGCTCTGGTGGAGGTCCTTCTACTCGGTCTTTTGTAGATAGAAGCACTCTAGTATGTACCTTTGTCCTCCTCGGTCGTGGCTTGGTATTCTCCACCTCGGTTGCTTTCGGTCGATGATATCAACCTTTCCCGTAAAGATGTAGAGTCGGTCGTTCTTTATGTTAACATGTATTCTCGTTCTCTTGATAGCAAAAGCAATATCCGACCACACGCACGAACAGGATCCGGAAGGAAGTAAACCCTTTAAAGTTTGTCAACCGCTGCAAACGGCAAGAAGAAAAAGTAACACTGTAAGCCTGAGAGGCAGAACAACTTACTACATCAACTATCTTGTTGTAACGAACAGCAAAAGTAGGACGAGCTGCAGTTCCCACTGAAGACAAAAAAGGCTGAACAAAAAAAAGGTATGTCGGGTGGACACGGTGCAGCCCCGGCAGCGCCGGCAAAGCCGAAGAAGACCATTGCGGGTTTGTCCAAAAAGGTTCCGTACAATGTCGCCCGCTGGCTTAAACCGGACCTGGTTTCAGGTACAGTGCTATGAAGTCTAACCGGTGAAGATGCTCGTGCATGTAAGATTGAAACATCATTTGTACTTTTCTTTTTCATGATGCCTGATTAATTATCGTAATCTTGATTATCGTAATCGATTTCATCACCCTGATCAACCCTTTATCACATTACAGCGGAGCCAAACGTGGCGGAGACTCCGTTCTTGCAAAAGGCCGGAAAGCGGCCGAAAATCGTTATCAAAACGCATATGGAGCGCGTCTATGTGCCGTAAGCGGACATGAAATCGAAGCGCACCGGAGAAGAGCGCTTCATGCTCGGAGCAGTGCGTCACACTTTGATACGTCGCAGTGCTGTTCAGCATTCATGATATTTTTCATATATCTACTTCATGCTCCGGCTTTCTGTAACACTACCACCAAGTTGGATAAATTTTGCCGTTCGTTGTATCCCAATTCATTCACTCTTCGCATTTCTTGCCGACGCAGGACGTCGGGCCCAACTTCCAATAAACGTACATTCATAGACGAGTGATCTTTTGTTAAGTAGTACTTTTGACATGCTCGTCTCAGTGTCACCAAGCTGAAGGCAAATCGACTACGTATTAAGAGTAACAACAGCGAACATGCAGGTGCTAAAGCTAATCTTACAAGCCACCGAAAAAAATATCATAGTGGAGCAGGGGCGGCGGCGGGTCCGACGATCATAAGATGCAAACCTGGACGTGGATGAAGTGTTCCTCGCAAGAACGACGGAAAGATCAAGAGCAGTCACTTCTTAATCTTATCGAGTTTCACTTTCATCTCCCACCAGAAACGCAGCTACATCGCGTCTCTCTATTTTCGTCGTTTTCTCGTTTGACGACTTTCGGTGTGGCGTAACAAACAAACTCATATGTCGTTCCTCGGTAACCAAATGAAGTGACAGATGCTACACGGAATAGCCCTCGGTTGGAACAGGCAGCACAGGAATTGCATCGGTTATTCGTAAAAAAAGAGCAAGAGCAGCGTCTTCGGATTCGGTATGGAAATCGCATGAAGAGCACCGTGCTGGGACAGCAAGCGGTCCCTATTTATCGGTTTTCGACTCTAACTTCTACTCTCCACTCGATTTCTCGGCTTTTCCAATCTTCTACTTACCCGCAATCGCCGTAGCCGGTTACGAGCACGACCTGTTTTTCTGATCAAAGACAAGACGAACGATGTTAACTCCTTGCTGTGAAGTACTGCAGACCGTCTTTCATCTTCCGTATTGTTCTTTTTTCATTGGATTGTAATCAACAGAGGTCTATCTCTACCTCATGAGCACAGCTGCTTCCTGGTAGCTGTTGCTCTTTTGTGTAGTACCCGACCAGCACTACTTAATCCGAAAGAAGCTATTGCTATTCGAATATTTATCATCACCTCGCATCAAATGCAATTCTTTATTTTTGGAAATGATTTTCATTTTTTTTTTCCAAATTGTAACTTCTAGTCCCACCGAATAAAACGAAATGGAGCACAACGTGAACAATCTCCGCGACGGTATTTCCGCGGTGTACGCGAAAAGGCGTCACCGGTACCCGCCGAAGTACCAGATGCTGGCCAAGCAGTGCGTGACGGACTTGCAGCAAACCTTGAAGGCGCGGTCCGCGGTCGCAACCTTCGACGACGACTTCTCCGATGACTCGTCCGCGACAAAAAATCCCAAGGAGCAGCGGGTGCAGAAGCTCGGCCTCACCGCGGACACGGTGAAGCAGCAGTTTGCCGCGTGGATGGAAGGAGGCGCGGCCATCCGCTACTTTCGGGATGAAATTACCAGCGAGCAGGCCGCGGCGAACAAGGTCGTGATCACTGAGAGCAATAAGAAGAAGAACGAGCAGGAGAAGGAGCAAGGTCTCTCTGTTTTCAAACTTGAAGCCGACGGCGGAGTGGTCAAAAAGGCAGCAAACAGTAGCTCTGCCGGGATTAAGATGATGAACAAAGGCACCGCAGATAGTACAACAGCCAGCACTAAAATGGCGTCTACGTCTACATCGAAGGGGAAAGCCGGTTCTTCTGGAGCTGCGTCGTCAAGTTCTGGTATGAAAAAAGCAAAAGAGGTGAAGAAAAGCGCCAGCTCGGAGAAGAAAATGAAAGGAGCGAAAGGATCTAGTAAGTCTATGGCCTCCGCCTCCAAAAACAAAGCTCCCGCCATGGGGAGCAAAATGGGGAGCAGCAGCAGCAAGCCAAAATCTTCGACCTCTATGAGCAAAAACAAAATGGGCAGCTTGGCGGCGATGAAGAAGGCGGGAAAGAAAGCTGCGATGAACAGCTTTTCCGCAACTTCCTTCGCCCCAGCTACGAGAGCTCACACAGCAGCTTGTTCGACATCAACCAAAAGCACTTTCCTATTCTTTTCCGGCGCCGAAGAAGTCTCTAGTTCAGAGGAGGAAGAAGATCTGGACTTTCCAGCAGAAACAGGGATCATTCTTGGGGCTAGTAGTTCTTCTGCGCAGAAGCCGCGGACCGCATCTTCAAGCCAACTACCGCAGCAACGCTCTTCCTTGCAACGGGTTCCAATCGCGAAGACGGTTGCGAAGACATCCGCTTTCCCGGCCAAAAATCCAAACGATAATATGGTAGCTGGTGCACATCAGGGGGTTCCTGCTTCCAGTAGCTCATCCTTTTCCACCAACGCGGCCTATGGAGGTCTTGGACCTATCATGAATCTGCAGGAGCGCAACCCAGATCTGTACAACGCAAACAACGCAACCAGCAGCCCTTCTACCGCCATTCAGCCGATTCAAACGATCAACGGGCAGGTCCGACACTTCTGCCTGCTTTGCGGCGCCAATTTCCGGTCGCAAAACACGCTGCGCCGGCACGTGTGCCCGAAGGCGAACGAGGAAGCGGGACAGGCCCGGATGAACCTGCTGGACACTGCCCGGAAAATCCACCTGCTGCCCGAGCGCGGCCGACTGGAGGAGGCCCAGCTGCACCCAGCCGCCACGACGGCGTCTGGCGCGAAGATGCTGCTGACCGAATCGCGCGCGAGCCGACCGGACGGCACCGTCCAAGACATGGGCGTGTACCGCGCAAAAACCTCCTCCCGGAGCAGTCACCGCGCGCATGGCCACTTCTACCCAACAGCCGGAGGTGGCGCAGGTATCAGCAGCAGCGGTGCTCCTGCACCTGGTTCTACTTCAGCGGGAAGTAGATTCTCCCTGTCTGATCAAGCTGGCAATACCAATATGACTGAACAGCTGGACAGGAAGATGGTCGAGGCCTTCGGGAATTTGAAAATCAAATTCAAGACCGAGCACGACGTGCGCACGCACCACCAAAAGGACAAGCAGTCGGCGAAAAAGAAGTCGCAAGCCGCGGACTTTTTGCGACAGAACGTTGTGCACTTGGACGATTTCCAGGCCACTTCGGACGATGAGCACCACATGGACGAAAAGAGCGACCCGCTGTACCAAAAAATGATAACCAACCAGCACCGGGTCAGCATCACAAACTCAAGCGGGGGAGTGAGTGGAGGCAGTCCCCCCCGGCATGAAGCTACTGCTGGCTCAACTAAATCCACTTCGTCTTCCGTGAAAGTCTCCTCTACGTCGAGCAAACAACACGCAACCTCCAGTAGCCCACCGGCAAAGGAGCTGCCAGAGTTTTGGAAGCAGAAACCCTCCGCATTGGAGCAGCACGTGCAGAACAAAGCGAGTGGAGGTAGTTCTCCGCTGACCGATTTGCAAAAAGAAAAGTGGACGATCAATCTGGTATCGCCATTGCTCGAGAAAACCCGGAAGCTAGAGGCGCACGTGCCGAGCTACCAGCTCACTGGGACAGCAGCTGCCACTGGACGCACTTCTTTGAGCGGTAAAATGAATGCAGAAACTTCTTCTCCGAAAGGAGGTGCAACTGCAGTAGTCGCGGTTTCTTCATCCTCTCCACAGCGCGACTCCACCGGTTCCACTGGTGGTCGTACCAGCGTGCTGAAACACCAAGCGACATCGTCAAGCGGAGGTCGCGACTCGCGGACCAGCCTTGTCCAAGTTGTCGCGACTACTAAAAATGCGGCTCCTTCCCGAGACGGTGTTGAAACTAAACGCGACTCCCTTCGGAGCAGCGGGAGCCGCGGGAGCACCTCCAGCAGTCCGGCCTCCTCGCCGAAAATGCTCAACCAGAAGCTGCAGGCAGCCGGGAAGAAGGAGAAGTTCGTCAGCACAGGAATCACTGCTGCGCGGCCTGGTACTACTTCTACACAATCTCCAAAGGTGGACAACAAGAGCCCGAGGCTGCAACTGTACAAGCGCCCGCGGATCTCGGTGGAATTGCCCCACATGAGCGAGGCAGAGGAGAAGAAACTCATGCAGGAGCTGGCCCTGGAGGCGGAGCAGTCGCTCCGCGACGCGAAGAAGGGGAAGCAGAAGAACATGGTGCGCGACGAGAACTACAGCCCGGCGGAGGCCAAGAAACGGCGGAAGATGCGGGACGCGAGCGAGCAGGCCAGCCTCCAAAAGGTCATCAGTACCATCGCCGCTTCCACCGGTGTAGCAACCAACGCCGGCGAAACCACGGCGACGGAACCCCCCTCAGACCAACCGTACAAGAAGAAGATGAAAGCTACCGGAGGAGGTACGGCCACCGCTAGCAGCAGTGGTGGAACTGCAATTTCGAAAACCGGCGCGGCCGCAGCTCAACAAAGTTTGAGTCTTCTGTCGCCCGCGATGGTGGCGGTTTCGGAGGAGAAAGTTTGGTACATGTTTTGCCAACTGCTATTGGACAACATGCGCGAGGCGCACTACGTCGCGGTGTTTTGCCTCACCAAAGAGTTCGCGCACACCTGGTCTCTGCACTACAGTGTGGAGATGTTGTTTGACCTGCTTTTGCAGAAGAAAACCTTCGCGCCGAGAATTGCGAACTCGTCCGGGGCGACGGGGGGCGGCACTGCCTTTAACGCCAACAAAGGCGGGGAGGAACAGGACGTCGAGAGCGGCAATTACACCCGCGGTGAGCTCTGTCACCAGTACCTGCAGCCCGGGACTGCTAGTGCGCAGCTGCATGCGCTGGCGTTTCTGGCACAGTGGTTTGTCGCGCCGGCCGTTTTGCGGTTCGAAAGTGCGGAGCGGAGCAAATTTGAGAAGACGCGGGCTACGGCTAGTAGTAAAAATGCAAGCAAGGCGTTTGTCAATGGGAGGTCCTCGTCAAAACTTGAAGAAGAAGCGGAGAACGACCAGCAGTCCCCCGCCTTCGGCTCCTATTCGCTGAAGCGCCAACGCTCGCACTCGCAGAAAGACGAAGAAGATGTTACTGGAAATTCCGGAATGAACCGAAAAAGTAGCAAGCACTCTCTATTCTCGTCTGACGAGGACGAGGCAGGACAATCGGGCTCGCACCAGATGACCAAGAAGCGCGCGGTCAGCCCCTTGAATTTCGACGGCGGGGGTAATATTAAATCCCTTCCTGCATCAGGAGACCCCCACACCAAACCGCCTCTCTCGCCCCGTTCTCTGGCGCTACAAGCACACGCCATGACGGCGGTAATGGACGACCTGTCCCCGGTCCCGCAGTACCAGGGCCTGGCCCCGTCGGTGCAGCTGGAACTGAAAAAGTCCGCGGCGGTGACGCCGCTGCTGCAGCACCAACTCTCCCCGCGCGGCCTGCAGACCACCTTGAAAGAGGAAATGCGGACCATGACCAGTCCCCGCACATCACAAGCCATTCGGGATGAGCTCGTCATGAACAACCGAACTACAGGAGCTTCTCCTGGGCGGGCGGCGACGTACTCCACGGAGATGAACAAAAGCTCGAACACGTCGACCAATGCGCTCGTACCGACAAGCACCAGGGCAGCTCCTGGAGGGTCTACTGCTGCTCCCGGTGGTGGTGGTGGTTCCCCGAGCAGACTGATGACGGTTTCCCCCAAGAGAGATGCCCCGACCGGCTTCTCGCCCGCCAAGACCCGGCCTTTCAACGAATTCGATCAGTCCTGGCAATTCGGAGTGGGACACGCGATGCGCTGGAACTTGACGCACAAGGACTCGCCGATGAAAAACCCGTGGCTCGCGACAGTGCCGATTAAACTGGTACAAATTTTCCTTGTCCTTTTTTGTACTCGTTTCGTTTGATGATAATTGCGCTTTGATGTCGTGATGTCGCACTCGCACTTGTTGAATGTCAATTTCTCCACGCAGGAGAAGTCGCCAGTAGAGTACGTAGTCAACATCGGATGTTGAATAATTCGGCCAATGACAACGCCAGGCGAAAGTCGTCTCATTTTATTGACAAGATAAAGATGCCGGTGTTTTGCGCTGTGGTGCCCAAAATGAAAATGATGATCCAAATTTGATTTATTTTTTACAGAGCACATTCGACCAGTCCGTTCCCATGTCTACAACCGCTTCCCGTCAAGCCAGTCCGCAGTTGCGGCAGACGGCTTTCTCCTCTCCTGTTCCTCAGAACAAAGCAAACCCGTCCTCCCCCGGTGGGATTCTGTTTCAGGCTATGGAAAATTCGCAGTCACCGAGCAGACGGGACACCCCGTCGGTGTCGCCGATCAACTCGCCCAGGTCCGTGTTGGGAAGTGGAGCAGTCGCTGGGACGACGACCACAGGAGGCGTTAATAAGAATAACAGCATGATGATGTTGAAGCAAAGTAGTCCGCGACCTTCCCCGCGCTTGAGCAAGTCGCCGACCATTCGCCCGGGCCAAATCGCAGCGGAGGTCATCACGCAAAACAACAAGCAGAAGTGGCAGAAGTTTTACTTCGAAACGGTGCTCGAGTGCGACAAAAACTTGAAGTTCGAAAACCAGAAAGTTGACGGAACGCAAGCAGAGGGGGCTGATGCAAGTACTTCAACTTCTATCAAAGCCGTGAACATCGAGTCTGTGGAGAAGTATTTCAAGCACCTGGTTTGCTTGGATCAGTGCGAGCAGTACCTCCTTCCTATCCTGTGCAAAAGTATCGTACTCGTATAAATGCAAGTCTTACATTACAAATCTTTTTCTTAAGGTAAGTCCGCATATACAAATTTTCTTTCTCATGCTGAGAAAATTTGTAATGCATTTATACGAGTGCGATGCTTTTGCAATTCATACTTCCCTTCAAGTACCAACAAGGAAACAAGGTAGATGCCTTTAGCGCGTCCAAGCAGCCTCTGGTGGAGGCGTATGACGCGGCCATTGCGTATGCAATTACAAATAATTTCCTGCACACGTACAAAATGCATGATTAATTTCGCTACCGCAGATGACAGAGTACTAAGCCACTTGTCTGCTGCCTGAGTAGGATTCAAGGCATGTTTTGTCGTGCAAAAAGAACTACATGTACATTTGTACGTGTCCGGGAAATTTACCGTGGATATTGCGAACGGCAACGGGCTGTTTCTGCTGGACAAGTACCTGATTCAGCATAGCAGCTCTCCTATGCATGGCAAAAGTATCGCACTAGTAGTGGTCAACAGATTAATTGCAATTATACGAAGTGGTTTTCGAAAAATAAGAAAAATTCAACTTTTGATGCTGACCCAGCTACACACGACGAAGTAAACTTCTTGTCATGCGTCTTGTTCATGATTGCGATTAATACGTCGAGTGCGATAGTACTTTTCCGGTGCATACTCCCCGCGGTGTTGGCCTTGATCCTGCTCCACTGCCCCTGGACGGTGGTCAGCAACAAGACCAAGCACGCCATGGCGCAGCTCAACGTGGACCACGCCGAAAAGAACAACTCGCTCGCCACCAGCCGCTTCTTCGCCTACATCAAGTTCATCCTCAAAAAGTACCCGGATTTGAAGCACGGGACGATTGGCAGCAGCCTGGAGAACTGGACCCGGATCGAGACCTCGAACGCCAGCCCGCGGGCGTTTCAAGTGCAGCCGCGGTCCTCGAAACAAATCCAGCCCAACGACCTGCGCTTGCTCAAATCCGCCATCACGGCGTCTCTCTCCGCGTTCGCGCACCTCTGCCCGGAAGAGCGGGCGCTGCTGAAGCACTTTTGCCAAGCGGAGGTGGATGAATTGCCGGCGGGGTTTGAAATCCCCCGGAAGTTTTTTGCGGCGGGGGCAGGGTCGTCTGGCAAGGGGAACTATGCTGGTTCAGCATTGACGAATGACGACGTGCAGTGGGAAGCTATTAAAGTGTTCTCGCTGCAAATTAATCCCTCGGGAGGGAATGGGCACTAGATGGGGGGTCGGTGTGGTTTTGGTAGTAGTCGCTACGGTTTCTAAAAGAAAAAGCCCACGTATAATACAAATTTTCAGCTATTTTATGGGTGAGCAAAGCTGTAACAAGCTGTCATCTTTGATGAAAACTAAAACTTTCCTTTCAATTTTTTGCAACACTCGTAATGTCGGAATCGGAGTAAGAGTTTACGCATGAAACGAATAAAAGGATATCAACGTCGACCACAATTACATCGAGCGCTGGTTGTGATTTTTTCTCAGCTGCTCACGCAAAAGAATACGGATTTAATATACAATTATAGTTCGCTACATTCTGAAAACGTCATACCTAATTTCAAACTGATACTAGTCTTTTACTACGGACAGGCCGAGACAGTCCAGCTGCAGGCTTTCATAGCTTTTTCTTTATTCCTGCATGCTCACATATGAATATGATGTAGATTTTGAGGCACATCTCCAATTTTTTAGTTGTCATGTATTTTCAAAATTTTTGTCCATAATGACTGCAGCAGTGAAACTACCAGTAGAAGGAGTGATAGCAAGAGTGCGAGTAGAGCCTACAGCTTTCTGTTTTGCGTTCAGACAGAAGTAAGCGGCGTTTTGTTTTCGGGCAATAAAGATAAACCGCATCAATGTATTGAAACAAGCAGAGTGCCGTCGCGAACCTCATCTGGTATTGCGCATGCTTTTGCATCGATTGACGAAGGAGCAGCTGCATGCTGTTGGTGCCGTGACTCTTTCTCTTTCTCCTTTGTAATTTCATGGAAACAACAAATCGAGCAAGCTGCTGGAAAACGAGTTTGTGATGCACACGGAGTTGATAAAAACAAAAAGTGTAAGTGAAAAATAATTAGTACACACCAGTCACCAGATGCTGGCAGCGAGGCTTCGGCCTACGTGGGTCATCGCAGCCCCCCGCCCACAGCAATTTTCATGCAGACTGTTTGGCACATGAGCTTGTTTCAGCTGCCTTCAGGGAGTGTTTTGGCATCGGTTCAGGATCCATAGTCATATGCGGCTCGATTCGGACGGCTCGTGAATTATTGTTTACTCCCCTGCTCGTGTGCCTTGAAAATAAGTAAAAATCCGGAGTGCAGCTGAAGCTTTCACTACGAGCAAGATCATTCGCCGACCTCGAGCTCACAAATTTGAGTTTCCTCAAAACTACGATCTCACTATGATCAGTGTGGTAGTGTCCTTCGAAGATCTATTGCCTCGAATATGTTGAGGACCGGCGCGCCGGTGTGCTGCTGGTTATGCTTCATCTGCAGGCACTCAAACTGCGTCGAACAATTCGAAGAATCGAATACAACATCTCAAACAGGAAAGGATCGAATTTGATTGAAAGCGACACAGATTGTAGTTAGTGATAAGTATCATAGTCCAGTCGACTCCTTGCTGATGTGATGAGACGAAAGCCGACGTTGTATTTTCGCTATCGAATAGAAATTCGACCTCGACTCGATCTAGTTTTCATATCGCGATCGCATTTATTGTCGTGGCACATCACATGAGCGATCTGTGCAAGAACGTTGTCATTCCGACCCCTCCCTATCAAACTACGGTTTTGTCATTGTCGCCCTACATCAATCAAGCTTTTCGATTTTAGTGAGCAGATGTGGAAGTAGCCCTGCATTTTGCCTCAATTTTTGTAACTCAGTAGCAGTAGCAGTAGCCATCACAACATATGACGAGTAGAGTTTTATCCTTTGATAGTGAATTGCGAGGGTTTATGTGAGTTTTGTTTGATTTCCTCGCCCTCCATATGCTCCTGGAAGTCATGGAAGTCTCTTTCTTACTTTTGAGGACCGTGTCGACGACCACACGCGTCTACTCATGAAACAAATGGCGCGTGGTACGAGTGCAACACTTTGAGCAAGATGCTAGTATAAATAAAGGCTTCGCAGCACACGACGACCTGCTCCCGGTCCTGCCTCGTGCCTGCTCATCTGGAAACCAGGCGCAGCCCTCGCGTGGACTAGTAGGAGAAGATGGCCGACATAGTGGAGGACGCGCCCTTGTCGGCCGAGCCGCCTTTGGTTATCGACGAGCGGCCAGCGCAGTTGCAAACCACGGATGTGCTTCTGATCATCCTGGTCTGCACTTTTCTCCTCGCACTGGGCATCACCCTGTTTTACTACCGGCGGGAGCAAAATGAGAAGCGGGAAAGGGGGAGCAAAGCCACCGGCGCGGTGGACGATCTCGACGACGAATTGCGACAGAGGGCGGCGCAGGTAAATCATTCTGCTCGTAAGAACGTATCTAGTCGTAGCCGCATTCGGCTCTCTCCCATCGAAGCGAGAAGTCGACGCATTCGGCCACTATGTTCTTTATCATTTCTGTTTCAATGAAAGAGCAGCATCAAAGTTTTGTTTTGAGCGTTTTCAACGAAAATTCGTACCCGATCTATTCACAGCTGGAAAAAGACGCTCTGCAGTATCGAACCGATCTGCACACGATCGAGACCCACGAGGTCGGGCGGCACCTGGAAACGCAGCTGGCTCTGTCCCAGACCGACCCCACACTGGAAACGGGGGTGTACGGCTTGCATATGCACGAAGTCAACCGCAGGCTGGAATACTTCGGGTTGAACAAAATATCGCCGCCGGTCCGGGAAAACAAGTGGGTGCTGCTACTGAGGACGACGTTCCTAACCGGATTCAATATCCTGCTCTGGGCCTGTGTCACGACAGAGGTAGAAATGTGTTTGATGTCGACGTGATGCAACGCATACTTAGTTTCATAGCATATGCATACCGCTGTTGCATGGGAAAAAGAATGATATATGATTGTGTTTTACATTTAGAGAGCACTAACGTGACGATGAGGAAGAACACCGACCACCCCACCTGACCTACTGAAAGACCCGATCATCTTTTCCCTGCTCCTCAGGTTGTCCTGGCGGTGATGATTAAGAACCGCGCGCACGGGGGCAGATTCGAATTTTGGGAAGATTTGATCACGCCCATCATCCTCGCCACGGTTATCGTGGCCTCCTCGCTGATGCAGTGGTGGAGCGAGCAGCGGGCGGAGTCCATGCTGGAGTCGCTGTCCGCCATGCAAACGCAGGAGCGCGTGAAGGTGATCCGCATCAGCTCGGACGTCGCAACAAGGAAGGAAAAGCGGTTTGAAACCCGGGTGGACGCGGAGACGCTCGTCCGAGGCGACATCATCTCCCTCGGCCCCGGCGACCGCATCCCCTGTGACTGCCGCATAATACACTGCTCCGACGCCGCGGAGGTGGACCAGGCGGCTTTGACGGGCGAGTCCGTCCCGGAACCTCGCGAAACGAAGGCGCAGGACGCGCGCGTGAACTGCAACGAGGCCAAGAACCTGATCTTTTCCGGCACCTTGCTATTGAAAGGGAACATCGTGGCCGCGGTGTTCGCGACGGGGGACAGCACCATGCTGGGAAAAATCGCGAAAGGAATCAACAAGCCGCGGCCGCGCAGCACCTTCGAGATCGCCATGGAAAACATCGTCCACCTGATCGCGTGGGTGGGGATTGCGGTGGGTGTTTTGACCGCGATCGCGGAAATCTCGATAGGGAAATCCGCCGCGGAAGTGCTGGAGTCGTCGGCGTCGTCCCTGTTTGCGCAAATCCCGGAGGGGTTGATCCCCACAGCGACGATAGCATTGCTGATCGCGTCCTACCAAATGGCAGACGTCAATGTCTTGGTCCGGAAGCTGGATGCGGTACAACTGCTATTGCTGTTCTGTTTCGATGCAGCTTGTGAACGTTTTCTTTTGCCAGTTGATTGTTGGAACTAATCCAATTGAAATTACCGACCTCCGCACCTACTCTACAACTTGGGTCCTGCGAGCACAATGTTGACACATTTAATTATGTTTGAGTGCTTCACATCTTCACATGCCTAGTATAATTCGTAACCAATATCCAACTTCTCAGGTCGAGACGCTTGGTTGTTGCAGTGTGGTTTGCAGTGACAAGACGGGCACCTTGACAACGGGCCAGATGACGGTGACGGATATGGTCTCCCCCGACGGCGACGCGTACCGGTTACGCGATCTACTCTCGCAACGGGGGGAATCCAATTCCACCATGCGGAAACTGGATATGGATGTGTCAGAGTTGAAATCCACAAAGTTGAAATAATTTGCCATGCATAAAATGGATGCCAGTTGGAACCCAGTTTCTAAGTGGCGCATGACAAATTTCGGTGGTCCCTAAATCCAGTTTGTCATGCTGTTTAGGCAAAGAAGAGCGATTTTCGCGTGCTACTTTAGCAGTTCGAGCTGTAGCCCCAAACAGGCTTACAATCGGCCTCACTTGCCTGCTCTGCAACACACGCGCCGCGGGTCATGCATTTTATGCATTACAAATTATTTCAACTTTGACGATTTCAAACCTGACGCTTCCATACTGGATTCGCTGTGCAAGGGCGGCATTCTCAACACCTCCGTGACCATCGACGACCGCGCGACCGCAGCAGACAGTCTGTTCGATGAACAACCAATAGAACAAACTACGCAAAACAAGCTATCACAGTTCCCGAACGAGCAGATTGGAGGATCTTCTGCCAGCAATGCAACCCGCAAGAATAATGCGGTTTCCATGGCGAATTTTGCCGGCGGCCCGGGCAGTCCGGTCTCTTCCCCGGACACTATGAAGGACTTGTCCGGCTCGCCCACCGAAGTGGCGGTGTTCCACGCGGCCCGGGAGCTCATCGGGCGGCACGTGACAGACCAGTACCGGAAAGTGTTTGAAATTCCGTTCTCCTCGCAGAACAAATACATGGTAACCGTACACGAACGACTCTTCATGAACAGTGCCGGAAACAATAGCAAAATCTTTGGCGGAGGTGGTGGGAACAACAACACGTCGACGTCGCCCAGAGACGCGGACTTACTTGGCATGAACGGGGGCACCGGGGGCGGCGGGACAACGGGCGGAAGTGGGCACAACTACGGCATCAATTACGGAGTCGGGTCAAATCTAAACCAGGAGCAGCTGCAGCAGCAGCCACACCGGAGGATAACGATCAAGGGAGCAGCAGACAGGATCATCCCGTATTTGAAAATGCACCCGCCAAGCGCCAAGTTGCTCACCATGTGGAAGCGGCTCATGGGCGAGGGCAAGCGGGTGATCCTCGTGGCCGAGTGCTATTTACCCCCATCTAGTACAACTCCCTCGACCGGGAGTGGTGGCTTTTCAAGTTCACATCAGCAGCAGATGAGTGATCGCGGTCTCGCCGCGCATTTGGTCGAGAAGCAGATGGTAAACAAAAATGGATCTACTTCGTCCCAAGCAAAGGCTATCAGCGGCAGCAGTCTGGACGACTTCACGCTGGACGTGTCGCAGCTGCGATGCGTCGGGCTGTACGGCCTCGAAGACCCGCCGAAGGAGGGCGTGCGCGACGCGGTCTCGCGCGCCCGGGGCGCGGGGGTGCGGGTCGTGATGGTCACGGGGGATCATAAAGACACGGCGGCGGCCATCGCGAGGGAGCTGGGCATATTAGAAGACGACGGCACAGCAGCGGTGATGGGAGCAGACAGCAAGTCGACATCCTCGACGACGACGGTCACAGGCGGAGGTGCTGGTCCTCCATCATCAAACATGCTCACTGCGTCGGGAACGAGAAGTATGAACGCGACAAATTCCAACCTTTTGGACAGCGGCGTTTCGAGTTCTGTAGGGGGTCTCACGGACGAGCTGCAGTCTGTGGATTTACTCGGCGGGACCATGTCCACTATCGCCTCCAGTGGAAACCTGCAGCAAAGTGGATACAACACAACTACACATCAAGCCGCAAGTCAAAATGGTACCGGACTACCATCTGCTGCGATGATCGGAAATAGCACACAACTACATCAAGGTAATCCCAATCTTCCTCCCAGCAGCACCGGGGACCAAAATGTGGACCTGATCGGGACAAACAGCTCGAACTTCGTGCACAAGCAGAACCCGTCGCTCGAATGCACAACACTGGAAGTGATCACCGGCGACCAAGTCGAAGAGCACACGCCCATGGACGGCGACGAATTCGGCCCCGACGAACCCGCCCACATTTTGGACTTCTGGTTCCGCGCGACGCAGGAGTGCTCCGTGTTTGCCCGCGTGTCCCCGATGCACAAGCAGATCATCGTCCGCGCGTACCAACAGTTCGGCGGCGAGGAGATGTATCAGAACAGTTACAACGAGGATTCCGGCGATGCCAGCATGGAGAATAACGTGATCAATCACATCATCGAGAAGTACGCGAAAAAGGGGTTTTTCACCGTGCGCGAAAAGGTCCGAGTCCACATCCTCGGCCGCCCGCCGACGCCCAGGAGCGCTCCCAACAGCAAGAACGCCTTCCACTTCGGCCAGCGCAGACGAAAAAAAATGACCGGCGCGATCTGCGCGATGACGGGCGACGGGGTGAACGACGCGCCGGCGCTGAAGCAGGCGGAGGTTGGGATTGCCATGGGCATTCGGGGGACGGAGGTGGCGAAGGACGCAGCGGACATCATCTTACTAGATGATAACTTCGGGAGCATAATCCGCGGGATAGAACAAGGAAGGAGGTCCGCGGACAACCTGCGAAAGTCGATTTTGTACACATTGTGCTCGAAACTCCCGCAATTTCTCCCCACGTTCATCCAAATTCTCTGCTCCGTGCCGGGTCTGAACATCCTCGTGGTCATTTTCCTCCCCCCGGTTGTCCGGAAGCTCCCGGGGCCACTTCTCACCGTCCCACAAATTCTCGCGATCGACATTCTGACTGACGTGTGGACCTCGATCGCCTACGCCTTGCAACCCAGCGAAGACAATTTGATGACTAGGTTACCGCGACACCCGAAAACGCAGCCTTTGATGGACACCGGGCTTTTGACTTATTCCTACCTCTATATGGGCGTGATGCAGTGCATCGGGTGCTTCCTCTGCTCGGTGATCCTGTTCTACCAGCCGCAGATGGACCAGATTGAGAAGACGGAAAACGAGGAGCTCGCGACCAGTATCTACATGCAGGCGACAACCAGTTACTATTGGACGCTGGTGGTCGGGCAACTTGCGGCGGCCTACGCAACGACGACGTTCAAGCAGTCTCTGCTGGAATACGGGATTCCGAACAAAGTTCTGAATGTGCTGATCTTTTTGGAAATTCTGTCCGGCTTGTGGGTCGTGTTTTCTTCCGCGGGCAATGTCATGTTCCAGACGAGACCTATGCCGTTCTACCTGGTCGCTCTTCCCTTTCTAGTCACCTTTGTCCCAATATTAGTGATCGAAGAGCTGCGGAAGGCGTTGCTGCGGAAAAAGGACAAGGACATCGAGCTGGCGGAGCGGACCGCGCTCCGAACCACCGGGCAGGGCTTGTACGGCGGCCACCTCCATGGGGCGACGCCGCGGTCCGGGTCAAAAAGCCGCCGGAGCTGGAACCGGGTGCTGCGATCGCAGAGTCGGGAAGCCTACCAGCACGCCGCGCGCGGCGGCCAGTTCGGTGGACCCGGGGGCGGAGGTGATCAGGTAACGATCGTGCCCGCGGTAAACATGTGGGATTTGGATGTGCGGGCCGGGCTAGAAAACGACTCGGAAGAAGACGACGAGCAATGGAAAAACCTGATGGACTCGGTGTAATTCTTCTTCCTGCAGCTGCGAGTCTCGTCGCGGATGTGGACGACGAGGAGATGGACATCATGAAGATCAATCATGGATGTAGGTGCTGGAGAAAATCAATGTCCTCTTTACCGGCAAGAAAGAACGAGCAAATGGACGAAGTCGAAATCTAGCGACAACATTCACCTTTCCTTCGTTCTGGCTTCGGAAGATCATGATCTGCTTGTGGGTAAGAACCTAGCCTGAACTACTTTTCATGACTACCACCACTACGATTTTTTAAGAGCCGTGTATGTGGTCAATGTTATTTCGCACATGATCACAGCTTGTTCCATTCATTGTCCACCCCAAAAAAAAGCCAAAACGACGACGGAAATCAATGTGGTACTACCCCGGGTGAAGCGACGCTTCATCTTCAATCATTGACATATCCTCTCGAGCTTATCAAATAAAAAACCTCGAATCACGAGGTTTTACCACACTATTTTATCCCCACCTTTCGCGGCGCCCCCCAGCGTCTCCGTGGTCACAGAGAACTGCTTCAACCATATTTTCGTAGACGACAACTTTCAATGCGAGCAACGCTTCAACTTGAAGCTTGAAGATTTCCTTTCCAAGAAAAGGAAATACACAAGAACCAGAAACGAAAAAGGAGACAACTCCAACTCCTTCGAGTAGAGACAACCAACCGAAGACGAAGTTGTTGTGTCAAAGTCGGACCGGCGCAGAAAATCCGAACACAGAGGAGGTGGATCGTCAGCGTCGCACTCTTTCTCTTCGTCGTCTTCGGAAATGAATTTATCGTCGGTCTTGATGTTGACCTGAAAATGATATGTTGTCTCTCTGATCGGCATCCTCGCTACAGGAAAGCGACACTCATACAAAATCGAAGTATGCATGATGCTACACAGACATGTGAGAGCGTGAAGTAGGCAGCTGTTTGAAGCTATGATCGTCTATCGCATTCGCTTCGTGAGCGACAGTGTCGCAATGTCGCCAGGTCGTTTTCGTCTCTAGAGTTCTCGGAATCGATTTTTGGTCGACTTCGTTGATTTTGTTGTACGGCTATTCACCTATAAGAACTACGCATTGTCTACGAAAATAACAAATTTGTAGTCGAACTCAAATTGCAGACTTGCCACGCATATAGATGAAGAGCACTTTCGTTCTGTAGAACATCGAAATCAGCCCAGTGAGGCTTAACTACAAGCATGCGCTGCAGTTGCGGCTTACTAGGCTAGTACATGACTCTTCTGATTTGATAAAGCATAAGGAAGTACAATGTGCGAGTTTATCCACCGGCAGTGCCGCTGCGGGACGTCGTCCCGGTGACGAGGATGACGATGAGGAAGATGAAGCAATTTGTCGCTGTGATCTCTCTTTCGAGAAATATGTGATTGTGAAGCGATTCGTATTCATTTTGCGCGCAAAACTACCGTCCGTGGTCACCTCGTCCCGAGAAAACTAGCGTCAGCCATCATGTTGGAGCCGGAGGACACCACGATCGACATGCGCAAGATGCGCGACGGAATTTCGGACAAATTCGAGGCCTTCATCGCCGCCCGTCCCATGACCACCAGTAGCGGAAAAAGGAGCAGGAAAAACAATAAGTCGAAAAGTCCAGATGAAAGTATGCTGTCGAATTTCCACGGCGGGCATCAGGGAGGTGGAGTGGCCAACCGAGATCAGGAGGGCCGCGAGAGTTCCAGTTTCTACAAGGCCTACAACGACGCGCACAGGAGTACTCCGGCGCAACAGCAGGACTACACAGCGTACAACGCCGCGCACCGGATTGAGCGGATGAATTTCGCTTCCAAGTTGTTATCCGATATCGGCCACTTGGTCGAGCACGAACAACAAGAGCTGCACGGAGGTAGTTCATCTAATTTCGGGCTGCAGGAGCACGAACAAAGAGGCAACGCGCACGTCCTCGACGAAGGAGCATATTTCGCCCGCGATCTTCTCCACGCGCAAGGTGATCTGCCTGCAGCAGCAGCCCGTCCGGGGACTGCGGCCGCGGTACCGTCTTCGAGGCCTTCGTATGCAATGAAGCCCGATCATGGAAGTGGTGGCGGCGCAACAGTAGATGATCCAGATCCGAGCATGATGCTCGGCGTGGATCAAATGAAGGCAGAACGGCTGGCGCGGAGCAACAAGGAGAAGAAGGAGGGGATACCGGAGATCCCGATCTCCCACGAGATAAAGTTAAAGCAGCACATTTCCTCCCCAACCACTCGCGCAGCGGAGTATGCTGAAGAGCTGGAATTCGTCCGCAGACAGGCGGAGATTGACCACCGGAATGTCGTCAACAGCGAGGAGTGGAGGAGACAACACGGAGATCTGCTTGTGGCCGATCAGGAGAATAGAAGCAAGTCTGCCGCGGAACGGAGGGTGGAAGTGGAGGAACAACGCTGGCGGAACTCGACGCTGAGTCCGGAACTACGCACGGGACCTCCGATGCTGACGGCCGAGCAGTTGAAGATGCAAAAACTACTCGAAGTGGTAGACGACCCGAGTCTGTCGCCGAACAGCAGGAGCCGAATGCGCAGCACAAACAGCTACAGCAAGGAAATGGAGAGGCACTTGAAAATGCAGCACTACTTGAGTAGTGGTGGAGATGGGGGAGAGGTGGAGGAACATCTCGAAGCAGGTCATCAACATCAACACGGAGCTCCTCATCAGAAGCAGCACAGACTCTTACCCTCCGCTTCCACGCCGTCCTCCTCCTCCGCGTCCCCCTCGCCGCATTTGTCGCGGAAGGTCCGCCCGCGTCCGAGTTCCGTCTTGAGCCCTTTGGACAACAGCAATTTTTACGGCCAGCAGAATTACAGCAGCGACAACAATTTCGCTTCTTCTCCCGGCGGTGCTTCCTCCGCTTCTAGTCTCTCCGCCGCGCCGAGCAGTTCTTTGTCCCCCGTGACGAATCGAGGTGGCGCACATCAACCCAGTCCGCAGCACCACGTGCGGAGGGTGCCGCCGAGCCCGAGTTTTTTGGGGTCCGTGAGGGAGGAAAACGCGGAGGAGTTGCTGGCCGCGGCTGACGTGGAGAATTACGTCGAGGCGGAGGAGTTTATGGCGCGCTTAAAGTCGCGTTTTTAAAAGTCATAGTTTTTTTTTTTGAAAGGTGGCACAAAAACCGGGCACGCGGGTAGTTCAGTTAAATACCGGCAGGCGAAACGCCGCACGCCTTGCCCTGGGTGTGTCGCAAAGAAATCTTTGCCATGCGCCAGAGTTGGCACCATCGGGAGGCTGGACACCGCGACGCTATTGCCGCCTTTAGCAAGCTTGCCAGCAAGTGCACGTAATCCATTTTCACATCTCGCCGCACCCCCGGAAGTGAAGCAGCACTCGTAGCGCAAGGCCGCGGGCGCTGCGCCTGTTGCCTCAAATGCATCGCTGCGGCCCCACAACAGCGCCACCACGCTGGCCTCCCAACCAGCCGTAACAACAGACCTAGTGACCGCGCCACCCCTCGCGCCTCTACTATTTTGGTCGCCTTCCAACCACGGCAAGGCCATTGCCGCGCCTCTCCGCCGAGACAGGCTGCTGCCGCGCGTGCGGTGTTTTCCCTGTCGCGGCGTGGCCCCTGTGGTCTAGCATCGGAGGCGCGGCCCCAAGGCTAGGCCGCCTCAAAATCCCTCCGAACCGCCCCGCCCGCCCGAACCAGCCAGGGCCGCCGCCCTAAAAAGCCCCCCTTCAAGCCCCGGCTCGCCAGCGCCCCAAATTGGGCGCCCATTCGAAGCGCCATTCTGAAGCCCTCTCATTGGGGCTCGGCTATTAAGCCGCGGCGCGTCGCCTCTCCTTTACTCAGAATGAACTTTGGGCGGCGGGGGGAGGCGAAGCGGACCCGGGGTTTTCGAAATTGAATCGCGGAATGCGCCGCGAAGGATCGCGGCGAGGCATTCTTTTGCGCGCCGTCCGAATTGCCTTCCTGGGGCTCAGTGCTATCGCATTTATGCGCGCCAGCTCGGACGACCCTATTCTCATATCGGCAGGGCATTAAAATCGGCGGCAGTGCCTGAAGACTAGCAAAAAAAGAAAACTATGACTTTTGAAAGCGCGACTTTAAGCGCGCCATAGAGTTGCTGGCCGCGGCTGACGTGGAGAATTACGTCGAGGCGGTGGAGAATTACGTCGAGGCTGACGTGGAGAATTACGTACTACAGTGAATTTTGTCTGTAGACGAAATTTTTGAAATTTTTTCATTCTCCGACGCCCTCTCGTCGATCCCGCTTCCGCTTGCCAGGGTCGGCCTGGAGTTCGTCACCGCGGTTGTCGCCATCTCGTATTTCCAGGAACAGCCCAGAGCAGCAACTTTGTCCTCGTTCCCGTCCGCACCATTTCCGAACGACTAGCCCGCGGTGACTGGGAGCCGACTTCTACCTGAATCTGAAAAAAACATGTTTTTGATTAATCAGAAAAAGTGCCTTGATCTAGCTAGCTGATGACACCTCTGAGAACTATAGTAGCCTAGCTATCTTCTGTGTTTTCAGGTCCCACGACAGCAAATCAAGAGTAGCTAAATTTGAGTCCCATTTCTGCATTGAGGATAGCGCGGACCCAGCAGGAGCCACAGAGGTCATTGGGTCGCCGAGCCACGTTCTAGACCCGGAGGTTCCCATGTTGCGCCAGGTGGTGCAACAGCAGATGATCATGGAGGGGTCCGAGGGCTGTTGCTTCTGGTGCCGAGATCGAGGTCGCCGGTGCCTGCAAGTCTATCTGCTCTACCACGGACTCAAATTGCATCCTTGATTTGCTTTTATGGGGACCTTTTTAGCTAGATTACCTACCTCTAGATCAGATCTTTATTTATCACATTTAGCTAGCTACTCATCAAGAAAAGTGTCAAGGTTTGAAGCCCAGGTCTGGAGACAACTGCGCCCGTCCTTCCACTGCAGCCCCTCCTGCCCGGCCCTCGCAGCTCACGCTTCGTGTTGACCTTGCTCTGCAACAGCGCCACCTTTTGTCCGCTTCTCCACCTACAGCGTCTTGCGCGACCTTCGGACTCTGCGACCAAACCATCGTCAGCGCATCTGCAGCCATCCAGCATCGGCAGGGAAACAAAAATTTCAAAATTTTCGTCTACAGACAAAATTCCCGTTAGTAGTTGCTGGCCGCGGCTGACGTGGAGAATTACGTCGAGGCGGAGGAGCGGCGGAAATATCACAAGAAAAAGTGTACACGTACACGGCTTTCTTTTTTTTCGAAAAAAATTTTTTGTGGGCTCCCTCGAGGCGTTCACTTGTGTCAGCGAAAGCATTCGCTACGAAGTTCGCTAGATTGGGGGTCTGGCAGAGCTGGCGCACCTAGAGCACACGGCCCGAAGGTCATAGTCAAGGCCCAACAGAGAGGGGAAAGAAGCAGCCGGGTCATCTGCCCCATGCTCCTGGTCTCGTCTCAGGGCCGCGCAAAAAAGGCCGAAAAGGCCGGGAGTTGTCGCTCTAGCGCCTAGAGGTGGGCCGCCGGCGGCTCCTGCAGCCTGTGGCCCAGGTTCTCCTGGCGCCGAGGGTTAAAACCACCCAACAAACCGTCGCCACCATCAAAACAGGCGAAGGTCCTCCTTTTGAAGAGGTAAACGGACCACACCATGCAGCCTGGAGAGGATGTGCACGGTTTTTCTTGGGGTCAAGAAAATCCGCAGAAAAAAAGGCAAATTTATCTGAATTTTGCCTGCGAAATCGCGCACCACCAAAAAACCGTGTGCATCGCATCTAGACTGCATGGCATGATGGATGTACACGGTCTGCGAAGTGGTCGGGCCCGAAGACAGACACTCTGAACCGTGTACATCGGCCATACCATGCAGTCTAGATGCGATGTACACGGTTTTTGTGGGCCCTTTTTAAAAATTGTTGCGTATTTCCTACTTTTGAAACCGTGTACATGGATCATAGCGTGGTGGCTAGGTTCCATGTGCACGGTTTTTGGCCAATCTGAAAAATTTGGCCTTGGAGGTATGCAAAAATTTGCGTTTTTCCGGACATCCGAAATTTGGAAACTTTCCCAGATCTCGGGACACAACACAGCCAGACGAACCCGCCGAGAAATCTGAAGCAGTTCGGCTCCCGCCCAAACAATAATCCGCAGCCCCCATCAATGTTTCCGATCCCAAACGCAGCCTGGCGGGTGGGGATGGAGTGTTCATGGCGGTGGGCCACTGTCGGGCATTGGAGGGGGAGCTGCTTTGCGCTGATGCAAGAGGTCCCATCTGGAGCCAGGATTGCAGGTCTGCCTCGTGGATATCATCCACCAAAATGCATCGGGCTTGGGCGGCGACCCTGAAAGCTTGCGCCCATAGTAAAATCAGACCTTTGTAGAGCGACAGTTTCTCCAACGCCGGGGCGAAGGCTTCAAGTGGTGCCACTACGTCGCGCTAGGGGGGCGCCAAAAATTTTTTTTTGGGAAAAAATGCAAACCGTGTACGTGTGCACTTTTTCTTGTGATAGGAAACGGACGGAGTTGCTGGCCGCGGCTGACGTGGAGAATTACGTCGAGGCGGTGGAGCGGCGGAAACGGACGGAGAAGATGAACGAGGACACCAACGAGCGAAAAGCGACTCTTGACCGGCTGAACGCGAAAGTGAAAAACGACGCGGAAAAGTTCAAGCAGAGGTTGGAAGACGTGTTCGGGAAAGACAATGAAAGGAGAAATAAATTGTCTACCGGCACGAGTGGTGCAGCAGCGTCTTCATCTCACGGCCACAATAGCCATACAGCGACGCATCAATCCTCCCTGCAATCCACTCTCGGTCCGGACGCCGCACCTAGACCGGCCTCTCCCGGTGTGCGCGCGCGGCAGGAGGAGCTGCACGAGAAGTTGGCGCAATTGACGAACCGGCCGAGCACCGAGCATTTGATCCCGACGAGTTTAGCGGTGGATCCCTCTGCCTCGGAGGTGGATCGGTTGTCGGCGCATCTACGGGCGGGGCTGTCCTTCGACCGAATGCAGATGGTGGCGACAATTTTGTCTGCGGAACCCTCGGCGAGCAGCTCTACTTTTCACAGTAGTTCGTCCGGGAACGAGGAGGACAGCAGGGGTAAATCTAAAACAGAGGCTGGTGCGAAAGGAACAAAGACGCAGGTCATAAAGAACAAGGGACATTTTTCCAAGTCTGCTGTTAACGAGAAAGCAAAAATGCTTGCGGAGGAGCATGCGCATCATCAAGCAGGGGCTGGTCAAGATGAACAGGCACTTCCTGCTGCTGAAATATCAGTAGAACGACAGAACCCAGTCGCGACAAGTGACAGCGAGCACCACATGATGCAAAGTGACGTCACTGTGGAGATTGAGTTGCCGCCTGCTGCTGGCGAAGCAGACCAGCAAGAACTTCGACAGGGCGTTGGCGTTGCGAAGAGGAGTGAACACCAGCACTGGCCTGTGGAAGCGAATCAAGAACAAACAGTAGCTGCAGCTGACGCAAGCAACTACAACGACGTCGTCGAAGACGAATCCTCATCGTCACGCCGATCTTCGTCCCAAATAAATCAACAAAGTCAACAAGTTCACGACACCACAGATGATTGGTCGTCCGTTCCTCTTGAAGTATCAACGAAAAGAAGAACAAGCCAGGAGGAAGAAATCCTGCGTGAGAATGTCCTCCAGCAGACTGCTTGTTCTGTTGTTGACCAGCTGCCACTGCAGTCCGACCAAGTGGACCAGGTAGACCACGAGATTGATGCTGACGAAAGAAGCTTGATCGAAACGCAGAACCGAAATCCAACCGAACTCGCACAAAAAATCAACGACCGGCTAGAGCAAGCTTCGAAGTCGACCTCCTCTCTCGGCACATCCAAATCTTCGACGGTGGTCGGAGATCAACATATGGCCGCGTCGAGCCAGCACCAGATGCAAAACAATCACGGCCCAGCGGGGGCACAAGAACAACTACACAGCGACGTGGAGCCGCAGAGCGACAGCACGGTGGTCCCGGTGGAAGTGGAACTTGTTGGAAAAGCGGCGGAGGTGGGGATTGGGGCGGTGGTGCAAAAAAAGCTAGCTGTTGAGCGAGTGGCTTCCGGAAAGGACGATGGTGCTGCAGGTTCATCTGTCGAACAAGCAGGCACGAAGACGGCTTCCTCGGTGCTGTCCGGGTCCCGGTCGGCGCTAGAACCAGATGACGCACAAGCTCAAGCATCGCGCGTTGATGAACAAGACGAGCAGCTGCTTCTTGCTGAAAATAACGTGGATCTCGTCGAAGAAGGGGACTTGCTCCCTTTTCCATTCCAAGCTGGGGTGGAAAAAGAAGGCTTTCGGATTGGGAACAACAACCGACATCAAGATCCGGAGTTTTTCGATCCGGACAATGCGCCTCCGCTGCGCCCGGAGCTGGTGAAGGATAACAATTTCTTTGCCAAATACGTCGACACGGGAATTCAAACCAGCAAAACGCCAACCATTTGGTCCTCCTCCGCGAGTGAACAAGGTAGGAGTACCGGGGGATCGAGTTCGCATAACCTGTATCAGCAGCACGAACGGCACCGGCAGGCGCAGTTGAACACTGATCATGTGCACCATGACAACCATCCCCATCGCTCGCGGTCGAAAACGAGAAACGAATCAAAAAACAACAACAGCCCGCTCTCGCCGATGCTCGGCGGTGGTGTAGGGGCGAACCAGAACCAGTTCCGGACGAGACGGTCGCCGAGCAACCGACGGGTGTTTGACCGGTTGTTTTCTGACGCGGAGAAGTTACACAAGAAGCGGGTGCTGGAGTATACGAAAGAAAAGCAGAAACACGTAAACGAGTGGGATGACCGGGTGGACCACAGCCCCTCACCACGCGCGCGAAATCGAAACGCGTCCCCTGCGCGGGGGCGCGATAATGGCCCACACCAACGATCCGACGCGGACGGTTATCTGGACCCAGTGCCGGACTCGGAGTACGTGCCTCTGCAGCGACCGGGCTACCGCCCGCCCACGACGAAGTGGAACGTGAGTCAGAAATACAACGGATCATGGAACGAGGTGGATGTGGACCTCTGGATGGAATCGGTCGTGGATTCTCCCCCGGGGAGGAACCGCGGCAACGTGAACGACTACTACGAGCCCAGTGTGAATATGCACGCGAAAAATATGCCAAACATCATCCCATCGCCCGATACTGGACATCACAAGAAACGCCCGAAAACCTCCGGTGTAGTTGGAGCAGCAAGTGCAATTGCTGCAGGATCTGGTCTATTTTTACCACCAGGAAACATGAAAAATAAGCAGCAACGTCCGCGGAGCCAGAGTCCGAGAAAGAGCAAAGGAACGAAGTCCAGAAAGGGTTCCGCGACGGACGACCAGGAAGTGGAAGAGTTAGGTGGGAGAAAGCCGATGTTTCGCCTCGTAATCGCTGGAACGGAAAATAACGATGGCGGAACTACAGGCACTGATGCGGTGGCAGGATCGTCACTACTAAACAACAGACGCGGGGGCACAGGAGCTCCTGCCCAACAAGCCCAACAACCTGTGAAGAACGTGCAGGCGCTCGCCCGCGCGCGACAGAGCGGGCAGAATAGTGATTCTCTGGTTCTCCAGGGGACAGAACTCGAGCGGTACCAGAAGTGGAGGGAGAAGCAGAATCTGCTGCAACAACGGAAGGAGAAACAGCAGAAAATTTTTGAGAAAAAAATGCAGCAGATCCACTCCCCGCGGAACTACGGCGCCGGCCCCAGCGGGCAGGTCGAGCCGGGGAGACTCGGGAGTAACGACATTGAGTACAGCAATCCCGGCGCATTGGGCCTATCCCCGCAGAACTACCAACCGCTGAATCTGGACGGGGACTGGGTGAGCCAGCACGACAAAGACGTGTTTTTGAACGCGAAACACCCGACGGCCCTGATGAAAAAGCGGTATTTGCTGGCCTTGAAAAAGGAGGAAGAGCAACGGGAACTGATGCTGGCGCGAAACCGGGAAGTCGACCCGAAATTGGAAAAATTGTTTCAGCCCGAGAAGTTGCACAGCAAGTTCCGGAAGCCGTATTTGGGGCAAGAGCTGGAAATCCAAAGAGAGATCGAAGAGGCGAAGCAGCGGAAGGAGTTAGAAAAGGAAAAAGCTGCGGAGCTGTACCGGAAATTATGGCTGGGCGGGAAGAAAAAGGAGGCTGAGAACAACAAAAGTGAAAGCCCGAAGGAAGAAAATGTGAAAAAACCAGAGCCGGTGGTGGAAAGGAAGATAGAGCCAGTGAAAATGCCAGATCCGCCGGCTCAGAAAAAGTGGATTGACGCGCAGCCGAAACAAGCTGTGAAGCAGAATAAACCTGCAGCAAAGGTCGCTGTTGCTGGAACCGCTCCGAAAAAGAAAGGAGGAAAAAATAAGCAGCAGAGTACCCAAGAACAGTATGAATCTATTGACCAGGTGATTCAAAACGCAAATCGCCGCATGCCCGAAGCAAACGAGGACGAGGGTTTGCTCCATCGAGACATCACCGGTCCTGGGACGTGGAAGCCGATTCCGGCGGACAAGCCGGATTACAAGCAGTACCAGGAGGGCTTGAAGCAAGCAAAAGCAGAGTTAGCGCCTTCGTTAACTGACAAATTGCACGCGAACCACGTGTACCCAACGATAAGTGAGGAGGAACTTCAACAACGCGCGCTGGAGCGAGCGGCTGAGGGACGGAAAGAACGGTGGGAAGCCAAAGTGATGCAAGAACGGAATGCTGCAGAGGCTGACGCCGCCGCGGCAGAGGAGGCTAAGATGAGAAGAGGTTTGGTAAGAGGACAGCAACCTCCACCTGCTGCGGCTTCTTCCACAACTGCGGTTGCTGCTTCCAGCGGGTCATCTGCAGCTACTAGGGGAAAAATGCTTCGAGGAGAAGCAGAACAAGTGCCACCCGGCACGACTTTTGTGCCGCATCAGCATCAAGCTCCTCCAAACCCTAATACCAAGAACCATCAGCACGATGGGGCCCACTTGCAGCAGCCGCCGAAGAAGGCCTCGTCCTCGAAGCGGCCAGCGAGCGCGCAGGCGCACGTGAGCCAAAACGCGGGAGGCGCTGCGCCTGGCGCTGTGACGGCGTACCGACACGCTAAAGAGCAGGAAGCGCGAGCTGCTGCTGGGGTCGTACAGACGAGCAAACGGGCGGCGGTAGGTCCTCCGCCGTCCCCTGGAGGTGGTGCACACACGACTGCTGTCGCGAGACACCAACAGCAACAATCTCCAGCCCAAGTTCTTGTGTCGGCGCATCAAATCCAACACGAGCGGAACAATCAACCACCCAACAGTCCGCCGCAAACGGGAAGAACGTCTACTGTTCGCACTCAAATTGTCGACTCCCGAACGAGCACAGTGTTGACCACAACTGCGAACAACAAAGTCGCCACGACAAGAGCTGCTTCCCCTGGTGGAGCGGCAGGAGTAGCACCAGGCGCTCCTGCGGGGGCAACAGCTTCGGATCAGCATCCTCATCAGCACCATGCTGTTCTTCACAACCGGCAACAGCCAGCGGTTTCATCTAGCACTCGTGGTCGGCAGCAGAAGCAAAATCTCATCTCCACCCAGCTAAAAACCGACGAACGCGCGGACACCCGGGTGCAACGATTGGGTTTGTCACCGATACGAGCCGGGTTGGAGACAAATGACCCGTCCTCCAGAAAGCGCAAAGCGTCGCCGGGTGACCGGGGCGGAAAAAATTGCGCGTCCAGGTTTCAAAACCGATACGGCATGGCAGCTTCGCCGGAGTATTTGGTTTTCAACGACGAAACGTCGGAGGATCACAGTTTCTTCGTGAACGATCAGAAGTTGAACTTCTCCCCGAAGGGGCAGAGCAATCACGTGATGGAGGCAAAATTGAAGCAGCAGCAACACCTCCGCCACGCCGAGATGATTGCAAAGTACCAGGAGGAGCAGCATCGGAAAGCGCGGCAGCGGTTACTGAAAGCGATGGAGACGGCGAAGCCGGGTCAGGACGAGGCGTTGCTACGACGGGTTGACCAGTTGATGCGGGACATGAAGCACATCTCCGGCGCCGCCTCCACCAGTGCGGCGATTGCGCAATTGCAGCAGATTCACCCCGGGAATGTCGGGAAGTTGGAAAAGGTATCGCACATGATCAGTCCGAGCAATGGGAACAAGAAGTCACCCATGCTGATGAACCAAGTTCCTCATCCTCCCTCGTCCAGTAGCATCCTCCTTCCCATGCCGAGTGCCGCGGCTGCGAGTGCAGTTTTTCCCCCGACTAGTACAGGCAGCGGAAGAACTTCTACAGGTGCTGGAGTTCCACCTGCGTCAATCTCTGATGGAAGTTTGTCCCCGCACAAGCTCGTCGAGCCCGGCGGGTTGCTTTCCCCTCCTGCCAGACGGAAGCAACACTTGAAAGACCCTTTACAGCTTCCTTCACCACTTTCCTCCGACGCGTCGTCGCCGAAAAGAGGGAAAAACAAATTAACGCCAATCGGTGGGGAAATCAATATGAATAACAGTCTGGACAACTCGAATTCGGTCGAGGTCGAAGTGGAAGCGCTGTACGACAAGCATTCCAGCAGCTCCACCGCTTCCCCAAAAAGACTCTCGGCGAATCCGCCGAAAATCCTGATGCCCATTTCCCCGTCGACCAATCTTCCACCGCAGTCAGAACTCCTAGATAATGCCTCAACATCCGGTTACCACGAGCAGGACAGAATTATCGAGGAGCACAAGAAGGCTCTGCTTTTACAGGACCATGTCGACAGCACGATCCAAGTGCCGCCGAAGCAGCGGGCGTTCGTGAAGTTGGATGCGTTTGGGCGGGAGCCGGAGAAACTCTACGCATCGCAGTTGCGGCTGGAAGAGTTACGGAACTACAACCTGCTCTCGCACAACGAAAAGGTTCATTTGGTGAACCAGGTGAAGGCGCTTATCGCCTCTCGGGAGTTGGAGGTACAGGATACATAGATAGAAAGATGAATTTTACACATTTGTTCTCTGTCGGACTTCGGAACTTTTGAAAACCCACGGCATTTTTGATGCTTGCCAATGAAGAATAAACACCAGCGGGCTTTACTTGCTACGACATCACTTCGAAACACTACGATTCCACAGGGTATCGACCGCGATTTGAATTTGAAAGCCGCCAGGATGTATGCGGGGTTTGAGATTGACCGCATTTTCGAGGCGAGAAGCAAGCCACCAGAACCACAAGCAGCCGCACAGCCAGCCGCGAAGTCGAAGAGCAAGAGCGCAGGAGGAGTAGCTGCGCCCACGATGATCAAGAGCAAAGCTAGTTCCAGCAATAAACCAGGTGGAGGTCCACATGTGATCAGTGGGGCGGGCCACGGCGCTATCAACGCTGCAGAGGTGGAAGCGATGGTTGCGGCGACGCAACAGAAGCTGTTTATGACGAGCGAGGAGGAATCATCTGCAGCGTCTCTTTCCTCAACCGCGATGATGGAAAACCAAAGCAGAAGTTTTGAACCGATACCCACGATGGGTGCAGTAGCAGCTCCTGGGGGAAGTGTTAACCGAGGAACAGGCGGAGGCGCAGGTGGGTCTACTGGTGGTGGTGGTGGATCTTCGAAGGTGTCTGCGGCGTCAGTGGCTGCGCCTGCGCCTGCTACAGGAGGTAATCAAGGGTTGCCGCTTGTTTGCGTCGCATGACAGTACAATGATCACTACGTTGAAATGATGATGGCGGTGCTTGCACACTTGTACTTGACCATGAGCATGCAAGAACTTAAACTTTACAATAAGCAAACTACAGGCTCGTCGTCCCGCATGCAGCTCTTGCACGAAAACGCCAGTGCGTTGCTGATCCAGCACCGTTGGAAGAAGAAGGTGAAAGCGCTGAACCACCTGCAAGACGCCAACATTCAGCGAGATGAGGACGGACTTTTTGAAGTGGGGTAGGATGCAGAAGTTGGTTCAAATTTAGGAAAAAAAAGGAGCTACCGGGTAGCTTCGAACAACACAGGTGAAGATGCTTTTCTATGCTACAGCATTCACGGCAGGTGCAGGAAATCTCAGATGCTTCGTCGCTGAGCTAGAACTTCACTCATTTATTTTACGCAAAGGTTAGTGCGAGTGGTTCTCAGCAAAAATAAACTTCACCCACATCTTGTGCCCATGCCGATTGGTAGACCCCGTTTGTCTTGCTGCAATTGCTGTTCTTCACAACGACGATCTGCGGTAATGAAACGAAGTTTTTCATCATCTGTAGTCAGTCACACGCGAGCGAGGAACACGGAACAGTTTTGGTTGTGATGTGCGCTGCCGCTGGTTGAATTTGAGAGAAGGTAAATAAAGTTCACTTTCGGTCTAATCAACGAGAAGACTGTGAAAAAGTGTAACTGTGCTAGTGCACCACCGACAGGAAGTGCATCGAGACAGAGTGAGAGCTGACGTCTCGGCGGGATTTTTTCACATGACATCATACTGGAAGAGTGTCATTATTTATGCTCCTGATCATATGTGGTCAAGATCCTGATTTGGACGAGGCTAATATTAAAGCTTCTGACTTTTCAGCTGAATAAAAAGTTTTTCCGTTGTTTTGGACGACGAACACAGAGCCACTCCGACTAAGAACCAAAACGAACCAAAACTCTACTCGACTTCAGACAACGGTTGACTGTTGCTCAGCCAGTTTATCTCGACAAGTTGAATATCAAATTTTAATTTAAAACCTCTTCCGTATACAACCAAATACAAGCCAAAACTTGAACGCACACTCAACTCAAAGCGACAGTCTTCACCAGATCCAGAGCTAGCTCCTTCTTTGTTGTTTCTAAATTAATACATTGCATCGTACTAGAAGTTTACGCAAAAAAAAGGCGACAATGGCGGATGTCTGGACGGAAATGTTCGGAGCAAAGCTCCAAGGAAAGGATGGCGCCATGGTGGAGAGCTCGACGCTGAAGAACTCCAAAGCGGTAAAGACAGACCGAGTTCATTTTGATGTTACGCTGCCACACAAAGAAACAAATGAGACAAACCCAGCAGTTGTCTACAGTTTATGTCATGTTGCACTCCGTGGTGCTCATCATGTAGGCGCGAGCTCAGCGAAATGTACAACTTCTCTCTCCTCAAATGAGTACTCCAATCTTGTCAGGTCGGGATCTACTTCAGTGCCCATTGGTGTCCCCCGTGTCGCGGTTTCACACCAAAGCTAGCGGAGTGGTATTCTGCGAGTTTGAAGGAGAAAGGCATGGAGATTGTGTTCGTCAGCTCTGACCGGGATGTTGGCGCTTTCGACGAGTACTTCGCGGAGCAGCCTTGGCTGTCTCTACCCTACAGCGAGCGGGAGACCAAGGACAAACTGAGCAAGAAGTTTAAGGTATGGTGCTCTACGTATGATTTCTTAATACTTCCGCATGAGGAACAAGAGAGGCTACTTCTTCTACCACTCAACAAATGAAGCTTTTCGAAGATGATGTGTCTAAGTATCTTTGTTTCGACGCTTACGTGATCTTGATGTTGATTGAATTGATTCGAGGATGAGGGTAGAGCAGGTAGTAAATTTTCGCCGGGCTTCTAACTATTTTTCGTTGCACGCCTCCCGTAAAACGACAACAACATGATCGCAGGTCGAAGGCATCCCGACTTTCGTGATTCTCGGGTCCGCCGGGAACATTATTACGAAGAAAGGGCGCGAGTGTGTCTCCAGCGACCCAACCGGAACCGACTTTCCCTGGTACCCCAAAAGCCTGAAAGAGCTGCTCGGCACCGAGTTCCAGACAAAAGCAGCGGACGGGAACAAGCTGGAGACAATTAACATCTCGGAGTTTGACGGCAAAAAGCTCGGCTTGTACTTTTCCGCGCACTGGTGCCCGCCTTGCAGGAGCTTCACGCCGATGCTGATACGCATTGGAAAAATGTCTGGGTCTGGAAGAATGCACGTAGTTTGTTTTGCTTGTATGACCACATGAGACATGCAGTTTTTTTTTTTTTTTAACGCTGCGATCATGTGCTGTGAGCAGTGAAACTAAAGACCCTTGCCTGTCATGCAGAAAGGCCTGGAAGCGAAAAGGAAAACACCCAGGACGAGCTCGAAAACTTCGAACGCGTGACTGCGTGGTATTCTTATTGCAGTGCGCCCACCACGAGAACCATTCGCGAACTAGTATCTTCTTCACAAATTTCCAGACCCAGAGAGATTTGCCGTGCATAGCTGAAGGACGTATACGAAAAACTGAAGCAGAAGGATGAGAAGTTCGAAATCGTTTTTATATCCTCCGACCGCGAGGAGGAGGGGTTCACAGAGTATTTTGGCGAAATGCCCTGGAAGGCGATCCCGTACGCTGACAGGAAGAGGAAACAGGAGCTATCCAGTCACTTCGAGGTTTCCGGGATCCCCTCGCTTATCATCTTGGATGAGGAGCGAAAAACCATTTGCCCGAACGCGGTCGCGAAAGTCAGGAACGACAAGGAAGGGGCGAAATACCCGTGGCTACCGGAACTCATTAACGAAATCGACGAGGATCCGGAGGGCATTGACGAGGCCCCGAGTATTGTGGTCCTGCAAGAGAAACTGTCCGCGGAAGAGAAGGAAAAGAACAAAAATGCACTGATGCCGCTCGCGAAGAAGGTAAATTGTCTGGCTTTTCTTACAGGTACGTGTCAAATAAATCTGTGTCGTGTTTCATGCAGAAGCGAAGTGAACTAAAGAGACAATCTTCCTCTTTTGCTTTCTTGTGAGTCATCAAGCCTAACAGAGCAATACCAGGATAGGCGCAAGCACAAGTTGTAAAAAATGATATTTATGCAACTGCACCAAACACAGTATCGCGAAGCGGCCACCGACGGGGACCAGGAGTTCAACTTCTTCCTAGCGAGCACGGACGGGGGCGAGCTTGCAGAGCGGGTCCGCAACGAGTGCGGTGAAAACGAGGAGTTTGGGAAGGCGCAGGTGGTCTTAATGGACATCCAAGATCGCGGGGGGTACTACGTCTTCGATAAGGAATTGACGACCGACAACGTCGCCAGCTTCCTCGCGGACTACTCGGGAAAGAAACTGAAACGCATGCAGATGGGCGGCTAAACATCGAATGAAAAATGATTATTAGGAGAAATTATCGCTCCAAAAATGCAATTATGCTCCACACCGAAAGAGAACTACACGCGAATGGTTTTGTTTTGAAGGAGCGCCTTTCTGTTGAAATGTGCTGACCGCGGCGACGTTGCGAGCATATCATCTCGAAATGGTTTTATTGCAAACTGATGAACAAGAAGGCTCACATACTTGCTCTTTCACGCGAATCCGCAGCTGCGAACAATTTTTGGAAAAGCTTTTCATCAAGATCTTCGTCTCACCCGGAATGTCATCTTTTTGCCCTCTTATGACGAGTAGCAACATCAGAAAACAAAAAGCAACTGCATCAGCAATCTTCTAGAGTGTATTAAAGAGCTGTTGCAGCGCGAGGCGATATTGTGGAACGGTAATAATAGGACGCAAAATACTTTAAGGGTAGTAATAGTAGTATCAGTTTCACCATCAACTCGTACTCGAAGTCGAGACACAGTCCTCTGCTTTTTACGCAGGGAGAAAAAAACACACGGTAGAACATTCTAGTCACTACTTCTACGTGGCCATAAGGAGGGTCATGCAGATCGGTGTGGTCTCACGCACAGATATATGTCTGTCAAATGATGAAAATGTAGACCCCTACAGTTCAGCTTCAAGTACGGCACTGCTCTGCCCTTAATATGCCTTCGATGTTCGTGTTGATCCGCAGCCTTCTATTCGCTATTCCTATTCGGTCAAGTACATCAATAAGTGGGCTGAGCAAGTCGTAGCTCCACGATTTCTCGAAGATGGTGATGTGAAGGTCATCTGCAGTATTCCAGAAATGACGAGCGTGGCCCTTTCATCCTCACCTGTGATAAAGATCATCACGCAGATCAGCGATCCGCTTTATATCCACTACTATTGTCCTGGAGCAAGGTAGAAACAGATTGCTTGTTCTCCTCTAAAGTCGAAGGTGCTACAATTCAAATTCTCTTTTTGTCGCAAACGATTTCTTCGCGTATAGCTAGGTAAAAATGTCGAGCGAAAATGAAAGTCAGGGCGCGGCGAGCGCAAGAAGACCTCCAACTAGCGAGCAGAGCGCAGCGGAGGCAGCAGCTGTACCAGCCCCACACGTGGGCGATAGGCGATTGCTTTCTGCGGCGCAGCATGAGCACCCGCCTGCTACCGCGACAATTGCTGCGAGTGCTCCTCCGGATAGCACGACAGCTCCAGACCTGCAACTTCCTATTTCATCACCAACATCAGACATGGTTGGACCATCTTCAAACACAACTAACGCAGTCCTCGAATCCGGCATGACAAACGTGAGCAGTTCCTCGTACGATGGGCCGCATTTCGGTAAAGTGATCCGCGACCGGATTGACCACCCTGCAAACCGGCTGCTTGAAACGGCGAGGAGACGGAGGAAACTGAACCAACTTCCCGAAAACCTGGCAGTTCTGCGGGCGGTGTTGGATAGGAAGTTTCTCAACGAGAAAAGAAGCGACGCAGGAAGAACACCAGGTGCGGGGACGACACATTCGTTTCATCTCCCAGCAGGGGCCGCTCGTGTGCCAGATGGAGATGACCATGGAGACGAGCAAGCTGCAACTACGAATGCGTCGAACGCAAAAACAGAACTCGAAAAAGAAATAGAGGACATCCGGGAAGAGATCGACACGGTGCTCTTTCCGAAGATCCAGCAGCAGCAGAAGAAGCTGTCCGACGCCATGATGCAAAACGAAGACCTGTTAGAGAAGGTGAAGCAAGTGAATCTTCAGAAACAGCAGTACGAAAAGCAGTGTCGGCAAACCAAACTCGGACTGGAAAGAAGGTACCGGGATCTGTTGGCAAGAAAGCAGTGTTACAATCAGGAACAGGCTCATGATCGTCCACCTGGAGGTTTTGATCTAACCCAAGCTCAAAAGCAGGAACAGGGCGAATATCAACAAGAGGAAGTAGATAACCATTCATTCCTGCAACCTTCGTGGCGGGAAAATTTCGAAGCACTATTGGAGACGGGTGTGTTTTACGATTCGGCGGCGCTGATGGAGCAGTTGCAAGATAAGGACGGAAAAGTGTTGCACAGCAGCGAAGCGAAAGCTGTGGAGCGAAGGGAACAACTGTTGGAACTAGGGAAATATTTGCGCGAATGGATGTTGGCTTTGCCATGACGATTAATGAACTCAAGGAACGGACGCCAACGTAGTGCAGCAGCTGCATGGAAATTCATAGTAAAGCGACAATCATGTAAAAGTATCTCGATGTGTGTTGAACAAGTCAGTGGCCAAGTGGACGGTTCTGCTCTTATCACTTCATTGCAGAGAGATCCATGTTTGTTCTCCTACCTTTTGCCGCGACGAGGACCACCCTGATCATTCTCAACGAGCCGTATTGGGATGAATCACTGTGGAAACTACGAAATTGCGGAGTGAAATCTTCCGTTTTATCCAGTTCTTGCTTTTCTTCGTTTTCTTGAGCGTTCAGTGCAAGGAATCATGAGCGTTCATGACAGTACTACAATCGGCGGACGAGAGAGGAGGTTCGTTGAGTGCGTCGTGGTAGAAGTGCTCCTGCGGTACCTCCTGGTGTCCGCAAAGGAAGAGCGCGCTTCTATTTAAACATTGCACACGACTAGGCAGGGCGCGACTACACCGCCGTATCCACTTGCATCATGGCACCCACCAGCTGCTACCTCGTCGCATCGAGGAACATGCGACAACCGAACATCACGGTTGTACCGCAAAACCGACTCATCCTCTTGATTTGCATTGCCCAGTTTTTCCTCGCATGTCTTCCTGTCCCTGCTCGACTCCCGTGGTTGCGGGGTCATCCCCGCCTTGCGCACAGCGAAGAAGATGCAGTTCTCTCGGCACTACAACTTACCTCGGGAGATGAGACCGGCGCCGGGGCGAGGAGCGAGACAGGAGATGAGACCTCGGCAAGAAAAATCCGGGCTGTACAAAGCGCAGAGACTTCGCAAACGCCAACTACAGATGAATACCTAGCAGATCCAGATGACGAGGACGCTGGTGCTGGTCCACCCTCCACTCTCGGCGTCGGTGATCTGAGCACCATTTTCCAATCACCGGAAGACGAAAGTGCTGATGAAGAGGGAAGTAAAAGTGCCACTGATGATGCAACGGACAAAACAACAGGAACTGCTGCAGCTGGTTCTACTTCTGGTGCCGAAGAACAAGATGCGGCTGATGAAACGGGAACAACAGGGACCGAAGCAGCTGCGGAAAAAGCGGACGGGGTAGGAGCTGCCAGAGATGATGTCGTGGGGGACAGCAGTAGTTCTACTGCGGGACGAACAACTGCAGCCGCAACATCCAACGATGAGAACGACAAGTTCAGCGACGAGGACGATCCCTCCGCCCAGAACTGCTCGCTTTCCCCGCAAAACCCCGTTGCCATCCACAAGTCGCAGCCCTGTCCACAAGCCTGCCCTTTCGCCCAGCCAATAGCGCAGCAGAGTTGCGAGAAGTGGTGCGTGAGGCCGGAGAACTGCGCCATGTTCCACCCCGCGAGGTCCTTCCCCGATTTGAAGACGAACCAATGCGTCCTGCCCTGCGGAATAGACGGGAACGAGATCGAGGGTTGTGTCGAGTGCGCCGGGTTGGGAAAGTGCAAGAAGTGCGCGGTTGGGCTATTGGGTGTGTCGTACTACGAGTTGTCGGTCGACGGTAAGAAGTGCGTCAATTTGGCCTCGCGGACCTTCCACTTGGTGACGTCGGTTATCCTGTTTCTCTGCTTCGCCTTTTTTCTGTACTTGTTGCAACTCCAAGCTCGTCCGGTCACAAATCTAGATGCGTTGCAGTACGCGATGCGGAACCGGTGGCAGGCGAAGTGGGCGTTTGTGTTCGGAGATATCAGGTTGGGGGACTTGAAACTAGGACGAGGTCAAGAGGAAGATGAAAACGTAGCGAATTATGGCACGAACGAAGGTACTGGCGCAAGGACCTCAGGCGGACTCCAAAGTGTGCTGGGAGAGGAAGAAGATGAAGAACAGTTTTTTCTGTCCGACGACGAGGAGAATTTTCCACGGGCAGAAACAAGTGAAGAGCTGCACTTCGAGCCAGAAATCGTCGATCCCACAGGCACCTGCTCGGCTGCCGACTCGGAGTTGGACGACGAGGAGAATTCTCTCACTGTGCAAGAGCCACAAGCATCTCCTCCTGATTTCCGCTTGGGCAGCAACAGTCATGACCAGCACCAGTCTCAGCTCCAGCTTGAGTCCCGGACGCAAATCTTGCGAGAACACGCCACCACGACCTCCAACCGAACGGCGAGGGTATTGACCAGCAGCGTTTCCTCGTCAGCCACCACTACTAGCCCGCGGGTCGCCGGCGTTGGGCAGATGGCGCGCTCGGCTTCTAGTGCGACTACTTCTACACCAAAAGCTCCTGCTAAATCCTCGGATTCCAAAAAATTATCTAGTGGAGGTCCCCGCCGCTGGTGGAGCACCCCGGTCCACTCTGAGGACATTGCCGGCAAAGGTGTCGCGCTTTACTTCAACTGGCTGCTGTTTCTGATGGTGGTTTCCCTCGCTTCCTCCTCCATTCATTATTTCACCTACGAACATTCGGATTTGGGCGCGGCCATGCACAGTGGCGGGCCACTGCTGGAAAAAAGCTGTGCTGCGCCATTACAGAAGGACGGGGTAACTCCTGCGGGTCTTGGGAGTCGTGCAGACGCTTCTTCGTCGGCAAGATCAACAAACAGTACAACCACTTCTCCTACTGGACCTGCCTCAGACCAGTCTGAATCAGAGCCAGCGAAAGATGAACAAGCCGAACTGCCAAAGGAAACCAAACCAAATACGGACGAGAGCAGCAACGTCGAGCCAAAAGAGACAAACAAACTCCTGTTTCTCATGCAAAAGCAAGTTCCAACGAATCCGATTCCCTCCGGCCAGCCGGCCACGCAGCCGGGGGAGGAGGACAACGCTTTGCCCCCGGTGGCGAAAGACGACACTGACATCACGACTCCACCGCCGAAGGTGATCGATGGAGAGCAAACAGACGGGGACGACGCCAGTGGGTCTTCTAGAAGCAACATTTTTCGTCGCCGGGGAGATGAAAACGCTGGTAGTATGGAGACTGAAGAAGATCCAGATGACTACTACAACGACGATGACGATTTCTCTGGTGTGCCACCTTATCGACGGGATCGCCGCCGCTACAAGCCGACATTAGAAGAAGTGCTCGAGGACAAGTTCAACGATCTTGCCGTCGCCGTCCGAAGCATCATCCAGCGGCTGCAGGACGAGGCCAGTAAGTGGACGCTGCCGGCAAACGCTATGGGTGGTGGAGGGGGAGCGAACAAGAAAAATGTCAATCCCAACGTCGAGAAAAAGTACGAGCAGTTCCACTCCCGGATGTTTGTTTGCTGTGGGCTGTTGTACTTTGTTTTGACATTTTCCGTCCTCATCTTCCACGCGTTGCAATTGGAAAAACTCGCAACGAATAGCTGCACGGTGGATGGCAATGCTCTTGAAGATGATGAAGTAGACCAAAACGAAAATCCTTCTAGCAGCAAACCCGAGACGAACAGGAACAAGCAGATGAACTACAACACCCAGAACTTCTCTTCCACCCAGGTGGAGCTGCAACAGACGCAGGACTCCCCGACGCAGTACTGCCTCGTTTTGGAAAACCTACCCCGCCATGTGCTCGACGGGAGTGTTGTGTCCGCGTTTCTGGAGCAGAAGTTGACGCACTTGCTGAATATGAATTCGACAGCGCTGGTAGAAGGCCAATATTACGCGGGACGAGATCTTCATAGTGTAGCTGATTCACAATTCTTGCCAAATGGCACTAGAACATCTTCTTCTTCACGAACTTCTAAGAACAGCTCCCCAGCAGCTGCATCACAACCTCAACCTCACGCCGTCCGCATCATCGGGACTAGCATTGCGTACGACTTTTACACGAAGAAGGAGGAAGTGTACGAGGAGTGCCTAGATTGGCTGGATTTCTCCCGACACTTGGCCGATTCCTCCCGGCGTTTCTTCGCCAGGTCGCTGCATTCCGGCACTTTTTTCAACCGTTCCACGTCCTCGCCTGTGCAGTCGCCAAGGAGCGCGGGGGGCGGCGGACATCCCGGAAGGAGCCGGTCCACCGATATGCTGGCAGCAGCGGCCGCGGGTCGTGTTCCAGCCTTCTCCACCTCCGCTGGAACTAGTTCAGAAAGCAGGACGCCGGCGAACCGGGCGATCGAGGTCGATTTGTCGTCTACCGGCGCCGCTGCTGTCGCTTTTTCGCCTGTAGCAAAGGGGGCACAGACAGAAGTATCTTCGTCAAAACTTGTAAATCAGCAAGAAGCGAATAAAACCACGAGTAGTAGCAAAAACACAGCATCTGCCTCCACCTCGCCAGACAGGACTACGGGAAGTAGGAAGATAAAACTCGTTTCCAACACGGTGCAAACGGACGCGCTGTCCTCCAAAATGTTCGACACGTTGATCGAGCTCGACGAACGAACGACGAAGACGCGGAAGCTTGAAAGAAAGTCCCAACTTGCCATGCTGGACAACCTCTTCATGCAGTTCGTCGGACTGAGAGAGAACAAGCCGCTACCGCTGAAAAACACTGGGAAGGCGTATGTGGTTTTTGAGAGGAAGGAGGACGCAGCAAGGATCCTTTTGTTAGCAGACCGCTTGCACCAGCAACGCGAATACGAAAAGTGGAAAAGGGGGGAAAATTTGCTGCTCCACCGACTGCATTCGCCGTGGTTGGTGAGAAGTGTGTCATCTGGAGCTGGGGGATTTTTCGGGACGCCAGGAGCAGCTCCGTTGTTTCGACTTCCTTCATCGGGTATGGAGGTCGTGCAACAGCCTCTGGCGTCAAAATCGTCGACAGCTCAAGATCGTCAGATGGCTGATCATCACGCAGAAGAAGAGACATCAGGTACTGCTACAACGATGTCAACAAGAGCAAGGCGCTTTTTTCGAAAAACGCTAGGGCTGTTTTCGTTACCGAGGATACGGTTTTTGTCGTCCACAAGAACAGCAACTGGAAGAGCTACATCAGCCTCACACCGACCCGGGCACCAGCATCAACCGCAGCCATCCGCCGAAGAGTTGCTCCGGATTGAGAACGCGGTTTTGGAAATTCCGCTGGATGCTCTTCCCGCAGAATTGCCCGACAGTAGACAAAATTCATTTGGAGCAGTAGAAGTAGACCGATCCAACGCTAGCACTACTTTGTCGTCCGCAGTCGGCAATATAAATTCCAGCACTGTTGACTGCACCACGGCGCCAGGTCGGGCGCTGGTTTACAGCCGCGCCTTCGAAAAGCAGTACGGGGGGAGACAGTGCCGCCCACGGTTGCTCAGGACCTTGCGATACAGCGCAACGGGACATGAGGGCTCGTTGTCACACCAAGAGGGCGGTGGTCGGGTATAGGTTCATCTTCATGCTGATCACGTCCTTGCACTCGACGCTTTTCGTTGTTGTGAATTTTTTTTCTGCTACCTCGAAGCTCTTTGATAGCATTAGCAAGATGCAAAATCGAAGGAAATAAAATCACAGGCAACCTCCGACCCAAGCTCCCCGCTTGGCGCCAATGCCGCCCCTGTCTCGACGGATAACATACCCCCACCACCACCACCCACCGAATTGGACTTCATCACTCTGCGAAAAGCGAAAGATGACGAGCACCCGTTATTGCTTCATTGGGAAAACCTGACTTCCTGGGGCAATTTTTACCAGAAGATCTTCCTGGGCGTCACAATCGTCCTTTTCACGATGTTTTTGTGGACAGCACTGTACCTTACGTACGCGATTTTCTACATCACACTGATTCCCAACATCCCGGGTTTGGGTGTTGACCAAACGTACTTGAAAGACGTGCTCCTCGGTCTGCTGATCACCGTCGGCAATGCGCTGCTGTACTTCGTCATCGACCGCGTAACGAAACAAGCGGGCTTTTCCTCCCGCGACAGCAGGGACCGGGCGGTTTTGGGGTTCAGCTTCATCGGAACCTTGCTCAACGTGGTGTGTGATTTGGCCATGGTAGCGTACGTCGCAAGGACTCAGCATTTGGAAACAATCTTTAGCAGCAGCAGCACTTCTTCTTCTGGGAGCTCCTTCGTCTCCTACGACCAAGTCCTCGGTCAGCAACTGTTCGCTTTGATTATGCCGGGCTATTTGATTCTGCCCTTCCTCGCCGCGCCGGTTTTCGAGCACGTCCTCCCGTTTTGGCTCTCGTTCTGGTTTATCCGGTCGAGATCCGGCGTTTTGCAGAAAGACGCAACGGAGGCCTTGCGAGCGAAGGACTTTGAGATCGCGTGGCGTTATGCGGATGTGCTGAACAACCTATCTATTTGCCTCCTCCTCTTTCTCTTTCCCGGCCCGAACGCGTGGCGGATTATGCTTGGGCTGTTCCTCTTCTCGGTCTTGATTTACGTCATTTATCCCTTGTGCAAAAGTATCGTATCTTCTTCGATGGTACGAAAAATCGCAGTCATACAGAAAAAAACGAAAACCTTTTATTTGTTTTCCAAGCGAAATATACGATTACGATTATGAGCATGAGAAATTATTCCATTTGCAAATGCCACGTTCAGCTCCTGCCAATCTGTATCGCAATTCCTATCAGTGCTAGTCCCGCGAACGCGATATTACTTTTGCAATGCATATGCTTGATCGGTATCTGTTCTTCAAGCAGACGACGGTCACATTCTACCCCACGATCGGTTTGGCGAATAGCTTCGCGTACTGGTTCGTCGTTCCAACTGGGATTATATGCATTGCAAATATGTCTGGCTTCTGGGCGTGAGAAGCAAAAGTCACCCACTTTTGGGCACCAATTAGCGAGTGTATTTCTGATGCGGCACACTGGCAATGAATTAAAATTCCCGAGCCTCCTCATCAAAATTTGTAATGGTGCGCTCCTTATTGCTCTTCCAGACCTTCTAGGCCATGCGAAGCCTGCGCGTGACAGTGGATCTAGCAACCATTTTCCAGACGCAGACATGTTTGCAGTGCATACATTCTGGCTGTCGCCGTGGCGTACTGGGGGACAAAAGCGTTCGACCCCGTGGAGGACTACCTGACGTTTCTGAAATACGATTTCTTCAACCCAGGAAGGCAGAATATCAAAGACGGGACAACCGGCTCAGGGTCCTTTCTCTTGGCACTAAACCTGCCGTGGTCCGTGTGGTTTTGCTTGCTTGCGGTGGTGCTGCATGTGGTGAGCTATTTGTCTCTTTTGCGCACCCTGATACGGAATTTCAAGGCCTACACCAGCTTGGCCAACTACGGTCAAATAATCCTCGACGGGGGTGGAGAACAACAAGCTGGGAGGAAGTTCTCGTCGTCCACTTATTCCTCCTACCTGTTCCGTCAGTACTTGCTCTCGCCCGGAACGAGACCCAAATTGGTCCTGCCCGCAGTAGCAACAGCAGGAAACAATGTGAATGCGTCGACGAACAGCAACACTGCTTCTGAACAAGATCCCGATAGACGAGAAGTAGATCATGCAGCTCATAGTAGTACTCAATTTCTAAAGAAACTTGCCCAAAAGCGCATTTCGCAGAAGTCCATCGCCACGTATTTCAATACGAATCCGATCTACTGTCTACGAAGCCGGTACCTAGGCCCAGATGCGTCCGGATGGAAAATGGTGCGCAACGCGCTGCATTTGAGCGAGAAGACTTGTTTTCCCTTCATGCGCGGGGTGTATCCAAACTTCAGCAAGTTCTGAGGCGGCACGTGGTTCACTTGCGCTTGTCGTGCCAAGAACGCCGGTGCGTGTGCACGCTGATGCTGAAGATACGATACATACTCTGAGAAATAAACTACACACAAGGAATGCATCATGTAGTTCATGATGTCGCGAGTTTTTTCTTTTCCACATCGTAATCGAAGCCTTCACGACGTCGGACATGTATTGAATTTGAAGCACGGACCGCAAATTCGCGGATAGCGCTGTTGCAACACCGTCATGCACTGCAAGAGAGAGAGACCCTTCAAGAATCATTGATGACTTCGTGTCAGAGACAAGTTTCATGTGTTGTTTTTTCCGCTCACAAGAAAGGAGCCAAGCATGGTACTAGCAAGATGAAGCAAGCAGAAGCACTACTCTACACCTGAGTCTGGTGTATGAAGCACAAGGACCTAGAGACAGCGGCTCTGTTGTTCAGAGAGTATCACCATCAGGACGCTCGCGTTCGACGTACACGTACGCCGTCAAATTGACACAGAAAAAAATCGGTGTCTGTCGATCTACCTCCTCGTGACTCTTCGTTCAGTACAGTCATCGGTGAAAGTTGTTTGAGGTACTACATATTGAGCACTAGCATCGGTGGCTTAGTTTTCTGGATAGTCCAATAAGTACTAATTTTCTTCTTGATTTTTCCTTCGCGATATTCGGTTTTCGACTTCTACAGTTGATGCATCTTTAACTTCGCGATGAACAAGTGAATATCGTATCAATCGTTGTCACAGCATCAAGACGATTGATTAGGTACAATTTCGGTTGAAAATCAATGTAAAGCCTCCTCCACTACTGTCGGTTTTAGTCACAGTTTATCCTCCAGTGCAGTGCTTTCGGCTTCCTGGTCGCATAATAAATTCGGTTGGTGTTGCCTTTCTTCGATTTTGACTTTCTCTTCGTGGACACTTCTCGAAAAATTGGTGGCTGCGTCCTCCGGAAAATAGCATATGTGCGGCGTGTAGGAATGGAAGTGAAACTCGTCTAAAATCTTATCGGATTTTTCGAACTACTTACAGCAGAACTTACACGTATTTTTACCGCAACACCACCCTCTGCCCCCCGGCAAACGTCAATTCTATCGAACAAGTGAAGCTCACTTTGCAGTTTTACGCATAAGCACTCAACTCATTTGTTATTGTTTTTGTATTTCACGAGACGGAAAGAAATAAAGAAAAAGAAATTGGCTCAATACCACGAATCACATCAACTTCAACAGCGAACAAGATGTCAAGAACAACTGCGTCTACATTCGCTCCCACTCCAGGGGGCCGAGTTCTTCCTGGTCGAGGAGTGGCGCCTCTCTTCCTCCGTCAGCTTCTTTTTGGAGGCGCCGCAGCTGCTAATGCGAGCTCTTATCCTACAGAAAAGCAAAAGTAGTACTACACTCTTCATTCCACCAGCACGGTTATGGTACAACCCGAAAATAATCTGTCATGCAAAATGCGGAGAATAAGGGAAGGGATCAGAAATAGAATTGGTACCGCCACCACGCAGATCATTTGTGATGCTGAACGCACAAGAACAGCAAGCCCAAGCGTTTTTGTTTTTGTTACGTAAAGTGACCGGATCAACACATCATATAAACGTCTTTAGCTCAGAAACTGAAAATACCAGTGTGCTGTTGCCGTTTTTCTGTTGGATACCCGCATCAACTCAATCCCCGTGGCGATGCAAGACACGACTCTTACCATCGGATTGAAATTGCCGGCGTCGGTGATATCATCTTCAAATGCGGGGAGCGATACCACGAGCCTTACAACTACAACCAGTGCGCCAACCACGAGCTCGACGCCGGGTGCGACTTCTTCCCCCACACTCACGACCTCCACAACTCCCGCACCATCAGGGGGTGCTGTCACGACCCCCGACCCCTTGCTCGGCACCGGGTCGCTGCTTCAGCCGATCAGCAGCGAGGACCCGCGGACCACTGTCGACGTCGCGTTCGGCCAGTTGGGGCACACCCACCCCATGCGGGTGTACGAGAATTTTTCGAAGCACAAAGCCGCCGGGCCGTACCAAACGAACCGGTTCTGGGCCAACTGGGCGTTCAGCGGGCTGCGGTACGGTCCGTGGAGCGGCCAGGACGAAGATTTGATGCGCATGAAACTGCTCTACGGGTACAAAACTTCCGACCCGATCTACGTCGGCACGTATGGACTTCGGTGGATGGACGGCGCTTTGGGGGTGCTGTGCGAGCCGCACAGACTGAAGTCCAGCACGCAATTCGCGCAGGAGAAGCAAGGCACCAACGGGTTCCCTTCCACCGGACAGGAAACCTTTTCCGCCGCGGGGCAGCAGTGGATGGCGCAGAGTGGAAACCTGGCCAAGTTCGCGAACGAACCCCACGCCTACAGCTACACACGGCCGGTCGGGTTGAACGAAGTGTCGCTGTTTATTGACGCCTTGGAGCTGATGGAACCGCAGGGCGCCACCCCGCAGCGCGAGTACGAGATCGTGAAAGAGGGTCTCCTCGGGATCCACGCGACCTCCACCGCGACGGCCTCCGGGTCGAAAATCCTTTACCCGATCTACAACGGAATGGCGTACGTTTCGGCGTACTACGACGGGAACGACGATTTGACGCCGGTCTTGCTGTTCAACGCCATCCGCCCGACTTCGGTGCTCAAAAGGGGTCAATACCAGTACGCGCAGGACAATTTCGGCGTTGAGCAGCACTCCTGGGACTTCACGCTGGATGCGAACCAGGGGGGCGCAGTGTACCGTGTGTATTTGTTGCCGACCAGCACTAGTACATCGCCGTCGACCAACTTTCACTGGAACTCGGACCCGGTGCTGCAGTCGCCCAACAAGAAGCTGCGCATGGTGCAGCTGAACCAGAAATTCCAAGGGTGGTTGCGGGTCGCGCAAGTGCAGTCTAGCGGGAAGAAGTACGAAGACAACGTCGAGCGGCCGACTCTGCGCTGCAGGGCGTCGACGAAGTCTTGGACAGAGACGCGAACCGAGTGCGCGGACGATGGCTACGACATCTCCGCCTCGGCGGTCTTGTACGACTTGGGGGTCGACCTCCACGCCACGCAAGGCGGTCTTCTGAAGTACCAGTTCAAGCACCCACCGACGGCGATGCGGCCCGGAGGTAGTTCTCCTGCGGGTTCCGCGGGCAGCACTGGAGCTCCGCAGCACATGCACTTCGCCTACCAAACGCACCTGCGGCACTTGCGGAGTTACACCGCGGGAACAAATTCGGTTTATTCGATTCTGAATCTGCAGTTCCAATCGCACTCCCAGGGCTGGATGACGGGGGTGCGCGGCTCCGTCTGGGAAATGCTGCCGAACCTGCTCGCCGAGACTTATCAGCTGGATTTCCTGCCGCCCGGCGACACCACGGGGGTGCTGGACGTGGTCAGCGGCGGCGTGCACACAAATCTCGGGCAGCAGTTTCGAGACGATTTTGTGCACTACAAGTACGGGGGCGAGAACAACTACGGGGCGCACAACTCCGTGCCCGCGGTTGGGGCGGTGTAGAATGCCGGAAAGAAGTACCAGAAGTTTGCCACCTACTGCCTCCTGGCGGAGAAGGTTGCCAACGCGCCGAACACCGGGGTTGCGGACTTGGCCGAAGACGTGGAGAACCAGGACCTCTGCCCGAAGATTTTGAAGGAGCTGTTTCTGTGCTGGATCGACCCGGCGCAGGCCTTCTGCGCACACCAGTCCAAGCTCCAGGTGCCGCTCGTGTACGAGCCCAAATTTGGCGGACTGGTGAACCCGAAGCTGACGCCCAACGCGGCGGCCAAGGCGAACAACATCGACGAGCAGACGCAAGGGATCGGAGACTACTGCAATGCGGACTTCGGGAACATCTGCTTCAACGACCAGCACTACCACTACGGGTATTTGGTGTACTCAGCGGCGGTCCTGATGAAGTACAACGGCGCGGAGATTTTGCAGGAGGGAGGCCTGGAAAAGAACAAAATCGTGAACTTTGTGCACGGTCTGCTCCGCGCGGTGGCCAACCCGGCCCAAAACTACCACGACATCGACGTGACCGCGCCTTCCGACCCGTATTTTCCCATGTTTCGCTTCTTCGACCTGTTCGATCTGCACTCCTGGTCGCGGGGCTTGCAGCACAACACCTTCGGGAAAGACCAGGAGTCCACCTCGGAGGAGATCAACTTTTACCACGGCGCGCAGTTGTGGGGTCGCTGGATGAAAAAGCACGGCCAGGCTCTGGGGTTATCCGAGTACGCGGAGCTCGGGGCCCGGCTGGAGACCATCTTTACCGTCCTCACCGCACTGAACGCGCAGTCGATCTGGACCTTTTACCAGATGGAAGAATACGAAGACTTCGGCGACATCCACCCGCTCGAGTTCGCGCGGAACCACTGCGTGGGCATGCTGTACCAGAACGAGGTGAAGTACAGCACCTGGTTTGGCCCCGCGAAGGAGTACATCCACGGCATCCAGATGATGCCGCTGACCACCGCCCTGCGGCTGGCGCGGGACCCGGAGTTCATGAAACTGGAATACTACGACACCTTCGACTGCAAGGATCCGGCGAACTACGCAACCGACGCCTACTCCTGCGTGGCCCCGTGTCCGGCCCAGGACATTTCGATCGTCGAGAACCACGTGCAGAACCTGGCGACGCTGCACAACGGGTTGAAAATGTGGATCGGCCAGATTGCCACCGGCAACATGGCCCTCACCGACGACCTGGCGGCCCAGAAGCGGGCGTACAACATCCTGCGGGACTGGAACCCGGCCCACCGGAGTGTGGACGCGGGCGCCAGTCTGTTGTTCTACAACTATTGGGTTCTGAAAATTGCGGAGGCCGTCGGGAACGACGTCACCGAGGGCGGGGCGGTTCTGCCGAAGCTAAGCGGCGGCCTTGATTCGACGCAGTCCGCCGTTGTCGATGCGGTAAAGATGGCGGCCCACCGCGGCGTGGGCAAGGCCTACTGCAACGCGATTTCGGGCATTGGCAAAATCTTCCCGTCGCCCTTGGTGTGCCAGCACGCGTTTATGGGTACGCCCGGTATCACAAACGTACCCTTGAGCACACACTTCGGAGTGACGGTCTGGTATGCGACCCTTACCGAGCAGGGTCCTTATCTCAACCCCGCCGACCCATCTCCGTCGTCAATAACCTTGGTGAGTGACATGTTCGCCACCAGTGCGCCGGGAGGTGGTACAGCTACGACAAGTACTAATCCCCCAGCCTCAAGTAGTAGAACGTTGTCCTCGACGTCTCCCTATCCGCAAAAAAAGACCCATGATCTCCAGCCAAATTGTCATGCAAAACATGCGGAAAAGGTGCCTTTATTGACCGGGTCTGGTGGTGGGCAGTTCCTCCTGAATGGTCAATGTATGCCGCGGCGACTGATCGCGGTACTAGCGCTCGATTTTGTATGCAGTCCCCGCCGAAAGTGCTTCTATCTTCGCCCACCCACCGGGACGAGCAGATCCTTGGCCTGTCGCGCTGGGTGTGGGTCGTGCTCGTGTGGGTGTCCGCTACATGATGATAATGATGATGCAAAAAATGGACGGGGATGGGTCTTTTTCTGTGGATACTCCCCGTCAGCTTTCTACTGCTCTTGAAGTTGTCGACGGAAAGATGACGTACCGCTTATTCTTGCGAATATATCCGCGCCTATCCGAAGATGATATCCAGTGCAAATATGTCTGGGTCATCTGGAAATGCATTGTGATACTAAAATTAGGATGCTGTTCGTGGAAACACTTCCGAAAAATTAAATGCAACAACTTTGCAGAACGCTCCCCCAGACGCAGCCGGCATGGGAAGCTGCGTTTTTGTATGACAAAAGGGGCTGCGACTCGTGTCGTTGGTCATCTTTTCACAGCGCAGTCTGTTTAGCACCATATACAGATTTCACAGAAATGTAAGGCCAGCGCTACAAGTGCGAACTTTCCAGACCCAGACACATTAGCAATTCATAGATGAGTCTGACAAACATAAGTTCACGCAAGAGGAACTCGACGCTGTATGAGGGTGCACATCTCCGTCTTCTCCTCATTATCAAGGCAGGGCAACCAGAAACAGAGCCAGTGCCACTGATGCAGGGCATAACAAAACTCCGCGCACGGAATTTTCTAGCACCGTTTGGGGTTGATCATCCGAAAAAACCTGTCATGCCAAGACTGCTGAAAGGCAACAATTGGATTTCGATTTCGTTTCATCTTGCATGATAAATGTCATGCAACGCGTCAATAATTGTTGTGTTGCTGGTCCTTTGCCAGTCGCGGGGCATGTTCGGGCGTTCCGGGCAGTGCCTTGTGCACCCCTCGGACCCCGCGCCCCCCCGGGCTTTAGTCGTGCAGTCTCAGACTGCGCGACTAATGTTAAGCATGACACTTGTCATGACGAGCAGAAGGAGGAGGTTGTCGCGCACTCTCATACGCCGCTGCCAGGATGCTGTACCAGGTGAAAGCCGATCTGGAAAAAAGCGGTGGCAGTGAGGGTTTTCTGGACTCACTGGCGCCGAGCGTGAATGCCGAGCTGCAAGCCGCCGGGATAGACGGCGCGTCCGCTACAACCCAGGGACTCAGCGATGCCGGGCAAGGACTTATCGTTGACACGCCGCTAGTCACCGATGGAACTTCTACCCTAACTACGTTGCCCCATCCCGATGCGAAGAGCATATCTGTCATCGTTTCCGAGAACGACACAGACGATGGACTGGTCGCCGCCCTGGTGGCCTTATTGATCGTCGTCGTTGTTGCTATTGCCGTTTGGTATTTTCGTTACTACAAAAGTGCTACTGCTAGTGATGTTCCGGCGCAGCAAGGAGGGCGTGGATCAAGAAGTAGTCGCACTGGACGAGGGGAGGACAAACAGCGGGCCAACAAAAGAGAAGGTGCTCTCTCCTGGAAGCAGAAAGATTTTGCGCCATGGGAGGAGGATGCTGCCGTGTGGGACAATGATGATGCTGATTTTGTTGACGAAAACACTTTCTCCGCGGAGATTGAGATGCGGGAGGAGCCTTATGATCTTCGAAAAAACCGTCCCCCAGTTCGAATGCCTCCTCTTGCGCCCCCCAGCAGTACGCGTCTTCAGCCATTGTCCGCGAAGCGGCTGCAGCAGGCACCGCAAAGCACGCAGGAAAGAGGACAAGCCGCCGCAGCGTTGGCCGCAGCAGGAGCAGCTCCCACATCAAGAGCAGCGGCAGGGCCGCGGCGCGTGAGAGGACATCAAGGCGGAGGTGGACAAGTGACGAAAATAAATAAACTGACTTCATCCATCACGACAGAGGAAGTGGAGATCGAGGGTCGGAACAGCACCGGCAGCAAAGCGAGCAAGAAAAGCCGCTCCTCCCGAGGCTGGCGAGATGAAGATCAAACTTACAGCGCACCGGCTTCGACAGTGCAGCCAAAACCCAGGAAGAAGAGGAGCGACTTCTGAAGGAGTGCTAGTACAACTCCACGGACCTAGTACTTTTGTTCTGCTGGGATCATTCGGATTCGCAAACAAGAGCTTCAAGAAATCTAAATCTATTGACTCTACGCAAACATAATTTTTAACATTCAACACACTCACAACATTCATATTCTAAGTTCTCAACATAGTACTCAGCAACGTATCAAGAGGCCCTGCATTAAAGTTTCGAATTGAATAAAGATTTTCAAATACCTTATCCCATGAGAGGCCACTAATCGATCGGCATCCATTCGAGTGACGCAGCCACGCATGCGCAACGTATACGACACATACACGATGTTTCGCACAAAATGAGGCCGCAACGAGCCTCGTCTGCGGATTTCGGGGTTGTGGACCTCCTTGCCGTTCCCATCCGTTCTGGAAAGAACAATAGTATAAGTCAGTTCATCGGTCTTTACTTTTGTAATGCAAGCACAAGGAAGAAGGCTTTCGGTTCGCAGCTTTCCACGAAAAATAAATCGGCGTTTCTACTGAAGACGAATACAGCAGGACCTGTTGAAGAAGTAGTGTCAGTCGGTGTCGTTGATGATATGTTCAGCTTTAAGTACCTTGTCGGTCTCGTCTCCGTCTAACTATCGCAGTCAATATTTTTGATAAAACTGCGCTAAAAAGCGCGTGAATTTTCTGGTCGGTTAGTTTAACGTCTACCTCTACACCAGACAAGCGTCATTTGGTGTTTACTAGCCGCTGAACAAGTATTATCACTACTTCCCCTTATCCAGAGATTTAAGTTTGGACCACGTAAGCCCCGACATCCTGATGTGTTAAAAATCGTAGCTTCAAACTCATTTGATTGGCATCCTGTAAGACCCCGGAATTGCAACGCCCCCCTCTCCCTCGCAGTCACTTCATTGCTTCCACTATAATTCTGTTGTAAAGCATATCCTTTAACTTACACTTTTACCAATCGATTTTCTACTCGATCGTTTACTGCTTACTGCAGAACAATGGCGGCGGGACGAAGGCAATTGTCTTCACATCTGTGTCCCCTTGAGGTCCTTTTTGGCAGCGTGGGGCCCCAGCTGCTGTATTCCGCTGGGGCGATTTTTGTGCTGTTTCTTGCGGACGTGTATGCATTGCAAATCTGTAGTCGAAGATCTAGGTCTTGATGTTGAAGAAGAACAAGAAGTGGACGACGCCGACGAGAAAAGAACTAATTACCATTCTCGAGGCTGCTTGTCCTTGGTTTGTTGATATGTTCTTCGACGATTCAGTATGCCACAGCGTCGTAGTACCACGCTACCACCCCTACGGTGCGACAAGAAGAACGAATTAAAATCGTTGACACATAATTCCAGTTTCTTAAGACCGCGACCTACTTCCGATTTGCCCATTTTATAAGCGAGCGACGGGATCGAGTCACGGCTGCAATTGCCCTTCTACCTTCGCCCCAGTGTGTGGGACGGATGGGAAAACCTACTCCCACGCGGATTGTTTGCAGTGCAACTCTATCCACTGCGAAAGTATCCTCGTAGTCGTACTTTTAATTGCGATATTTTCTTCCCTTGGCAAGTCTCATTTTCATTCTGCCTGTTCTAGCATGACAAATTCTATGTAGTTTCAACCAGAGAAAATAAATTTGTAATGCGGTCGTAATTTCTACGAGGACGATACTTTTGCAATGCATAAACACCAGTCACGGCGTGAAGCAGGCCTATGTCGGAATGTGCCTTTCCACTTCGACGCCGAGTGCCTCGTGTGGCTGTCCGACGAAGCACGAGCCCGTTTGTGGCAGCGACGGTAATACTATTCCCTGAAAATTAACCATCCCCTTCCCCATCTACTTTTTGCGTGAAGACAGAGGACACAGAACTCCCGTACATGTTTTGCATGGCAAATTGGATGGCGATTGTTAATTTTCAGGGAATAAACACGTATGCCAACGCCGGGTGCATGGCCTGCGCGAAAGCCAGCGATGGAACAAGCAATGTGATGAAAGCCAGTGATGGCCAGTGTCTTTCCACTACGGTCTATCCAAAGAAAAAAGTGTTACAGTTACACATTTGTTGGAATTTCAGCATCACAAATTTGCTCTGCATGGCGAAGAAAACTTGTGATGCGCAGACTATAAGGGAAAACACGAATGGAATGAGGCTGGCACGCGTTTCCTGCATGACAGAGGTTGCCTGTCTTGCTTGCCTTGCATGAGAATGTGTAACTGTAACACTTTTTTCTCACGATACGGTTACGATCAATGGCGTTGCGTCGGTGAGTTCGTCGTGCAGGTGCAGCTCGGTGTTCGCCCCGATCTGTGGCAGCGACGGCACGACGTATGCAAACGAGGGCTGTATTGCCTGCAAGGCGGGATTGTCGAAGGCGCACGATGGAGCATGTGGCGCGTATCGCACCAAAAAGTGTTATACGTTTAACGGAAATTATTCGCATGCAGTAAGAAACGCATCAGAAATTAATTGCAGATGCTCCTCGATTTGAATTTGGTTGTATTGGAAAGCATGCATGCGAGGAAAACAAGAGCTGTCCTGCGTGACAACTGCAATCTTTGAAAATGACCGTTACCTATGAGCACTTTTTTGCTTGATAGCGCGATGGTGATTGGTACCGCGGCGATCGGGGGAACCGCGTACGGCTGTACGTGCGCCACGGCTTGGAACCCCGTGTGCGGCAGCGACGGCGAGACCTACTCCAACGAAAGTTGCATGGGCTGCGTGACCGGCGTGAAGAAGGCCTACGCGGGCGAATGCCAGGTCGCCACGACGCCGCCCAGCCAATGCGTTTGCCCGACCGTGGTCGCGCCGGTATGCGGCAGTGACGGCAAGACGTACTCCAACGAGGCGTGTTGTGGGAGTGTCAGGATTGAAATTGTCAAAGTTGAAATGATTTGTCATGCATAAAATGCGACGCAGAAATTGGCTCTATTGCAGAGGACGCACGGGAGGCAGATTATAGTCCTGGCATGGGGCAAAAGTTGGACTGCTGACAAGCATGACAGAAGGCAGCTCTTTTGCCCTAAAGCGCATGACAGACTCGCTTCCAGGACCGGGAAAATTTGTCATGCACCGACTACAAACTGTAGGTCTAACTGGTATCCGTTTTATGCATCGCAAATCATTTCAACTTTGACGATTTCAATCCTGACAGTTCCATACGTGTATGAGCTGCCGGGCGGGCGCGGGCGTCACCAAGGCCGCGGATGGCGCTTGTGGCAGTGGCGGTGTTACTCCACCCATGTGCATGTGCAGCTCCCTCCATGCCCCCGTCTGCGGCAGCGACGGCACTACTTACGCGAACGAGGGCTGCATGGTCTGCTCCTCTGGCTATCAAATGTAAAAATGTCTTGTGCTGGAAGAGTGCGAGGTTTGTCATGCTTGTCTGGCATGACTCTTAAATCTGTCATGCACGTTACCCAAGAGTTCCGCTTTTCTGTGATGCAGAGGCGCAGTTTGTCATGCAGAATAGGCAACACCTAGGAGCTCAGAAACTTGTCATGCTGAGCCAGCATCTGTAGCCTCATCATGAGATGCCACCCAGCATCACAAGTTTCCAGACCCAGACATTTTTACTTTTGATACTGGCGTCACGAAGACGAAAGACGGGCCCTGTGATCCACCGACCACGACGCCCGCGCCGGCAACTCCGGGGCCGACGATTCAGGCACAAAAAGAGTATCCGACTGATGCTCCTGCACAAGTAGAGCTATGTCGTCCCAGTGTATGTGTAGTGCGCGTGGTCGCCCCGGCGTACCACGTGTAAGAAAGATGCCAAAGTTGGCCAGTGGCAGTGCCCGGATGACGAGATAAAACAACTACAATAAACAGTAGATGAAAATAAAGAAGTTCTGATGTAGTACAAGTATTTGGGGCTCGCGCCGCAGTGCAGACACAGCGGCGCGGGGATCTGCACATAACAATAGAACAATAGCACTGGAAGCAGCAACTAGATCTCCTGGAAGCAGCTAAATAAAGAAGCTTGGCCGAAGGGGAGGCGCCTTTTATTTGGCGAGGGGCTTTGGCGGGAAGGGCAGCCGACGCACGAAAAAAACTGCAGTTTCCCTGCCAAGCAGCAAAAGGCAAAGCAGCAAAGTGTGTAAGTACTTCAGCTATCCGATGCTCGCAAAAGCACGAACAAAAGACAAAGAGAAGAAAAAACCAAAAGAAAACTGGCAGGCGCAAACCGCCAGCAGCAGCCCAAAACTTAGAACGCTTGGCCCGGCCGGCGCCTGTAGTGCCAGAACGAGAAGCAGGGCCCAGCAATCGAGGCAGAAAATAAGCGCGCGCCCTCCAGGTTGTTCCCGTTGCATTCGGTGACAGGCGCGCCCCCTATCGGCTGGCGACTAGAAATCCGCCGCAGGTGCGGCCGCCCTCTCTGTTTTCACATCACTGCAGCCACCCCCGCGCTGCTAGGGCCAGGGTGCTGCTCTTCGGGGTACATGCGTTTCGGCTACCTTTAGCTGCGATTTGTGGAGGTAGGGGTCGCCGGTGGTCGCTTGGTACATACAAACACAGCTGCAACCCTGTGAACCGCTGCGCACCTGCTGGCGCTAATTGTAAATCGCGCGCGCCGCTGTAGTAGCAGGGCTTCGCCACGCCTGTTGCTTCCCAGTAGCAGGCACCCCTGCAGCAGCGCGCCTATTTGGTCCAGATCCTTTACCTTTTTTTTACTACTTTCTTTATATGCGAAGCTGATGAATATGAAAGTAGGCAACCGCCCCACCTGCCCTCACCGCCTGAACGCGACAGGCATTCCGGTGGTTGTTTCTATGCCTCTCCCAACTCGCGCGAGATTGGTCGCTTTTTTGCTTCCGTTTTCGAGAGGGTAGACCGGTCACGCGTGCAAGAACAACTACAAAGGCCTGCTTGCAAAGCAGACAAACCACGTAGTGTTCTTGTATGAGTAGAAAGAAATGACTTTTGGGTCCCAATTATCTGTAGCCGGTTTTGGGACAAGACCTGTAGAGGTCGACCTCTAGAGGTGGACCTCTAGAGCTCACCCCTACAGGTTTTGCACCTCTAGAGGTCGCGGCCCTCCTTGGGCTCCAGGTTTTCCCACAGTAGTGTGGGGATTCGAAATAGAAAGGTGAGCGAAAAAAAGGCTACCTCTAGAGCTTGGGCCCTCCTTTGGCCCAGGTTTGAGCCAGGTCCGCGTCACAGTAGCATTGTGATTCGAAAAAAAACGTCAATGGCCGTCCTTTGAGCCTTCTTGGTCCCAGGTTTTAGACTATTTGCTGCGAGTACTATAGTTCTTTTGGCTACTAGTAGAACTAGTAGCTGCCACTGCAGCTGCACCACCGCATGTCGAATTCAGATGGAGCAACCATGTTCTGCTCCTGCGGTGCAACTGCAATCTGGGATCCATATCTTGCTGTAACCTCAAACTGTCACGCGTGTTAACTAGCTGCGTTTTTACATCCAAAAGCAAAATGAAGACCGGAGGAGCTCGCTCTTGTGCACTTTCATAAAAAAGAAACGGATGATAACAAAAATCTCATTATCGGTCTCGCGGTGATCGGGGGAACTTTCGGGATGTTGCTGCTGGGAGGCACCTATGATTTGCAAATGTAACGTACTAGTTATAAATTGCAATACGAATACAAATTGGCTCAGCATTACTACAAATGGAATTTGTTATGCAAATTTGCCTTATGAACCAGATTTGTAATGCATTAATGCGATTAGTCAGACTAGTACGATACTTTTGCACAGGATAGAGCCCTCATCTTCGTCTTGATTAAGTGCAACCAAAAAGAGGCCCCACCACCGCGCTTTTCTCGCGGGTCCGTGCCGGGTGGGCAGGTAAGTAAGCCTATACAAGCGTCGCATAAAAACGTCGCACTCATTTCTTCGATCTCGAGCCTGCGATGTCTCGGTTGGATTACCAAAACTTGCTCCTCTATCTCACAATATATAAGACTACGCTGCGGCTGCCAGCAGAGCTCTTTCATCATGCAGCACCGCAGGTGACCTACTAGACGCGCGCCTGAGCTGCACCATGGTCGACGCTGTTGAGGAAGTAAATGCAAATAGTTCTTCTAAAGGAGTGCTCATCGATGCTTTTGTCACATATGTGAAAGACCTTCATCTCCACACCAGTCGCTGCCGATTATATCATCATCCCCATATTTACCCATAGGTTTTCATTGAGACCGAGCCGGCCGTCGTCCTTGTGGAGCAACCAGGTCGTCGCTCTGGTTCCCGGATGAATAAATCCCGCTCATCGAAAACAAGACGGAGCGGTCGCACCCCTCGACGCAGTCAGGAGGGCTCGGCGGCACACATGGTTCGTGATGGCGCGGAGCAGGATGATTTTGCAGCACAAGTGGAAAACGACGCGGCTGGTGGTGAAGATGTTCCCCCGAACAAGGCCATTGCAGAGGCCATGGAAGCTGCAGATGCGGCCGAGGAGGCTGAGGATGTTGACGAAAACCAAAACGCGGCTGCTACTGCTCCGAAGGCCATTGTCGCGGCGGCGGAGGGAGAAGGCGCGGACTACGAAGGAGAGGAACCTGGAGTCGAGTACGGGGGCCGCGAGGGTGCTGGTTACTACGAAGATGCGGCTTGGTACGGCGAGGACTACGACTACTCCCAAGATTATGACTATCGACCCTCGTCCGCGCGGAAGGAGAAAAAGAAGAAGAAATCTTCGTCTTATGCAGTTGCAAACGTACTATTGGGAGCCTTTTCGTAGTATGGACACATAGAGGACGCTGAAGACCTGCTAGCTACACGAACTGTGCTTGGATCATTCTGGTCGTGATACTAAAGTGGCAGAACATCAACATACCTCCGCCGCTACTTCAACTGGCATTCCAAAGTAGCAGGCAAAGTGACAGACTTTTCGTGATGATCTTGTGTTGGTTAGGTTCTCTCGCGGAACGGTAGCCGTAAACGAACAATAACTAAACGCATACTGACATAACGTTTGCAACTTCCATGATGCGAAGAAGTACTACGGCGAAGGAGAGACGGGCTACTACGCCGAGGACTACGATTACGACTACGGTTACGACGAACAAAACTACTGAAATGCTGTGGTCGGTCGTCGATCAGGTGGTGGTCGGAACGAATTGCAGCCCAAGTGGTCCACGTCGGCGCCGGGCCTCTTGCATTGATTATTGTACTTACAACCAAAATGCGCCATCTACCTTGCACCTCATCTAGTACAGTGTGCATTGTTTCTAAAATGAAAGATTAGCGAAAAACGCGACACCATGTCTTTCTGGTTTCACGAATAATTATCACGTGTGTAGCTTCGTCCATGTGAAGTTGAGAAGTCGTGCAGAAAAAACTGTGGCCACGGGTATACCAGGCGGTACCGAAAAATGACTCGGTAGTCCTCGCACAAAAACGATGCCACATCTGGTGTTCTAGGAGAAGTCAGGACACTTGCTGACTGAGTGCGATTTACTACTGAAAAGAAGAGCTCGCAATGGATGTGGAGGTCGGTAATAGTAAAAAGTCACATTGATGAGCCTTTTTCATCACTAGGTGGAAAAGTGAGTGATAAAAAACAGTGCACCAAATTATTAGTGCTTGCCGCGAGTGAAAAACGTACTAGCTCGAGGACTTCCTGGGGGAATTACAGAGAAAGTTGTTTCAGTATCGAGCAGTTTTCTCCGAGAGAAGAATTCGACTGAGTGTTACGGTCTGTCCGCTGCGGAGAGGAATGCAATGATACAACGGACTGGTGTCTTGTCCCTCAGCTACTCACACTTGACGCCCTATGCGAACTATTACTACCCGTACCCGACTAAACAATTGGAAAATTGTTTCCATCTAATCATTCATATTCTTCCTTCCTTATTATACTTACTTGCTAGCTTCTGATCCTTCTGCTAGTAGATCTACGTGGTAGTCCTGCTACGCGACGACCCACATTTCTTCTATAAACAGGCGAGCTTTTATTTGTTGCAAAAGCAAAAAGCTTGTTTGCATCAGTATCAGATTTACCTTTTTTTTATCTAGAAGCCAGCAATTCCAATTCTGCACCCTTTGAAATAATTCTGACATCGTTTGTGCGTACTGTCAACGGTGATGTGAAGCACCGTTGTAATTGCATTTTTGAACAAATATCCAACTACCTTTTGAGACGCCTCAACGCGATAGCACGACACCATGTTGTTGATCCCTTATTTTCGGTTTCTGTTCGTCTTCTTGGCGACAGGGTTGTTTTCCACTTGCGTGGAAGCCCAGAAGCAAGCGTACGACAAGGGCCGGTCGGCGCTGCGATCGGCGAACCACGAAAAGTTCAAGCGGGTGGTGGTAGCATACGAGAAACCGGGGCTGACACGGGCAGAAATCGAGCAGATTCGCACCGAAAATCGCGGGATCAAGGCGATTAAGGTGCTGCCGAAAACCCGGACCATCGTGGCGCTATGCGAGTCCTTCCAGGACCAGGAGAGGGCCATCGAGCAGTTTTACGCCTTTGGGGCAGTGAAAGCAGCCATGAAAGACGTGCTGGTGCGGAGTACCGGGGCGAAGGTAGTAAAAATGATATTGATGATGTTATTGCGTATATCATATGATTTGTGCAAATGAAACGAGCAGGGGCACACGACTAAAATCTTCGCACGCAGCGCTACCACTTCACATTCACTTTCTCCCTTATTTGTGGCAGATTCGATTCCGCCCACCTGTGTCTTGTACGATCATTCGGTAAAACAAAAAAAAAACTACTCACCATCCACTTACAGCGTCTCCGCGGTGTTGCTCTGGAAGAGAAAACCAAGCGTCTGCTGTACGAGCAGCGGTTTCCCAGCGACCCGTATTTCGACCAGCAGTGGTCACTGCACTCCTCCAACGACCGGGATACCGACGCGCCGGAGGGGTGGGGCCTGTACCAGAGCGAAAACAACGGGAATTTCGGCACCGCGGGCGATCCGGTGGTGGTCGCGGTGATCGACACGGGCATTGATTACACCCACGTTGATTTAGCTACCAGAATGTGGCGGAACCCACGGGAGATCCCGGGGAACGGCATTGACGACGACGGGAACGGGTATGTCGACGACATTTATGGGGTTGACATGTTCAACAACGATGGGGATCCCATGGACGACGAGTCTCACGGGACTCATTGCGCCGGTATGAAGAAAATTTTTTGCGTCTTTGTAGCTATGGTGTGGTTGCTCTTGCGTCTACATTTGGGGCTCTTTCAGTCAACAAACAATTCTTTTTTAGGCAGAAAAAAATTGCTTAAGAAGATAAGACGTTCTCAGCACTGCTGAAGCTTAAGAAGAAAGGGGCGTGCACGCTCCGGCCTTCAGTTTGCTCCGCCTTTATCTTTTTGAAATCGCTTTACTATAATCCTCCTTTTTGCTTGCTTCCTGTTCCCCGGGCCCAACTGGCACCAAGCAGGTTTTTTCTCTCCTAGGGTTAGGCTTAGTTAGGCCGCCACCGCCGCCGGCACGGGATGGCTGCCGACGCGACCGTCTCACCTTCGATCCAGCCACCACCCTCATCTGCTGCTCAAGATCGATCCAGAAAGGGTTTAGTTTAGGTTTCAGGGTTTAGGAAGCAATTTTAGGCAGAAAAAAATTATATGACGTCACTACCTAGTATGACTACGTATCGTTTTTGATCCACCTCGTTCATGTTTTTACACGAGCACTCTGCATATGGTGAGAGCATGAAATCCAAATTGCAATTTTTTTTTCAGGTATCATCGGTGCCAAGGCTTCGAACGACCGCGGGATTGCCGGCGTCGCGGCCTTTGCTTCCAACGTGCAACTCATGGGTATCAAGTTCCTGGATTTTGAGGGCTACGGAACGCTTTCCGACGGGATCCAGGGCATCGAGTACGCGATTAACAACGGCGCGAAGATCTCCTCGAATTCCTGGGGTGCCGACTCCGCGGGGTTCGTCGTGTGGATGGCGTTTGCGAACATGCTGGACGCGGCAAAGGAGACGGGCCATTTGTTCATCGGCGCGAGCGGCAACAGCGGGTGGGATTTGGACGGTACGAGCAACATTCCCTGCTCTTTGCCGAACGAGAATTTGATTTGCGTCGCGGCGTCGACTTCCCAGGATACCATGGCGAGCTTCAGCAACTACGGTACCATGCAGGTGGATGTCGCGGCGCCCGGCACGAGCATTCTCTCCACGACGCCCAACAACAACTACATGTTTTTTTCCGGCACCAGCATGGCGGCGCCCTTCGTCGCCGGGCAGGCCGCCCTGCTGTGGTCGTTTCGCCCGGAACTGACTTTCGCGCAAGTGAAACGGCTGATCGAGCAGTCGGTGGACAAAAGTGGTGCTTTCAACAGTATTGTTTCCGGGGGACGGATCAACATCGAGAAAATGTTGGTACAGGCCAGGGAAGAATTCCAGCAGAAATTTCCGCCGGTTAGCTTGCCAAATTTCTTGGAATTCACGGACACGGACCCCCGGGTGGGCCACATCGCCGGCGTCGCGAAAGTCCGGTTTGACACCAGTTTACCAAATCTAATTGATGGAAAAGTCGAAGATTTGCACTTCTACTTCTCGAGGACTGACGGAAGCTTGTTCCGGCCGAAGTTGGACACGACGGCATATAGTGTGAACGCCGCGGACACGTACGAAGCCACTGTCACCTTGTCCCCTTCTCTCGTCCCCAGAGAGGTGACCTCTTTGATCGCGTTTGCGGCTAATTCCACGGGCGAGAATCCGCAGTCGAGCGCGAACATTCCCTTGCAGGATGTCGGCATTCCGCAGCACATCGCGAAGAATTTTCGGCTCACCCCGGACTTGCACACGACGGCCGGGAAGGTGTCCTGCGAGGGGCTGTTTGAGGCCGCAGAAACCGAATTTGACATCACGGAGTATCGCTTGTACCAGTACGAATCTTCTGCCGCAGGACAGCAAGAGAAGGACAAGAAACGGGATTTTGTCACGTCTTTACCGGCGAAAGGGTTTTTCCCGCCGCAGTGTCAGGGCGACGCGTGTAGTGACATCCGTGTGGAGAAAGTTACGGACACCGACCCGAATGCGCCAGCCGGGAAGACGTTCGGCTACAGGGTGAAGCTACGACCAAGCTCCGGTAGTTACGAAGTGGATAAATACGCGACGATCACGGTGGTCGGCCCGGCGGAGATCACGTTTCAGTTTTTGGATGTGGAAGAAGGCTACGACTACTTGGAATTTTCCACCGCGGGAGTCGTTGTCACGGGCAGCGGGAAACTGCCGAATCCGATCGCGATCCCCCCCGGGCAGCACTCGATTAAATGGGAGTCAGATGAGTCGATCACGGGGGAAGGGTGGGAATTTCTGATCAAAACCGATTTGTCCTACACCTTCCCCATCGAGATCGAGAGTCTCACCTCGGATAGAATCGACAGCCTGTACTTGGTCGCTGCCTACAACGGCAACGAAGCGGACGTGGGGGTCATCGCGGCGCTAGTTGACGACAAATCTGGCGGGAACGCCGGTGGCGGCAAACCGCCGGACTCGTGGCCCGAGTACGTGATTTTTGCGGATAAAAATCCGGAATTGGCGCTGTTTTCCGGCGATGTTGAGATCAAATTCGACGTAGCGACCGACCCGTCCGTCACGAGGTTCAAAGCGGTCATCGTGCGCAAGGAGCTGGAGCCGGGCGTCGCGGTTTCGGCATTTGATATCCAAGCGAACATCAGATCCAGCCCCTTCCCGGAAACGGAAGTGCAAGATTTGGGAGAAACGACCGCCACGACCGGCGCGAATAAAATCTCCATCAATAACGTCGATTTCCGGAACGAAAACACCAACAACCTTTGGATTAAAGTGACCAACGGCAACGAGTTTGCGTTCTCGACGCACGGGTTTTACTTGCCGCTGAACGACGTGCACGCCTTACCGCTCCTGACGGCGAAGTTCCAGGGGGACCTCGATTCTGATATTGGCGAAGTCAGCGGGGATGTGTCTATGGCGCCTCCGAACTACGCGATGGGGTTGACGGGTTTCAAAGCGTATTTTGCGACCGCCGCGGCTGGGGCGACAACCGATGAGCTTTTCAGCCGTATCAACCTCCCGATCGTGTGTCCGCCGCAACTGTCCAATGCGGACCAGAAACTCGACCCGCTGAACCAATTTGCGAAGATGCCGTGCGCGACCCCCTGGGGACCCCGGTGCCTCGGCGTGAGTTGCAGAGACATCCAGATTGTGCAGGACGGGGAGACATTTTTGGTTTCCCGGTCCGCCGCTGGGGAGTACGGAAACAACGAAGAAGCTAAGATCTACTTCGCGTACGGGGGGGAGTTGGAGGTGATTGCGATGGACGTGGAGTTGATGTTCGACACGTTGCTCGCGAAGTGGCGAGGCTTTTCCGGCGGCGCGGGGGCGAACCCGACGCCCGGATTGGACTTAGCTTACTTAGACGTCGGCGATAAGCTCGAAGTCGACGGGGGAACACGCGAATCCTACCTGCACTGGAAGACCGACGCGACGCTCGGGAAGTCGGGGTGGGCTCTCCGGTACCGACCGGCCTACCCGAAAGTGACGATCCCGATGGACACGAAGATGCCGGTGGGGGCGACAGGGCTCAGGATCGTCCCGGTGTACCACGGCTATGGGGAAAATCTCGGCAATGCGCCCGCAGTTCCTGCCAGCGATGAGCACCAACAGGGCGATCAAGTTGCAGCTGCGTATGACAGTACTTCTAGCACAACCACGATGAATAATTATCTCCAGCAAGACAGCAAAAACGAGTTTGAGGGCGGGATCGCCAGTCACTACTTCACGGCGGTGGACGATTGGGTGCGGTCCGAAGCGACCTGCTTCCCGGACCGAATCCGCTGCCCCATCCCCGCGGCCTGGGCTGCCTTCCCCTATGTGCCGCCGAAACCGCAAGACAGCGCGAACGACTGTGAGATGAAGCAGGAGGACGGTGGCATTGGGGCTTACTTCGAGTTCCCAAAGGGGCAGTGCGGCGCGACGCGGACGTTTGACGTGGCCAGAGGCTTGGTGGTCGACAGTGTGTTGCTAGTCGCCAACGCCGTGGACACCATCGACCCGGTGGAGGTCGAGGAGCAGAGCCACGAATTCTCGACGGTGTTGGAGTTTTTAGACGAGCAACCAAAGCAACCCGCCGAGCTCCCGCCCGATATCACGTGCACCTGCGAGGGGCCGTTGACCGCGTCCGCGACGCTTGGGGTCTCGATCGAGGAGGCCACGGCGCCCCCGCCGGTCCAGGCGGCGGCGATCGATTTGGTGGGCAGATCGGAGATGCGGGCGTCGATGCGACTGTTTCAAGACCCGTCCTTTGTGCAGAGTCTGGATTCGGGGGACTGGGTTCCGCAGGCGACGGAACTGTTCTACATCGAGGCCGGCGTGGAGTACGTGGGGAACCACATCTCGGTGCGCTCCTGTCGCGCGGCCAGAACGGCTGCGGCGTTGATGGATACACCAGGAACGACCCCACCACCAACAACTCCAAATGACGAGCCGGTCACCATTTTGGACAACTACTGCCCAGTGGAGGTGTTCAACGTGAAATACCACGCTACGCCGACTGGAATTACCCACTTGGACAGGCTCACATTCCGGAAGTTTCGCTTCAAGGGGCAGAATGAAGTTTTTCTGCAGTGCGAGGTGGAAGCGTGTGAAGCGAAGCCCTGTGGCGCGTGCGGGTCTGCGACGCCGATAGTACAAGAGCCGGCAACATCAAATGATCCACCAGCGATGAGGACGCGTTTCAGGCGGTTCTTGGGTTTCTTGGCCGGGAACAAGGATGAAGTAGCAGCAGAAATAAAACCGAAAGAACTACACCGTTCCCTAACCGGGGCAGGTAGAACTTCTGTTGCGAGAACCGTTCCGTTTATCGTGAAGATCACTCCGGACGACAATATCGCCATGAACTACGAGAACGAGAAAAATCAGCCAGACTGGTTGAACCAACAAGCTGGTCAACAGCAGCAAAACCCGCCAGCGCTTCCGAAGTTAGAAGCCACCTGGACCGCGCCTGCCGATCCGGAGCTGGACAACATTAACCAGCCCGGTGAAGAGCCGACGCACGACGTGATGAGTTCCCGCATGACGCTGACCGGGTTGGACCCGGCCTGGGCGGCGAAAAATGTCCGGTCTTTGGAGGACACGTTGAAGCGAACTTTAGATCTGAAGGAGGGGGAGAAGGTGCGGGTGAAGTCCGTGGGGCGGGAGCAAGTATCGTCGACGATATCTTCTAGTAGTACCAGACAGCTGCTCGTTAGTGGTGCCCCGCGTAGACTGGCTACGCCGACTGGCGGAGCGGCTGCAAAAACAAATACAGGAAGCAGCACAACTTCGAGGACTGAAGAGGTTGTTTACCAGGACTTGAACACCTTAATCGCTAACATGCAGCCGAACGACAAGAATCTCGGTCCCGCGACACCTGTTGATGAAAACAACCGCCCGAACTGGTTTGTGAATTTAGTCGAAACGGAGAAGCAACTGCGGGAAGACCAGGGCGCGAAGACGGGCGGTATCGTGGTCACGAGTAAACCGGGCGTCAAGCCGGTTGAAGATACTGTGGGCGCGAATGCCGAATTGGCCGCACCAACTGCAGGAGCTGCCGCAGCTACGGCTGCTGTTACTGCGCCGGGAGGAGCTGCTGCTGTTGAGAGCAATTTGGCCAAACCGCCTAATCCTGGGACGGAGCAAGGGGAGGTTGTCGGCGGCGCGCCTTCCCCGAGCCTCTTGTCGCGAGGAAATGGCAACGCCGTTGCACCACCAGCTTCTTCGTCGCCCTCCGCTCCGCCCGTTGAGGAGCACCAGGTCGGGATTGGGATGGGCGCTGCGTCAACAGCGCCGAAAGTAGAGCCAAGCCTGGTCGTCAACAGCAATAAACCAAATAATCGCCCACCACTTGCGACCTGGGCCCCAAAAAGCGTGCTCTTCGACACTTTGGACGATTACCAAAAAGCGATGCAGCAGTCCGCGGGACAGAAGCCGCCAGCGGATAGCGAGCCGCAGAGACCCTCCTGGTTCACCAATTTGGTGTCCACGGAAAAACAACTCCGGAAGGAAGAGGGGGGAAACCTGCGGGGAATCATCGTGACCGATCCGCCTGCTGTTGCTGGGGCGCATGACGAGAATAGAAGATTGTTGATGTCGGCACATCAGTTGGAGTTGTCTGCGAAAGCAACACACTTATCTACTCGCCGTGCAAACAGACACAACAGATCCGGCGTCGTCCAAAAATCCCCAACTGCAGTTGCCCTGAAACGCCACTTGTTGACGGAGAATCGCAACAAGGCGCAAGCCCTCGTTGCCAGAATTATCTCTAGTCAGCAAGTGGAAAATCAAAATGCAAACTCGCGCCGGCACATGCAAAGCCAGGGCTCTTTGGAGCAGGTCAGCATCGACTTCGAGGTGTATTTGCTGAAGTCGTCCGCGACTCCATCGGGCAGTGGGGCCGCGTCAACTTCAGCTACCTCTTCCAGCAATCGTGGTGCTTTGTTAGAAACGAAGATGTCGCTGCTGGCCTCCGGTGGCCCGACGATCACGAGCACGTTCGTCCAGACTTTGGACGAGGAGCTCACTTCTCGCGGGGAGACCCCAGTCCGGCTAGAACCAGCACGGATCGTGTTCCGCGAGCCAGTCCGGATGACGGGGGACATGACCTTTGGGGCGACACCGAGCGAAATTCAGCAGTTGCAAAATGCGCAAATAATTGCGGCGAGTGGCACTGCGACAACGGGTAGTTCCTCCGAAGAGGAATCTTCGTCGGGCGGGGGCGCGAAGTCCAGCATTTTCGGCTTCATCGACGACATCACAGCGTTCATCATCATGGGCGCAGTCGCGGGCGCGTTCGCAATTCTCTTCGTCTTCGCGGTTTGCTACAGAAAAGGGCCGTCTTCTGGCGTCAGTACGGAAATAGCGAAAGATGACGCTGAAAATCAAACCCCATCGAAACCGCAGAAAGGTCGTGGCATGGTTGCGCCAGAGTTGGCGAAGAATCTGCAAGAGAAACTCCGGAAGCACTCGGTCGTGAGTTCGGCTGGTGATGCCAGTACCAAAGCCGCGTCTAGTGTCGACGATGGGACGAGCACGGAGTCAATTCCTACGACGCCGGGAACTTCCAAGGAAAAGCAAAAAGCTTCTAGTTCCTCTATTTCAAAGCGATCTGCAAATAAAATCGCGAAGGACCTCAATGTGAACTTAACGAGGCTGAAGTTTGAGGAGGACGAAAACTTCAGTAATAAACCGCTGAACCCCACCACCGCGTTACCAGGCGTCTCCCCGAAGGTGAAACTCACGTTAACCAACGAATCTGGTGCGCATCTGGTCATCGAATCAGACGAAATCGACGAAACCCTGCAGTCGAAGGAGTTGCAGAGGGTCGTGCGGAGGTTTTCGAGTAACACGGTCCCGGGTTTAGTACCAAACAGCCGGGGTTTGAAAAGGAGTTTAACAGGGTCCTCGTCCGGAAGAACCGTTAGCCCTGGGGATGTCGAATTCTCGGGAGACGATGGCACCGCGTCGGTTGCGTCAAAGCAAACCTTCGCTTCTGCGGTGTCCACCTCGACAAATCGCAGAGCACAAATGAAGTCGCTGGGAAAGATCAGCGACTACGCGCCGACAAGTTTGAGCTCCTTCAACACGAATAAAACTTCGCCCGGGGGGAAGAAAAAGTCATCATCTACTACGGGCTCGACCTCAAGCAGGAAAATCTCTTCGGCGGTAAGTTCCTCTCCAACGAATTATGCAGGTGGTGGTAATCAGTCCACGAGAACGCCGACCTCAAATTCCTCGAACGAGTCGTCGACCAGATATGGCGGGAAGCGATGAGTATGCTGATGCCGTGCAGGCAATTGTATTGGAGCTTCGACTTTTCATCTGAAACAAACAACCAAAACCATACTCAAACTAATGCATCTACCCGACGCTGAAAGAAGCGTTAGGAGTCATCCCAGCAGTCCTTTGAGAACCTCATGCTGAACCAAGCATCGGTGGTCGAGCATGCCTGTACATCCATTCTTGGCTTTTTCAAGACATAAGACATGCTTCGTCGATTGTAAAACTTCTTACTGGGCCCGATAAACGAAGAATGATCCCCATGTTACCCACCACGACTCTGCTAAAGCAACTCTTCTGAAATAAGCAACGACGGAAATATTAATGGTTGCATGCGTGATGTGCATGCCAGAGCTTTTGATCTTCTTCTTTCCCCAAACGAAGAACTTCCGGAACTCTTCATATGAGCAACCTAAAGGAGAAGTAGAGCCGGGATTTCATCTTGCCAATGGTTTTCCTACGTGTGGCCATGGTCTAAGTACTTCTTACAGTTGTTTTCTCCACTACACAACCTTTTCTCCAAAAATTCCGCCTTTTCGGTGACTAGTTTTATCAGTCCGAAGCTTGTCAGTACAGTTGTTGAAAAACAAAAATGTCTACAGCTCCGTAGTACAAAAAGAAAACTTGTCTTTCTAGCATTAGAGCTTGCTATTGTACCATAATTTTCGTCTGAATGAGTTCTTGAAGATCTTCCTCTTCCGAACAGGTGGAGGAAGATGCTATTTGATCTATCTGAGTCAGTGTCAGATAACCTGCCAACATAACGGTAATTACTTGTACAAGACTTTCGTGAGATATCGAACTGAGTACTTTGATAGGAAGAATGAATAGCTTGCTTCTTGTAGTCCATCTTGTCGCCCACCAGCATGGTAGAACTTGAACTATTATTTTCCACGCGTGTTCTGCAAAAGAAAGTGGAAGAGGAGCAGACGCAGACCAAGATCATTGTCGGTTACCGCTCTCACAAGCAGTCTCGCGCAGTAAAAGCGGGGCGCCCTTCTAGGTCCTACGCAAAGGTCTCGGGGTCTATAATGGCCAGACAAAATTTTCTTAAGTGAGTTGGGGTTGGCACATTGTCACCAGCATCGTGAATGGGCTCGGCGGGATTGAAAAAGAAAAACATCGTCATGACCACTTTCGCCCGCCTGCACCTTACAGAAAAAGGATGAGCCCACGTGGACCCCTGGTAGTTCTAGTAAGCATGTCCCTCTCTTTTGTTCTTGATAGAACCGTTCTCATCTGAGGCAGTACTTAACAGTATCGAAACGACCAGTTTTTTATTTTTCCTTTGTTGGTGGAGACCACGACTTTACAACATTAAAGATAGTTAGAGCACAGCTGCTACAGCTTCACCCATCGCGCAGCGTGCGAGGAACTTTTTCATGGGCTGTCTTGCAGCAAAGCCGCAACAAGGTGACGAAGGTAGTCCTTCTGCCACAACTGGTGCCGCGCCCCTCGTGACCGCGCCGCCCGGTCCAGCTGCCGCAACGTATTCGTATTCGCAGCAGCAACAGGATGCGACGGTAAAAATCCAGGCGCGCGCAAGAGGTGTGCAGGCGAGAAGGCAAGCCGCGCGGGAAAAGGGAAGGCGAGCTGCGGCGGAGAACAGACAGAGAGGAAATGCTGAAGCTTTTGTCACCAACTTTCTGTAGATGACGGATCAGATGACGAAGTAGATTAACTATACAACAAAGAGAACATCAGATGTAAAAGAGAGGTGCTGAATGCGATGAATGGAACAGAGAACGAGAAGATCTGTTTCACGACTGCTGCTAGCGATTACATCTTCACGTTGGCGATGCAGATCCTGCTCCCTATGTCGTACATTTTCAACTGAGGCGTTCTTGCGGATCTTCTACTTCTTCAACAAGAAAACCAGCACAGTTCAATATCATTGTTCCGCCATGATGTTGATGCATTACTAGCGAATCTGCGTCCGCCGTATGATCCACTACGGAAAACAAGATCCACCTGGTTACGTTCTTTCTGTTCCAGCGCGGTGAGATCTGATGCAGTTAAGTAGTTGTCATGATTGTCGAACAGCATACTTACCCTTGGTAAGTGATCAATGCGGCGCTGTCAATCACGCTTACCTGTTCCATTCTGTGCTGCTCGTCAAAGATGAAGTCGCGTCTGACGAAAGCATCAAACTTGGTCTTTTTCTTCCGTGTGAGGAAGTATATGTAGTGCATAAGTGCTGTAAGTCCTCGTTGATGTGCATGTACATTTGATTACCTGAGCCTCGTTCACGTCCAGCCCTGTGCCTTCCTGGTGTTTTTTTGAGATCATTACCTGTAGTTCCACCTACGACATTTTTCATTCCACAAGGCGGCCTGAGGTAGGAAGTACTAGGAAATTCGAGCAGTCATCGTCATCCTCTCGAGAAAGCGATCACAGGCGACCACAATAGACACTCTGAATCGGACGAAAGCGAAAAAAATCATGTCTCAATGGTTTGTGTATGGTTCGGAGCCGCCGGCTTTGAAAGTACAATTCGGAAAATCCGACCGTGTGCGACGAATCCTGAGCGAGTATTTCCAGAGCCACTGGGACTACAACAATGTCAGCACCACGGACCCGAAAGACACAACCTTCTACCTCTACGGAGTCGGGCGACGCAAATATCCGGAGTTCCGCGGGTTCCCGCTGTCTCTCAGACCCGATAGGGCGTTTCTGGACACAGCCGATCACGATCTCAACAACGGCGCTGGCGTTAATACGAGCAAGAAAAATACAAACGGACGAACGCTTGCGCAGCAGCAACAGAGAAGCTCGAGTGGGAAAGGGAGGAGTAATTCAAGAAATGGTAATGGAAGCCACCATGGAGGAGGTCGGGGTGCTTCTAATGCTCGGCAGCCGCAGCGCAGCACCGCGGCGGGCCCCTCGACCGCGTTCCTGCTTCCCGAGGAACTCTATGCGAGATGGGATCGGCCGGTGAAGTGGTCTCTGTATGACCACAGCAGAAAGGACGTCGGCAGAGATGGCGAGGAGGGCGTTTTGCTTATGTCGTCGACGAACGAAACGGCGTTCGTGGAAGACGCAATATGGCCGAGTGGGAATGAGCTGCGAGTGACCTACTACAAACCAAAAGCCACGGGGGTGCCGCAAGGACGAGAGGAGAAGCTGAGCAGATATTTGAGCAGTATAGAACAAGAACAAATGTTTGCATTTTATTCACACAGCTCAAACAACCACAAAAGCACGCCCGTGTTCACAGACCACCTCCAACCGCTTCTTTCATCGACGTTAGATTGTCGTGACTGATAAAGTTTTAAGGTAGACCAGCCACATAGATATGATGAAGCATGCAGCTGCGTTGTACGAACTTACCAGGAACAAAACGTCAGCATCATGACTGCAGTTTTTACTTCCTCAGGAAGATTCTACCTGAACAAAAGCAAAACCTATCCTTTACCTCCAGATGTCCTCCGACACAAGGCGGGGAGTATGGGGCTCAACATTCGCCCCGACGGCTATGTCTCCGTGGAAGACATTTTCTGGCACAAGCAGGTCAGGAAACAATTCTGGCCCCCACTAACACCAATCGAGATTGACTGGCTGGTGAAAGCGAACCAGAAGCAGCGATTTCAATTGGAACTTTTCGAGTACCCGGGCATGATGATTCGCTGCACGCAGGGCCACTCGGTCGCGCAGGTCACCGTGGAGCAGTCCTGTCAGGAGATAACGTCCGTCGAAGAGTATTTCGCGATCACGGGAACAAAGCCGAGAATGAATAATTTTGGCACTACAAGCGGAGCGGCTGCAGCAAGTGCGGGGGGAGCGGGTGCGGGGAGCTGCGCCGTAGTGGGAAAAACTAGGACCAGTACCAGCAGCAGTTTCCAACCACCACGAATTCACACTCGAAACGGCATGGTCAACTCGTTCGGCGTTTGCACGGCACCGAGCGATAGCGTGCGAGGAGAGATACACATGCGCCAGCAAGTGATTCGACGTGGTTTGCAGGAGCAGCGGGAAACTGATAGGCTGCAGCTTCAAGAAGAAAATCAAAATACTAAAAGTGCTAAATCAAGGCAAAAAGATCAGAAGAGATCCTCTAGAAGCAACCCCCCCGCCACCGTTATCCACGGGACGTACGAGGCATGCCTGAAGCAAATACTGGAGTCAGGCGGGTTGAAAACGATGGGAAGAAACGAGATCCACTTTTCGAGCCAAGTGCCCTCCGTGGAGGAGAACACGATGGTGGTTTCTGGGATGCGTGGAGACTGCGATTTGGTGATAGAGGTCGACCTTGCCAGGTGTTTACGGCATGAGGTAAAGTTCTTCTACGCCCAGAATGGGGTCATTCTCTCGAAAGGCAGGCGGGACAGCGGGATTCTCTGTACAGCGTTTTTTTCGAACGTTTACCTGAGGTCGGAGGGGCCGCAAAACCCGCACTGGCGATGGAAAGCGTATCAGTGGGATCAGGAAAGAAAAAGATTGGAGAATAGGCTGGGGTGACGACGAAAAGACGACTATAAGTACTTTCTTTGTCATCAAGTGCTAATAGACTAAGCTGGTTGAACATCGCGCTGTTGGTGTTGGTCCCCTCATCATCGAGACATGCACGTGCTTCCTCCGCCACTGTTGTTGTGACAGATAGCTCTTTACACGGATGCGTACCTTCTAAGTACTCATGGGCATCTGTCACGACCTATTCCGGATCTGACCCATGATGGCCGCATTGCGCATGATTTTTGTGCGCCACGAATGAAAGGAAAAACCTGCCGCGTCCATACGACGCGCGTGAGGAGGACTGATTCCGTCCATGCGCGCACGATCATTAGTTCCGATGTTGTTTTTTCCCGCCGACCACCGAGCTGCAAACAGAGTGAGGACTTATAGCTGTTCCTAAAGAAGTACTTCTACTTTCCAAAAGAAGGAGCAGGAGGGAAAAAACGAAATAGCAAAAGGTTGAGCATTTTTGAACACCTGTTGTAGTTGAGAGTGATGTAATTTCATGCTTCCCTGCTTCCGGGTAGTTTCAACAAGTGAAGGTGAAAAGTTGAACTTTTAAATCTATGCCACTACAACCGAAGAGGTTCATGTAGTCGGTACAACAAGCGATAGGCGTACTCGTACCGTCGTGGTGAAGGAAACTAGGCCTCACCGTAGTTGGTTCTTTGTCTCTTCTTCCTGCCAGGAAAGTGAAAAGCAAGAAGATGGCCGACGTTGCTTCTCCGGCTGCAGCTGAAGAGGTCGCTATTGCTATTGGCTACGAGTACGACGATGACGACGGGAACTACAGCCTAGATGCCGGTGCTGGTGCGCAAGAGGAAGCATACGCCGCGGATCACGATGTGGACGCACAGCCTACACAGGTCGACATCAACCGATTAGCGCGACTGGAACGCGAACAGAGGGAGAAGTATCTTTCTATTTTCAAGATGTGTCTCCTGTCATGTTTGTAGTTGAAAAAGGAAAAGCTCACCACTCTTCTAGTCTTTTGCAGTTGAGTTGTAGTGCACCAGAGGACCACCCGTTCCCGTCGTGAAGTAGAAAGAACACCAATACTCACCCCGAAAAAAATCAAATCTTGTTGATCTTCACTATCAGGCTTAAGATCCTGCAAAACCGCATTGGATTACTTCGGAACCAAGAACAAAGATGCTGGAAAGACATCAGCCGCACGCAAAAACAGGCGGAAACGCAGGAGATCGGGGAGGCGGTGCGGGAGGAACGAGTGACGATTGCGATGCAAGTCCACGAAGACCTCGTACAGCTGTATGAGAGTAAGAAGGCGAAGGTACTGAAAAGGCAAAGGGCATCAAAGTTTTGTCGCCCGATACAGATACACCAGGCGGCCGATCATAGTGCGTGTCTTGTGTCAGAACGCCCATGCGGAAGTGATTATTTTTTTTCTTGCGAAAGTACAGCTGCACACCATTTCATCTATTCGACTGATAATTCTAGGCCGCCGAGGTTCGTGCTGACCTTGCGGAAAACAAGGGCGTGAACAAGGCCGTTTTATTGGAAGAAGCCGCAATCATCGGAATGGAGGTCAGAGATCAGAAACTACGCGATGAAGACGAACTCAGAATGATGAAAGAGCTGGAAGTAGAAGACAAAAAAGCAAAGGTATAGACTTACTTTCATGCAGATTATTTCCCACAGCCACAGCTCTGCCTCTGTTAGAAGGGTTTTGCTTCTATAAGATGGTGTTTATTATGTGATGTATCGCACGTGGCAAGAAGTTGAAATTCAAATTCCATTTCATAATAATATTCCCGGAAAAATAATCATCATCCACCTGCAGGCGATCTTCGTTCAGAGTGAACGGGTGGAGCGGAAAGAGCGCCGCGAGCTGGAGTTGCACCTGCTGGAAGAAGCAAGGCGACGGGACAAGGAGGAGTCTTACCTTTCCGTGCTCCGGGATGTGGAAGCGCTCAATGCGGAAATCGAGGTTAGATTGAGCTGATTTCTTGTCAGGCACAAGAACCGATTTATTCTCGTTTTATCTCTCACTCTCTAATCCATTTATTTTTCACGCATGACAAACAGAAAGTAAAAGTTTCTTTCCCTCACCCTGGTCCACCGCTTTAACCGCTTCTCTTTACTATCACAGGAAGCCGAACGGCTCGAGCAGGACGCCTTGCAGCGGCTCCAGCACTCGCAGAGCATGCGCGACAATTTTCTGCACCAGAGCAGTGTCAGTTCCGAGACGAGTAAGAGGTCCAATGTGCCGCCGTTGTCTGCCCGGATCAACACGGCCAGGAACCAACACCGGTCCACGGGTGCGACGTTCGGACAGCCACCGCACGTGCCCACGAGCACCAGTAGCAGGAAGAGCAGTTTTTCCTTCAAATCAGCAGTCAGCGGAAATGCGACACCGGTACTAAATGTAAATGGCACGACAGTGAGAAAGCTTCAAAACGGCGTAGCCACGACCTTGAACGCCAGAAGCAGGGTGGGGAGTGCAGGTTCTACGGGTACTAGTTCATCTCAACAGCATTTGCCACCAAGGCTGGTGCAGCAGCAAGAACAGCAGATGAGGAAAAATTATGGGTACCAACAAGAACAGCCGCTTTCGGAGCAGCACAGTCTGCTCTCCGAGACCTCTTTACTTCAAACCCCACGCAGCACCACCTCCGAGCACCAGCATCGGACCAGGCAAGCAGGGACCAGATCCGGTCCGCCGGTGCAGCACGTGCAGGCACAGCCAAAACCAACACCTCCGCATCATCAAATCGTGAAAACTATAAACCAGACCAGAACTTCGCAAAATTATTCGCCGAATTTAGTGCCGAAGAACTCAACGCCACATAATTACGTCGGTTCTTCCCCTCTATCAAAAGCGAATCGGATGAAGGAGATTTTGCAAAGAGAAAGACGAGCTTCACAATCACAGCACCAGGGAACAACTACGAGCAATTCCGCATCGAAACTTGGCACAACGAGCACTGGTTCCAAAAGACCTTCCCAAACCACTTCTACAAGCACTACCCCACGGGGCAAGAACAGCTTTCGCCCGCCAGCGCGAAGCAGTTACGAACGAACCATCTCGCAAAACAGGCACCTGCATCAGGCGTTTGTGGCGTCTTCGAGCGCGGCGGCGGGAACAAGTACTACAGGCAGAAACCACGGTGGAGCAGGTGGAGCGATCAAGGTTCGGGACCACGTGGCTACCATTCCAAAACTGAAGATAAGCAGCGAGGTCGCGAGTAGATCAACATCAAGGGAGCAAGAAGTTGTGCAAGGACGAGATTTTCATGAAACCATTACGGGGATGAGTACTACAGAATTCGGAAAATTCACCTGTACAACAACTCCAAGGGGCGGAACTACCGCGTCAGCATCTTCGTCAGCAGCAGCACCACGACCCGATGATTTGTATCAGCAGCAGGATGATCAGCGCGTTCGAGCGTATCCTCAAAAAATGCTGCCGACGCAGGGTTTCGTCCGAGGAGCAAAGCAGTCCCCCCGAGTAACAAGAAATCCGTCGAGAAATGTAGAGGTTGAAAAAGTGCCGTTTTTGGAGGAGCTAGGTAGCCATGCCGGAGGGCAGCACTCTCGGTCTTCTACTTCTGAGCATCCAGGAGATTATAGCAGTGCCATTCGCGTCAAACGTCAGAGTCAAGAAAATCACTCCAAATCTTCCTCTGGCGGTGCTCTGTCCTTCACCACGACCTCGTCTAAAGAGCACGAATTGATGAGTCACGAAAATAATCCTGAGGAGTCGACGTTCCTTCAAGTCTACCACAGTCCGCAAGACAGCGTCGGAGAAGTTGTACCAGATGGACAACTAGTAGTACAAGATGGCAGAGGAGGACTTCTTGGTCAACATCACCAACATGTTCTGGAACCGGTTCGCGAGGTGCAAACCCCAGACGAGGAAAACTCCTGCTCCATGCTGGAACCGCAGCACAAAAGCTCTGCGCGCGGTGGATTTTATTCGGCTGGTGGTCAGCCCAACTTTAGTGTCCAGTCCGCGCCTGACGGGGTCAACATCGGTACTAGACCAAGATTGCAAATCAACCAACCGCACATCAGAGACCATCTCGGGGGAGGAGCAGGAGGGAGTGGCAAATCAAGTACAACTGGCGCAAATAAGCGGTTGAATGCTTGGGGGTTAACACCCAAAGCCTCCTCGTCGAGCTCTGGCACTTGTTCCGACGACAACAATCAGGCGTTCTTTTTGCAAGACGAGAAGGAACAGGACCAGAAGTACCAAAAATTCTCCAGCCACTCTTACGCGGAGGGCGTGACAAACAACTCCAAATACGAGTACTACAACGCGTCTCCCAGAACGAAAATCGCCGACGTTGTGAAAGCCTTCACGGAGGGACGGCCAATCCGGAGGCTGTTGCAGCAGCAAAGTGGCGAAAACGTAGTTCTTGGCCGAGGAGGCGAAGGGGAGAAGAAACCACCAGCATCCTCAAGGCGCCCGCTGGATGACGACGTGCTTCTCGAAGCTGAGGTAGTGCCGGATGAAGATGATCTTCTAGTTTCACATGATCAAGAACAACTGCAAAAACCAGCTCAAAGGAATTCATCGTTGCCTGGTCGTGGAGAAATAAATCCTTCGAGCACAGCAACTTGCTGGGATTTTCTCTCCCCGCGGCAAAATTTGACGCCAAGAGAAGTTGTAAAAACCTCCGCCGGGCCAACGGTGACGCATTGCGAAACATCAGAGGAGGCTCGTCCTGCGAGAGCTACTTCGTCAATAGGAATAGCTTCCACGACACGTCCAAGTAGATCCGGCGCAGCAGTTCTCCAAAGCACGCAAGCTTACTACAAATCATTGAATTTGCCGAACAAGAGTGACCAAACGACGAACCACAACTCTTCCTCTGCTACGACTGTCGCGAACACGGAGTACGATACAAGCTCGTCGGCAGAGAACTTGCTTGAAGGAAGTGGCACCGGCAGTGGGCTTGCAGCGAAAAATAAATCACAGCACACTAATTTATTTCCGGCGCCTTCGTACCAGGCCCCGCCCGAGCCGGCTAGAGAGGAGATCGCGTCGCCCAGAAGGCATGTAATTGGGAGCACGCAAACCGGAGCAGCTTTCTCGACTACTAGTGCCTCCGCGGCCAGCGCAGCACCGGCCGGCGTTGCTTTCCTTCGCAACATCTTCAAGTGCACCAGCGCAACCAGCCCGCAGCACGACACGAGTTTCTCGGTCGGCTCGCACTCCGCGATTGATGATGACGGCAACTCGCACCGGGAGCCGGTGACCTACGCGGGCAAAACGTGGATGATGGACGAAAGTGAAGATGAGCTCGGGATCAGCGATGGCTCCTAATTCATGTTATCCGAAAAGTAAATTGTAAATGTAAAAATTATGTTTCAAAAATTCCGACGAGGACGTTGCTACCACCAATAAAGCCAGATTTTATATAAAACGAGAAGAATTGCTAGTCGAATAATTAGAAGTGTCACAGATGACCAACTTATCACTTGAGGATAATATCACAGCCCATGTACTAGAAGAAACAAGCATTCTTGTGTGCATAATTGTACGATAAGGACATCAGAATAATAGCTAAACCGAAAAATCGCATACATCAAACATAGTGCATCTGCATGAAAATAATTTGCATGATTTGAAAAAACACTTCTTCACTATGCGCTCCTGGCTGTAACCTATCCGCAACACGCGGGAGCCTTCGGGCAGCACTGGTGTTCGCATTCTGGATCCGTCTAGATCAAGATGAAAAGTGCTTCAGATCTTCTCCGACTTCTGCGTGCACATGCGCATAGCACTCGAACTTCTGGACCAAAAGAAACAAGAATCTTTAGCATTAGCAGCTTGAAAACTGCTGTATTTAGTTTTTCACTTTACTTTTCGAGACTCTTTCTCTTTTCTTATCAGTGAGCCAGCGCTACGCTACTTTAAGACAATTTCCTTGATGTTTTTTTGGTTTCTAAAGTTACATTTCGATCTTCTCCCGTAACTACTTACATACTAGTAAACATTTGGAAACCTCCCGAGGACACGCACTGATGACTCTGCTTGGTGCAGCAGCAGCTCGGAGGACGTCGGCGGCAAGAAAATCATGTCTCTCAGCGGTTCTGTTTGCCTGACTCAGCCAGGTAGTCAAAGGAATTCTTGCTGCTCCTCTGCACACCAGCCGCAGACAAGGACAGGCGCCATTGGGGATAGGCCGAGGACGAAACTAGCGGTACTGGCGTACAACTAGACGCGACCATCCCGCAGTTCTTTCTCCCATCGTCAGACCCCTCGTCCGGGCTTTAATTTCTTGCGTATTAGAACGCAATAAGTGCCAGATCATGGAAAAATTTGCGAAAAAAGCGACCAACAAGATGAACAAAATGGTTGGACTCAGCCGCGGGGAAGGAAAGTATTTCCAGACCACGAAAAAAGGTAACAAATGTGTTATCAGTTCGCGTTCGACCTCCTCCACCTCCTGATATTAGAAGACTAGATGTTTTGCAACCATCACTACGCGGCGCAGTCATCTTTATTTGATGATGTAAGTATTGCGGAGTTTAGCTCAAAATTTGTGATGCAAAATTACCTACTCCAGGCGAAATTCACGAGTACAAGGAGGAGCTTCATCTCCACGATGAGTCCAAGCGGATGGAAGCCGTGAAAAAGGTAATAGCGGCGATGACAGTGGGGAAGGACATGTCACCGCTGTTCCCCGATGTGGTGCAAAGCATGCAGACCACAAATGTCGAACTGAAGAAGCTGGTATTGTTCAAAGCCGCAGTTATGTTCACTTTGTCTGGCATTTTTTGATGTTGTAGACCACTCTACAAACTCTATGTCATGGCCCCGCATCATGGTTGTTGTAATCTTCGTGCCAATGACAGCACAGCCGCAGGCGTAACATGATGAAAAACTAATTATAATCCAGGTCTACCTATACATCATCAACTACGCCCGCACCCAACCCGAGCTGGCCCTGCTTCCCGTGAACAGTTTCTGTAAGGACACCCAGGACCTGAACGCCTTGGTCCGAGCATTGGCCGTCAGGACCATGGGCTGTATCCGGCTGGACCAGATTGTCGAGTATCTACTGGAGCCGCTGAAGAGGTGTTGCCAGGACTCCGACCCTTATGTGAGGAAAACCGCAGCGATATGTATTCCGAAGGTAAAAATATGAATTGACTTCGTACTACAAGCTCTTTCCATAAAACGTGCATGATGCGTGTCTCGTGTGGATCATCCGTGTAGTGGAAATACGAATTGGGCCATGCATTTCAACTAGAAAGACGATGAACCTGTACGAAGCCTCTACTCGATAATCCCACCACCACACGATCACAGGTTTACGACATCAACCCGGACCTCGTCGAGGACCAAGGTTTCGTGCCAACGATGCTTCAAGACATGCTCGGTGATTCTAACCCGATGGTGGTCGCCAACGCGGTTGCCGCTTTGTCCGAAATCTCCGAGGCGAAAGGGCGAGATTACCTCCAACTCGACAGGGACGGCGCAGTGGCGAAACTCCTGACGGCGCTCAACGAGTGCACAGAGTGGGGACAGATCTTCATCCTCGACGCACTGGCCTCGTACTAACCACTTTCTAAAATTGGCGGATCACCTCATCATGCCTGTACTAGTGAAAAGCTTGCTTTCCGACTGAGGGGTCGTGAAGGCGTTTCTGTGCTTCCCCCGCAGATGTGCTTTTTTTAATATTGTACTGCGCATGATCTTGTTCACATAGACGATGACGAATGCTCTCTATTTCTACGTGCAACTACCAGCGGCGCGCTACAAGAAGTCAATGAATTTAAACCTAAGAAAGAAACTCGAAACCAACAGCTACGCCCCGAAGAACATGAAGCGCGACGCTGAGCAGATTGTCGACCGCGTAACCGCCCGTCTGTCCCACGCCAACGCGTCTGTCGTGATGTCGGCGATCAAAGTTGTTCTAACCTTCATGGAGCACATCGACAACCAGGAAACTCTAAAAACCTTGATGAAGAAGCTCACCGCGCCGCTGATGACGCTCCTCTCTTCCGAGTCGGAGCTCCAGTACGTCGCGCTGCGAAATATCTACCTCATCGCGCAGAAACGGCCCGGGATCGTGACCACGGACGTGAAAATATTTTTCGTGAAGTACAACGACCCGGTGTACGTGAAACTCGAGAAGATAAAGTTGATGGTGATGCTCTGCTCCGACAGGAATTCGGATCAAGTGCTGCAAGAGTTCAAGGATTACGCGCAGTCCATGGACACGGAGTTTGCGAAACGAGCCGTGCGGTCAATCGGGAACGTCGCTCTCAAATTCGAGTCCGTGTCGAACAAGTGCATCGCGGTCTTTTTGGAATTGATTGAGACGAAGATCCCGCACGTGATTCAGGAATCCGTGGTCGTGATAAAAGACATTTTCCGCAAGTACCCCAGTCAATACGAGGCGGTCTTAGCGGCGTTGTGCGACTCCTTTGACCTGTTGGACACGACGGAAGCAAAATCGGCAATGATCTGGATTCTGGGTATTGTATAAGTGCAGCCTATTATAATTGGGACATTGATATTAATTCAGAAACGCGTCTTGTTGATATAATTGTCTGCTTGCAGAAAGAGCACAAACATACGTAGACGTATGGCCGTGGGAGCTACGCCTACGCATCTTCCCGCTTTACGAAATGAGCCTAAATTTGTAGGTGTTTTAATTCAAACTATGTGTAAGAAGTACAACAATACATACTCGCAGGTGACTACGCGGAGCGAATCGACAAGGTTGAGGACATATCAGATGCAAAAATATCGTACCCGTACTAATCGCAGTAATGCATGACAAATCCGGTCTCTTAGCTACATCTGCATGACAAAGTCCAGCTTTCTTCTTGCCAAAATTTGTCATGCGACTCATACTAGTACGATACTTTTGCAATGCATAGGACATCCTGGACTCCTTTGTCGAGGAGTTTCACGACGAGCCGGCGCCGGTGCAGCTCCAAATCCTCACCGCCGTCGTGAAATTGTTTCTCAAAATGCCAACCCAGACGCAAAACATGGTGACCAAAGTCTTGAAGATGGCCACGGAAGAGTCGGAAAATCCGGATCTGCGGGATCGCGGGTACATTTACTGGCGATTACTGCACAAAAACCCGGAAGCGACAAAGAGGGTGGTGTTGGGGGACAAGCCGCAGATCCGGTCGGAAATGCAGGCAATGGACAAACAGACGCTGAACGCGTTGATTCCCCAGCTGAGCTTCATGAGCAGCGTTTACCACGTATTTACAGCTAGAGGCTGTTTTTATTTTTTTTTTGAAAGTAGGTTAGAAATAGAATGGAGTTAGTACTGCTAATATGTGATTGGTCAACATCGTGATGGAGTTTTTCATCTTTGTAGTCGTGCCGGGGCGCACTTTGATTAGACATAGTCAGTGAAGATACGGAATTATCTTCGCCGCACTGATTTTATTACTATTGAAAACGCAAAACAGCAACTTCCCGAGGAGTTCATTACGCGAGTTCAATTGAATCCAAGAGACGACGACGATGAGGACTACGACGACGAAAATTACGGCGACAAAATTAGCAGAATGAAAGGTAAAGAGAACTTGCACTTGGCATGAATGAGAATTACTTATGTCGCCTCTTTTTTACCTTTCTGAGCTGTCTTGTGAGGTTTCCGGTTGCAACGAAGTTTTGGCTTCACGATCACGCTTGTAGCAAACTGGTCGGTCAGACAAGTTATTTTGGTCCTACATTTGGATATGTAATACAACTAAACATGACATTATCAATTCCCACAGGCGAGCTTTCCAAGCCTGCGGAGTTCAAGGAAAAAGTTTCCGGCGGCGACCTCCTCGACCTCCTGGATATGGACGGGGACGGCGGCGCCACTCCGACCGGCGGTCAGCAAACGCCCTCAAATGTGCAGAAGCAGCAGGTGCTCGCCGCCACCCAGCCGGGGCAGAACAAGTCTACCGGTTTGGAAATCCAGGGGTGCATAACGAAAAGCGGTGCCGGTGCCAATCTCTGTTTGACGATCAAAAACTCGTCCCCCAACCCGCTCGCCGGCGACAAGTTCGCGATCCAGCTGAACAAGAACGCCATCGGGTTCTATGCAGTGAAGCAGCTCGCGCAGGTGATGCCGAGTATAGTGCCAAGCGGGGGAAGCTGCGACGTGGAAGTGCCACTGATGGCCGGGAAACCGGAGCTATTGGTGAGCGAAGTCCCCCCGAGCGCGCAACACACGTTGCAGCTGCAGGTGGCGATCAAGTGCCAATTGGACATCTTCTATTTCACGCAGCCCTTCGATGCGAGGGCGATTCTGGAGAGTGGGAAGGACTGGGTATAAAACTTGAAGAAGCTACTTTTCTGTTGTAGCATTTGCACGCCGCTGCATCAGAATAATAAATTATGATGCGTGGTGCGCGCCGTGACTTCTACTAGAGCTTTAGCCTTTATTCGAGTTCTGCAGCTATGAGATCATAATCATCGTGTTCCCTCAATGAATTCTATGAAACCACTACCACTTTTTTCAGGTCGACCGCCAGCGCTTCATGGCGCAGTGGCAGGCGACCGAATCCAGGCAAGCCCAGCGGGTGTACCTCTACGGGCCGGGGAAAGCGCTGGACGCGAATGACTTGCTTACCAAACTCCTCGACGATATAGGGTTTTTCTTTGTCGCGAAAAACAACAGCAACAACTGCAGCTACTACGCGGGGCGGTATTCCCACCAAGGCACGGGCTCGGATTCCGGGTTCCACTACGCACTGCTGGAGTGCTGCATGCAGAACCAAATGATTCGCATCAACGCGCGCTCCACACAGCAGGGCATGCCGCCAGTCTTGCACACCACCTGTGTAAACGCGCTGGGGATAAAGCCGAAGCAGTAGCAAGGATCATGGACTCGTTGACTTTGCCCGAAAATGAAGTCTTGTTTCATCTTCAGCAAAATAAAATTCTCAAAAACCCTAGCATAATTGCGACAAATAAAAAGAAGTCGAAGTGGCGACACAAATTGTGTGTCAAATCATACGACCCAGAGAAAAAAACATACCACCAGGCTTTTTTTCTCTGATCCAAGACCTGCTTCCCGAAACCAAAAGGCAAAGATCCTCAGTTTCAGGAAGAAACAGCAGTTCTTGGCGAGAATTGTTGAAGTACGATTTTTTTTCCCCATATCCCCGAGGATGATACCCTCATCCTTTAACCCGCAGTGATAGTCGACATATTTCTTCAACAATGAGGTACACAGTTAACACAAGATCAGGAAGAAAATAAAAATGAAGTAGAAACTACTGGCACCCGCACGACCGTGGAAGCACTTGTTGAGAAGTAGCCGAAAGGAGCTTCAGGCTGTTCCTTTTGCCGCTACCGGGGGAGCAGAAAAATATTAAAGTGATGGCAAAACAGCGAGCACACACAACTTTCTGTTTTGAGCTTCTGTCTCGTTGGTTTGCCTGTGCCACAAGGAGTTCCGCGTAGTCGTTGATCCTGTTGATTTGCCTCTATGGTAGACGTCTCGCCGCCACAGTGGATCGGCAGTTTTTTGTGAAGATCAGCAACTATAAAAATTAAAGAACTACTGTTAGACGAAATACAAGGAAGATCGGATAAATGAACTCGGATCTTCTGCAACTGCCTTCGAGCTTGACAAAAGTGTGCTAAAAAGTAGAGGAGCAACAGATTCGATTCATTCCCTGGTGAAAATGAGGATGCGGTGCATCAAGATCGAGAAAAAGATCATGATTTCGTTTGAGTGTGCTTCTGCTGCTCCACAACTAGACTACAAGGTGTACGCAGAAAATGAAGATATAGATCCTCTACTTCCTGTGCTGCATGTTCCTTGGCTTGTGCTTGTGCTATTCTAGTAAATAAATTGTGTTCCTGCTACTTCGTGTATGAACAAATCTAAAATCAAAATTTGAACACAGGATGTTCGATGTTGATGCGAGGCCCCACGACATAGATTCGTTTCTTATCCGTTTTCAATAGCAACTCTGGTTCTAGAGGTTTTTTGTTTGTTTAGATTCTACAACGTCGCAGTCGCAGTCACCTACTTCTGAGCAGTAAAATGACATCAGTTCCAGTAGACCTCAACAATCCGCCAGCAGCTGAGGCCATGTCCTTTGCCAACAAGCGGCCATGTAGTTCTTCCCCTCAAGAAGCGACAACAGCCGTAATATCGCCCCGCCCTACGGCTCGCCCAACAACTCTCCCAGCAGCAGGTCTTGAACTAAACCAACCAGCGATATTACAAAACCCCCCAGCCACGACGTCGTTTCAGTCCTACCTCCTGCTCCACAATGTGGGGAAAAAGCAAAATTTCGGTCAGCTCCTCCGCTCAGCTATGGCGTTCGGCGTGACCGAAGTGGGCGTGGTGGGTGCGAAAAAGATTGCCGATTTGCAACTGTTCGGCAACCAGGGGACCTGTTCGCACTGCGATTTCCGGTTCTTTGATACGTTGCATGACGCGAAAACGTACTTCTGCGAAGAGAAAAACGCGGAGCTGTGTGGGATTGAAATTTCCAACACGTCGAGACCGGTCATTGCGAAAATGATGACGACACGACAGATGAATTATCTTCGAAATTGTAAAGACGGTGGAGGCAGCACCAGCAGCAGCTGCAGCAAAAACAGAAATTGCGACACGAAACTACAACCACAGCAGGAATATACCACAAATTATGAATCCAAAGCAGATGCAGATGCAGGCGAGAATCTGGAGGCACAGCAACCGGAATCCCGGTCCCTCTTCCAGATGCACTTTCCCTTCACCAAATCCACGGTTTTTATGCTCGGGAACGAGGGCTCTGGGATGTCGGAGCAACAAATCAAAATCTGCGACTTTTTGGTCCACATTCCCCAGCACTCGAAGAAAACAGCGTCGCTTAACGTCGCCGTCGCCGGGTCCATTGTGTTGCACCACTTCGCAATTTTCGCGGATTTTGCCGAAACCGGGATAATCGGGGAGAAGTTTGAGCTGGAAGAACCCCGGAGCAAAGTGGACAAATTCAAAAACCCCACAGACGCGGAAAAACAGGAGATCGAGCGCAAGAGGCAAATGAGGAAAAGAAAAAGGGAAGAGGTAGAGGACGATTGTGTTGAAGGTGGGGGTGTAGCTGTTGTTGTTGACGGGGCGCAATTACCAGACGACCAAATGATCGTAGACTCTGAAAGTCCTGCTGGACCCGAGCCCTCTGCTTCTGAGTACGGCGGTGCATAAAAATGATCAGCACGATGAACACGACGTGATCCAATGAAGCTAACAGTGCCAATGCGTCAAGGATCAGACTAAGTATAATTGAGACGGTATCTTTATGGGATTCTTCAAGAAGCGCTACTCGCTCCGCTTGGAGCCAAGACAACTTTTGTTCATCGGTCTGCGGGACCATTTTGCGTTGCTGCGTCTTCCCATCTTTTGAATATCGCTGTTGTGTTGGTGAAGATGATGATGAATATGCTTCGGGTTCGGTCGTCTGTGTCTCCATCGCTCTTTCACTTTCATGTCGTGATCAGGATTTGTTCATAACTACAAAGAAATAAAAGACGCAATGAAGATCATATCGTTAGTCACAGCACATTCTCCGTCGTCCTATCAATTAGCCCATATGCAACGCAGATTTGCTGTTGTTCGAAAACCGACAAAGATGCCATCTTCTGGCGCGCCCCTGGGTAGCATGTGGAAGGTCCCCTTTGCGGCAGTGCTAGCCCTGTTTTCATCTTCAAAAGTTGCTTTTTACTTCCATGCTGGAGCAGTTCCGGCGCATGTAGTTCAAGGAACCTTCACGGCTCTACAAGATGTTGACTCAGATCATGCAGCTGCATCGACCGCGGGCGGCGACGACGAAGATATTCTGAGTACGTCCTCCAGCGCCCCTTTGACTGCGCAGTCACTTCTGCATTTTCCACGTGCAATAGCGAATCGGAATCCAAGTCAAGCGTCACAAACCCGCGGAAAGCAGCTCGTGCAGAACCTCCGGAAGCAGGCTCAGCTTAGTAAACGCTTCGTCTCTTCCCTCGTGTTTCCACGATCTGGATTTTTTTCAGCCGCCGATGATGTGCCGCCGTACGTGGACACGATGAAAATTCATCTCGGTAGTTGTACTACCGAGGAACACCACGCAACGAGCCCCTCCACGACGCAAGCCGATGTGACTATTCCGCCGATCAGTATCCGTCTGGCCATGCTGAACCCCTTCGATACTGGGTACTTGGAAAAGGTTTCGGATAGCCCAGTATCCGGTGCCAGGGGGACGGAACCGGCAGAGGATCGGTTTCTGGCGCTGGATGATAGCATCAACCTCGACCACGCGAAAATAAACTCTGACCCAGGACAGGGAAATGATAATAAATCATGTCGCTGGTCCGTCGACATGAGCAGTACAAGGAGCTCCGCCTCGATTTCAGTGACTGATGTGAACCTGTTGCAGCCGCAAGAAATTCAACTACAACACCATAACAAACCGGAAGAACGCCAGCAGATGTCCTCCGCTTGGTCGTCTTGGTTTGGAGCGGAAGAAGATCAAGATGATATTGCCAGCAAAAATACAGCAATACCAGATACGATCACCTTCACCCTTTTCGACAGCAGGGGCGCACCACAACTGATTTGCACAGCAACGACCCACCCGCCAGACGGTAGGTCCTCCTACTGCTACGGAGCAACCATGAAAGCGCGGATGGCGACATATGCGGCGAGTGGTTTGGGGATCGGGTTCGAGTTTGCCGTCGATTTGGAGCAGAGGAAAATGACTTTCACCTTGAGTGGCGTCGATTGGGAAAGCATGGAGCGGTATGTTGAAGTAGCGAAAAGCTTCATGCGCGGGCTCGGGGAAAAGCCGAAGGAGGCGGTGTTGAGATTCGAATTTCCGGGAAAAGTTGTGGAAGGTGGAAAGTACGGGAGTGACGCGAAGGGAGAGTGGAAAACTTTTACCAGGGATCTACACATCCAGATCAAACTGTAGAATCAGGAGAACAAAACATTCTTTCCACATGGACTTCTTGAGCAGTAAGAAATAGTTTCAGACGAGTTGTTGTAAGTATTTCATCGAGGAGTGTTTATTTACGTTTTTTAATATTCCTGGAGCACACGGACGCAGAGAACTGGCGATCCATTGAAACAGCGACTTTCTGAGCATCCAAGCGCTGTTGTAATCAAAGTAACGTGCGCCAACGGAACGGTGATGTAATATAGTCTCGTAATGTCTCGTCTTGTATGATTTACCATCGACTTTTCGCCACTCGTCTCATTTTCATTTTTCTTGAGCACCAACAATCTGCTTGTCTGCGAAACGTGAATCCAACGTCAAATCGTGTGATCAGTGTGTAAAAAAGTGCAGCGATTCCAAACAAAGCATTTCGGGCGTGCGGGCAACAGCTTGGTCGCAGAACCTCCGAAACAACAAGCAGCGTTTCGTGTCTTTCTTTCCAATCCCCCGTACTGGAGTTTTTCCAGCATTCGTCAATGACTACGACAACTATCCCACAGAACAAAAAAAGCTAGAGTGTCACGTTTGGTCAAATGCAAAAACAAATTAATAAGTAGTACAACCAGCACGAGGACTAGAGTTACAGATACTGATACCCGACTACTTACACTACAGAAATGATGAGCAACCAACAAGCAACATTTACGACTAACCACCTTGTCGCAGTCGTATTCGTATATCATTCGTAAGTGCGCATCGTGGCTTGCATGTCGTTCTGGCGGGGATGAGTTTGATTTGAGTAATCGATTCGTGATGTACACATGGTACACCAAAACTCTGCCGCCTTTGTTAAGGTGAGGACAGCCAGCTTTACAGCGATCTTGACCTCCCCGCGTTTTCCGAAGGACCCGTGATGTGAAAGAACATTTATTCGAACAAATCGACGACGTCGCTGTCGTCATATTGCATTTCATAATGCAAAGATCTTCGTCTAGTACTTCGATTTCGACGTGTATCGGTCTCCTTAGTCGGACGTCGTGGTCAATCATTTCTGGCCCTGCTCCTTCAAGTAGTACTTAACTCAAACTCTAACTTTCTTCAGCCGACGCGATTTTTTTCGTCTAAGTTCCAAGGGAAGTGAACTAGACTACAACCAAGGAAAAAGTGCTACCAGGGTGCTCGCTCGTCACCAACAACTGGCTACGCCTTCACTTCTGTTTGCTTGAAACAACCTCAGCCTATACTTCTGTCGTGGCGCAAAACTTCGTTGTAGCGGCGCTCACAAGAACGCTGCAAAAGATCGCTTTGAAAAAATAAATGCCGAGGATGAGGATGAAAAAGACCACCACTTTCACTTTGCTCGCCGGCGCGCAGCTGGCGGCGGCCTTGAAGCAGGCCGGTGAAGAGGCGGGCGAAGGGCAGAAGATGGCGATAGGGTCGGCCGGCGAAGGGGCGGTCCGTGTCGTCCATTCCCCGCGCACGAACGAGATGAGGGAGGACCGGGCAGGTACGTCGGCGCGTCACAGTAATATATCATGCTTGAGGCTTGAGCTTACTATAAGCGTGCTGCATCTTGACTTTTGTTTCCATGGTGAAAGCTTTTGTACATTATTTGAGCAGCTGCAGTATTATGTCGCTTGCAACTTTATCATCTTTTCCCATGTTGGCCACCAATTCCATCCTGCTCCACTTCACAGGCAAAAAAGCGGGGCGCTCGAAGACGCAGTCCTTCAATGAAGATGGCATCATGGAATATCCCACGACAGAAATAGCTAGCAGTAGCACATCATCAACACGAAAAGTAAAATAAAACCTTATGTCCTCTTAGATACTAGCCTACGCGCAATGCAGCTCAAGTCCGACCCATGACCGTCCGATAATTCAGATCATTGATTTATGACTCTGTTTTCTGCTGCATTTAATAAATACGGGCATATTGCCTGTTGCCATGCTATTGCTAGTTTTTTTTCTGTGTGATCCTGACCACGACGACGAGCCGCCATACATCAATACGATGAAAATTCATCTCGGGCGCGACGCCGCAGCACGAGCAGAAGATTCGGCAACAACACACGCCGACATGACCGTTCCGCCGATCAGTATTCGGCTGACCATGCTGAACCCGTTCGGCACTGGGTATCTGGAAGAAGTTTCGGAAACCCCAGTATCCGACGCCACGGACGGGAAGGAACCGGGTGAGGACGGGTTTCTCGAGGTTGTGGATGAAAATGTGAAGGACCTTGCGGAAGCGAAAATTGACGCTCCTGAGGCAGCCCCAGCCATTGTCTGGAGTGTCGACACCAACACCACACAGCACTCCGCCTCGACTTCAGTGACTGACGTGAACCTGTTGCAACCAGAACAAATCGAAGATTTTAAGAAACAAGCAGCACCAGAACAAGAACACCATCGACAGGAGTCCGCTGCCTGGTCGTGGCCGTCTTTGTTTGGAGACGACAAGACTCCAAGAACCGTGGCGCCAGATACCATCACCGTTACCGTTTTCGACAGCTCGGAAGCACAACTGATTTGCACCGCGACGATCCACCCGCCCAAAAGGAGATCCTCCGGCGGCTGCAACCCGGTGACCATGTTTGCCCGGACGGCATCGTTCGGGGCGAGTCAGCTCGGGATCGGGTTTGAGTTTGCCGTCGATTTGGACCAGAGCAGCATGACCTTTACTTCCACGGGCATCGATTGGGGAAGTACGGACCGCTACGTCGGAGTGGCGAAAACGTTTTTTCCCGGGCTCGGGCAGCGGCCGCAAGAGGCGGTGTTGAGATTCGCATTTCCCGGACGAGTTGACGGAGGTGGGAGCGGGGGGAAGGAGGAGTGGAAACTTTTTACCCGGGACCTGCATATACAGGTCAAACTGTAGGAAGATGAGCTGGCGAATCAAAATGAGTTGCGCAACCGTAAATAATGATAAAAGAGGTTGTTTATACTTAGACTCGAAAACAAAATGCTGCCTATCTAATCTAGGCAAGGAGTTTTCGTCTATATATCATTCTGATTATTTTCACTTGTTCTTGTTGTTCTCTCGAACACCAAAATAAATCAGCTTGTCTGCGAGTCGTAAATTCAACGGCAAACTTTGACTTTCACTGTGTGGTCAGCGTGTAAGAGAAGAAACTTACACACACCCCGAGGAGTGATTTTTTACATCGAAAACGGGGGTGGGCCTCGCACGCTCTCGCTTTTCGTAGCATTTTGAAGCGGATGATGAACTCGAATGCAAGCAGCACCCGAGGCGCGCTTGGCGTGGTGCGCAGTCCAAGAAAACAAGAATGGTAGAAAGCATTCGCCATGGCAGTGGTGTCTTTGTTTTGGGCGCCCGCCCATCTTCGTTGTTTTTGTGTTCTCGTTTAGAGCGTTTTTCTTACTGCTGGTGTAGTGAAGACAGTCCTTCACCAATGTTACCGGCCCTCACCTAAAATAGATTCGCCAGACACATGTGTCTTGTTACCTCCCGCATTTGCAAGTGGTCCATAGACCCGGGTGTCTTGTTACCTCCCGCATTTGCAAGTGGTCCATAGACCCGGGTGTCTTGTTACCTCCCGCATTTGCAAGTGGTCCATAGACCCGGGTGTCTTGTTACCTCCCGCATTTGCAAGTGGTCCATAGACCCGGGTGTCTTGTTACCTCCCGCAATAAAGTCCATAGCTACGTCTGGAATCAATATTACGAAATAGACGCAGCTTCGAGCAGTAGTAGTTCCGATTGAGAGTTTGTGCACTTGTGCAAGCCCAGCCTGCTTCTGCTTCAACCCCTGCCCCTCCGAAGATTGACTCATTCTGTTCGCCGTGCGCAAGAACCGAATGCCCAAAATGGTCGAAGAAATCAAAACGAAACTGCAGACGAGATCTTCATTGCGAGCAGCATGTCCGCCTCGCTTCGCTCTACTTCTCGCCTTGGTCACGGCATCCCTTATCCACCTCCCGTCAGCCGATGCAAAGACTAGTGCCTTTTACCCATCTCCGGGAGTAGAACAAACAGGCCACAACTACCACCAAGGGGTTGCCCAGCACTACAAAAGCAGAAACACGAACTACGGCCGGAGTCTCGGATTCGCACAGGCACATCACGAAGAGGTGGAAAATGAGGAGGACTTCTCAACAACATCCGTTCAGAAGAATACTCTTCACAACCTCAACAGCGACCAAAGCTACGCGACAGAAGCAAGTGCTGCAGATCATGTTGATAACTCTTGGTCGTCGTACCTTTCCGGCATGCTGCCCCAGTTTGGCTTGTCGAACACAACAGAAGGCGGGTCGTCCATAGCCGCCCCGCCTAACGAAGTCGTGCCAGCAACATCTACGTGGCAGGACCCGATGAGGCTCCACCTGGGAGGGGACCTTTCGAACACAAAAGCGGACGTCCAGGTGGGGCCGCTCGCGATCCGCGTGACCATGATGAACCCTAAGGGTTTAGGGTTTAGTGAGCAAACCCCAAAGAACCCCGTGTCCGGGGCGGACGGACGGATTTCGCCGGAGGATGGGTGGCTGCTCGTTGCGGATCACGCGGACGTTGCACTGCCAGGTGAGGTTTCATCTTCAGCTGGTGGCACAGGAGCAGGTGGGGCTTTTCTGGGAACAACAGGGGCCGCAGGACCTACAACTTCTTCTACCAGGGGGAGTACCAGCACAACAGCTCATCACGTCCATTGGAGCGTGGACACGAGCAGCACACAGACCACCGCGATGGTAACGATTCAGGACGTCGATATGTTCTTCCCCGGAATGATGATGTCCCAGCAGTCACATGCAGCTTCCGCCGCGAACCACAACTTCCACCGCCAACAAGCAGTTGACCAAGTCTACACCTTCTCCGTCTTCGACGGTAGCGGCAACGACGTTTTCGCGTGCACCGCAACTTTGAGTGGCGCTGGAGGTGCGGGCAACTACGGCAAGAGTGGTTCATCCTCCACACAGACCAAGAGAACAAGCACGGGAACTTGCTACGGTACTACGATGAAGTCGAGGATGGCGTCTTTCGCGGCCAGCGGCGTGGGGATCTCCTTTGGCTTGTCCGTGGATGCAGCGGACAAGAAGTTGACCTTTTCGTTGAACGGGGTAGACTGGACGGGGATTGACGGCTACGTGAAGTTGGCGAAGCGGTTCATCCGGAGCCTGGGGGAGAGGCCGATCGAAACCATGCTGCGGTACTCCTACCCAGCAGCGATGAATCATGGTGGGGAAGTGGGTGCAGGTGAGGGAAATGATGACCAGGCAAGAACCATCACACGGGACGTGCACGTGCAAATCAAGATGTAGACCGTGTTTGGTTTTGCGGTCGGAAGATAATTCTGGAGGTCAAGAAGAGCGGGCGGGAGAATCATGGCGGAAAGCAAGCTTCTGGATTTTTTGAATGTTGAAGCCGCCGCATCAACAGGTGAACTTAACAAATTCCCAATGCCCCGGGTCGACTATGTTGTTAAACGTCTCTCTCATGCCCATGCGCACCATATTCATCTAATCTCGATGGTGATGCCACTAACTTCACATTCTTATCAATCTACTCACGTTGATCACCATGTCCATGAGCATGATTGAGCGTGCTAATCGTTCCACCAAGAATCAAAAATCTCTATGTCTGCAAAACGAACCCCAACAAAAAACAATCTGTTTGTCCGCAAAACGCAAGGAATTCAAAACATTCAACATGAGTAGCTACAAAGAAATAGCCGCACGCCCACCAGGAAAGCGGAGCTCTAATGTTTGATTTCCAGCAGGGCAGATGGCTTCTGTTGTCTCTGTGTTCGGCACGACCGGAAGACCGCCAGGATAGCTGTTCTAGTTCTTTGGGGTTCCGCATTTAATGACCGCGGTGAAGCGAGTGTCTGGAACGGGAACGGGTCAGCCGGTGTTACAGGGTTCGAGCGTGTGGCGCTTGGATTTGTCTCGGGGGGAAGCCTCCGCCCGAAGATCGCGAAGGCGATGCGCGAAGAGAGCGCGCAGGTGGCCGAGGGAAAAGATAGGAAGCGAGAAGAGCGCCAAGACTTTGCAGCGGCACGGAGCCACCCGCGTTGTCTGTGAGTCTGCCTTGACTCCCTTTGCACCGTCGCCATTGGGGGCCTTTCCAAGCCTTGGCGCCGCCGATTTTTTTGAAACGCGCGGCGCGGGGGCCCCCTCAGGGCCTTTTAGCTTGGGCGCCCCCCCCCGTTTCGGCACACAGCAAGCCGGCGCCGCCGGCTTGCTGCCGCAGGTCACGTGAAGGGCCACGGTTCCGCAGCAAGCAAGCACCGACGAGGAGCGGACGACGATGGGCAAAGGTGTCCGTCTTGGCGGGGCTACGTCGAAAGCAGCGGCGAAACAAGTGCACGGGGTGGCCCGCACCTTCGCGGAACTTGTGAACAAAACCAGTATGGCCACAGGACAGCGCTCGTAAAAAAAAGAAAACCCGCGCGCTGCTCTTTTTCGAAAGCGAGGCGCAGCCGTCTAGGAAAAACGCGCGGGCGAGCCAGCCGGGCGCGCGCGGCCCGGCCTATTTTCAGCGTTTCTTTGCATGCGCGCGGCCCCGGCCGGGAAGCGGGTCCAAAGAAGGAAGCGCCGGCCGGGGCCCCGGGAAGGGCAGGCCAGGTAGGGAATTTCGGCCGCCCCCGATTGGTGGCCGGCGCCTGCTTTGGTGGCGCTTGTCTTGTCCTGTGGCTGCCTCCGCCCCGGGGCGCAAGCCCATTGTGTGCGACCTAGCAGGCGCCGGCGTTCTTTGCCGGGGGGCACCCGAGCCCGCCGGCTCGCCCGGCGGGTTGGCGCGCGAGCTTCCGAGGACCGCGCCGTGGGAGGGCCCCTCCGCCGCGCCTCAGGCAGGCCTTCATGTCTCGGGGGCGGGCCGGCGGTCCGCCGTGGCGCGGGCGGTTGTTCGGGTGTGGGCCCGCTTGCCTCGTCCTCCCAGACCCACCGGTCTTCTGCTGCCTCTTCTGAAGCCATGTGTGATGGCTCTCCCCCAGGAAGTCTAAGTCTATTTTCGGGTCTTCTCGGTCGTCCGTGCGTGGCGTGGGTGGCTAGCCGCTCCTGCAAAGGGCGCGCGCCCGCGCGAGCCTACTCATTTGGTTGGCTTTGATTTCCGCAACCGTCCGCCCGCCCGTGAGTGCTTAGTCAGGCGGCACAGACGCAGTGAGTTCTCGTCAACAAGGAACAAGAAGAAGCAATAATGATCGCAGGAGCTGCTCCTGTTGCCTTTATAATTCGCGGCCGCCCTTGATGTGTTCGCTCGGCGGCGAGGTTTCGGGATTGCAACGACCCTTGGAGCGCTCTTGTTGCATATTCATGTTCCTCGAGGTGCGCCAGCGTGCGTCTGTATTCGGTTCCGAGAAGATGTGTTTATTGGCGGCCATCGTTGCATTGCCGGTCTTCGCATCTAAATCTTGCTGAGAGAGTTGTGGGCCGCGTCGCTTCTCATTTCGTTCTTTTCTTTGTGTCGTTTCTCTCTCCTGTGGTCGTTCACTAGGCTCGTCAGTTGGTCGTCATCAGTCCAGCCTTGATTTAATGTTACAGACAGGGGCAACAAGACGAGGGGCCAACAATGTTCAGCCGAAACTGGAAAAGGAGTATTGCCATGACGATGACCACTGAGCGGCCACGCGCTCATGTAAACCGCAATGGTTGGCAACTGACGCAGTCAGGTTGAACAAGCAAACAAGGAGGCCCCCGGCAGTTTCTTTCTGTTTAATTATCCACCTGAGGAGCATGGCACAATAAGCATCGTTGTATGTTATGGGAGAAGGAGTAGGCAGCACAGTCGCGATGCAGTCCCATCAATATCCACGGCAGCACCTCATTCCCGAAAGCAGTCGTCGTTCGGACGGCCAGCGCTTCCGAGAACGACTCGGCTTCGTCCTTCTCGTCGTGATCGGATTTTACTTCCTGGTCCGCATCCTCGTCGAGTTCAAGCCCGTGCTGGAGCCCTTCCTTTGGGCCGTGGTTTTCGTGTCCGCCATCGACCCCTTAGTGACGCTTGTAGAGGAGGGGATCTTGAGCACCTTACTGTTTCTCTCCACGCTGCGCCAAAGGTGTTGCTCCTTCTTCTGCTTCCGCATTTTTCCAAGAAAAATCAACAAGAAATTTGATCTCGAAGCGGACGATGTTGTAGAAACACCTCTGCAACGCAAGCGGGGCGGTAAGAGTAGTCGCGCGACAGTGTTTCAACACGATAAAAATGCCTATCAAGAACACCAGCAACAGCAGTACTTTCATCACCGGACGAGAGGACAGGAGCAGCCGAATCTTGGCGGCTTTCAAGAAGTAAATCAGTTTTCTGCAGCAGCCTCTTCCGCGTACACCGCACGACATGCGGAAAACGAAAGAACCGCGGCTGTTGACATTTCAATGGAGAACTTCGCAGCTACGCGCGAGGAGGACGGCGCTGCCTCTGGGTCATGTCGATTTGATGTTGAACCGAGGGACGATAAAAATATCAATAAAGCACCTCCTTCGACGTTCCTGGACCCCCTTGATAGTTGCAGCAGCACGGCTTGCAGCACGATGGCCACTGCTCCAGGTGAAGATGGCGACTCAAGGACCGTAGGGGTCAGTGACGGGTTTGTGGATGAGGTTTGCTTTCTGTCCTCGCCCCCAGTGTTGTCGCCAGTGTATGGGGACGAGAAGCACAATGAGGATGGTCGTTCCGCAGCAGTTCTTGGGGTTTGTGGTAATGGAACGCAGGAGCATCGTCCCCAAAGCGTCGGAATTTCAATCATGACAGCCGGAGTTGTAGCACCGGCGCCATTTGCTCCACCCGGGATGAGCCAAAGCACATTCATCGCGCAGCCTTCATCAACTCAGGAACTTCCTTCGAGTTTTTTGTCTTGTTCTAGCGAGTGGAGCAGGCCATCTGTTGTAGCTGCAGGTACTGCATCGCATGCTCGTCGCGGTGCCGGAAAATTTACCACGAAGTCGTCAAGCAGGATGATGAATAGTGCGACCAACCCTTGGATGCGTTCTATCGCGAAGTACGGCTCGATTGTCATCGTGCTTGGGTGCATTCTCACCCTGAGTGTGCTGTTTTTCTTCTTTGTCCTCCAATCAGCACGGCGGATGAAAGACCATTGGCAAGTGTACGAAGTCGGCGCGAATAATCTCCGAAGAGCGATCACGGACTTGCAGCAGGCGGTTAGATCGTTTTTTGTCAACAACGCGAACAATTTCATCGGATCTACGGCAAGCTCCTTCGGCAATACCGCGGCGCTGCTGCAATTACAGGGTGGATCTAGTACAACCAGAGGGACAGGAGCCACCGCAGTAGCCCAGCAAGAGCAAGCACAGGGGCAGGGCACCACGCCGTTCACCCGGATGTTGTTCAGCAGCGGGCTTTTTACCTACAACTATGACTCCGTGGCCCATGAATTACTCACTACGGTGCAGGACATCGTGTACAGCTTGCTAGGTTCGTTACTGAACAACGTTTCAAGTTGGATGTTCAGCTGCGGGATGACCATTCTGTATGCGCTCTTCTGGCTCACGGGACGGAGGGCCGCGCAGGAGGAGGTAGGAGTGGATGTGGAAGGGGGACAAGAGAAGCATCTTCACGATCTTCGACGGCGCGGTCAACTAGATGATCACATGATGGATCATCAGGCCGTCTACTACGATGATTCTGTTGCAGATCGAGCAGAACAAGTACAAGACCAGCAGTTATTTTATCCCGAAGTAGCCTTCGCCGACCTGGAAGAGGAGGGGCAATCACTGTTGGGTGAACAATGCCATGATAGTGCGGGATTCAACAACAATTACGCTCAGACCGGTGTGCATCCAAAAAGAACGTCGAGAATAATGCGGGTGGACAATCATAATCAACAGCACGGCTTGATTGCTCCACGTCCGCCCTCGCTGGTAAACACCGCGACCACACCTATATCGTGCAAAACTACAAGTACAAAACACAACTACCCTACTGCAGCAACACCAACCTCCGACCACCAACAGCACCATCTTGTCCACCAGCTTCGCGGCACGTTTCGCCGCTACCTGCTTTTGAAATCCATCAGTTGTCTCGGTTTCGGCTGCGGTGTTGCGTTCTGGCTGAACACGCTAAACATCGACCTCGCCGCGGTTTTCGGGGCGATTACCTTTGTGATGAATTACGTCCCCGAGGTGGGTCCGTTTATCTCCATGGTGCTGCCGATACCGGTGATTCTGCTCGACAGCCGACTGGAGAGACCGTTTTTTACCTTGTTTCTGGCTTTGATCGGGCAAATCGCGCTCAAGTTCGCGTTTGCGAACATCATCGAGGTCAAGTTGATCGAGAGCGACAAAAAACTGAAAATGCACCCGGTGATCCTGCTGCTCTCGGTCGCCGTGTGGGGCCACGTGTGGGGCCCGACGGGCATGCTCCTGTCCGTGCCGCTGATGGCGTTTTTGAAGATCTCGGTGCTCTCCGAAGTTGTCCCTGCAAGTTACCGGGATCCGGTCTTGGTTTTGCTAGAGGGCGACGCAAATGCGCCGAGGAGGCACCTCCAGTTGGAGCAAAGGTGAAGAGGTGCTGCGAGCCGGGCGCTGTGACGAAATATTGAGCGGGATCATGCCGTTTTGCGAATGGAAGAAGGTGGAAGTTGTACTGGAGGGGTGAGATCATTGTTGGTTCGGTTTTTCGCGAAGATTTGGTCCTTGATCTTCATGCGGGGATGAAATGTAGGTAACAGGACCCACATCTAGTTTTCGCGCACTTGGTGAAATTGCAATCGCCGCTCAGACGACTACAGGTGTGCTGTGGTACTGCTCGCGCTAGTAGTAAGTACTTCGGACAACTAGTAACAGTGCAACATGATGCTAGATGCATGTGACAACACGGCCTCAGATTCAGTTGATCATCATGCGTCGAAGTTGTATCTCGTGATATACATCGTCGTGCACATGGCTGCCGGTGGTCCTGAGAGCAGAAAAAAAATTGAACTCGATCATAAATCCAAACCGTTGATGAAATGGTGAAGGCGCGCGATGATCCTTCCAGTCTCACGCTAGTGTTGTTCATTTGGATTTTTACCGTCTTCCAGTTGCTGGTAGCAGTTTTCACAACAGATTGTTACTACAGATGAAGAGGCAGGATCTTTGCCAACGTACAGAATTCGAATTGTGGAAACGCCGAAGATAAAAATGCGAGAAAAAGATAAAAAGAAAAGTGATCTTCGCATGCACAATCCCCTGTACCTGTAGGTTTCTCGTTTATTGTTTCGTCAGATCAGTTCGGAAAGAGCAGCGCTGCCGGGCCCAGGCCTTGTTTTTTCCGTGAAATAAAAAAAAAATAAAAAGGTGTACTAGTAGTGTCATCTGGTATCTGTATTGAAGCGAACAGGAATTATAGCTTTAGTGTTTAATAGAAAATGGTCATGATGTTTTTGAGATGAAGTAGGGCTCGCAGTAAGAAAGAGAGGTAGTACTTTAGAGAAAAAAGAGAACGAATAATTTTTTTCAACTGATACGTGTACATGTACTACAACCACGAGAAAGATAATTGAAGCACCCAGCACGACTAGAAAACCAGAAAGCGAAAAGAAAGACAACAACTCTTGACACGACCGCCAGCCAGACGAGAACAACGACCTACAACAACCAGCACGCCCACCATCATGGCGCAGATTAATAACATGTCGACCTCGACCACGCCGACCATCGCGATCGATCCGGCACGGCGCTTGCGGTTGGCGCAGCAGATCCTAGCCAAGTTCCAGGAGAAGATTGTCCGGGACCTGATTTGGGTGCTGATTGGCCCCAATCTGACCGACGTGCACGTAAAAATCCCTGGAAGTCCGGCCTGCATTCCCTTGAGCGCGAGCCACCTGCTAGGACTCGCGGCGAGTGGCGGGACCGAGGACGAGAATTTTGATCATTTATTTGAAGAAGCTCTACGAATCTCTTTGGAAAAAACGGATAAAATTAAAAAGACGAACGAAAGTGATCGCGAAAGAAAGAACGACGTGAACACAACTCCGAGGAGTACTATAACGTTAACGAGTACTTCTACTACGACGAGCCAAGAACCCCAACAAGTTGATGGGGTAAAGAACTACAAAATCGGGATGAATATTGAAACGAGTAACCACGAGGACCACATCAAGCCTCGTAAAAAATCATCACAGTACAACAACCAGCAAGAAACCCAAAACGCCTTCGGCCTGTCATTTGTCGAGTGTGTCGCCCTGTTGCTTGAATGGGACCGCAATCCCCTGCCGTTGATGCACCGGATGGCCGAGCGCGGTGGGAGGTCTGTGAGTACCCTCGGGCACTACTTCAGCTGCTTGCTGGAGTGTTGGATTTTGAGCATGCCCAACGTCGAGCAGATTCGGAAGGGGCAACAGCTGCGGTTGCGCGAAAGTCGCACCACGCCGAAAGTGCTGCAAGAATCCCAGCTGAAGTTTTTGGTGTATTGTAGTGTGAGGAAAGATGAAGATGCTGGTGGAAACCATAGGGAAGAAACAACTACAGCTCAGGGCGGTGGAAGCGAACAGTTTACATCAAGCGAAAATAGTACTGATGAAAACCACAGCTGCGAGCCTACGATGAACAGTTCTTCCGAGGACCACGACTCCTTACCGACCCACCCCGAGGGATCCTTTGTAGTCGCGCCAGGTTTGATTTTACCGGAAACACAATCCCAAACGACCGAAGAAGCTGCGATGAAGATCTTTCACATCGAGGCCAACATCAAGTTTTTCGTGAGAACCGCGAATGGTGGGGTCGCGGGACCGTTTCTGCACGAATCGCTGCGCAACCGGGTGGAAGACATCGAGAACAAACTGTCCCTGATGAAACGAACGGAACAGCTCGGTACTCGGAGCGGGGAACAGCTGGTGTCCGGGTACTTGTTGCGGGGATTTGTCTTCCACGACATTGACCCTGATATGGCGGAGGATCATGTTGAAGCAGGACCATCACCACCCCCGCCCAAGGTGTTCACTGATGATGAAATTAGCTCGGGTGATTCCTATGCAGCGGAGGAGGCCGGGAAGCTGCAGATGAAAAGAAGTGAAGATCGCGCATACGACCCAGCAGTAGAAGAGCCATCACTGGAGATTAATGAAGGTAATAAAGCAGCACTAGAGGAACTGAACAACAACAGCACGAAGGCACTAGATGAACTAGAAGTAGTGCCAGGTGGTGTTCTACAAGATCGTCCGCCGTGTAGTGTAGAAGTTGCTCCTGCGAAACCAGAAAACGAAAAAACTCCTTCACCGCCAGGAACAAGGGATTTCATGAAAAACGTTTACTCGAGTTGTACCCTTGCGACCTCCGCGAGTCCTGTTACGACTGCGGCAGCGTCGCCGGCCTGGTCCACTCCACGCTTTGGTATTATTAAACTAAGTGACTCAGAAGCTGGACCTGCAGACGAAAACGACGCACGCTCGGTGACCAAAAAATCTTCAGTCGGAGCAGACTTCTTTTCCTCGGCCCAACCCTGTTCTGTTGTGCTTGCGGCCGACGAGTACGAGACATCAACCTGCAGGAGAACCCAAGCAAACTCAATCCACACGACGGTAACGGAGAGCACGCGCATGCCGAGCAGCGCATGCGAGCACCGACCTCTTGGGTTCTCTGCTAGCGAGGAGAGCGCTAGCGGTTTCGGCGGTGAGGAGCAACAGGACGGGGGGCGAGATCATCAAGAAAATGTCGATGTCCTCGACGAACTGCAAAAACGCGACCTGTATCAAGAAAAACCGTCGTCATGCAGTTCGGAAGATGATGGCCAGAACGATATTGGCAGCGGCGGAGCTGCGGTTCTTTGTGAAGCAGCTCCTCTAGTAGCGCCGGCTTCTGATCTGAAAATACCTCCGCCCAGCACCACTCCATCTTCACAAACTGCACAAGAATCTGACGCGCCTCACGACCACCAGATGACCAAGGGCAAACCTAGTACCAACATCACCAGCCCCCTTCCGGAGAGCATGCTCTCGGATGGGCACGCGCCGGGGTTCCTGGTTCGCGACGTGAGCCGCATTCAGTACCACTTGAAGTTGAGTAGTGCTTCAGAGAACAAGCATGCCGTGCCGGAGAACTATAGTACTCCTTGCGGCTACAGCGCACAACCACAAGCAGCAGGTAGTACTTCTACCATATACGATGTTGAAGAGCCTGCTCCAATTGTCTGGACGGACACACCAGTAGACGAAGCTGCACGGGGCGGCTGCAACTCTTCTCCCCTCCCCAACGACAACGACGTTCTTGATACGACCCTTTTAATACCGCAGAGCATCCTTGGTTCTCGAATCCGCTACGTCGTGTTGCCAAAGTTGTGGTGGCTTTCTCCTCTGGGGGGACGGATTGTCAAGCAAAAGTTGGTGGAGGATTTTTTGTTGTCGTGTAAAAAGAAGTGCGCCCCTGCTCCTGCTGCTTCCACCGGTTGTCCACTGGCAGGAAGTACGTCGAAGGAAGAAGATCATGGTGGAGTTGTAAGTGATAGTTGTGGAGGTGCCAAGAACTTCTCATCTCAATTGTCAACTACTTCGAAACAAGATGAAGAACTGGACGCAGAATACGAGCAGCTTTTCGGCGCCACCTGCTGGCGAAACGAGCTGAAGATTTTCGATAATCCGGAGAGCCTCGGGGCTTACACAAAGGAATTCTTCAAGGAGAACGTCGATATTCCGATCATGCTCGCGGTGGTGGATGTGGAAATCGAAATGGATGAAAGTTCTTCTACCGAAGATGTCCACCTGGGCGAAGGACGACGTCGAGTAGAGCAGCTAGTCAAACATCTGCACGAAATCCGGCGCGGCTTCGTTTTGCCCTCGTGGTGGAGCCCGGAGGCCGCGGAGGGGCAGTTGCTGCAGGTGCAAAACCGCGTCCGCCAGTTCCCGAACAAGTTGGATTCCCTGGCGAAAGCCAAGAAAAAACGGGAAAAAATGATTTGCCCGAGAATTCTCGCGGAAAGAGCCACGCCGCACGGAAAGTGCAACTTTCTACTCCGGGAAATTTGGGAACTGGCAGTGGGTGGTGCACCTCCAGCTGGGAACATGATCACCATGAACAACGATGTTGACACGAAGAACAAGAAGTGCTGTGATTCCGCGCTCCTCAAGGGCAAAGGGAAAGCAGCTTCAAATAAGATGAATAAATCTTCGTCTTCTGCTGCTGACACAGTCACGAGCTCCTCTTTGCGAGTTCGTTGGCATCGCGCACTGGAGAATCTTCGCCGGAGTCAGAACCTTCTCAAGCACAACGCCACAGCAGGCCGGAGTCAGAATCTTCTCAAGAAGAATGCTGCAAAGATGAAAAGGAACGACAAGAAAGACACAAACACGACTTCGGCGGATCATCATTTACAACAGCAAAAGGAGAGCGAGTGCGACGAGAGCGTTCATCACATTGACATTGACCACAATCAAACTGAGAACTCGGCGTCGGATGAAGTACCAGCGAGCCACAGCGTTACAAGTAAAATCCCGACTTGCGTCTCCTGGATTCGCCAAGCCTTGCTCGAGATCCCCGCGGAGGAAGTATCCAGGAAAATAAAACACCCATCCCCATCCAATCTGTCATTGTAAAACATGTATCAAATCCTGTGCCTGTCATGCAAAAAATGGATGTGGATGGTTTTTTTTTTTGTGGATAGGAAGACTGCAAGCTGGGCGCTTCCTTGCTGGCGAAGGCCTACCAAGAACTCAGTCCCTTCGCAGAGGATTTCATGGGGGGCAGCGCGGAGAAACACCACGACAACCGGTTGAAAGACGAGTACACGATCATTGACGCGATCATCCGGCGCAACGACGTCGACTACGCCTACTGGATCGAGCAGTTGACGGAAGCGCTGGACCGCAATGCGACCGTTGCCGAGGCTTTGGTCATGCTGAAGATCTACCCAGTCCCCAGGGTGTTGACCAAGATGGTCTCGCAGGAGGACCGGTTTCTGCTATCGGACTTCGCGAGCGCGTGGGAAGATGCGGTTCTGCGTCTACCCCTGAAACGGGCGCTGGGGCTGTTGGATCTTCTGAGCGATGAAATCCAGGGAGCCACCGAGCAGCTCTATCGCATGCTCGACGAGCATGATACCGGGTTTTCCACCGAAGATGCAGCTCATGCCGGTGCGAGGACTCCTACTGGGACCAGAAGTTGTACGAGAATGACCATGGATGGAAATCTCCAAGTTCTTGGTGCATCAGGAGCACCACCACCATCGGAGCTGCAGCACGGCAATGCTATGGATTTTGAGGATTTTGAAGAGGAACACGAACTCGATCACGAATTACGAAAACAATTTTCGGCCGACGAACTCGACGAACACTTTCTGTATAATTCCTTTTCCGAGGCGTTTTTGTGCAATATCGAAGAACTGCGCGCGCAACTACTCATGCGCGACCACGAAAGAGTAGAGCATGAAGATGTTGAGCAAGAAGGGTTGGCAGCAGGAGAAGGGGAGGTGCCGCGTGAAAATGGAGTAAAAGGCTCGGAACTACAAGTACAACAACGCAGCCCGCGTTCCCTTCTTATTAGGACATTTTCTACGACAACTTCACCGGCGCAATCTCGTGCAGATGAAAAACATACGAAGAAAGGCACGTCGAACAATAATAAAAAGTCCACGACTACTTCTACCACTACTTCCCACCACCCGCGCCAAGGAGGGCTGTTGCCTCCGAGCAGCAAATTTCTGCGGCTACCCGCCGAAGTCCCGATTATCCCCGTGTTGAACCTGCAAGACGTGGACAAGCACTTGCAAGAAAACCAACGCTACACGTTCGGTCTGGACTGCGAGTGGCAGCCCGGAATGTGGACGAACAAGGGCAAAAATAATAGTACAACCGGCGCTGGTTTACTAGTCGACCACCACCGCACGAACTCGAACCTCCCCGTCAGCCTGGTCCAGCTGGCGGTGGCGGAAAAGGTGTTTTTGATCGATTTTGTCCAGTTGAAGAGTAAATACCTGATGATGAGCAGCTTCGTGTCCGCCGCGCCGGGCGAAACGGCGATGGATTACGGGGAGCAGCTGCGGAACCTCGACCGCAGCTTCGTCGCTTCGGCGCTCGGTCTGGTGCACAAAATTTTGGAAAAGTACGCTGCCAAGGTGGTTGCGTTTGGAATGGAGGACTTTGCGCGCCTGGATCTGGTCTCGAATGATCAGACACGAAGTAGAAGATTCTTGGGTGTTGAAGCGGGACGAGGAGAAGAGGGGGAGGATTCGTCAGCTTCCTTCGTCCTGCCGCGCTGCCAGGGACATATCGAGCTTCATCTCCCGAAGCAGCAGCACGATTCGAACGACCAAGATGCGATGAAACTTCGGAAGTTCTTTCACAGCACGGAATTGATCGACTTGCAAACCGTTCCGGCGCCCCCGGAGCTGCCCGGGAAGACGAAATCGAAAAGGAGCAGCGGCAAAGCAGGGCACTGCGCACCAAAGTTTTCCGATATAATCACTAGCAGTAGCAGTACCCAGGAGCGAAATGATTTTTTCCTCTCCCAAATAAATGAGACCTTGGCTGTTGGAGAAGAAAATCAAAACAATGCGGCACGACCAAATTGTACTACCCCAACCCGCTGGACCTCCATGTCCCACCTGTGTGAAGTTATTTTCCAGGGCTACAAGCTGAACAAACAGCTGCAGTGCAGTCCTTGGGCCTTTCTATCCCGCCCTCTTCCCGTACCCTACCAACACTACGCGGCACTGGACGCGTATTTAGCCCTCGGCTGTTACAATGCGCTCAACGCGGTACCCGCTGTGCAGAAGACACTGTATAAGTACAACTTCGCGACCACGTCGCAGACCGGGCAGGTGATAAAGTCCGCCGGGGAAGATGAGTCAGAATTTTCTGCAAGAACCTCGGAGCGGTCGTACGGAGACGAAGATCGACCTCTTCATTTCCCGTCCAAGGAGAATGAGACCCTTCTGTCCTCTTGCACCGCCGCAACAAATTGTACTGTGAACGATCCCGCCACACCCACTCCGACCTCCACCGAGTTGAAGAAGTCGAACAGTCCAACTTCTACGGCGAGTTCCCGCACCATCCCTGGTCGACGGGAGAGAAACTACTCGCTCCACTACTCGTTTTCGGAGTTGCAATTGAAGCCGCCGTCTGATTTCGGGGAGGAGGGACTAGATGAAGCTGCACAAACGACCACGCATTTACTGCCGGTCAGAAGATCAAGTGATGTAGGAGATTTTGGAACAAACACTTCTCCAAAAGACACGACACGAAGTGGAATTGCTATTGCAGCAGAAAGAACGGCACTAGGTCCTCTTGCGGCAACACGCATGATGTTTGACAACGACGCTCCCTCTACTTCTACCTCGGAAGATGAGGGTCCTCGAGAGGAGTTCTTTTACAACAATCAAGATCAACCAGATTTGATGTTTTGCGCTACTGGTACCCCCAGTTGTACAACTTCTACTTCAACAACCCCGCATTTTAACAAGCTGTACGAGGAGAAAAACATCACGCTTCAAACAAGCAAAGTTATTCAGTGTAAAACCGTCGCGTGCGAACGGAAACAAGGAGTTTGTGGACCACCACATGGGAGCGATATTAACTCGATGAGCAAGTACGTTTTCTGCGTCCTCCCGGCGGAATCGAAGCACAACCTGTCCGGCGCGTTTTTGCAACAGCAAGGTCTCCGCGTGGTGTCCCCAGCTGAAGTTGCGGCGAAGTTCGGTTTTCCGCTTTTCGGCGTCGGGCCATTTGCGTGGATGTTTCAGGACCAGGATTTGAAGATGCTCGAGGTGGATAAGAAAGATCACGACGACGCGCCTTGCCCTTGCTTACCGGGAACGTCAACCGTCGAGCAATGCGGCGACAACTCGGGCATATTGGCGGCGCAGCGAAACAAGGAAGCAGCACCAGCACCAGTTGCCACAATTTACTTGAGCACACACATCCCGAAGAACGCCACAATTTCTGTCGGCAGCGGCTGGGCGAGTCATGACGACGTGACTCTGAAGTGTGTCGACCATGTGTGAAGAATTTTTGGAACAAGAAAAGTTAGTTGTTGTGCGGGATGAGTAAGAGTATCATCCCTGAACTGCAATGCTCTACAAGCGATTTTTTCGAATATGTTTCGGAGGTTTTACTTTGTGTATATCGTGAAGCTGGAGCTGCACTTTGCGATTGAGATACAAGTTTCTTGAACGCAGCTCGCTATTTTGAAAACGTATTTGGTTTTGGTTTAACAGCGACAGCAGAGCCCCTTCAGGACGAGTTCTTCTTCTTATTTCTTTCAGGTAAACGAGCATGCAATTAGCTCCACTTGAGAGATTTATATATCTTCCCCGGCGACGTTCATTCCTGTCTAGTCAAGAAGATGAACTGAAGCTGAAACTTATCACTACAAACACTCCTGCTTCGAAAATTCTTTTTCTTTCCACGAATTATGATACGGAAAGGTAATAAGAGCGAACACCAATAAAAAATTCAAAAAAAACAAAAACACGAAAAAAAAACACAAAAAAAAGCCTACCTGAGTACAGCGTCTCTCGGCAAAAACATCTCTCTACTAACATAGAAAACACATTGGTGGAGTAGTGCTCTCATCGCGATGAAAGCGGTTGCATGAAAACCATTCCACATAATTGAAATTCAGTTTTACTTAGAAGTAGTAGAAGTTTCGACTTAGCATGTTTGCTGCTTCTTGTCTCTTATTCGTTTTACATGATGATGAAAGTAAACGAGAATGAAAAGGAGCAACATCAAGACCAACAGCCGCCAGAGGATAGCACTATCGGGAATGGAGCATTTGTTTTTCGAAGATTTTCGACAGCATTTTGATTTCTTGTTATCGTAGCAATGTTTCCCTCGTCTTCTCGTCTAGTACCTAGGGTGAGATCTTCATCCGAAGAATTGGATTGTAGCGGCAAACTCAAGCGAAGCCGATCTTACTTCAACTTTAAGTGTAGCGACTTCCAGTTCGTATAGATGAACAAAACAACGAGTAGCTCAAGACAGGTGGAACGGCCTCAGTATATTAATGATTTGCGATTAGTTTTGCTTCTTCTTCTTCATCGATCTCAATGAAACAGTGAAAGGCGGATTTCTGCAGCTCGTGGAGCTAGCAGACAACACGGTTGCTTGTTGCGACGCCGGAAACAAGGCAGTCGGTAGTTCCAAATATGTGCGCTTGTTCTCTACTGCCTCGGTGCGTCCTGATCGTGAACCTTATTCGGTTTCTCTCATCAGCAAATCAAGCTCGAGAAGATCTGAATTTCGCCTGACTTTTTGGGACATTAATATATCCTCCTGGCCAACTTCATATATTTCGTTCTTTTCTCATCTTTCGCTTTTTGCGTTTTGCTTTGGATCGCGCTCCTTTCACATTTATTTTTCTTTTTCGTTATCTTGGAGTTGGATTCTGACGCAGGCATCACACGGGATCACTCCACCACTACGCATTCTGCACATACACCACCCGCATTGGAGGGCGCAGTATCGATTCTGCTCATCTGTGTCGGCGTCCCAGAATTGATTCGCGTCTCTGGGAGTGAGAAAAAAATGTCCTCCTGTCCCGTTTTTTTCTGTCCGCGAGCATCATTCATCCGGATATGGTCGACAAAATGTTTCCGTTTCGTCTTCCGGCTTCTGGTTCTTATGGCGGGCATCAGAAGGGCACTGTTTCCACATCCACTGCTCTTGGCGTGCCTCTCTTCCCAGGCAGCAGGAGACGAGACATCAGGGCATCAAGCCGAAATGGAAGAAATGTTTTCACCGGTGACATCATCAAATGACCCGGTGATAAGCCAGCTAGACAAATACTTCGGCTACAACGTGGCGCACCATCTGGGGCATTTGCACGCGTACGACGCGTCACTGCCGAGTTGCGAACCTTTGGTCGCGAGGGAAGTAGAGCATAGAGCCCCCGCGGTTGACTTTGACGGCTTCTCGGCCGCTGAAGTGAAGGGGCTGTCGGGTGAAAATCGAAATCACGATAGATCTTCACTCCCGAGACGAATCTTGCAAGTTCAAATCGGACGAAAGGTAGCTCAACAAATCTCACCAACGCTGAATGATGAAGCTAGGGTTGAAGATGCCCCCGAGCTGCCTCCTGTTGCAGTAACGTCGACTGTGGTGAATCACGAGCATTTTCTCAGGTCCGACTTTATTCCGGTTTTGAAGATCAACAGTACGACGACAACACGACCAAATGTTGATATTTCACTTTCACGAAACGCAGCAACGGTAGCGGAACCGCAAGTCGTTCCGGTCTCTGATCACTTGACCTGGTTCCGTCTCGCGCTGGCGGATCCGGAGCACAAGGTCGGAGATCTAGAGCAGGTTTTTCGCTCCACCGACCGCTATCACGCAATTGTGGTGGATGTTGTGTCATCGCTTGATGATGACAGTGAAAATCAAATAAATTATGCCGTCGATGCTGAAGTTAATCAATATTCGCCCGCAGCAGCAGCTTCTCCTCATGCAGCCGTAGAGCAGGAGGCGGCTACTCCTACTCGGCGTAGGCCAGTAGTAGAATCAGGACTACTTGGCGGAACAACCGGGCTGGCCGCTCTTCTCGGTAAAGTGCTGCACAAGGCGCAAACATTCTGTAGTCGCATCATTCTACGAGTAAGCAGCTCCATATCTTTGAAGAGGAGCTCCACAACAACTACAGTGTCACCAGAGCCAGCATTGCAAGAAGATGCGATCGTGTCCCTGAAGCGCGAAGTTCTGAAGATGGGAGGAGAAAACGCCACCGGCTGCGTCCTCCTGGACCACGAGCAGCTGCCACGAGGAACAAATAATATATTTCAGAGCCGCTACTACTTCGCCGTTTCTCTGAACATGAACGCGTGGTCGCATACGAAGCACCTCGCAGAGCGGCTTTTGCAGCAACGAGCCGCGCACGCCGACGAGCAAAGCTACAACCGATTTGGGCCGCCCTACCTCGGTATGAGTCCGGTGACCACGCTGTTTATGTACGTGCACAGGGAGATGTGGAAGAAATTGCTGGAACGACAAGAAATGGTGAAAAGGACCACGAGCTCAAGTGAAGTTGATGTGCATCAAAGCGATAAAATAGATAAAGTGAACTTTCCGTCTGCTGCAGAAGGAGAACGACTTGCAGCTGAGCGGGCGCAGCCAGATGAAAGCAGATACCATCCGGACGATTTTAGTCCCCTAGACCACAACGAGTGGGGTATGGTAAACGCGTTCTACACACTTCCGCTCGCCCACTGGACCGAAGTGCAGCGGTTGCGGGACTTGGAGTCTAAGTATGGAGACGGGTGCGGACGAGATGATCTGACCGTGAACTTCGTGGCGCATCCGGACTCCCGGGTGAGCGGGGATTTCGCGCAGACCGTGGTGGACACGAGTGCCGCGGCGGTCAAAAAAAACGAGGAAATAAATCATGAAGCGCCGCCGGGGGCCACGCCAGCTGCAACTAAACCAAGCGCAAGTGCCGGTGGACAACATGAGCAACAGAGTTCGCCTCAAGTTGTAGGAAAAGTGACCAAGACCGCCGTGCTCCTTGGCGGCGACCGCATGCGCAATTCCTTCCAACGCGGGTGCAAGTCGCACAACTACGCCCCGCACTACGTGCGGCATTTGTGGCATCTGGTGAAACGAACTAAACCCTTCGCGGTCATTGAAGTCGGGGTGCTCCGGGGCTCGGGATTGGCGATGTGGTCGGATTTTTTTCGGGGGAACGCGGAGGTGCACGGTTTCGATTTGGAGACGAAATTTGCGTTCGAAAACCGGAAGTACCTGGTGGAAAGAGGCGCGTTTGGCCTGGTGGGGCCGGACGAGAGGACGAGTGAAAATATATCAGCAGGGGAGAGCAGTGTGAGTGGACCAGCGCGGGGACCTGCTCAGCAGGGTGAAGTAGATGATGATAGCGTCACAAGTTCTGGTCCTCCACCTTGCGAGTGCGCGACGAGGACCAACAGCGATAAGAAATCGCAAGACCACCACGACGCGTTTGAGTTTTTTTCTCTCAAAAAGTACTCGGTTCAGGAGCATCTGCAGGTGCCTGCGGCGAGCCAATTAGAAGCCGCCGCCGACGCTTGCGCGGCGAGATGCTCGCGATTGCCTCTGGACGTGCACGACCAGCATGAGGGTCGTCCTGCCTCAGATCAAAACAATGTCATCGAAGTGAAGCACCACAATGCGCCGTACCTCTACAAGTTTGACCAAACGACCGTCTCGCAGACGTTGATCAATCGTGTGGAGCAGACGCTGAGCTGGCCAGCAGCATCATCGACGTCTTCCGTAATAGGATCCGCAGGAGGTAGCAGTTCTTCAACAACATCAGTTTCATCTCGGCCCCCGGTGCTCCTAGTAATCGACGACGGCAAACACGATTCCCAGACCGCGTGGATCACGTTTCGAACCTTCATCGGCTTACTGTCCGAGAGGACGAGTCAGCAGGAGCACAGAAACCAGAAAGATGATGAAAAGCTTCCGTGGGAGGACCAAAATGAGTTCTACCAAAACGACGGCGCTTTGTCCTCTTCACCGATCGTAGGAGATGAAACAGGGTCCTCGTCGACGTCCCGAAGATCCTTTTCTCCGCCTGCTGCTCCTTGGGTGTATGTGATCGAGGACTGTATGTGCAACACGTTTGTGTTTTTGTTGCAACAGAAGAGACCGGATCTATTCATTTACAAGTACTGGAACGGACACAACTCAGATCTGATTTTCATTCAGCCGACGCGGGTCGAAGACCAGAAAATATCAGGAGGATCTCATTGGTCATGGAGAAAGGGCAAAGCCATGTACAGCTCCACCGTGGTTTGATGGTCACCTATTCGATGAAGCGGTGTTCGTTGTGGTTGTTATGCGCGAAGTTGGCGCTTTTGCAACTAACGGATCAGCTGCGAGATAGCAGGCAGAAGTACATCAAGCGGAAAAGATATGGACGAAACCAAAAGCAATCATGGCTAGCTGTTGCGCTCAGGAGACCATCGCGCATCACTTTATGCAGCATGGTTTCATAGCGTTGCATTCAGCACTAAATCACACCATGGTGCAGAATGTTACGCAGGATGGTTCTGCAGATGTCTTAGCATGACAGTCAGATCTTCAAATGTGAATGTCGTGTCGCGATGCATAAACGCGTCTGGCGCAGTTTGACTTCTACGTCTATGCAGATACAAATCCCCCTTTTTAACCAGACCAAGCACTGCTTTTGCTGGATCAACACTCTTGTGATCCTCGAAATCAGCAAAACCCAATTCGATGAATTCAACAGTGCACAAATTATACAAGACGACAATCGCTTGGTTTCGAATTGGATGAGTATGGTCGAACGATGTCAAAGATCTGTGGCACTGTCGTGACATGAGTGCTGAGATCAATGCTTCTGAAAAGTTCTACTATGAAACCTCTGCAGAATTAACAATAGCTCATGACAGCATCGCGTAAAACTAAAACCTTTTGCGCGAGCTTGTCCTGGGAATTGGAGAAAAAGATCATCAAATCCCCTACTTGCTGCATAACATATAGATACAATGCGTGGCATATTCGTGTGTGCTGCCAGACTAAACTTTTATCTGTGCACTACGATTTTCAAACAACGCACAGACTTCGATATTTCGTACTTGTGGTAGACGACTTTCTTCGCTGACGATAAGTTGGTAGATGAATTTCAAGTGCTCTGACAATTGAATACTTTGTAAACTTTGTAATGTAATTGCGCTGCAAGAAATACGTAACAACGTCCTTGTTCTTTAAGCTTCAACGAAGACGAACTACTTCTTCCTCCCATTTATTTTCTCGTAGTACCAAAGGCCATACAAATAGTAAACAACTTTAGTTTGGGGAAGACTCTGTTGATAAGTGTTTGTCAACGTTGTCAAAGTCAACTATCTAAACGCTATAAAAAGCGCTCGTGGTCGTGCGGAATCGAAAAATAGGTCGAAACAAATTGGAGCAGCAACCGTGACCACCGTGTCGCGATTTTTCTGTTCTTAGTCTGGACCGCCAGGATCTTGGTTTTGATCCGGCGAGGGCGGTTACAAGGCAGAAGGACCACACGGGAGCACAACTACAAGTACACGCGCGACCCGATGATCCTCCATTGATTTCGCATACAATCTCTATTTCGTTTTCCACCTGTTACGTACACGGACACAACTGAAGACACCAGACCAACGAACATTTTTAGAGCTCCTTCAGCACCAAAATGAAGCTGAATTACGACGTCGAGGGTGAAGAACTGCACGGGCAGGTGCACTACGGAGGTCAAGGCAGGACGAATATGCACTATCTATACGGCCGAAACTTCAACGAGAACCGCGAGAGTTTTTGCCAGATGGACGAAGATGTTGATCGCCAACAAGATGAGCTCGTTCTGCTCTGCTTTGCGGACGTTCGGGATCGCGACCGGGTGCACGACGACTGGACGCGCAACGAAGACGATTTACCTGGTGCGATCAATCTGGAGTTCACGGCGAAGTCGTCGTTTATTGCGAGCAGTTGTAGTAGCCTGATGGGGGTTCATCAACGAGGTGGCTATAGTGACGTCGATGTTTGCTCTGCTGGTGTTCACGCCCCAGTCAAACTAGCCTTTGTTCAGCCGCCGGGAGAGGTGCAGCACAGCTTGAGACACGGTATATGAAGTTGATGCCCAGCACTTCGTACATTGGTTTGGGCCGTATTTTGATTTGTCCTTTACTCGCAGTGCCTCCTATTATTTTCGGCAAAGAATCAAAACATTCGACGCAGAGTTAGCAGGACTTGAATAAGTTGAATTTTTCCTTTCGCAGGCATCTGTGTAGTTGTACGTAGATATGTGGTGAAACGAACCCCAAATAACAATAAGCCGCAATTCAACTACAGCCTCCGCGCACCTGACTTACCGCAACGCCACCAAGCCGGGGTCTTTTCAGCGAACGGAAGTCGTGTCCTGCAAGCCGATCGAAAACCTGAAGCATGAGGAGGAGGCCCTCCCACTCAAACTCTCCTTCGGCGACTTTCACGTCAACCGCTTCAGCCACAAGGTTTTTGCCATCGGGAAGCTCCAGTTTCAGCATGAAGGAACTAGTACACATGGTCCTGCTGGTGGTCTGGTGAGCAAGTCGCTGTCCACCAGTTGTACCCCTCCGGTGGTTTCACACCACAGAAGTTCTTTCATCCACAATGCAAATGTTGAAACCTCTTCGGGGGACCATGACGTGACCGGGCGGAACAGTCGGCGGACCAGCGGGTGCTATTCGTTTTTCAACTCGAACTCGACGAACTCAAACCCAAACTCGCATCACTCGAATTCGGGGATGTTCATCCATGGTGGTAGTGGAGGAGCTCCTGGTGGTGCTCCTTCCTCGAGGCATTCCTCCTTCTACACATCGGCGTCGCAGAGCAATTTCGGCGGTGGAGCAGCACCGCACAGCACGGTTTTGTACACTGTGGCCCTTTGCCCGGTCGAGGAGATGAGCACAACAAGAACAACTCCTTGCACCAACAAGAACATTGGCGGCCGAATAAATCACCACGACCTTCCCAGCAGCAGCAGAGACGATACTAGCGCCCGCCGTTTGTCCTCCAATCTAAACTTCTACTCCTCCACGTCCTCCCTCTCCAACTCGAACCTGGTTCACCACGACAGGGCGGCGCAACACGCAGTAGACCAGAGAAGTCCATCCTTCGTCCGTTCTACGGCGCAACACGCAGACCAGAGAAGTTCATCCTTCGTCCGTTCTAGTCACCACTTGAGCGCGGCGGCAGCGACGCCCCGGCGAAGCACGACAACGAGTGGGTTGCCGCCGAGAATCAGCATTGGACGAGGACGCGCCACAACGACGTCGGGAGTGACTGTCAGCAGTGCTGGAGCTGCTGCGCCTGCGGGAGCTGCTCAAACAGGCACTTCATCTACGACCCAAAGAGCGTCTACTTCTCAGGTTGGCGTTGGGGAGGCTCAGTTGCATAGTAGTGCTGTTGGGGGGAAGATCGGGATGATGAACGTGAACGTCGCGGAGCAAGAACAAACTTCCGCGACGCCAGCTCCTGTGCCGAAGTTCAATTTTGACAACTTGCTCTTGGAGCACATGTCCTCGTCTTCGGGGACGGAGACGAAGCCGGGTGCTGCTGGTGGTGACAGCAAGGTCGTGAATAAAGGCGGAAGAGCACCTGCTAAGAAGCCCTCCCGAAGTGTTGAGCTTGAGCATGCTCCCACTCTTCTTGAAACGACGCCTGCTTCTGCTACAACTCCTAGTACCAGTGTGAGCAACACGACAGCTAAGGGTCGGGGTCGGTCCAGTGTTGTTTCCCTTGCTGGTGGCTCAGCAAAAGGAAAGGACACTTCTAGAAAAGAAAAGCACCCTCCTGCTACTACGCAGCTTCCGCGGGGCTCGAAAGGAAACATCATGTCCAGCCTGACAACTATTCCTGATAGCAGTAGTGCTGGTGCTGCTCGCGTAAATGAGATGGCCGGTTATAGTAGTCGGGTTGCTGATCACGACGAATCTGTTGCCGCCCATAGCCGCAGCTCGCGCGGCCTGTCCTCCGCAACTCTGGACCAGCAGCACCACAAAGGGAGCGGAAAGCAGGCCCGGGTGTCATCATCGAAAGGCGGTTTCATTGGAAGTAGTGGTGGTAACAAGAACCCTGCTCTACTTCACCAGCATTCGCAGCGTGCGTCGTTGTCGTCAAATAAGGGCGGTGGAGGAAATATGAATATCAACCCAGCGGTCGCCAGTACAGTCGGCAGCTCCTTCATGCAGCAGCAAAAATCTTCTGCGTTCGACCCCAGATTCCCAGCTGACGGCGTGATCAGTTTACACAAGAAGCGCACTCCAGTTGCACGGATCTCGATGCCGACAGCTTCTACTTCCACTACTGCTCATGATGCTCCTGCTGCAGTACAACAGCAGCAGCCAGGCGCAGCTGCTGGCACGGTGCCACATCAGCTCAGTTGCCCCGCTTCGCTGCAGCAGCCGGCGTCTACTCGTCTCCTGATGGTGGAGGTCGGAGCAACTAGCAGTAGCACCACATCTTCAAGAACGGAAGATAACAATACAACAAACGCTCCTCTCGTACCCAAAACGCCAACGCCGAAACGCAGTTTGCAGACCGTTTCTTCCAACACGCCAAGTTCCACCCGGTGCCCACACGACACGCCGAGCATGACTTTCTCGTCAGCTACAAGGGGGGCACTTTCGTCGGTTCCGCCTTCGCAGAGGAACACAATCAGAGAGGAGGAGGAGCAAATGCAGTTACAGTTGCAGCATGGTTTTCACGACCGCGAAGCTGCTGTGGATCTTCACGACTATCACTTGCACAACCATGCGGAGGAAGTGGATGAATTCGGGCACGACCATGGAGTTGACAGGGAGGAGGAGGAAGATAATCCTCTCCTGCTGCTCGATCAGATCAATGCCGACAAGAATGAGATAGATCAACAGCTCCACCCCGATGACGTTGCGATCTACGGCCGAGAATCGGTCAGCGCGTATGACGATGATGTCAACAACGTCGTTGTTGGGCAAGATCAGCAGGAGCACGAAACGGATCGTCAAGATCAACGTCGCCAAAGTCGTGAGACAATGACGAATTTGATTCCCTTGCCGCCTTTCGGGCCGGTGAGTGAAGCGACGATATTAATACCGTCTTGTAATAATTCCGCTCAACAACAACTACATGACCTTGGTCAAGAACTACTCCATCGATACAGCAACCGCTTGAGCTGCAGTAGTCAAAATGCAGTATCGCTTCCCGGCGCAGATCATCTATTTCCCGGAGCTGCACCAAACGTCGTGTCGCAGGACAATGCCATCAGCCGTGGTTCGACTGGAGACAGTGCCAGTGGAAACTTCTTCACAAGCAGCAGCAGCAACATTCCCTTCAACAGCGCGAACGTGGAGAACGGCAGTAGAATCAACGACATCATCCCGAGCGGAGTGACGCTCTTGGACGTCATGAACGCGCTGAACAGTGTTAATAATGGTGGCAACAGTGCAAACAATAATCTTGCAAGCCTACACTCGAGCGGCAATGTTTCCAACTTTTCGCACTCGAATACAAACTCCTTGCAAAATGTTGACGGTACAACCGCAAACGATAATTCTTCGTGTGCCTACAACCCCGACCGCGAGTCGATCAGTGCGAGTGTCTCAGGAACTACTTCTGCGTCGATTTTCGGACAACAGATGCTGATGATAAATCAACAGCAAATCCACAGCAGTCACTCGTCAGCACACCACCTTCATCTTCCTCTCGCTCCGTTCAACAGTTTGGCGAGCTGCAATGCGACGAGCACGTTTAATGGTGCCGCGAGCAATGCAAATACTGCAGGAAAAGAGGAAGACCAGGAGATGCATCAAGCTTCTTCCAGTACTACCACGCGCGAGAAGTCTTTCTTTGACAATGTTCGACGAAGTGAAGATTCCCAGCAGCACAGTGTGCAAATCAAGTTTCCGTCGTCGAGAGATCGAACAAGCGGCACGGCGAGCTCAGGGCCGGTCATTAGTTTGATTCCGATTGGGGGAGGTGGACCGGAAGAACGGGATCGTGGAAGCAGTGGTGCCAATAACAGCGGCAGGGATATCCCGGCAATGATGAATAGCGTGCTTGATCAAAAACAGAATCCGCACGGCTTTCAGGAGGAACTCCAACTCCTACCCCCCTGCTATGCGAGGACCACGATGGGCGCCGCCGCCGCGACGAACCCTCCAAACCCGAATTTCATCATGCCTCCGCACCAGCCTTTTATGCCCGCTACGGGTGGCATCCTGGCGGGCGCCATGAACCAGGCTAGGCTCAGTGGGCGTGCGCTCGGCGGCAGCGACGTGTTCAAGAATGTCCGCGTAAGCAGTTGCAGTAATAGTTCCGTGATGAATTACACTGGTGATGCTGGTGCTGGATTAGGATTGAATATTCCAGCAGCTGATATAGAACCGCTTGTCTCCGGGGCTCGGCAAGTGTCTTCGTCCAGCTTTGTGTCTTCTACAACTTCTGGCGGTGCTGATGGAGGTACTTCTAGTACAGCTCTCGCGCCGCAAGCGCAGCAAATCCTCGATCCAGCTGTCCGCGCTTCGGTAACGGATCCGTTGTTACTTAACACGATGACAATTCTGCCACCGGGGGCGCTAGGGCTGTCTCCCGGGGTGGGGAGCCGTGGAGCCGTTCATGAGACGGCGCCACCAGGACGAGCCGGTCGAAGTGACGGTGCTGTTCAAATAAATCGAAGCATGAACAACTTGGGTGGAGGCGGAGCAAACACTTCTGGCACAGCTACAACATGTAGCTCAACATCTAGAACACATGGACGAGAGCATGATGAAAATAATAAAAGCCTGCAGTACTCTCCGAGCTTCGACACGCCAACGGAGATGACTGTTATTTCCGGAGGATCCACAGCTGAGCTTGGCTGCAGAAAAATCAGTGGCGATGCGCGCGCTAGTACTGTACGAAAGCATAACTTCAGAATCGAAGACGCTGAAGCGACAGTATCGCCCAATGTTGCTACTGGTACTACACCGAGCACTGTGCTCGGAGAGAAAGTGGCACTAGAAGACAAGACCGCGTCTGCGACTGCAAATAGTACTGCTTCACAAAAGCAAGCGGACCACTTGAAAGTATCCGAAGAAGAAAATGAGAGTGACGAAGTGGAAATTTGCCAGCACCGCTCAAGCAAGTGGGGCATGGTGGTCATGGTACCCTCGAGCAGGAGAAGCTCGCACATTCACCGACCGTCGTACGCGAAGGGGTCGTTGCTACAGCATCAAAGATCGAAGTCAATGAACTAGAAATTTCAACAAGAACCTCTCTTTAGTCATCACGCCCGACATCAGAAATTATAATCCGTTTCCAGAACTGCAATTGGACGGGCTATGCCGCAGAGTATTTCTCTTAAGATAAAATACCCTTCAACACCACGTCGACCTTTCGTTATCATTACCTCTCTGTTACTTTATTTTTTCCTATATTTGCCTGTTCCCGCTTTGCTTGTTGTCCATGTATGATGTATTGAAAATATTACTTGTGTACTCGTAAAAACAACTTCAACTAGCTCACGGACTGGATGTATTTCAACTTTTTGGTTTATTCAAAAAGCCTGCTGTAGCACAACTGTTTCTATTGCTACCAGCAGAGACCAGTACTTTTTTGCTTTCGACCGCAAGAACTCAAGAAAGAACTCATTGAAATCGTCACTCACTTGTTCCAGTTGTATAGTACGCAGAAGCTACACCTAAAAGGCATCAGAAGTACGCCCGGATTCAGAGAAATTAGGCCATAGATCAGGGCTCCGAGGTGCCGCGCATGGTGTCAGCTCTTTAGTTTTACTTGTTACAGTGAAGATCAGCATGTTATGCCGACATTCTATCCATACCATCCAGGATTGGCTTGGGTATAGGTCATGCCTTTGGTCGGAGAGTGAGATGAAGTATTTATGATGTCTATGGGTTGAAGTAATAATTACCTACGTGCTCTCGAGAACTACTTTTACTTTCACAACAGGAATTGGATGCGAATAAAGAGACTTGTTAGCCTACCAGTATCGCGTCTGCTGTGCAGTAGCGAGGGCAACGACCTACAGATCTCTACTAGTAGAGATCGCTCCTTCGCAATCCGATTTCTATCAGAACCAGCCCGCGAATATTAGAAGCGAAATATTACAAACGTGATAAGCTACCGACATCCGAAAAGAGCAGGCACCTATGATTCAGCCAGCTAGTAGTGTCACCAGAACTTAATGAATTCTTGTGGAAAATAAGATCACAACACTCATCTTCTCTAGAAGACTGGATTTTTTGTGTACATGTCAGTCAGATGCTATCTAACGAAACTTGAAGCATAGGAGGAATAGACTCAAGGAGCTTCTGCGCTACTAGCATTTGCTCTGGCACAACCGGCAGCAAACGACTCATCAAGCTCTGATTCTTGTGTCAGGCCCAGAAAAGAAACTTGCACTTGCAGCAGGTGAGCAACTACTCGGCCTTGAGGATACAGGAGAGCTTTTCTATGCATCTACTGCCGTGTGTATTTATTTCGTCGATACAGCCTTCGGGCGTCTATTGTGATGGAATGTTGGGTCCTTCTTGTATATGATTTTTTGAAATCGTTGAAACAGCTCGACAATATCTTTGCAGTTGCTCCTTCCCCAAAATATTAAATGAGTGGGGACGGAAATATTGATAGATCGATATTAGAAAGGCAAAGTTTCAACAGACCTTGATGCAGAAAATGAGAAATGCACCCTCCTGCAACTCCAAAACTAGGGCTCATAAGCGTGTCTGGCGGAGTTTCGGACTTCTCATCTCTTCTGCAAAAATATATATGCGAAAATGAAATTGAAATCATGATTGGCACTACAACAGACCACTCCGACATAAAGAACCAAGAAGCGACTTCTAGCCTTCTATTTTTTCCCACTTCTGCTGTACGGCGAACTCCGACGGGAAGCGTGGAAAAATAGAAACGCTATAAATATTTCAGGTTGAAAAAGAAAACCTTGCGAGCTGTGACCACTCTGAACTTTTTTTGAACAAGTTCGTACGAATCACGACCAATAGATATGAAGTTCTAAGGACTACGCTGAACGTGCAGGAGAAGTGGACATCACGCTTCATAGATGTTCTTTTCGTTTTCATCTCAGACGTGCAGAAGCGCGGCATGCTGCAATTACTACAACACCACGTATATTTATATTAAACTTGTTGATCTTGTCGCTTCGTGGGGTTGGGTGTGTTGAAGCATGGGGGAGGGGAGGAAGCATGTCGCGGATATTAAAGTCTATTTTCGCAAAGATGTAGATGGTACATCACAAACATCCCTCGGTTGCAGTCAGTTGCACGTCTCGCCACGTAGTATTATCTTCAAGATTTTTTGATGGATCGTTTTCAGTGGGGCGTGGTGTAACAATCGCTACATCAGCTCCCTTTGCACTCTCGTTGCGGTCTTTTCGTGAATATACGTGCGCACAAACTACTGGAATAAAAGTTGAAGGCTCATCTTTTGCATTTGGAACTTTATTGCGTTTTAAAACAAAAACACCTAGTAGTACCCGCACAGCTAGTACAACTAAGAGTTGAAGACAGCGCCGAATGTATGGCTAAAGCAGCACTGCAGGTGCACTTTTTCTTGGGCTTTTTGATATTGATTCTTGTTGTACATACTTACAACTTTTTACTTTTGCTAGCGATTTTTGTTGAATATTGTAGGCAGCTGCAGTGGAGTTCTCATCATAAAAATGTTTTGTGGCACCAACAAGAAGAAAAACTGAAGACGAAGAACAGGAACGTTGGCGTCACTGTCGAAGTGTATTTTTCAAGCGCAGTAGGAGCGAAAGGAAAGCCATTCATCGATTTCCCCGCGACTTCGTGGGGTGCCGGAATCATCTTATTTGTACGGCCGCGCTTCTCCACGTCGCGGTCGCCTTGTCCTGCTGTTTTAACGAAGAGTGCGCACGATTCCGACAAACTACACTGGTTCATCTGAAAGAACTGTTGCACTTTTTGAGACTACTTTAATGGTAGGAACCCACTTACAACTTCTACAGAAGGTCCGCGTGTGAGCAGGAGCCAGCCAACTATTGCGTGCACAAGCACATGAGCAAAATCGAAGAAGCCGCACCTCCCCCACGGGAGCAGGCGGGAGGGAGCATGGGATCTGATGCCGTCCCACCAGGAGCAGGAGGAGGAGGTTCTGCAGCGGCGCAAACGCAACCAGGAGACGACAAGAGTAAACCTTCTTCCAGGCCAACAAGTCGGGAAAGGGAAGCGAATAGAAAACGAAATCTCATGCTCAAGTTCCGAGACTCCCTTCGTGGCCCGGTGCTGGAGAAGATGTATAGTGCGCAGATTGTCGGGCCTTCAACGACGTATGACGTGGAGAAATGGGTAAAATAGTAGAGAACAATTTGCGACGTGGTTTGCATCATCTTTTACTCACTGAAGTTGACTAGTACATCAATCGCTTTCTTTGCTAGCGTCTTGAGATTGATGGCATGTGCGTTATGAATTTCTGACCTCCAACCTGCACGGGCTAGTAGTACAAGAACACAGCTAGTAGTATTCCTATCAATAGAAGAACAAGAAGTACTTAAACACGTCCTCCAGGTCCGTCGCATTTTCCAAATGGACCCGCTCGGCGCGCTGAAGCAAATGCGCGACCTAGGCGCGGTGCAGACCTCTGGGGGCGAGATAATGCACGTGGATGCGCAGAAGCAGAAGGAGGGCACACGGCGGAAAAACACCGCGAATCTGAAAGCAAAACCCTTCACGCCCGACGAGCGAAAGTCCATCGACGTATGCAAGACAAGTTGTTTCCCGTACAGGCACACGACGTACAGCAACAGCACTAGCACAACGCATAAACAAAATTTTTAGCAACTTAAAAGCCAAGACTTGTCATGCTAAACACAATACGCACTGAGAATTCGAATTGTTGTCATGATGCAGGACTCTCAAGATTTGTAGATGTTCGTGTACGGTCGGGAATAAACTCACTGTGGATACGACACGCACATCGCTGCCCGGGTAAAAACGCTCGTAGCAAAGGTGAATACGGAATTTGCGCATGAAAACAAGTATTTGAAAAGGCTACGGGAGGACGCGGGGCTGGATTCCCCGGAGGACGAAGAGGCGAAGTTGAGTCCGAAGAGAGGCGTGATAGAAGAGGACGAATCTCCAGCGGCGATAGCACAAAAGCAAGAAATTCTTCGGCACATCGAGGTCGTGGAGTTACGGTAATTATATCGTGGAATTCGAGAGAAACTGTTCATCTTCACATGATCCATAGGGTCGTGGTCGCTGAAAATAAGTTCGAATTCCCCATCAAACATGTGATGTAGATGAGTAGTACTGGCTGCGAAGGACGATCAGGTACTACCGTCAGATGATGAACTACAACTTTTTCTTCACGGCAAGAATTCTTCTGAAACCAGGCTCGCCAACCTGAAGCGGCAGGTGTTGAAGAAGAAGCTCGAGGAAGAAATTTTGCTGTTCATTCAGGAGGCGGAGCAACTCGTCTATGACCAGAGATTTGAGGACGAAAAGAAGCGAGCTGACCGTGCGGACGCGCAGTGGGGCGCTTTGTTCGCGAACATGAAGAGCGGGAAGACCAAGAAAGTGGATGACGTATGTTGATTTGCATTTGCCTACTTTATTTAAACTTTTTTGTCCTGATGCGCACCACCACCACCTGTACGGCGACGGACACCGAGGAGACATAAATTTAAATGCTTTATTGCATGGTGTTACTTTTTCAAATTCATTCTGCACCTGATGAAATTCCTCTCAGGCTGAAGCCGCCGGCGGTCGAAGATTTGACCGGAAGATTGAGCTGAAAAAGAACAACGTGCAACCCTTGCCGGTGCAGACCATGTCCACCGTCTACGACTACATTCACGCTCGGTACGTGCTAGAAGGCAGCAGAAGCAGCTTGAAAAAAGCAAAAGCGGAGCGGGAACGGCAAGCGCTGCTGAAGAGTCGAAAAATGGATGGAAGACGAACGGCCTCGGCGGGGGCTTTTTGATGAAAAGGATGGGCGGAATAAAGCCGAAGAAGGTGAAAGAGCGCCGAGCTGTCCCTCTTGATAATTGACGTAAGAGTTTCATCAGTTTCGTATTTATTTCGTATATAAGTTTCACGATTTACATTTAATCTATCAATGACAATCACAATGTCAATGAGCATCAAAATTTCTTTGATGTTCATTGCGGCCAAGTAGAAGCGCGCCAATTGGAATAAATGTCAATACATTTTGTTTTGAAAGTACTTGGTGGAGCAGAATACTATCTTGTACTAAACTTCTGAACAAACTACCGACTGTACACGAGCTTGTAGATGATCACGCACCTGTACTAGTACTTGTATCATCGCATAAAATGTTGAATGAAGAAGAGCCGAGTCATACTCGCAGCAGAGACGGCAGCGTCCCAACTCACAGGTCAGTGACTTTGAAAGTTGGCTGCCAACATTCTTCGCGTTTTTTCTTTTTTCATGTGTTATGAAGCGCTAGGCTCTTCAAGACGTCGGTATCCTCTTCACAAGATGATCAACTCCTCGGTCGCGTCGCAAACAGAGGATCGGTTCTTTTGTACAGGAAGTAACTCTATATTTATTTGGGATGAGCGTGCGTAAGACTAAGAATCTTCTTCTCGGTTATTTGATGTGATTGGTAGCCTTTCAATCGGTAACGCATCGCACTTCTAATCGTCATCGGTACGCACTAGTAGAGTAGAGCCTTGCTCTTCGTCCACCAGCAATGCGGTTTAGTACCTTTTTGAGAGTTGAAGTATTCGACATTTTTCCGCCAAGAGATATCATGAGCCCAATCCGCAACCAGGTGCAGGTCCCCACCCGACATTTCACTTTTTTGTAGGAAAGCCTTAATTTGGCTCGAAGCCAGAAGACACCACGGAAAGACGTGGAGCGAACTTACTTTGATGCAGCAGAATTGTTACGCTCACTGACCACGCTGCTTATCTCTTTTGTTTTTTGAACTTTCACTTTTGGTTTTGTCACCCTTTCTTTATCATTTACATTTTCAGAACAGATTTCTTTGTCTTTCATCACAGAAGAACCTGAATCCACGTGAAAAGTCGATTCTCGCTTTAGCTACGGTTTGATAAGGCCGATAAACTTATTTTCACGTCGGCCTGCGTGGAAGAAGAAGAACTGCAAGGACGAACTAGCGCGCATTTATTGCTCTCACCCAGGCCGGCCGACGACGGCATTCGCATTCCTAATGGATGCGCGCCCTGGTTTTCGCCGTGCCTGTCTGGTCTCCGGCGCAGTCGTGAGTGGGCAACTTTTGTTGATCCAGGATGCGCAAGCCGCAGAACAAGGGACTGTGGGTCGGAAAACGGACAGCACCTCCGAAACCCGCGGAACAAGCGCCGATGCCTCAAAGCAGAGTCTGGAAGAAGCGGCCGCCTCTCGGGAGATTATGACTGCATGCGAAGCGGGGTGCAAGGACTCTGCTCATGCGGCCGACGTGTCGTTTCTGGAAAAGTGTGACTGCGACAAGAATGATGATGGACGTGTGGCCCGCGTGCAGAAAATTCAGCAGGTATGGTTATTTCTCGAAAAACTCATTGTTCCAAACATAAATCGGTGCCGCACTATGCGACGCTCCGGTCTAACGAGGAGACCACGCCAAGGATCGAAATATTATGATTATCTATTAGGCAGATTTGGAAGTGCGCACGTGTGTCTCGGATCGGGGCCGAGATCACACCACTCATAGTCAAGTACCAGCAAGATACAGACAAGAAACGAACGAGAGAAGTGGTCGTGCATGTGGGGCCTTGAGCAGCTAGTCCTCGCATGCTCAGCTATTGTCATATAGAATTTTGGGGCATGATGTGCAAGAATACGTACTTTCTATACTGCAGTACATCTATACACAACAGGATCTCCGGCGGCTGGACGAGGAGGAGAAGGAACGCTGGAAGCTGTACTGGCAGCAGCACGAGGAGAGGCGCGCGCAATCGGACGCCTCTTTCGCGGCTTTCAAGGCAGATATGGAGAGAAGTCGACTAGAAATGAAGAAATCTGCCGAAGATCTCGAGGCAACGCAGAGGGACTACGACCAAAAACTTGCCAAAATGCTTCAAGCAGGAAAAGACGCAGACGATGCTCACTTCCGTCAGCAGCTCGAAGAATTTGACAAGATTTACAAAAACCACCGCGCCAGTATGCAGGCGCAGCACAAACAAGAACGGGAAGCGTTTTTGGAGCAGTTGCACTCGATGAATGCTTTGGGCGGAGTAGCGGAGCAAACGTTCAGGCAGAAGATTGCCTCGGTGGACACCTTGCAGGTAGAAATTGACAAAAAGATGGACGAGAAACTCTCGGTGTGGAGGGAGCCGCCCGGCCAGCGGAAATCGAAGCTGCATCGAATTGACGACGAACTGCGTGCTTTGAAAGCGAAGCAAGATGCTGCAGCGCAGGAACTTGGCGATTGGATCAAAAACTTCGGCCGCCAGCAGCAGCAGGAGACTCCCGGCCGCGTCGGGAGCAGCAGCTTTCTCGCAGCCTAGTGACGCGCGATCGCGTCCTCGTGGCAGCTTTTGGCGATACCAGGACTACTTCTTTTCAGCAACTACAATTCCGCATCGTCATCTGTACACTTTTGTACACAATTTTGTCTATTTCGCAAGCGACTCGCATTTCTAAAAGTTTGCTTGCAGTGCCCACCACCGTGTGATTGAGATAGTGAAGATGACATCTGAAAGTTTATTTAACTTTAAGTTTTACAAAGTGACAACACATTTTCAACCTGTTTACACATTACAGACTCCACCACGATTCATCCGGCTTCAGCTATGTTATGCTTTAAATTTTTCTACAACTCACTGCATCGGGTGGTTGGGTATTTCAAACATTGTAGTTCTTTTTTCATATAGCTGAGGTCGTGTCATAATCATTTGTCGACAACTTGTATAACTTACAACAATGCCGCATTTTCGTTTTATAACAAGTTTGCAATTGATTCACCTTTACTTGCTTACTGTACTATCTTCCGCACCGCATACAACGCTTGAAACCGTTTCGCTTTTAGGAGAAGGAGACCTAGTAGCCGCATGACTTTGGGAGCAATTATTTCAAACCCTGTTCATTGTGAGCGAACTGGTGTCACGGGCACGAACAAGATGCAATGAATCGGACCGACAACGAGCTGGATATCGAACTAAATAGGAGGACTTCATCTATGAAGAAGAAGCGCGAAACTTGTTTTACTTTTTCAGTTATTACACAAAAAAAAAAGTCCTCAGATGTATACCTTTTTAACATATTTCATCAAGTCAAGATTTGAAAAAAAGCCGATCACTTTTTTCCCGCAAGGGTTTTTCTCGTTTAAGCCTACTTACACAGTTTACAAAATTAAGTCATAACTTTATCAGAAAAATCATGATGTTGGTGATCCACGAGCAGAAGCAATGAAGAGCATGAGACTGAGCAGGACCAGAGGGCCTTGAAACAATTGACGCCATGCCCGGGCAAGAACAGAAAGAAAGAAAGAACCTTGCTCATGTTTTCTTTGATGTGTGATTGATGAAGCAGCGGGCAGCTGCTGTTTAACAAGGCTTTGGGATCCTCTGAACAAGATCAACTCGGTACTGTCGACGCGACGTATGAAGCAGGATCAAATAATATGACTTGTGCACCAGCAAGTACGTCTTTTGGAATCCTGCTCCTGAGTGTGATGAGAGATGAATGAACTGAAGGTGTGGCGAGCAGGTTTTTCGTCGTTGTCGACTTCCCTTCTTCATCGCGCGGATCGCTTTCGGACTCGTCTTTTTGAGGGGCAATTCGTCATCTTTACAGCTGATCGATCGGATTGACTTTCGTCGTGTCGCCTTTTGTCGCTCCTTTCGTTCGTTGATCATATGAATGTATGAGTTTTTTCTTTTTCGATGGCCTGGCGCAGTTGGGGCGGGGGCGCAGGCGGAGTCGGACTCATTTGCAATTCAAGAATACGCTCGACGTAGGCTGCCCCATATTAAAAGCGGCTAGCAGTATTTTCGCGTCAAAGCGTTGTCCATACTAGAAGGAAAGTAGACCTCCACCGGGGGCACCGCAACATGAAATAAAGTACCACGACCATCTTCAGCATCATGTCTTATCAGGAAGTCGATGAGCGGCTTCGCATCCTGCGAATGGTCCGCGAGAAAGTGTCGAAGCTGCTGGACACCGAGCAGAAATTGTTGGACAAGCCGTCCAAAAGGAAAGAAGATTCGACAGCCGGCCCGGGCAAGAAAAAAGCTGGCGGGAACAAAGACGCACCAAAACAGACAGACTTGGACGGTGAACCGCCGGAACCGCTTGTGCCGGTGCTGGAGCGCGCTCTTTTGAAAGCAGTATTCAATGTCTGTGGCAACTTCTTGGCTGTAGGTGGAAAATGATAATATCAATATGCTGATCTATTGCGCTCAACAACGTGGATCTGGGTTATTTCGTTGGTGTATACTAGTTCTGAAAAAGAGAAGAATATCCCTTGAAAGTAACGTTGTCTCTGAAGAAACTAACTTTCTTGCTTCTTCGTCGCGAACAAGAGACGGGAAAACGCAAAAAAAAAAACAGGAACACGCCACCCCCGAGCTCCTCCGGGCCCGAACTCGCAGCAGATCACCGGGCGCGGACACCTTGAAAAACCGCGATTTGGTCGATCTGAAAAGCACCGAGGAGCTCTTGCGGCAACGGGAAAGGATAGAAATTCTCTTAAAGGACCGGCTGAAGCAAAAAACAGAAGCGGCTCATCGCTCGGTGACGCCGCCCAGAGGACTACAGCGAAATTCTACAAATAACTCCGATGAGGTGGAAAACTTATCCTTCAGATTCGGCCGCACGCGCGATGAGAGCTTGACCCGCGGAGGAGACCACCTTCGCAGTAGAGATGAACTGCAAGAAGGCCGAGGTACTAAAAGCAAAAATGGCGCAAAAGGAGCTCTCCAACATCCGCCCTGGCGGCACGTGCAGCCGACGTCGGGCATAGCGGATAAGTACGTGGAGGATAGTAGAAAATTGTACTCCGCGGACGTGGTAAATGAGCTGGAGGAGCACGAGAGCCAGCAACGAAAATTGCTGAAGAAGTACGAGGAAAGGAGAAAAAACCAACAACAACAGGGGAAGATGATGAATAAAGACGCTACTACTTCGAGTGTGGATGATGAAGTAGACAGCTTTCACTTAAAGCGCACGGAAGACGACATCTCCGCGCACAAGTCCAGGATGCAAGCGGCGGCGGAAATAAAAAAAAGGCTAGCGGGGGAGAACATGCGGAAAAAGCTGCAGGAGAAACTAGCGGCAAGTATCGCGAGGGCGAACGAACTGGCGGCGCAGAGTGCCGGGAAGCCGTTCTCAACCAGCTTATCCAGAGACAACGTCTTAGTAAATGCGGCTGATCATGTTAATGTTGTTCCACAACAATCTGAATCTGCAGGAACAATGGCACCTACTTCCACCTCCGCATCAAATTTCCGTCCCCCGTCCCGACGGAAGCAGCGGATGGAGCAACATAGACTAGACCGGGAGAAGGCGGACCGGGAGCAGAGGGAAAGGATTCAGGCAACGAGGCTGGGATTGAGAATCAAGAAAAGTAGCTCTTCTTCGTCGAAAGATAACTCCGCGGTCGATATTATTGAAGATACTAGCACGAATAAGCCGGCTAATATGAAGAAGACGAACAGCAGCAGCTCGACACGGCAAACCTCATCGACGAAAAAGATGATACTGGCCGCACAAGTGTACATAGACCCGGAAACGGGGGAGAAAATTGAAATCCGACAGGAATTACGAAGAACGAGTCCGGTCGGGAGGTCTGGGACGCCGCCGAAAAATCTGGAGAGAGTGTACTAATATGTGAAATTATGTGATATCTACTCAGCAACAATTAGTATGGTGCGTGACCACTATTTTAATTCCGCTCTTCGTTCACTGTCCGTGTCTTCTTCGTCTCTGATTTTTGTTACAACATTCCTTGCCGATGCCGTAAGGAGTACCGTACCGTAGACTGATGTCCGTAATACGGACATCATGTTCTACTCGGGTGAATGAGATAGCGAGGGTATCATGCTTAATCTCAAAAAAAGAGGAACATAAACAACCAGCTCCCGCAATCGAGACCCGGATTACCTGACGCCCCTCCGCCGCCCGAAGGAATCGGACATGATTAAGAGACCCCGGGGTTCGGAGCTGCGGGCCGTGAAAGTGAAAAACTACAGCAACAGCCTGCGGCCGGACATGCACCAGAGCAGGAGTTTGTCGGCGGAAGAGAAGAAGCGGGTGACGATGCGGACCGAAGCAGCGAAGAACAAGTTTGTGACGCGGTGCAGATCGCCGAAAAGATACAAGAGGATGGACTTGATCTCCCGACAGTGGAACACCCGGAGTGAAAACGCGAAACTGGACATGCGAGAGGTGCACGACGCACAGAAATTGCGGAGAAAATCCGAAATTGGAGCGGAACGCATCTTGAAGAAGGAAATCCGCCCGAGACTACACGACCACGAACCGATTGATGCGTAGCCAAGATTTTCTGTTCGCTCGCCTGATTCTTGATTCTGTGTTGTGTAGCACTTTTTCTTTTTCCTGGAAGATTTATAGAACGGGTTCCAATCGGAATCGTGAAGTGCAATAGCTTGTTCTAAACTAAACTTCGCACTATGTATTTGCAACATCACAAGAACTAGAACTACACTTCTCTTCAATAAAAACAACATCAGCCTGAAGACCTCCGCCGAGGAGCACCAAGACTCTACCTACTACGGAGACGAAGGCAACCGATCGCGCTCAGGCACGCCGAAGAACAACAAGAAGCGTGGGTCGTATTACAAATACCCAAAGACATTGGAGGAGCACAAGAGCTTTCTGTCCGATAAAGTGAAACAACAAACGGTGGCTGCAGGAGCAAGTGCGAATAGTACTACCGAAACCGGTGCGCCTTTCGACCCAACTTCCTCCATATTAACTTCTTCCCTTTCTAAACTACCAGTCCCAAAACCCAAAACCAACACCAAATATGTCCGGTCCGAGTCCGCGCAGCGGAGATTCGACTACGACCAGAAACTGAAGACGGAGCACGAGCGCAAGAAAGCGGACGAATTGCAGGCGCTTTACGACGACGCGATCAAGGGGACGGACTTGGAAGCGTTGGAGGCGATTCAGCAACGAATTATCGACGAAAAATTCAAGGAAGTCTACAACGAGGTGGCAGAAAAAGAGAAAACCAAGAAACAAGAAGACCCTCGGGACCAGAGTCAGAAACTGAAAAACCGCGGGCGGACGTTCACGTTCGACGATCGCGCGGTAACGAGTGACGAGGAAGACAAGTCTCCTCATGACAATGGCGCTTTCCGAGGAGGAGATCGGTTGGAACAGCGAAGACAAGACATCAAGGAGAAACTACACAATAAGTCGAACTTCGCGTCCGCTACTCTGAAGAAGGACGTCGCGGTCCCTACAATTCGTCCAGTGGTTCCACATAAAACCTCCGACCAACGCACCTCTACCACAGGCCTGCTCGACGAAGCGGCGTACGTCTATGGCGTTCTCAGCTGCTACATTTTCAACTGTTACATGGATTTGCGACGCAAGAGTGGCAAAAGTGATAGGGGGGATCTTGCCCTTGCGCGTCTTGCATGACAGATTGGGCACCGATTATCAGCCTCCTGCTTGGCCCTCTGAGAATTTGCCATGCAAAGCAGCTTCGTGGTGTCGATTCTGAAGGCAATTTTGCATGTAACGGCTTTAGTTGCGCAGTCTGCTAAGCATGACAAAGCATAATCATGTAATAGCTGAGAATGTAACGTTTGAGAACGCCATAACCTCCGCGACAGTTCGAACGTGAAGGACGGGGACGCGGACGAGAAGGGCGACTTGGCGGGAAAACTTGGCGAGTTCTTCCCGGATGACCAATTGCAGCTGATCGGGAAGGCACTGAAAATGTACGAGGAGCACACAGCAGGAGCATCGACAGGGGGGAATCAGCTAGTAGCTGCACGACCTCCAGAAGGGGAGGCCATTCCCCAAATGAGTAATTTCAGCAGCAACAGCCCGTTGGAAAGCGGGCAGGATGATTACTATGATAATTCCAACGCGATGAAGAACTTCTACTACGATAAGAATTCGTCGAACAACAACCCGTCAAATTCCAGCCACAACGCCAGTAGCAAAAGCTCCTCCGAACTGGACCAACCAGCGCCACCACGACAAGTGAAAAAGCGCCAAACCGTCGCTTCTGTTGCGCCGAAGAAGCATCCGGACCACAACATTTCCTTCGGATTCAAACCAACGGCGGTGAAACTCTCCGAGGCGGCGCAGAGTGAGGTGCGAACGTTGAAGGACTTGTTGCGGCCGTCGCCAAGACCAGGTGGGGCGAATTCATCTCGGGGGAACTCGCCGCGACAGAATCATGTTGGGGTTTTTCAACCCGGGATTTCGTCAGGAACGGTGAGCAAAAGCGTGAGTGACCACAGCGCAAAGAATGATCTTGCAGTGCAGCCAAGAACTCTGAACTTCAACAACTTCGAGGGGAGTCACAGTCAGACGTACGACCGCAACCTGTTTGTCGCCACCAGTACGGACGAAGATCACTGCTCCATCCGGGTTGTAGAAGAGGACAAAGCGAAAACCCAGAAGAAAAAAGAGCGGGGCGAAGAGGAGGAACACGAAAATAATGGATTTGACACCAGCAAGCTGAATTTTGGGGAAGAGTCAAGTATTCCAGAAATCCACAATTCGGGTCTAGACGTCGACGACGAGGAAGATTTCGCTACTGCAACGAGACGATTGCACGCGGAGCTGTGGAATGAGCTGGAGAAAGAAGCAGGCGAATTCAATACTAGTGCACCAAGAGGAGCGGGACCAGCACGAGGCGAAGGAGTTATTGTTGAAAATAGTACTTCTATGCAAACGCCGGCGGACGACGGAGGCCGCGGAGCGAGTGCTGACGAGGAGCATTTTGCGGTGAAAATTGACTTTTCCTCTCCCGCGCCACCGACGGAAATGAAAGGCTTTCTAGCAGGGGCCCGCGGCGTGGTTGATCCGCTGTCAAGGACGATGGCTGGTTCTTCGAGACCGTTCCCGACTTCCGCGCCACCCACCGTTGCGAAGTACCCACCGCTACTGGCGACAGCGAGCAGTTGCGGTGCGGCGATCGGAAGTAACTGCAGCCCCCCATGGACAAGTGCGAAGAACCCACATTTCTACACGACTTCTCCGACAATGTTAACGCATGCGGGAAGAGTGCAGGTTTGTAGTAGTAACCAGATCACGAACTCTACAACTATTGTGGTGCCTGAGGAAGGGTCGTTGCAGCAGAGAAATCAGGTGAAGCAAAGCAGTATCGGAAACCAAAGCGGAGGAAGATTGATCAGCAAGTACGGCGAGGAACAGGTGGACCAAGAGCAAAATCAAGATGGTATAATTGGGCGCGAGGAGAATGGTGCAGCTGTAATTACCGAAAGAACAAATAAGCCAACAGCTCGTGCCAACACCGTTTCCACCGGAGCGTCCTGCAGCGCCGCGACGAGCAGCAGCTCTACGAGTGGCGGAGTTGTAGTACCCCTGACTGGAGCAGGAGCTACTGGTCGCCCTGCTGCACATCAACAAGCACAACACAGCAAAAATGTCCCTGCTGTACAACAACCTCCACCACTCGCCGGTCCCTACGTTGCCCCTCCGCCACAGAAACTCCGGTACCTACCACCCGGGATTTCGCTTCAACCGCCTCCGCTGCCGAAGTTTCCGCAGAGGCTGCCATCCGCCGATCCGTTGGAGCTGACCAACAGTTTGGTGGTGACGCGCAACAGCAGCAGCTCCGCGACGAATGTAAGGGTTGGGCCGGCTGGAACTGCAGCGCAAGGCCCCCGCCAAATGGAAATGATCAACACTCCCTTTGTGAGCCCGCAGCACCCTGTGTCACGCCAACAGAGTTCTTCTGTTCTGGCTCCTCCGCAGAGAAGACCTTTGTTGTCTACCGCACCACCAATGCCCATGACAAGATTTGTCGTGCACAAGCCGCCACCGGTCGCTGCGTCACACAAGGGGACTACTTCGGATCATTTGTACTACACGCCACAACTTCAGCAGCAGGAGCAGGTCCCCCCGTTGTATCAGAGATCTTCGTCCGTGCAGTCACTGCCGTCACACTCACAGCCACAGCAATATTACGAGTATCAACACCATCAGCAGCAGCACGGTCAACATCTCCAAACACCGAAGCGACAGGTAGAGCATCGGGTCAAAAACTCGAGATCGGTCAATGCGCGATCCTTGTCCCCCGGAGTTGCGTTCGGGCTGCCGAAAGCGTATGCGATGGTTTTGAAAAGTGGGGAGAAACAAGACAAAGAGCAGGGTAGCGCCTCGGTTGAACAACATCACTAGTGGAACGGAAGGCGGACGATAGTTTAGAAAGTTGAAAAGTGCCGCTTTGTTGTTGTAATATCGAGGACTTGTAGTAAAAGTATTCGCATGCGCATCGGAGGAATGTTTAAACTCTTGCAGATTTGTTTGTAGGTCGATTACTAGCGCTGAAAAGGACGCAACGTCGACCACAAAACTCACTGTCATCTTCCAGAAAGGTTTTGCACACAAGGAAAAATCTATCACAGAGTTCTGAAGATACGAGTAACAACCACTTTTTTGTCGGAGAGCAGTTCGTAAATGAGCTCAAAGATGACAGAAGCAGACAGCAGCTGAAAAATCCAAAGTAACTAAAACTCAGACTACCTCTTGCTATACCAGTTTACCAGTATATGGAGTGATACACCAAAAGTAAAAACGTAAACAGTTCTTGTAGGATGTAGATGAAATCAACGCAACATGTATGTAAAAAGTTTTCTTTCTTTGAATGCTCTTGTGTTGTACACCAGAATATTCTGTGTCTCCGCGGCAGACAAGTTGAAAATTTGTTTCGGATGATATCCATGTACAAACAGAAAGATGATGTTGTGCCAAATGAAACATCTCTGCTTGTGCGGCTAAGGAGGCAGGATTCGCATTCATGGTTCTTCTAGAATTTACCTTCGTGGACGAGGCTTGTTCGAGGATGATCCTTTCCAATGCTACAAGCGAGATCTTGCACAGACAACCGAAATGGATCCTGAATTTTCGCGATGGTGGTGCTGGGATCGTTGGTAAAAAACTAACTACTGGCAGAAAAGTGCGATGAAGCTCAGGATCCTGCACTCGCTAGAATCCGAGGAACAAAAGAACCTCATGCTCATTTTGATTTTTTTGCATGATATAGACCTTAAATACTCTGTGTCTGTGATCATCTTGTTGCGATCTTAAGTATTTCCGCACTCAAACATCAGGAGGCTAGGCGGCGGATAGGTCAGAGATGATGAGGATCATGAGTGAAGAACAAGTTGGTGGTCCCATTTGGTTTTAGAAAGAAGCACCGCGACTCACTGTTGTATAGTACGTTGTTTGATCAACCTTTTTATGACTAGCAGAAACCCAATTTAACCGAATCTCATGGCAAAAATTGCTCCCGCGACCACGGCCGCACCTGAAGAATGGGGCCGGCTGGAAGGCTTTGGTGTCGGTCAGGCCTCCGGTAGAGGAATGCGATTGCTTGCGCAGAACAATTTGCTGATGCGGAATCTGGCGCAGCTGAAAAAGCCTCCGCAGGAGCTGCGGGAGCACGAGCAGGAAAATGGCGACGCCATAGTACACCTTCCCGCAACCAATGCACTGGCAGCCCAGACGAGCCAGACCATAAGCAACCTCGATGGAGCAGCTGACCTCGAGCCTGATAGAAGCAAGCGACGAAAAATCGAGGAGGACCACATTGTGAGTACCTGGCAAACAGGTGCAACCGTCCTCGTCGCTGATGTGCCTTCACGACCGAGCTCCCCAAGCGAAACGGACGATGAAAAGGACGAAGAGGTGGTAGAGGGACCTGCAGTGACTAAAATCCCCCAAAATGTTGAATCATCCCCCTCTTTACCCCCAGCGACTACTGCAGCAGCAGAGCGCCCATCCACATCTTTACAGAAGGAGACTAGTACAACACAACCGGCGACTGACTCCAGCACTGCAAAGAAACCCAGCAAACCGAAACCGACCTCGTCCCGAACAAGCACGACATCAGCACCATCATCTGCACACCTCCTCCGCCTCCAGAAGACCAAACCCGCCACCCCGTCGGACACCGTGTCCGGCCCGGCCTTCTACAGCGAGCGCACCGGCGACCCGGTGTTCACCTTCGGCAACTACGAGACGTACTACAACTATCGCACGTTCGACGAACGGGTAAGCCGGATAGCGTTTGAATTGGACAAGAACTTCTCCTTCACTCTAGAGGGGAAAAACGTCCTGGACATCGGCTGCAATTCCGGGAACGTGACCGCCGTATGGGAGTGTCAGTTTTGAAATCGACAAAGGTGAAATAATTTGCCATGCATAAAATCAATGGATGCCAGTTAGACCTGCAGTCTGTATTCGGTGCATGACAAATTTTCCCGGTCCTGGAAGCGAGTCTGTCATGCGGTTTAGGGCAAAAGAGCTGCCTTCTGTCATGCTAGTCAGCAATCCAACTTTTGACCCTTGCCAGGACTAGAATCTGCCTCCCTTGCGTCCTCTGCAATAAAATCACTTTCTGTATCGCATTTTATGCATTACAAGTTATTTCAACTTTGTCGATTTCAACTCTGACACATCCATACGCCGGGTTCGCCGAATATTCGAAGACCGGACGGGTTGTCGGCTGCGACATCGACGAAACCCTAATTGCGAAGGCGTGCTGTAAGTGGCTCCTGCACGGAGATGGGGGACGACGACAGGGCGGGCAGGAGGATCTTCACACGGCTCAAAGCGACTGGATGTATGGGTCGACTCCAGCATCTTGGTCGACAACTACGTGTTCCAGTTCATCCTACTCAAACCTATTCTTCGATGTGGCGAACTTTGCCACGGAGAAAGGCCAGATCCGGTTTTGCAAGGAGAAAGGGTTGCAAATTCTCAAGGACCAGCTGCACTACACGAGGGAACGACCTGCTGATGTGCGAATAAAGGATACACAAGAAGTCCGACTGGCGACTCCTCCTCATGGCAAGCACCAGAACCACGACGCGGTTGTGCGAGAATGTGCTCCTTCACCCCCTGGTCCAGAAGGAGTTTATTCGGGTCAACAATTCGTTTCCTTCGACGTGATTGTGGCCTTTTCCATCACAAAGTGGGTCCACTATCAGTACGGCGATGCGGGGATCCAGCGGTTTTTCGATCAGATCTACGAGAACCTGAAGCCCGGCGGCTACTTCATCCTGGAGCCGCAGCCCTGGAGCAGCTACAAGAAAAAGCAGCACCTGACTGCGGACATCAAGCAGCGCGTCGCGGAGGTGAAAATCCATCCGGGCAGTTTCACGCGCTACTTGTCGGGTACGATGGAGGTGGGTTTGTGTGAGTCGAAAATAAACGGAGCAGGAGCCTATGGTGGATTCGAGTTGAAGAAGCAAATATCGGGGAAGGAATTGCCGGGGTTTGACCGAGATGTGTTCATTTATCAAAAACTTGGGGGAACAAAGTGACTTCGATCATGTTCCTGAACAACAGCGTTTGTTCATAGAATATTTTGATTGTTTACCACCAAAATGCGAAGACCACGCGATATTGCGAGTATTTGATTTTCTTCCAACGTGGTATGGGAGACGAAAGCGAAACAGGACATAATTTCGTGCAAGCAGCTGACCCTTTTGAAGCGACATCGTCTGTAATTTTAACTTCCAATACATCATGGATGCGGGAGCTGCTCTGTGTGTTCGACGACATGAAGCGCCTGCGCTAGTTTTGTTCTCGTATACAGCCTGCTGTTTATGTGCCAAAACAAAACTGACCCGAGTCTGAATTGTTGTGATTCGCGCACTAAGGCAGCTTGGCGGCCGCTAGAGGAGGGCGCGGAAAAATAAAGCGTCGCGCGCATGCGCGCGCCGCCGCCGGTGCCGCTCTCCGCCTTGTTTTCAGAAAGTCAAAAGGTGCCTGGTCTCCGATTGATGTTTTCTATTGTTGTTCTGAATTGAGAGAGTGGTAGATTTAGCTTTAGGTGGTTACGAGCCTTCGTTCTCTTTGGCGTTCGCATTCGCATAATTGTAGCGTTTTTGACCACAGGCACAGTGCATTGTTGAAGTTTGGTGGCACAAAAGCTGCAGGGCTTTCTTCGAATTTTAGTAAGTACAAGTAGTCCTAGTCCTGTCGCAGACGATGAAGTGCTTAGAAATCAAGATAAACCCGACCGCGACCGGGGGCAGGATAAACTACAAAACCCGTGACAGAAAATGCAGCTGATCAAGTACAAGTGCTTGCTTCTTCTAGTTTGACCAGCAGCAGGAGCACACCAGGCCACAGTACCGATTCGTGCTGGGCGATATTCACTTCGAGGGTTTTTGTGCCCTCCTTTGGAGCTTACTGTGAGTCGCATTATGCGAAAGCCCGTACCGATCTTTTTCCCTTGGAGTTTGAAAAAGCAGTCGGCTGACAACTACCCTGCTCTCCTCATCGACAAACTTAATTTGTGGGCTTCGGTCGGGGCTGAAACAATATCGCAGTATGGACGGTCCATCGTGCAGCAGCGGCAGCATTGTTTTCCCCACGCCAAGGAGCAACCCTGTCAGAGGCCGCCGGCGTCGAGAATCTTCGCGACCCGCGGCCAGCAAATCAAGCCAATTTATTGCCTCCGCGGTTTCACATCAGGCCGCTACAACAGGAAGAACAAGACCACGACGAAAAACGCGGGCTACAATTCGATTTCCAATTGGCGAAGCAGACAGAATTGGTCTGGTAGGGGTGGGGGAGGCTGGGCCTCTTGGAAAAAGACACCCACAGGAACGACACGTACCCATGAAACCAAGGAAAACGAGGACACGAAAAGTAGTTTTGGATCTACTTCACAAGACGGGCCGCGTCAACAACAAAATGGTGTTGATTTCCACGACGAGCAGCTGCAAGACGCCGAGGATCCTGCCCTGCCGATCAGCCCGGAGCTCCAGTCCCACATTGACGACTACCATTTTCTGTCCACCTATCGCAACATGGAGGCCAGCGACTCCCGGGGCGCGAAACTACGAGAAGAGAAGAAAGAAGTGTTCCGGCTGCGGTTCAGGAAACGGAACGAAAACTACCTGTTCGCGTCCCGTCTGTCGGACGACGAGGTACTGAGCCGGTTGCGGTTCACCAAAAAAGTGTTGGACTACTTGGAAAAACCCGGGGGGAACGACAGCTTCCGGGCTTGGGGCCACTACACCGCGCGGGACCACAACAGCGTCGTTCAGAAGTACCGAGATGAAGAAGTTTTGGCGTCGGATGATCTTGTGGAAATTAGTACGGGTCGTCGTTCTTCATCATCGAGTACTGATGCTGATTTTCTGCCGAGCGATAGGAACACTTCGAGGACTAGTACACGTACAGGGAAAACAAGCACAGCAAAAGGCACGTCGGGGCCAACACTTCTTGTCCGTTCCAAAGCCAGCACGACGTCCTCGTCCACACAGACGAAAATTCCGCCAATTGTGATCGACGACCGATATCCACAGTAAAGTTTCCCGTACACGTACGAATGCAGGCTCATCTGCATGAGAAAAGATTCTTTCTCAATCCTACACCTATATACCATGAGGCGAAATTTATTGTGATGCATTTGATTTTCTACGCGTGCAGGAAATTTTTATTGCACAACCGAGAGCACAAGCTGATCGCGCTCGCGAACCAGCAGAACTTGTTCGAGCAGACGAAGGAGAAACCAAATTTGATCCCGTTTGAGAAGAAACGGATCCTGACCGCCGACATCGTTATCGGCGATCCGGGACGGGAGGTTTACCTGGAGAGAAAAACAGCCGCGGACTTCTGGAGCTCGATCACCGATGCGCGGTTGCACAACCAGCTTGGGAATAAAATGGATTTGCTGGAGAGGAGTCCAGACGCCAGGGCCGCGGTGATTTTGGAGGGGTTTTCGACCGCGGAAAGGGACCCGCGGTTGCGCCCGCGGATGAGACTGCTGTAAGTTGTACTGGCGACGTACTTGTTTCTCACTTTGTCTGTCAAGAAAAGCCGGTCAACATACTCAGTATAGCGATAAACCCCAAGAATTTTAGCACCGCTAGTATTAAGATGAAGGATTCATTATCATTGCTACTTGTGGATTTCTGAATAAAAAAATTTTCTTCCCCCCGTACCAGCAGTACCCAGACCACCCCTGCCAAGTCGCTTCTTACTTTTCCCATATATGACACCACTCAGGTACGGGAAAATCGTGAATCTGGTGCTCCGTGACCGCGTTCCGATTTTCATGACCCGGGACCTGGCGGAAACCTACCAAATTCTCGTCGTTATCGCCGAGAACTACTACGAATCTCTAGCCGGACAGCAACCACGAGACTACGTCCACGAAAGGCTGCACGGGAAAAAGAAGGAGCGCAACCCGGTTTCCGCACTGGAATCGATGGTCAGCATGGTTCCGGGCGTAACGGAACGGATGGCGCCCAAAATTTTGGCGACGTTTTTGAAAAACGTCGATCCGAATACCGGGACAACTGTGGTGGGGGAAAGAACTACGGACGCTGCAGCATCTTGTGTCCTTGCGGGCCAAGAAGATGAAGACCACCCTCTTCAAAGTCAAGAAGTAGAGGTGGCAACGGACGACGTACAACGTAATGAAAGTTGTAGCTCGGTTCCTCCAGCAGAGCAGCAGCGACCGACGGATATTGAGTCTGAATCTCCTCCACCCGGCGACGAGGTCGACACAGCAACTCCACATCTTCCCATGGCCCAATCTACTTCCACCTCCACTGGTGCTTCCATGCTGATTTTTTGCAACATTCTGCGGAAGGACGTACTTGCGGTGGACAAGCTCCAAAACCTCGGGCTGAAGCAGATGACGGCGAGGCTACTGGTGCAACAGCTGGTGGGGGACAACGCACGGAGTTTGAAGCGCGCGAGACTGGTCGAGAAACTCTCCGCGGTCCCCGGCGCTTCAGAGTCGAAAATCAAGCAGATTGTCGGGACGGACTATTCCGCGGGAATGCTACGGAAGAGGCTGGATGAGGTGAAGGCGGTTGCTGGAGGGAGGATACCGTCAGCAACCGGGGACGCGGGTGGCACTGGGTCGGCTGCAGGAGGTGCGTCACTGGCAGCAGCATCAGCTGATTTTGACCTCATCCGCATTACCGCCGCTCGGGAGAAGCTGGAAGAAGTTTTGGCCGAAGAGGTAGCGAAGGAGCAGTCACTGCAAGGACGTGGGTCCTGGTGTACGAAGGAGGTGTGAGCTGCAAGAGCAATGTTCTGTTCTTTACTAGCAGCTCCTGCACCGAGGCGGGTTGTGGCGGCTCAGCGGATGGATGTGGGCGTACTCGTCGTGTCTGCAGGACGGACAAATCTTTCTACATCAACCACAATTTTTTATCGTAGCAGATCGCTCCTGCACGACGCGGGCCGCCAGATCCGCCGAAATGGGACGTAGCCGAAGGTAGACTTCGAAAAAATACCGCGTGTAGCTATTGGACGACAACGTGGCGAGGAAATTTTGTCTTGTACTGCTACTTGCCGGTACAAGTAGCACACGATCGCATCAGTGCTATACAACATAATTCAGCACTTTCATTTTGATTTTCTACGTTTTCACTACTTCACGACCTGCGCAATTTTTTTAGCATTACTTGCTAAATTATATGATGCCCGCGCAATATTTTTATCCTCCGGTCCGTCAGCCCACGTTTCCCTACCTAGCAAATATGGCGAGTTTCGGTTTCAACTGCAACAACCATGGATTTCAGCAGCACGTACGCATTTTTTCAAGGATGCGCTTTTGCACAGAAGAAGGATATCCAAAAGTAACATGATGGATGAAATAAAAGCTGTCAGAAACAGCTTGCCACTACAACTTCATTTGAACAACTCCGAGCTGGGTAGGAGTGGGAGTAGCTCAGCTCGGCATAGTTTTGAAATTTTGTCGGTCGGTGAAGGCATTGCAAATCAAAAATGACGATCCAAGTCTGGTGTTGCTCGTCCAAATCAATGATCAAGAAAGACAAGACGTCTTTCTCTTTCAATGAGCATACGGATCCCTCCAAAATGTAAGTACTTAGATCAGGAGACGGAAAGTGTCTGACATTTTTTGGTGTCAGATGTTGCGCATATTTGAGAAGATCCTGAAATGTTCTCCAAGAAGAAATGATCTCTGTAAGAACGCCACGACCTCCTTGCCTCGCGAAGACTAAATTGAAATTTACTGTTGATAAATGGACAAGTGCAGCGAGGAAAAATGATCCAAGATCTTTTTTTTTCAGAACCGAGTAAACAAGTACTTAAAACAAACTTTCACTCACATCGTTACTCCACTCTCCAAAACAGTAAACTCTACTTGGATTTTAAGTGCGCCATAAGTTTGGTGTCTTAAGCCTTCATCTTCTGCGCTATTTACAAACTCTTTGTACGAAGCAAACATAAAACACGTCCACGAACTCGAACGCACCAAACGCAACGACTTGCTGCAACTTTTGGAACAAGGACGAACTTCAACTTACTGGGGAAGTAATCGAATCCGAGGCGTCAACTATGACATTTCCTCCCACTTATTTTTCCTGCAATTAAAAAAACTTCTACTTCTTCAGTAAAAAAAATCATGGCGCTTTCCTTGCAACATTTCGTCGACGAAGAGACTATGGCTTGCATCCTCAACAAATCCAAGGGCTTCAACCAATCCACCGCCGTTCTCGGAGCTGCTACTGTCTCCAGCATGGACAAGAGCTTCTGAAGAAACCACTTGTCGTGCGCAATCTACTTCGATTTCGACTCGTCGAAGTTATCAGCTTGAAGCTTGATAAATCAGTTCTGTACGATAAGAATTTCTGAGGAAGACCTGCCTGTGCTTGGACTTGGAGGAAAAACCGCTGTACAATTCTTTGGCCGCCGCGAGCTGTAGGATTTCGACGAACAAACCGGTCTCGACAGACAAACGACATCATTTTTTGGAATATAAAACCCCGTTTCTGCAATACATATCACAAGGAAGAAGTAGTACGCGAAGCTGGTGCACAATAACTACCTGAACTACGACTCTCTGACTGTACCCGGCGTGGGCATCCCCGACGCTTTCACAACTTTCTCTACCAAGTGTAAAATTCACGAAAAAAAGGCATACGGAAGCATCACCTCCCCTCCTGCTTCAGTACCTACAGATACGGTGACGCGAACCAACGGAACGAGTTTAAGCAACGAGATATCGAAAAAGTAAGCATCCGCATCAATCTGCAACGGACAAGGAGGGTTTCGAAGACTGATACCAAACCGCTGGTGGTGCACAACACGAAAACAAACACGAAGAAGAGCCGACGACTCGGATAGAGATGATTCTTGGAAATAACAAGTAGAACTGAAGACAGCAGATTTGCACAACCACAACTTCACGAAACCACCAAGCTGCCCCATCGACGCCGGCTACTTTCGACACACTGTGATTGTCATCGACGCAAGTCAGTGCAATAATTCGGACTACCGAGGACATAAAATTTTCGTCCAGTACAACTGGTATAACTTCTCAACGGGGAAGAAGAACAAACTACACTCACCAACTGTCGTCTCGAAGTTGTGCAGACCTCGTCGAACTTGGCGAATTCATCTGCACGAAAAGAATAAAGTAGTACAATGACGCAGCCAACGTACGACTACGTGCTGTTCAGCCCGGCGCTGATCAGCTTTGTGGGCTACCTGTTTATGCATTGCAAAACTATCGTACTAGTATAAATTGCATTACAAATTTTCTCAAGAACAAAAATGCAATTTGTCATGCTGTTTCAGATAGAAAGTTGAATTTGTGTTGCATATCTGCAATTAGTACGAGTGCGATACTTTTGCACAGGATACTGTTGCTGCTGATCGCCAATTTCCTCGCAATTTTCTGGGTTCGCGCGAAACAGGAAAAGGCAGTGAAGGAGATGAAAATAAACCAGAAAAACAAGGTTGACCATGACCACCTCCACGACGACGAGCTCGGAAAGCCTGGCGGGGGTAGGATCTTCGCATCGGGAGAGGACGAAGATGGCGACGGTGTCGCAGCTGCTGCTGACAAGAACAGCACGACGACGTCGTCCTCCGACGGGACGACGAGTATTGAACATTCTCCGACCGCTCCGTCGATCCAGTTTTACGGACGTACGAAATGCTGGTACGGGCAAACGGTCCTATCCTAAGTAAAAACGTCCCCACACCAGATTTGTAATGCAGATTTGCAAAGACAGGAAGACTTGTAATGCGCACTCCCATGAGATCCATTTCCAGTCGTGTTTTGGAATTTGTGATGCTGTGAACAGGATAAGGAGACAAATCTGTGCTGCGGCTGCACTTGCTAACCTGCACTACACTGCAGAGTGCAACTTGTCATGCGTGACTCACAAAACTCCTAGGCTTGTGTTGCAAAATCCCCACTCTGACTCTGGTGCGGGTACGTTTTTACTCAGGATAGCTCCTCTACTTTCTCTACGGGTTTTACGCGTACTCGCAGGTGCTGATGCTGTGTCTCTGCTACAGTATCATGAACGCCCGCGAGCTGTCGACCTTCCTGGACTTTATGGCGCAATTCCCGGCCGGGAACCCGAACTTGCAGGGTTTGTCGAACGGGTTTTTGGGGATGAATCTTTGTGTGGACCACAGTGAGTACCCGAACACCGGGGACAACCTCCCCAACACGGTGAATTTCTACCCGCTCGAGCCGACCACCTGCGAGGGCGAATTGTTGTCCGACAGTGCGGTCTACTACCGTCACATCGAGGTCATGAACTACTACTGGGTCCTCACGCTCGCATCGTTGCTCTTCTGGCTGTATTACGGCAAAATGATGAGGAACCTGCTCCTGTGGAAACCCTGTGCTTTGGAACAGTGTAAATCGGTGCTTGTGTGGGACAAGAAGACCACGACGACGACCGGGCAGCAGCGAGACAATGTTGAAAATTATGCGACGATGAAAAACAAGAAAAAGAAAAAGCCGGTCGCTGATTTTTTCAATTTCTACGAGCAAACGAAGATCGTCAAGGTGCACGTTGCGACGCCGGAGTTTGGAGGTGTCGTTTCTGCCCCTGCCGGCAGTCGTGCCGCGGCTGCTTCTGCGTCGCCGGCGGAGGTTGTAGGGACGACCTCGACATCAAGTGCGACAACTGTGGGTCACGATTTTTTGGAAGAACAAGTCGGAAATAACCAAAAGCAAGACAATTATTCCGGCACAGTGTACTACATTACGCACGACTCGACTCGATTTGTGTACGACCACGAGAAGAAAAACTTCGTCGACCCGCAGGACTATGGAACTGACATGTTTTGGGTGCGCGACTTGTACAAGGAGGAGACAGCGTTGAGGCAGTTTGAAGGAGCTGGTATATTGCTTGAAGTGATTGTGATATTACCCATAGCCATAACCGTATGCATATCATGCCGATGCTATCAATCAAATGCTGTATTTCATCCTTCTCCTTTTGTTTTTTTTTACTTCCGATGACTCATCGGATGATGAGAAAGAGCGACTCATCGGCGATGAGTCACTCTTTCTCATCATCTGGTCGTATTGGTTTCTATGCTCGTTGCAGCTCCTTAACCTTGTTGATTTCTAACTAATCAAAAAACCCTATTAGGTTTCACTTTCCACACCACCCCCGCCACGACTTCCCTGAAGCAAAAGGTGTTCGGGAAAAACGTCCTAGCCGCGATCGAAGACAGGAAGTCCTGGGGCCAGCATTTTTCGAAGAATTTGCTCACCCTCCCCATGGTCATCACGCTGCTCGGGAACTACTACGTCTTCCTGAATTTGATTCTCCCCGCGATGTTTTTCCAGATCGTGATCGCCTTTTACTTCGCGATTTCCTCGGCTTGTACCGACTTCAAGGAGCAGGAACAGATCTACCAGCTTCTCGGACACAGCATGGACGGGCAGTTTGTGACGATGAAACGGGCCTTTTATGCTGCTGGTACTTCTAAAAATGAAAGCAGGAAGAACTTCTACGACCACGAGCAGCAGGTCGAGGTGACAGACCTCCTCCCCGGGGACGTCTTCGTCCTGCCGGATAAGAACAAGGAGAACAAGCCCTTCACGATCCCGGTCGATTGCGTACTCCTCACCGGGTCCTGTTCCGTCAACGAAGCCTCCCTGACCGGCGAGGCCGTCGCGATCCAGAAGTTTTCCGTCGAGGAGGCCGTGCTGGAGAACGTGACGGAAAAGCAGTCTGGTGTGAATTTGATCACGGAAAAAGCGAAGAAAAAGTACATGCTGTTCTCCGGGGTGTCCGTGCTGGAGTGCGGGCAGGCGAAGGAAAACCTCTGCTTGGTGCTGAAAACCGGGGCCGCCACGAAGAAGGGGGAGCTGATCAAGATGCTAAACAGCGAAGCGAGCGGCAATTCCAGCGAAAAAGTGTTCAACATCGAGAACGACAGCGGCAACTTGATGCTGTTGCTCTTCGTTTATGGATTGCAAAAGTATCGCAGCACTCGTATAAATGCATTACAAATTTCCTCAGCATGAGAAACAAAATTCTTGACAAAAAGATTTGTAATGCGTGGCTGCAATACGAGTACAATACTTTTGCACAGGATATCGTGATCACCTTTGTCGGCATCACGCCCTACATGCTGCAGCTCATCCTGCAGGGGACCTTTGTGCAGCAGCGGGCGATTGTGATTTTCCGGATCATCAGTAATTTCGTGACGTTGCTCTCCCCCATCTTGTTGTCCGCCATGCAGGAGGCCAGTCGCGTGGGGTGCATATGGATTGTAAAAATGTCTGGGTCTGGAAGGTTGGAACTTGTAATGCTAGCTTTCCATAGCTAGAAAATCTGTATTGCATAACCAACAAAAGTCGCAGCCTCTTTTGTCATGCTGACACGCAGTTTCTCATGCGGATTGCCTATGAGAGAGCGTTTTGGGAAGTTGTCATGCCGGACTCAATTCGGAAGTGTTTTCATCATGCACATTTTAGCATCACAAGTTTCCAGACCCAGACACTTTTGCATTTGATAGCGCAAGGCCCTGAACCAGAGGCTGGTGAACGCGCGAAATCTATCCTGAGTGAAAACGTCCCCACCCCATAGTTGTCATGCAGATCTGCATGCTCAGAGTGTGTGTCATGCGGCTCTCCATGAGAGGCATTACCTAGTGGCGTTTGGGAATCTGTCATGCGGTAATCAGGATGACAGACTGGATCTGTGATGCGTTCGAACTAGCTAGGCACGACTACACTGCGTCGCCAAGCTTGTGATGCGTGAGTCCCAAAAATGCTCGATTTGTCTTGCCAAAGTCCCAACTTGACTATGGGGTGGGGACGTTTTTACACAGGATAAAATCCGAAAAACTTGCCCGTCGCCGGGGCGTTGACCGTGCAGTGTTTTGACAAGACGGGGACCATTACGAAAGACGGGCTCGAGTTGGAGGAGTGTGAGCTGAAAATGCTGATCAAAAACGACGAGAACCTTCTGGAAGAGGACAACAAAAACGCCACTTATGCGGAGAAGATGGATCAGCAAGCCGCGCAGGGAGTAGTTGTGGATACCACTAACACGACGACCACCAATCTGCTGGTGGGGCAAGAACACGATCAGCAGCAGGAGCTTCTCCACAAGACATCAAATGCTGACCCGACTATGCTGCTACACACCGCGCTGTCCACCTGTCACACCGTTTCGAAACTCCAGGATGGGACGTTGGTGGGGAACCAGGTGGAGCTGGAGATGTTGAAGATGGCGATGGAGAAGATTCCCGGGCTGTCTTTCTCCAAGACGGAAGACTTGACCGACGGAAGCGGCAGCTGCACGGACTACTACTGCCACGACGAGGAGTCCTCGTTTGGAGGTCAAGAACATCATCTTCCCACTGCTCATCCTGTTCACAAGCAGCGCCGCTTCTGCCGCACGGTGCGCCAGTTCGAATTTGACCAGCACGCGCAGTTACAGTCGTGTCTGGTGGAGATGGAGGGGGACAAAAATCACAGTACCAATACCAAGAAGAACTATGCCGTCGACCAGCATGACATCAAGCAGAAGCCAACAATTCTCTTCGTGAAAGGTTCTGTGAAGCGCATTGTCGCAAAGTGCAGGCCGGAATCCGTCCCCGCCGGTTTTGAGCAGTCGGCGGAACAATTGGCCATGGAAGGATTCTACCTAGTCGCGATGGCGATGAAAACTGATTTAGTTGCTCACAAGGACGATAAAGAAGATCAACAACAGCCGTCAGTACTAGACCTCTACCAGGTTCCCCGCGAACATTTAGAGCAGAACCTCACGCTCCTCGGGTTACTGAAGTTCCGCAACGAAATCAAGCCGGATTCGCGCCACGTAATCGAGACGTTGAAAAACGCCGACATCGCCACCCAGATTATCACGGGCGACAATGTTTGGGCGGGGGTGCATATCGGGCGGGAGAGCGGGATCATCGCCGCAGAGAAGGACTTGGTGCTGGTCTTGGATCTCGAACACCACCACTGGCACCACAGCCCAGGAGGTGGTGCTGGCGGTGGTGCAGTGCAGCAAGAATTGTTGCATCAGAGCTGTACTTCTAATCATCTTCTGAAGCTGCACCTGATCAAGCCGGAAGTTGCTACGACGTGCAGCAATAACAAATCGGAAGGTCTTGAAGAACTTCCACTGGAAGACGAAATGAACGAAGTTGAAGACCTGTTTCAAGACGGTAACAAGCACTGGAGCTACTACGAACACGGCGACGATTTGAGTGATAAAGGTGATGAAGCCGCGCTGCTCTCTTCGAAACTCACCCTTTTGTCCGATTATAATGGATGTGGTCCTCATGTTGATCGTGGGGATGAGCTCCATTATCACTGGAAAACTTTACCGGAACAGGAGCAAGCGGAGGCGCTTTTCAAGGAGTTTTTGAAGCAAAAGACGACTTTTCTACTCGCGCAGAACAAGGACAAAAGTGCTAAGAGCGCTGTCGTGGACGAGAAGAAGAAGCAGATCGTGACGGCGTTCGAACTGAAGAGCGGCACTGTTGTGAAATTTGTCGTGACGTTTGACGCGTTCAAGAAACTTCTGGAGGTTTCGGAGCAGAACATGGACGAAAATGCCGAGAATGGGAGCAGCAACGGTGATAAAAACGCTAACGCAGGAGCAGAAGATTATGCCGACATGATCAACCACAGTAGCGCCGCTGAGCGCGATCCCGAGGATCCCGAGGCTGCGCCGATGAGCAAGAGCGTGGATTTCTGGGCCATGTTCGTCAAGGCGCAGATGAAGAACTGCAACAGTAAAGATTTTTTTTCCAAGTCTAATAACGCGGCTGGCAAAAAAGGCACAACTACCGTCAAACAGCAAGAGAAGGAGCTGCAGCAAAGTTTCTCCCTGCTCTCCCTCCTGTATCCGAATATCGCGGTCCTCGGATCGATGACGCCGGTCGGGAAAGTGCAGGCGGTCGAGTACTGGCAAAAGGAAAACCTGTTCGGGAAGCAGGTCATCGGCATGTGCGGAGACGGGGGGAATGACTCTGGCGCGGTGAACGCGGCGGATATGGGCTTGGTTTTGGGGAACGACGACGCGGAAGAATTGTTCGCGCCTTGGAGTCCACGTGCAGAAGTTGCTGGATCTAGTAGTTCGAAAAACTTCTTACACGAAGGTGCTGGCCGCTGTGAGAAAGACGACAAGAACACATCTCCCGTTCAAAAGATCAAGACCAGGAGCGTGTTTCATGCCCCAACTGAAGAAATGGACGAGGATGAAGTTTTCGACTACCACGTGAACGTGGACGAAGTCGATGTGCACCACTTGAGCCAGGGCACGCACCACGTGAAGGACCAGGACTTCCACGTGCACGAATCATTTATTCCGAACACTTTGCAACTTGGCTCGCAAGAAATATTAACCACGACGTCATCGCACCAAAAGAGAAGTGGAGGACATCAAGCGAACTACCTGAAGATGCGCCGCACCACAGTCTCGATGTATGAAGAGGAGGATCTGAGCAGCGAAAGTTCCGTTGACAGCTCGCCGGAAGATGATGTTGGAACAAATCTTACGGAAAATAAGAAGAGAGCAAAGTCAGTGAAGAAGAATTCGAAGCAGCAGAACAAATTGTCGAAAAAGAAGGACAAGAACGCGGTGAAGATGTCTGCTTCGGAGATCTGCCTGCTCTCGCCCTTCTCCGCCCAAACGTCCAGTCTTCGTTCGCTCCTGTATTTGATCGAGTCCGGCCGCATGGTGATGATGAACAGCTTCGGCACGGTGAAGCTCTTCCTGGCGTACGGCATCGCCCGCGCGTTCCAGAGCTTCGAGTTGGAGTCAGTGTTGTCTTCTCGTGGCGAGGCGCAGCAGATGCTGGACACCTTTTATCGCAAGAAAAAACTGTTTCGCTGTAAACTTGTGATGCATAGAACCAAACGCAAATGTGTTTGTCTTGCTACACATGCAAGACATTGGATTTTTAGCTGTGTTATCCCTTAGGAAGCACGCATGCCAAGTTTTCTTTGTCATGTGTAACAAACTTATGATGCAAATCTTGCAAAATCTATCATCACAGTGAAACAGTTTTTTCGTGGGACACCTTTGTCGTCATGTTCATTCTCTCCCAGGCGGCCATTAGGAACAAGGTGCCGACAGTGTTTGCTGGTGCGGGCGAATACCGCTCGTTCATCTTGAAGAAAATGGGCTACTACAATAATTTTGGTGGAGTTAGTGTCAAGTCAAACGGCGCAAAACATCAAGGAGCCTTGACGCCTAGCACGACCGACAAGTCCGTCGTGGTCCTCAGTAAGAAGCAGCCGGAAACGAAGATCTTCGCGCTCTCCGTGTGGGTGGACATCGTTTTCGCGCAGGTCACCTTCATCGTCTTCCTCTTCCTGTTCGCGTTTCAGGCTCCGAAGCTGTTCAATTGGACCGAACAGACGGCGGATCTGATCCCGGCCGCGCAGCAAGAAGCGCTCACCACCGAAGAGCGCGTTTATCTCGCCGACTGGCTGAAATTCCCGTTGTTGCAGACAGCCTACGACTGGTGGAAAATTCCCGGCACCTACATGGAACTGGACCAGCTGAACCCCTTCGCGTTCGGCCTGGCCGCCACGGGGGACACGATGGTCCAGTCGACCGACCTGGCGGGGAACTTTTACAACGTGGTCTTCTACATGCTGCTGTTCGGCTGCACGGTCGCCTACAGTCTGGCGGGCCAGTTCCGCGCGCCGGTGTGGAAGAATGTGAGTCTGCACCTGTTTTTCTTCTTGTTCCTCCTCCCCTTCATGTTTCTCCTGGGGTTGTTCTGGTCGCAGACGGTGGTCGGGTCCATCTTTCGCGTGAACATCGACAACCGCTGGGCGAACGTGCACACCCCCTACTTCCACGACGTCCTGGGGTATCTGAACGTCAGGTTCCAGCAGTTTCCGGAAACGGACGAGATGCTGGGGGCGAAGATCTGGTTTGCCGAGCAGGACTGGAACGAGGTCGGGGTGTTGGTCGAAGCGGAGAAGAAGAAGACGACGGAAGGACAAGGAGCTCCACTAACCCCAGAGCAAACCGATTTCTACGCAAAGCTCGAGTCTCGCTTGCAAAGCGTGCAATCCGTGCAAGACGCGATTCCCGCTTTCTGGAATACGGCGGCGATCCAAAAAGACTATGACGAAGTGTTTGGCGGCAGTGGCGCGGGGAACAATTATGCTCCTTCCCCTGCACCGCAAGCTGACGCGGATCAACAACCTGAGAACTACCTCTACAATCTGAAATTCGATTTCACGAAGGCGTTTGCTTGGGACGACGCGAAACTGGCGCAATTGAAGCAGGTGTGGGCTCCGGGGCAGCTGTTAAGCGCTGATAGTTCCCGCTACGACATGGACTTCGGTCTATCAAACCCGTTCATTCGTGATCTGATTTTCTCCTTTCCCCCACTCGGAGGTGGAGGCGCCCCCGCGCCGGCGTCCGGAGGTTCCTCTGATGATGTCGATGCCAGCAAGAAGGCGGTTTTGATCGGTTTGTACGGCGCGCTGGCGGTGCTGCCGAACGCTGCGGAACAGGAGTTGGTCTTGCCGTTGACGCAACACAGCACGTTTTCCAAGCACGTTTCGATAGCGGGGAAGAAACTGATGCTGGAAAAGCAATTCGCGGATAAATGGCAAATCGCTTTGTCCGTCCTGCCCTTGCAACTCGACCGCAGTAGTAGTGCGTCTGGGTCCTCGACGTCCTCGGTTGATGTATATCAGCCGAAGGTGTACCAGGTCGGCGTGAAGGTCGATTTCGCGTGGACTGGTGCGGCGGCCTCTGGACCTGCCACTTCGGCTGTTGAGTCTCAACAAACATCCGCCGCAGAGGTGAAGTACATGTGTCAGGAGCTGTGCCTCGCGTCGCTGCAACTCCAAGACGGGGGGGACGATGGACCCTTTGGGAGGTTCATGTGCTGGCACGTCGCGATGGAATACATTAGCTACACGGGGGGTGCAAATGCGCCAGAAAATAACCCCTCCTGCGTCCTGTTTCCGCGTTTAGACATGGACACGAAGGTCGCCCTGGGTCCGGAATTTGCCGCGTACAAGCGCGACCAGATCCAGCGCAGGAGGAGTCTGAGCGAGGAAGAGGTAGAGCAGTACGCCAATTCGGTGGCGGTCGGGATCGTGAAGCCGCCCAGTACTGGTGCAGCTCCTGCAGGAAATGTGCACCTCCCGCCGGACGACGGGATGAACAAGAAATATCGCCTGTTCTACACCAACCGCAGCAGCGTTCTCGGGTGGCAACCGCGCTCGGGTTTGGAGGTGGACCGCCACAACCCGGGGGTGAGTCGCGACATCGGCTACGCGGTGTGGTTCAGCGTCTTGATGGGCGTATTAGTCGGACTCTTGTGCGTCGGCAGGTGGGTTAAAGACGCGTGGTGGAAGTGATAATCATATATGTTGATGAGTGAACAAATGGACGCAGTGGAGGTACTATCGATGGATGAAATAACTAATCCTTTGTCGCGTTCTTACGATTTGCTAAGGATGACCCTTATCAAGAAGTCTCCAGCAAGAAGAACTCCGGCGTGACTAAGGCCAACAAAGATGCTACAGTACGTTCCACCTTTCTGTCAAAAGAACATCTTCTGATCCCTCGATTTACAACGTGGTTTGGGATGGCCTTTTCTTTTCCAATATCCTTCGCAGGCATACGAGAATAAACGGAAGCACAAGTAGGAAGAAGTAAAAGAAGAGTGTATACAATTACGCGCAGCTTGTGCGGACCGCCAACACGTCACCTGCTATTTGAAGGAAGAACAACTGATGTGATACAACAACTGAAGTGAAAGACGCGTAGGTCCTCCTGAACCACCAGCCTGTTTTGATGTCCTGATTCGTTAGCACATACGGACGGCAGAGGCATGTGCTCATCGTCATCTCGATGAAACGTCATAGTGAGACAATCGCTTTACTGGTTGACAGCCTCTGGTGAGAAGCTCGAGAGTAGTTGTGTTGCTGTTGCAACTGGTGATAGTGTTACACTTGCCTTTAGCAGGTTGTTTTTTTTGCAGCCGCCCAAGAATCGTAGAATCTGCTTCGTGATGACAAAGCAGTAGGTCGAGATGCAACAACTCTGGAAACAAATGAAACTTGACCAACGCTCGAAAAGCACTGCTTCTCTTCAAAGCCTTCCGAGAAAAAAAACAGTTGTAAGACTACGGTGCGTCTACATGTACATGGGTACACGACTCGAATCGCACCTTATGTTCAACAGTGAAAGAAAAAGAATGTGTTCATCTGCAATGAAAGATCAGCGTCAAACATTGATGTCTTCTTCAAAAAGAGCGCAGGTTTGTAAATTCTTGATGAAGATCCTAGTGACCAAGATATCTGTCGGTCTCCTAGTTATCGCTACCTATCTCTCGCCGAGCATGTTTTTTTTTCGCCCGACGCGAAGCTCCAATGGAAGTTTGGCTTTTCGCTTGGCTCACCCGACGGAGGTTTTTTTGTCGTTCTGAAGATGTTATTTTCAGAAATATCCTGCCGACGTGATCAACAACACATTTCTCAGCGATTTCGACTACCCAACTTGTTCCCGACCCATAATATTTGCCTTTTGCGGAAAAAAGCGATTTCTTTTTGCAAAGAGAAAGATCGTCTTGCTGCTCGTCGTGCCGCGATTCTTGATTTCACCGTAGTGGTGTAGTATCTCTTTTTTCATTTGCACTCCCCCTAAGTGGCAGCACAAATTCAAATCCTACAACCCCGGCCCCGCTTCTAAAGAACATAACCATGTTGATGCGAAAAATGTCACGCCAAGTGCGAGCGGTGCGCAGCAAGGTGCTAAACCTAAACGGGTTGTGTGAAGGCACCAAGAACACCTCGTCATGGGTGGCACCGGCGCCTTCGACGGAGGCACCTCTAGTATCGCCGTCTTCATCTTCTAGCGGGAACGGGATGTTCATGAGCAGGAGAAGTGCTACTACTAGTACTAGTAGCCCCTCCTTCGCAAGGAGCTTCGGTAGCTTGTCCCGCGGCGGCACCACATCAAGCAGCTCTTCAGGCACGAGAAGGCTCTTCTTGCTCGACGGGGCGAATAGCTCTTCAAGAGGTGCGCTCAGCAATTGTTCGATGGGAAGGATATTGACGCGACGGGAAAATGACAAACTGTCTTGTATTCATCCGTCAGGGGCGGGGACCATATCAAGATCGTGTCTCCTCGGAGGTCCGTCTCGCGCCTTCTGGAGTTCTTCTTCCAGCGCTTTGGCCCCCAATACGACGGGGGCGAGTCTCCAGGCGTCATCGTCATCCGCTGCGCAAACGGCCAGCAGCTATGCGGGACCTGAGAGTCACAGTGTTGAAGTTGCATCAAGCGCGAGTACGAGAAATGCAATAAGTTCTGTATGTGACGCATCATCCACCACCGACCAAGTGGAGGGCTCTTCCGCCTTCCGCAGCGGGAACGACGGCGGAACTTCTGGAACAAAGCTTGGGCCAGCCTCGCCAAGCACCGACTTCGGAGCTGCAGCTACAAGTGGGACGAATACAACAAGAGCCTCAAACTCTGTTTCAACATCCGCAGGGCAACATTCACAAGTAGCGGCTTCAGACGACTTGGTAGCTTCCAGAGCCTCCCAAATAACGCCAAGAACTAGTCCGTCATCATCTCAACATTCGCTAACCAACGCTTTGGACAGCTTGGAGAGCCACTACCGGCAGTCCGTGACCAAGAATGGGATGCGCGTCGCCTCCCTGAACGCGATTTCGGACACCTCCGTGACCGTGGGTGTGTGGATCGACGCGGGGTCGAGGTACGAGACTAAGGAGTCCAACGGCTCCGCGCACTTCCTCGAGCACATGACCTTCAAGGGCACCGCGAAGCGGACGCGACACCAGCTCGAGACGGAGATCGAAAACATGGGCGGCCACCTGAACGCGTACACCAGCCGGGAACAAACCGTGTACTACGCCAAGGTCTTTCCCTACGACCTGGACCACGCGCTGGACATTCTGAGTGACATTTATCCACAGAAAAAAACCCATCCACATCCAATTTGTCATGCAAAACGTGCTGAAAGTCCTGTGCTTGTCATGCAAAAAATGGATGGGGATGGGTTTTTTTCTTTGGATAACATTCTGGGCAAGTCGGCCATCCACCCGCGGTCGGTGGAGGACGAAAGGTCGGTGATAACGAGAGAGATGGAGGAAGTCGAGAAAAGTATCGAGGAAGTCATCTTTGACAGGCTGCACTTGGCCGCATTCAAGGACCACATGCTGGGGTATGATGTAAACTTATGCTAAATGGATTTGGATTGTAAGTGAAGCTACTGATGACATTTAAACTTGATTTGCTCGACGTTCTGTTTTTGCTGGCGCCTGTCGTGATTGATAGATTCGCGCTTTTACATGAGAGAAGATTTTTCGGAGTTTTCGCTCGTGTTTTAGCATAAGGCCGTGCAATGTATATTGATTGATAGATTGTTTTGACGAGGCCATCAGGATGCAATTGGAATTGCAGTCATCTGACTCTGAATTTATTTACATAAATGATTGGGCTGCCTGCAACAAGTAGAAGGCTCCGAGTGTTATATGAGTGACAATTTTATTTCGGAACAAGAAACACCCATATAACCACATCTTCAACAAACCTACAGCGCCACGATTCTCGGGCCCGTGGAGAACATTCACCACCTGCAGCAGAAACACCTGCGAAATTACGTGGACACCAACTACACCACCGACCGGATGGTGGTTGTCGCCTGCGGTGCGGTCGATCACGACGATCTTGTCGCGAACGTGGAAAGATATTTCGACGGCTTCCGCACCCATCCGACCGGGTTCACGCCCTACACCCGACCGCATTGGATGCTGGAGGAAGGAGAAGCGTCTTCGTCACCTAGTAATATGACGCCTTCATCCCGCAGTAACGGGGCGGTGGTGAATCATGACGAGCAAGTAGATGCTGGACAACATGCGGCAGCGGGGGCGGCCAGTAGCAACTCTACTACTTCTATTGGCGCAGGAGCTTCTGCTCCGAAAATTGAAAATCCTCAATTTTGTGGTGCCGAGCTCCGGTATGCGACGCCAGTCGGGGAGAAAACCTCTCTCAGCTCCCACGGCGCCGAGCCGCAGCCGCACCAGCTAGCCCACTTCGCGATCGCGTTCGAAGGTGTGCGCTGGACCTCGCCCGACGCCGTGCATTTCATGGTCCTGCAGTCCCTGCTCGGGGTCTTCAAGCGGGACGAGTCCCAGAAGCTGCTGCCCGGGGTGTTTTCTGCAAATCCGCTGATACGAAGCCTGACCGCGAGACTGGAGCAGCAGCTGCTGCACAAACTCTTCAGCGACGAATATGGCGTTCTCAAATGTTACATTCTGAACTGTTACATGAATTTGTCATGCAAAATGACCATGACCCGCCAGACGATGAAGCTGCTGCGCATGACAAATTCTCGGAGGGCTAAGCAGCACTATAATCCGCACGAAACCTGTAATGCAAGACGCGCAAGGTTCTCCCTCTCACCTGTGCTGGTCTTGCATTACAAATTCATGTAACAGTTGAGAATGTAACAGTTGAGAACGCCATAACGAAAACGGCGAGGAGATGCTGATCGCGAAGCCAGACTATGTTATACCGCCAGCGGCGGACAGTACCGCGCAGCAAGAAGAAGGTGGCTCTGGCTCGAGTAGTGGCGATTCTGTGGCTGGTTCATCATCTTCATCTAGTAGCGCGGCGGCGGTGGACCACGAGCAGGTTGCAGATGCTTCACAAACTGCCGGCACAGATGAAATATTCAACGAGCCGCCATACCACGAGAAGTTCGAAGGGATGAAGGTCAGCGACGCGCTGGAAAAAATGTCCGACCCCGAAATCGCACAATTGCAACACGACCGCTACGCGAAGCTCTTGCAGGAGGACCCCACCTTTCAGCCAGCGTTCTGCGAGCAATACAGTGCCTTCAACACGTGCTACCGGGTACTACTATAAATAATAGCTGTTTATAACAAGCACACCAAGATGAACTAGAAGCGGTGGCTTCATCATTCTCGTTGTAGGCTGTTTTTTGCCGCTGATTTTATGTTGTTTGAGTATAGAGCTGTTGCAGTTTTAGAGTTTCTTCATATCATTACAAGTTGTATCGTTTCGAAATTTCAAAATCAATCCACAGGACACCGGTCTTTTTGGCGTCCACGCGGCGTGTAGCCCGGACGCGGTGCGCACCGTGGTCGAGGAGATCATGTTTGGCATCAACCGCCTGTCGCACTTCGAGCAAGTCCCTACGGCCGAGCAGGAGCTCGCGAAGGCGAAACGAGAATTGAAAACCATCCTCTTCGCGGCACAGGATAACACGACCAACATCGCGGAAGAAATCGGCCGCCACCTGCTCGTCTACGGACGATATGCATCGCAAAAGTATTAATATGTCGCAGTGTGCATTGCAAACGCGATCGGGATCGCATTCTACAAAGCTTCTTGCAATTTGATGGATGAAAGATCGAAATTGTATATCCAGCTGGAGCGAGTACTTCTACTTCCAGTCCACTTTTTATGTACCAGTACCTCTTTCAGCTGCACTTGCATTTTTAGCGGCACAACTGTCATGCCATGTTGGTACCCTACAACTCGATTCAATCCTCAACACAAGTGCGACATGGTTTAGTACTTTTGCAGAGGATAGAGGAAGAATACCGCCCCAGGAGATGGACGAACGATTGTCAGCGATCAGTGTGGCGGACATTGAGCGTGTCGCAAAGACGTACTTGAAGGGGAAGGAAATCGCGGTGACAGCCTTGGGGCCCATCGAGGAAATGCCCACGCTGGAGGAGATCAAGCACCTGAACCAGATGGACGGGAATTCCAACAATTTTCAGGGGATGGTCAGCGCGAGTACATGAACTACTTCTCCGGCCTGACTCTGATCCTGAAGAAATGCATTCCGTCCTGTCTTGTGAAGCAGGATGAGTAAATTCATTTGAAGATTCATTGCTTTGTAATAAAGAGTGCCGCTATTTTACTTTCTGTGTAGGATGGTCGTGATTGACCACTTCTATCCCTTCGGTTCTTCGTAGTTCTTGGCGACTTCTTCGAAAATGAGCAAAGGCGAGCGCTTCTGCCGTTTAGAGGAATAAAGGATACACGATACACCAACATTCTCTCCCAAGTGCCAACAATAAGGCACGCGTGGGTAGGTGGCCAGGGTATTTGAAATGAAACATCAAGAGGGGAACAATTGAAAACAGCGACTACGACATACTATGAGTTACAACAAGGTCGAAAACGAAACAGCACCAACGTGGTGAACAGGAGGAAATAAAGATTATACGCAAAAACCAACGGCCTAGATCCATCAAGCGGTGTTCTATTTCATGCCCTCCACGACCTTCTCATGAAGGTGCATATCGTGAAAGCTATGTACTAGAAGTAGATATGGTGTTTTACCGTCTTCCAATATCTCTCCACCTTCCTACGTGCGTTGTTGACCTCCGCTTCGAAAGAATCTTCTGGACATTAAATCGTCTGGAGGCAGTGTCACTGCGCCAGCTCGTAAGAACAGCAGTTGCAGTGGAAACAACAAGAAGTAGATCACGAGGTTTTATGCCTTCTGTAATTGCACCTTTCGCGCCTGCTGCTCGTAGTCCATCGTATGTCCTCGTCTGCTTCTTCACGTTCTTCGTTTTCCTGTAGCAAGTCTATGGTTCTTGCATCTCTCGACGGTCACGGTCAACACAGCACGACGCTCATATCGCGACCTTCCGGAGACTGCGGCGACATGATGGGGTTGGGGGTAGTACTCGAAAATTATTACCCTGTACTGCTAGAGGAACAAGAGCCACCAGCAGAGACGAAAAACAACTGCCTCGTCCGCAGCCCTTCTCGACAACCAAGGAGCGTCTCCTCCCGGTCGCTCTTGGTCTTGCGCAAGAAGATGACTGGTACGTCCGGCGGTGAACAAGATGTTGACTCAGATTCTGTGCAGCAACTACAAAAAAGTGAAATAGCTGAAACCACCTCGTCCACGTGCGCACAAAGAAGGACGTTTTTACCGCCTTCTCCGATAGTATGCTGGTCGGGCAGCTCGAGTGGAGCAACTGCGAGCAGGTGGTTCGCTGCATCCGCGTCGCTGGAGAACTGCAGGAGAACGCGCCAGCGTCGAGCACCAGCACAGCGACAGCGACTGAACTACCGTTGGCCCGTATCTTGTAAGAGCACATGCACAGCATCAGTAGAAACCAAGCGATGCAGAAAGTCCTCGAGAAACGCAGCCCCGAGGCCGCATCAAATGGAGCGAGATAAACTACAACGTACCAGTTTCAGTCACGGTGAAAAGAACAAAAAAGCAGACTTCTCGAACAAGTGTCGCACAAGGATAAGAAGGATGAAAACTACGCAGGTTGACGACGAGGTGGAGCTACATCAACCCCGGGCAATAAAACGAAAACACATTCGAGGAGCAGCCTTGACGTCGCTCCTCTCGACATTAACATTGTATTTGACCGCAAGTACTAGTCCGAACTTGTTTGTCACCGCCCTGTATGGACCGGTGTGCGAGCGGTCGGAAATCCTTGCTACTATTAAGAATCCGAACAACAACCTGGAAGCGCCGACGTGTGTGTCCCAGTGCTCGGCCTCCAGCAGCTACGCCTGCCCCGCCACCAGCGGCGCGATGGCGGTCAGCGCGAAGCCGGTGTGTGCTTTGCAGGGTGCGGATCTCGTCTCATTTTTCTGCGTTTTGGCGTGCAACGTGGACGCGGATTGCCCGTCGAGTGGATCGTGCAGGAGCATTGCGAGAGGTATTTTTGTATTGGATGGTGTATCTTCACTGATAGTATGGCTGCACAAGCTCAACAAGCAACCACCTTTTTCCTACCTAGGATGTTGTACTAGGTACTGTAGTCTTGTTGATTTGAGATTCACTGCATCTAAAAAATTGCATGGACATCATGACACCACGCACGCACAGGGTAGATGCCGTGCCTCTTGATATTCTTTTGGTTTCTAAATTTGACATAAATCAATCTTCAATGTCACCAGCCCCGGCACAAAGCAAGTTGCTCGGCATTTGCGTCACCCCGGGATCAGGATATCAAAACGATAATGTTAAAAATGAGGGCGGCTTCTACAATTGCCATGATCGGCCGTGTCGTGCATGATAGAGATAGATCAGACGTAACAACACGATGACAGCTCAAACAACCTCCTCCATTTTTGCGGTTGAAGAAAGAAAAAAGCTTTCAATTGATGCACGACTAGCACTGGTGAGGTTGAAAGAACATATTTTCGTGCGCGAACGAAATCACGGAAAATCGTGATCTTCGATGTATCTTTTTCTGCCCTCGTTGTGTTGCAGAGAGCACTTCTGCTGCAAGTGGTAGAAGGGATGGCCCCCGGCCCTCACTTCTTGGCTTTCATAAAAAAGATTCCAGTACCACCAAGGTCGACGCTGGCCCCGGGTTCCCTCCGGTCCCTGGCCAAGAAGCGGTGTGGCGGAACATTGGTATAAATCGGTTTTTCTTGTTTTCGTCACTTAGTACCTACGGGACCAAATAGCACATGCAAGCTTTTCAAGTACAACTACAAGCTGTAGCATTGACATTGTATCTCGTTCCCGCTCTGCTTCACGACTTAAGTACTGATTTTCAATTTTTCATCACAGGCCCTCCCACGAGCCCCGCTTCATCCTCCGGCACCTATCCCAGAAAAAATCACCATCATCCAATTTGCGAATGAATATAAAAACACATCCTTACAATACAGCTATTGTAAAAAAGATAGCAAAACTATGTGTGTTGTGCATGACAAACTCAGCTTGTTGATGGTGATTTTAATCAGCAGGATACTCAATCCTCCAACTCCAATGCCAATGACGCGCTGCAGCTGCTGGCCCGGACCTACAGCATTCCGGCGACCGAGCCAGCGCTCGTCACAGTTCAGAAAGCGCTGAACGGAGACGCCTCCGCGAGTGTCCCTGGTGGTGGTGCAGGATGGAGTAGCAGCACGGGAAACATGGTGCCCTCGATGGACGGAAATTGGCTCGACGACACACTGCATGACGTGAAGTACTTACTCAAGAAATTTTTGGTTTGTTCCATGTAGTTGTAGTTTTGGTGCGTCCACCGCCTGGACTAAGGGAAGTAGCAGAAGACTCAACTACATCGGGATGTTGATGAGCAGCAAGTTATTGCAAAATTATTATATACGCAAGGTATTTCGAGAAGCACGTTCTTGACGGGGATTTGATATCCAAAGAGCTGTATCCAATAGACATACGTCTGGGTCTGGAAGAGTGCAATTTTTGTCATGCACATTCATTGTGCGTGAGCGTGACCCACAATGGCCGTGATGTGTGCCCCGGCATCACAGGTTTTGCGAGAGGGGGCTTTTTCATATCTATGCCGAATGAAAAATGCCCCCTAAGCGTAGCAAAATAAACTGGACTCCTCAGACTCAGAGGCTGCTCATGCAATACTTACAGATCGTCGTAAAGTTGATGCTCTATGCGTTGAGGTGTGGAAAAGCTCATGCAGTAGACGAGTACTGGATTGTTATTTTCTTTTTCAATTTCAATCCAACGGCAGCATGACTAAAACTCAAACTTTGCACCCTTCCAAACCCAGACCTATTCACAAGTCATAAGCCCCATGACACCTACTGGAACATCACCCATCTGCACACGGGGGCGTACGCCATTCTTCACGGGCTCTCGCTTTTCTTCCTCTTCTATTGCCTCGTTGGTATTGAAATGTGAATCGATCTAAAGAAAAATCAAGTCGATTGTGATATGCATCGTGTTGTAATATCCTGTCAGTGTTTGTGCAGACCGCAAAATAAAAAGCGCCGATGTATTCGCCGGAGGGGCGTGTTCTTAACAGTAAACTCAAAACCCAATTATTGGCAGGTATGTGTCTGAAGCACTACGTGGCAAAGGCCCAGGGCTACGATCTCATTCCGCACAAGGAATTCTGGGCATCGTATCCCACACTGGTCGCCGACGGCGGGCACATTGTGAAAAATTTCGTCGTGCAGGAGGTTTTCCAGCGAGGAAAAGGCGCAGGAGGGTCGTATGGACCTCGTTATCATGTGTGACAGTGCTCTGAATATTCAAATTCTTATTTCGGTTTTTTCAACATCTGCATCTCCCGGCCCCGGCGCACAAGAACAAATAAAACGAAAGAGCAAAGAAGTTTTCTGTCATGCTCCAACTCCCCCTCGAAGGAGCATTGTGAAGCCGACAAGAGGTGAATTTCATGGCTGCAGTTGTCACACATGATACCAAAATGACAGAATACAACAACTTCGACTACAATTACCGTGGACCGACCGGCGTAGGAGCTGGTGGCGGGAGTGACCAAGCCGGGTTCGGCACGGGCATGCTGTAAGTAGTGGAACAGGAGTCTACCGACGGATATAGCGCTGGGCTGTGAAACGGGATCAGCATCCGCAGTGGCGGCCGAAACCCGGCCTCGTGCAAGCATTTCCCCGGTCCATGAAAGATTCCGGATTTTGGGTGCGTAGACCGAAAGAGCTACTGGACGTGGAAGTGGAAATCGATGCTGCGATAGGAGGAAGTACTACAAATGAGCAGCAAAAATGGAAATGTCAGTCTCCGGGTGCTGTGAAAAGAGAAAGCACAAACCGAGCTGCCTGAGTAGTAGAGTATTAAGTTCCAAGAAAAATAATCAGTAGAAGCGAGCATATTAATACAACTGATGAAGCTCTGCGACGTCAAGCAGAAGGTGCGAAGGTCGTCGTGTGGCGACGTTGTTGAGCGCCGTGTTGACTTCAGCATATTTATCTCTATGCACGGACTTTCACACTGGCCCAGAGACAGCTTCTTGGCTTGCTCGGTTTCGAGAAGTTCTACCTAGTCCAATATCTGAGATCGGTATAGAAGTAAGTATGTGATGCGCCGTCTGTCTCGTCGAAGGTCCATGTGGTCTCGTCGAAAGGTTACGTTGTATCGGTTTTCCGTTCGTTTTTCTGGAAATCGTCGTCCACCCATTTGGTTTTTTTACTTACTATGCAACCTAGCAGCTTCGCTCCTTTCATCGTCTTCGTCATCGTCCACCACCAGCACTTTGCCCTTGTAGTTCTCGCCTGCACCACCTGCACCTGCAGTGACCTGCGCGTCGTGTGCTGCTACGCCGCTTTTCGTTTTTCCCCGCCTTTCGTCGGGCACCTGTCTTTACATTCAATTACTTTTTGAAAAAATACCACGCACAGGAGGAGCCCCCGACTGCGACTTTCAGCACCAGTGTTTCAAGTAGAAGAACAACAAGTGCCGCCATTTGCTATAGTTTGCTGCTCTATTTTCCTCGGCAGGTACGTAGCAACAAAGAGGGGATACACCCTTGCCCCATAGATAGTTCATCCTTTTCGCACCACCCAATTATGATCATCCCAGCATAGCTGCAAACATGTCGATTTTTGTAGAGTCTACATTTTGATATCTTCATTCCATTGCCACTCAAAGTCGTATTATCGTCCCTCCTGCTGCCCTTTCTAGAAGAAATTATATCTTCATTCATTTTTTCTCAAAGCATATTGAGGACGTTCGGTGGCAAAGATATTTTGACCTGAACAGGATGCCCAATCCATCATCGACCAAGCCAAAGAGAAATAAATCTTTCACCGCTGCTGCAAACATGAGTGAACAGCCCAAGAAGGAGGAAAAACGTCACGCCAGTCTGCGGAACGAGCAGCAGCTCTCGCAGCACCTCGTCGCGGAGAAGAACCAGCAGGGCAACGATGGCATCCCACAAGCAGTCGGCAGAGCACCCACGCTGCATTTATCCACGTAGGGAAAATCTAGATCACCTGCATGCGAATCACTGTCAATTTGTAATGCCAATGCGCAAGAAGTAGAGAAGAGCTATGAAGTTAGAGCAACAGGCTGGCTAAAGAATATATAGGCTCTTCGTCTTCATCATGCATGCGTTACAAATTGAAAGTGGTGCTGGTAAGGATGACAAAAATTTTCCATCGGATACCGAAGCCAAAGAAGTGAATCAAGCAGCACGCGAACATCCGGGAGCTTTCCTGCGTCTGCGATAGCAGGTCCAGGTTCAGGGGAAAATAGCAAAAAAGAAGAACCCTCCGGTCCTCCCACTTCTACAGCGCGCGCGGGTTCCACAGTAAGAAGCAGAAACTGTTCATCTCGGCAGGACGAGACTGCCCTCCACAAGACTTCAACGAGGGTGGGAGTGGAAAGTGGACGCCAGGGACGTGCAGATAATGCGAAAGGTTCAGCAGTCCGAGGAGCTGGAGCTCCTCGCCCCGCTTCCTCGGAAGCAGATGCCCTGCTGGGAAAAACAGAAGTGGACCATCACGACACCAACGAGGGTAGTTTATTTCATGACCAACAAGAGCACGACCACAATTCTGTCGCAAAAATGGTTGAAATACTGGAGCAGCAGCTGCAGTGCGGGCCGCATGCCGTGGAAAGACCCAGAGCGTCGCGGTCTTCGGAGGACGCGCCGGTACCGGTAGGAGATGTTGATAAGCTACGGCATGACGTTCCTCCGCAATTCGCTGCGTCAAAAGTTTTGGAGTACGAAAGGCAAACTTCCGAACTCGACGAGGAGGTCGAGGAGGAAGAAGGTATTCCTTCAGAGCCAATTCGTGCTCTCGTGACAGTTGTGTCGGCGGCTCCGGACGGGGAACAAGACGAGGAGGAAGAAGTAGAGCAGGATGAACCACACGAAAGTCCTTGTTCTAGTGTCAGTGTTACATCACCTGATGAAAACGATGATACTGAACCGAATCCGAAACCCACCCTCGTCCGTCTCCACGATCGGCGGCGCAAGAGCGATCTGTTCGGCGACAATGATGATCCACAACGGCGCCCAAAAAAACGAACGCTGGAAGAGCTGGCGGAGCCGTGCTTTGCGTTTGTCACCGAACGGCTTTACCCGTTTCTGGAGCGGGTCTTGCTCAAAAAAGGCAAAATGATTCCGCAAGTTGGAGGGGAAGACGGAGTAGAAGGATGCATTCTATTGGGTGAAGAAATCAACAAGACTCGGGGCGGACGGAGGGGGAGACGCGGAAAAAGACGATACTCGGCCAAGTCGGGGATTACGAAATGAGAGTGAACAAGAACAAAGACAAAGCGATTGTCGTTTTACAAAAATCCTAAGGATTGATTTCTCCTCCTTCGACGCTCACGTGAACACATAGATAATGCAGCATTCGAGCAGCTGTCCGACAACAAGTACAGAAGCATCTCGAGGTCATATGTATTATCCGTTCCTGATATTCATCCTTTCCCTGTATCAATTGCAATCTGTCGAAGCCGAGCAACGAACTGGAATTAGAAACCCAATTTGTATAAAAATAGACAAGCCCCGCCACCACCACCAGTACTTGTACCAGTAGCGAAAGCTGCTTATCCTCGTGTTTGTACCTCTTTTCTCAGTGTCCTCAAGCATTTACATAAAAACAAAAACGCTCAAAGAGCGTATGCTTTCTACACAACTCATATCTGGAGAAGATCCTTTATTTGAAATAAAAGTATAACTACCGTGGAAGAATTAGTCATTTTTTGTGTGCCAGCAATCTTTCGATCTCGTACAGTCAAAAAATAAATGCACCCGTAGTTGTTCTTTATTTTCGTTTCGTGCGCTCGTTGAGTTTTTTGTGGTACAGATAATTCCTTCTTGCGTACGCTTTGATTCATAGTAATGGAAGAACAAGTTCGTAGTAGTCGAAAAAAAGCAAAAACTTTGCGTTGACACGAGCTCTATGGATCGGATTCCGCTGTTCTCGCACCGTACTTCGCCTTTTTGTCGTGGAATGTGACTTAAGAACGGTATTGAGCAGTCGGCACGCGTCGTGATATTGAGTTCGAGAGGACTTCGTTGTGCTGCTGGAGAGGGATGTTTAATTCTTGTGCTCGAGATGAAGAAGTGACGCTAGTCGTGACGAATAATTTGTCCGGAGTCGAAAGAAAAACGCCATCAGTGGTCTCAGTCTCCTGATGTGAGTCTGAGGCGGAGAAGGGTATGACGAGTACTTGCTGATTTATTCGTGGCAGTTTGCAGCTAGTGCTTCAACCTTCATATCGTCGTCTGAGGGGGAGGATCGGCCCAAGGCCATGTTGTGGCTAGCTTTCAAAAAGGTAGAAAGATAAAAGCAAAACATCAAGACTCAAGATTGAGCACTGCTTACGACTTCTTCTGCGAGAAGAATGATTTTGGTGCGTGTGATGTAGGGTGAACAAACGTAAACACTTAAAGCCTTACTCACAGTACTTAAGAACGACCACGAGCTCCTCTTGGCAAAATGCCGTGGGGCTACTACCACAAGCAGGCGGTGAAAGAGGAAAACCGCGAGAAGCTCGCGGAATACATCACCTCAACGCGACAGCAGTGCTCTCGGATCAACGGCGATATCACCTACTACCGAACTTCGCAAAGACTGGAGAACGACAAAAGTCGTATTTTTTGTTGCGTTTGTGATGTTGAAGTGTTTTCGTCGCAGTTTTGTTTGCATCCTGTCTGGTACCTGAGAAAGCAATGAATATGAATCCGAGCTGAAGAACACATTGAAAATGAAGCTGACTCGTCTCAACACAGATCTCCCGCGCACCTTAGCCAAGGCCACGGATGTTCCCAGAGACCTGTATGATCCAGTGATGAAATAGATTACCATCACATGCGCATGACAGCAAGTCCCGCCTCCACATGGATGTGCATGATCAATCCATGCGTAGTCGTTCTAGTCTGTAGTCGTAGTTCTGGCAAAGTAGCATTACACGTGACGCAGACGAGCCGGAGCCATTTTCGCAGTTTTTGTATGTCAAGGTGATGGTGATGATAATCTTGCCTTCACGACAGGATACCTGCCGGCCCGATTTGAGCGTCGGCGAGATTCGAGAAATGGGACGCCAACTTTCACACTTCGAGAAGCTAAAAAAATATTGCTTCAAACCATCATAAAATGGATCCGCTTGTTTTATGCTCTGCTTTATCACCTCGTCTACCCCATATTGTAAACAAACAGTCAGTTCTTCTTTTGTATCGCTTCGCTTTCAACATCAACATCAGAGGTCGTTGATGCGCCAGACGTACTTCTCGTATCAACTTTTCTTGACCTTCTTGTTTCTCTTTCTGCAGCTAGAACGTACACCGCAAGTGGTCCTCAGCGAGTATTAACTACACCGGTTCTTCGCGATCGCGTCCTCGTTCTTGTGCTCATCTGGCTCTTCTTTGCTTCATCTTAAACATAAGCCCCTTTTCGCAGTTGAGCTTTGCTTTCACAAAATGAATATGAATTCGAATCTGGTCGTGAATCGCTGCACGATATTGATACGACGCAGGAAGAAATAATGCAAAACTTGGCTACGGGCACGGGTACGGGCACGGTGTCGAAGTCGTGATTGGTGGTCGTGACTTCCCCGCGGTACCTTCTGTGCTTGTTTCCACACGGAAAAGTTGTGTCTGTTGAACATCGAAGCTTCGTACGGTTACGACGGCGGAAAAAAGAACGCAGCTTACATTTCTGCGTCGGGCATGCATCGCTTTTTGTTTTTTTTTTAGCCGAGGAATTTCTTTTTGATTTTGATGAGTCGCAGCTTGTCTGAGGAAGGATCTCCACGCATGCAACCTCCTTTATTTCATCGTACGCGCATACGATCACCCAGCTGTTAAAGTTCAACTTCAGGATGAGGATCTGTTTGTTAGAAATGTGGATGGTGGTGGACAACAAAGAACACAAATGAAAAGTGTAGTGTGCCGCTGCATTGTCGAGAGTGACGTATTACTACGCTCTCATCGGTGATTGTTTATGTTTTCTTCGTCTTCGTGTAGCAAAAGCAAAACTCCGCTTTGTATGAACTCTGCTAAAAGTCGTGAAGTGCAGTCAAGTGGTACAACACTGTAGAACGGAAATCGAAAAACAGGCGGGCGGCAGCAGCTGAGGCACGATAGCAAAATAAAAACTATGTAGAGGTCTTAGTTTATTCGAAGCTCGTACTAGTCGTCTACTAACTTCTAGATCTGATGCTATTCTAACCCCCGCCCAGCAACCAGAAACACAAGATGTGGCTTTCGCATCCGCAGCAACCACTTGTCCTCGCGGTCCACGAGGGTGTCATCGCGGTTTACTCCACAACCGCCGGGCTCGAGCTGACTCGCATCGATGTCGGCCCGGAGGTGGTGCGCGCGGCCTGGCACCCCCGGTTGCCGGCGTTTTTGGTGGTGACCACGGGGAGCTTTTCGCTCTACGTCGCGGTTCTTCTTGCCGCTGGGAGTGAGGATGGAAGTGGTCGTGATGTTGTCGGCAGAAACCGCAATCATGACAACGAAGAGGACTACGAAGAAGACTGCTCTCACGAAACAAGCCTGATAATCAATCCTCCGCTACATTTCGTCCTGCAGCAGAACGTGCCTCACGGGCTGTTGCGCGACCGAATTCTGAACGCGTTTTTCGGAGTGCAAAGCCGAGTTTGCCTGTTGCACACCGCAGGGACGGTGGTGCCGCATTTGCAGGACAGCTTGGAAGCCGAGGAGGCACAGCTGGATGGCATTTATTCTTCAAGTAGCGCTTTTATTGCGCCAGGGTCTTTCGAACAAAAAAGCACAGCAGCCTCTTCGTCTTCCAGCACCAGAGACACAATTTTCTGCAGCTTTTGGGACGTGCACATCACTTACATGCCCGGCGGAGGTGCTGGAGGTGGTTATGGCTATGGGGCATTAGGGAGTGATGGTGGGGTGTGTTCTCCGCTTCTTTCCTTCCTCCTCCAAGTCGCGACCGAAGGTAGCAAAGTGCCTTTTATGCCGAATAGTGTTGGGATTAGCACAGGAGCGGAGAATGAGGAACAGCTAGACGACACTAAGAATGTTTCTTCGGCCACCACGGGTCCTGAACAAAACTTCGGTCGTCGATTTTACAAAACACAGTTTTCCGTTGCCGAAATTTGGCAGGACGTCTTCACGAATGCGGAGGTTTGTGCGGACGTGGTGGCCGAGGCGGCAGTGCGCAGAAAAGCCCGAGAGGAAAAGGACTACTACAGTATTCAATACTACAGGACTCGAAAAATGGCAATGACCCAGAAGATGAACAAAGCTGTTCCTACAGGAAGGTCTTCTGCATCGGCAGCAGAGGACCCCGACGCGCTCGAAAGCAAGATAGCAACCGACACCCTGGATGCCTGGGATGCGCATGTGGAATGTCTGCGAGGACTACATAGGAAACCACACCACGGCGACGAGACTACATATGATGCTGCTACTCGTTCCTCATCACAGCCAAGCTTTTTGTCGGCCGCAACAAAAGCAAAATCCCCCGGTTGTTCTGGTGTCGTTCCAGAGACATCACCAAGACTCCCTCTAGATTTCGGCAGCGAGGCTTACTACGCAAGGCTTCTGGAATCAAGTCCGGACGTCAGGTTCTTTGTCACGAGGAAGCGGGAAAAAACACTCAAGGAGCAGTACGCCAGTCGCGGTCAAGTCAGTCCCTGCGAGCGGTTCCTGGCGTCTTTTGCCGAAAGGCGCGTGCGTGTTTTCTGTTCTGGCGTTCTTGACGGACTACACGACGGAGCAGACGTTGACTTGATGGGTACACAAGAGAACGCTTTTACCGGACTCGAACAACATCTCCCGAACAGAGGAACTGTAGGTCGTGCACGACCAGGGGCGGACGAGAACAGAGACGGAGCAGTTCTGTTCGAGACACCTCCTTCGCGAACGCAAAAGACGAGGGGAGTGTTGCCTTCCTTACGCCAAACGCTTTGGCAGGGGCCGCGTACCAGCCGTCCTCAGAGAACTTCTGCGATGCGCAGATTGGACGAGATGAACGGGGACTTGGGCTGTAGGAGTTCGAGTTCCAAAAAAGAAAGCGTTAGTAGAAGTGGCGGCCGCGATCATTTGATTTCCAGCAACGCTAGTGTAGTCCTATTCAACACCGACACCCCGTTGGTTGAGCGCGACTTTTCAGCCGCGACAAGCTCCCGCAAAGTGAGCTCTTCCTACTGCACGCTCGCTTTCCCTGACCGGGTGAGGTCGGTTTGTTGGGTTCTCGAGAACAATTGTGCTGCTACATCTCCTTCTACACCGCGAGCGGCGTTTCTGGTGCTCGAGGCGTCTGGACGGGTATCCATTTGGCGGGAAGCGTGTCGGGGGCAGCCAGTCGGGTTCCGAATGGTGTCCCGAATCGATGTTGGGATGAACCTAAACGTCTCCGCCGCGCGCAGTACTGCACAAGATGCTGAGGCAGATGGAAGGAACGAACTTTTCCACGTGCAGCCAGTCTTTCCTTTGGCTGCCGGCGGGATAAGGGACCAGGCCCAGCAGATAGCTTCACCTCTGGAAAGTGTAGTGGAGAACAGAATATTTGAACTTCTGCAGGAAAGCAGTCGAGGCGCTTCAACCAGTAGAGCCGCGCGACTGCTACCGACGGGATCCAATACTTTCCCGCTACAAAGTCACGGACATTATTGCGGCGACAAAAGAGTAGGCGAGGACTTTGGTGGTCAACATCTCGATGAGTTGACGCCAGATGTTTCAAACGTGAGCATCGCAACATCTTCTTCGGGGGGCACTGCATCTACCGGCGATTCCTCCTTTCCGTTCGTCGCTCTGACCACCCAGGGTTTGGTGCTGTGCAACGCGCCGCTGGAACAGGGGCAGCTGCACACGTGCATGTCAGCTCCGCTGGTCGCACTTCTCGAAAACACGGCACACTTTCACGCCTGGTACTGTTTCAGTGCTGTTGAAGTCGTGCAGGATGAAACCGCCACACAGACGTCGGCAACGCTGCAAAGGCAAGCAGACGCGAAATTATACGCCGGTACCAGAATTACAACAACATCAAAACTCTTTCACTTCACCGCCCTCACTGCACACGGTGACCTGGTCCGGTTCGGTAGCGACGGAAGAAAACTGTGGGGCCGGGACGTACGGGCGAAAAGAAATTTGAAGTTTTTGGAAGCAGGAAACAACGCGAGCGTGGATGCTTGGGGTGGATCATCTTTGGCAGCTGCTGTTAGCTCGTCCACTGCAGCGGATATTAGCGCAGCGTCTGGCGCAAAACATCAAACATTATCGGCCACGCGAGGATCTCCAACGAGGAAAAAAGACCGGGCGTTCTTCGATGAGGCCCGACCGAGGTTGTTGGAGGAGGTCTTTTTGAAGACGCAACAAGGTTCTTGCGCGGTACCTCTACCTGCTTCGAAAGTAGTCTCCCAGCTCCTGATGCATCCGACTGTCGGCTACGCGGCTACGTTGACAAGCGGCACAGTGCGCATTTACCAGCCATTTTCCTCATCATCATCTTCTGCGCGTGCTTCTCACGGGACGAGCAGTGGCGTACCAGGAAAAGCTCCTGCAAATACTGCATCGTTAGCCACACCACCGGCAAATGCAAACAGCGCACCGACAGTAGTAAGATCCAAAATTCTTTCCCACGGGGTGCTAGGCGGCGGTCACGACTCCATTCGGTGTCTCGCCTGGGACACAACAAACACGAGGAATTACCCGCCCCTGTTGCTCGGTGTGACCACGACCTCGGTGTTGGTAAGCGCCAGAATCACGTCACTGGACCAAATCGGATTCAAACCTGTTCTGGTTCGCGGGGGAGGGGGCGGTAGTTTGAACACTTCTGCGCAAGTACCTGCCTCAACAACAACGTCAACATTATCGTCCTCTCAAAGTAGAACAGCTTCAAAAGCAACCACAAAAGACCAGTTGTCTTCATCTCGTCGCGCACCTGCTGCTGCGCCTCTCGTCGGCATGGTTACGAGGACTTCTTCATCTTACAACCGTGATGACGCAGGAGCCTCGACGTCCACATCACAGCAAGGCGCGACTTCGCAGGTCAAGAATGTTGAGGCCGTGGTGGTGAAGTTGTGCTTCACACTGGTGCTCTATCACGACAAGACACTCGACGTCGGGCAGTTCTCGATCAAAAATCGCGATGGGATGTTCACGGTGTTCTGGCAGGCGAGGCACACACTGAGACTGAATGTCATGAACGCAGCGAATTATAGTGCGCTTTCAGTATCGGGGCCGGGGGCGGCACCCGCACGACCCGCAGCGATGTCGCAGCAACAAATTTGCGTGCGGAAGAGACTGGACTTCATGCCAGATGCACTCGGTGCGGAAGTGCTTGTGGCTAACAATTATAGTGGCGAAATTACAGGAGCGGGCGAAGCAGAGTCAGAACCTCCAAGGGAAACCGGTGCGGCTTTCCCGTCGATTCAAACCGGCAACATCCGAACTGGAGAGATGGGAGTGCTCAAGGGACTCGGATTTGCAAAAACCTCCACGCATCGCGCTGTCATCGCCGCGCATAAAGACAAACTCAACGACCAACAACTTCGCCACCAGGGAGGACCAAAAATCCTTGCCATCGACCTTGTAGACGACTACCTCGGTGTGCTGTGGAGCTCCGCTGAGGTTGCAATTTATTTCTGCGGTAGCGTCACGGGATCGGGACGAGACGCAACGGAAAACAGTGCAGCTGGTCTCGATCACCAACAAAAAGTATCTGGAGCAGCACATCAGACGCGGTCAAACACGAAAAATAACACTAAAAGAAAACCGCGGGAGAAGTCCTCCTCCTCGTTCCGGTTGCTTTGCAAAATCGTTCTCAAAAACGTGCCCAACCTGCAGCGCGACAAGGCGGCTGACTCAACGACGACCTTCCGTGCCTGGAACGCGCAAGGGCCGGTGAATGATTTAGCCCAGGGGCTGTATCAGCAATCGAATAACCTCACGAAGTCCATTCTGGACCACGTAAAGCAACCACCGAATCTACTGCATGCCGCGACCGCGTCTGCCGGAAATACGAGCAGGAGCTTCCACCGTGGTTCACAAGACGAGAAGACGCAAACTGAAACTTCACTCTTCGCATCGTCAGGTGCAAGAACAGGAAATGCAAAAATCGAAGTAAAACTACAGGCGTCCGACTTCCTCACCTACGGTTTTTTCGAGTTCCAGCGCAACACCAGTACCGGCGACGGCCTGGTAGCGCTCGCCTTCGGTTTCGGCGACTCCGGTTTGTATGGTCCGAACCTGTTCGCCAGAAGTCGATCGCAGGTCGCCGGCGAATCTTTTGTCACCGCCCAGGTCCTCTCGGTTGCCCCGACGACGGAGGCGGTGTGTTTTGGGCCAAGCAATTCCGGCACTTTGCTCGTCATGGACAACAGCGACCTGCGGTCTCCGCAAGTCTGCCTCCAGGTGATACCGTTTCCGTCGGCCATAGCGAACGCGCTGCACTCCTCGACGGCACTGAATCTGTACCACCCGGACGCGCTTCACTTTTTGATCACGCACGCCAACTTCTTTCCGGACAAAATGGTCCACACGGTACTGCGAAAATTGCGGGAGGGCTTGAAAACAGCGAACTGGGAGGTGCTGGCCGATATTGTTGTGGATAACGATATCTACGAGGAACACGAGCAACTCGGTCACCGAGATGAAATAACTGGTACTCCGTCGCAATTCGTATCAGCGCCCGCGACTGTCGCGACGACCAGTGTGGTCACTGCTAATCCCAAAGCCGACTGCGCAGAAGATTTTTGGAACGATCGCGACAGCGATAGCGATGCGGATGAAATGGAGAAGCTTACTGCTGCTTCTACCAATCTCGATGTTCTTACCTCTTCAGAACCTAAAACCGCGCGGCCTTCAGCTGGCGCAACAACTCCTATTTCAACTGCAGTAGCTCCTGTGTCCTTCTGTTCCTCCACGTGGGACGCTGCTTCTTGGCGATTACCCGAGGTGGAATTGAAGGAAATCGTGGAACTTTTACACCACAAGCGCATTCCTTTTGTGGATTCCGCGGAGCAAAGGGTGCTAATCCAGATGCTCAACAGCTTCACGTCAACGGGAGCATCAAAACCAGCGATAATTCCCTCGAATCCGCTTGCCTCGCTAAAGGTTGACTTTCCCGGGCAGAAGTTCCTTCGCGCTTGGTACTTTCACCGCGGATTGAATCAAGTTTATTCCGCAGCGACAGGGACTTCTACGACTACTGGAACCTCCACTACAAGCAGTTCGACCAGCACGACCAGAGAAAACTACAGCGCTCTTTCCTCATCGTCCTCCTTCCCAATGCTGACAACTTGTGCTGCCGCCAGCCTGTCCACCGAAGACATTGTGTGGGCGTTGCACAGCAAGGACCAAAGTGCGCTGTGTGATTTGATGCTTTTCGAACTGGAGAAACAAACGGAACATGCTGCCAACATAGCAAACCAGCCGACCACGTTCGCTCTGGAAGGGGAGGAGACGAAAATTTCGGGGGAACAGATTTGGAGAGCCTTCGAATCCGTTTCCAAGCTCGGGTTTTGGCTGACCAACAAGACGCAAATCACCCGCTGTCTGGAGGCGCTTCCGAAGAAAATTCTGCAGCTGCAGAAAGACGTCCCCCTGCAGGACCGGAACCCGGAGGCGGTGGCCTTGTGGTACGCCGCGTTGGGGCGGCACAGCTTGCTGGCCGCCTTGTACAAAGCGTCGAAACAGGAGGCCATTGCAGGCTTTATCTCCCAACTGGCAGCGAATGTAGGAGGTGGAGGGAGTTTGCGGAAGAACCAAGTACAACTTACAGGAACAATGCAGGGAGCGGCTCGTCATCATGCAGGAACAAGTGGAACTACTTCTACTACAGGCATCGAGCAGCAGGATAATTCTCAGCAGACACAGGATCAGGAGCAACAGCAGCAGTCGCAAGCCGTGAAGACCAAAGCGATCAAAAATGCGTACGAGTTGATCCGGCAGAAGCGGTACATGCTGGCGGCGACGTTTTTTCTCTTGGCGGACCGCTGGCGCGACGCGGTAGACGTTGTAGTGCGGTACATGAGCGACTTTGGCCTCGCTTTACTCCTTGCCCGGCTCGCGCCCCTCGACGCTGTGGAGATCGATCCGACGAGTGGGTTTGGAGCGGAGGAGAAGAAGCGGGTGGAGGAGGTAATCAGGGTGGCGGAAGGTGGCGGGGCGAATTTCGAAGAAGATGGAGATGGTATAAGTGCTGTCTTGTTCCTGATCCTGCTATTCCCTGACAATCTTTTCTACTTGCATTGTTCTTGGAGACGGTTGAATGCATGGGTGTCATGCCACCTCCTGGAGGAGCAAAATGAAATCCAATACAGAACTACGATGCAACAAAAAGAAGAATAACAAAATAAACTAACATCAGCCTTCGCTGCCGGCTCCCCGGAACTACCGGTAGCAGTATCAGCCACTGTAGCTGCTAGCTCCATGAAGATTGACCACGACTTCGAGCAGACTGCAACAATAAAAGTCCCCCCGCTCGTGTACCACGTTGCCATGGACGAGCTTTTTCCTCTTGCGCAGAGCCGGGGGGACGTCTGGCTTTCTAGTCTAGCGTTGTGGCACGCGGGGAAGTGTGTGGACGCCGCGGCCGTGCTGTCAGGAAGAGCAGGCGTAAGAGCGTCGTCGTCGACCAAAGGAAGTGCGATTGTTCCGGCTGTCGAGTCGTCGTCCGGCGATGCACCGGCTTCGGCGCAGTCGGGCGGAACCACGTCAGGAGAGATGACGAACGCATCCCCTTTCGCAGCTTCGTCCTTCTCTCCTGACATGATCTCCTACAACAACCACGAGAATTCATCATCCCAGCTGCCACCAACGTCCGGGCAAGCGACTTTCCTAGTCGGTCTGCGCCCGGGCGCCCGGGACGAGCTGATCACCGGCCACTTCCACGATTTCCTCGTCGAATTACTGCGATGCGACATGAAAATCGAATTCTCGGCGCATATAGCAGGCGCGGAACAAACGTCGAATACGTCTACTTCCAGCACTGCTTTATTTCAAAATAGTGCAACCACGTCAGCTACACCTACAGGGGTAGCAACCGCCAGCGGAGCGAAGATTTCCAAGCCGCGTCTCTCTCGCCAATGGTCGTCCGTTTCGAGCTCCCGGCAGAGTTCGAAAGAACAGTTCTCCTCTGGCGCAGAAGGGACGTCAACCACTATGGGCATCGCAGCCGAGGATGAGATATCACATTACGATCCAGAACATCAAGCAAAAGTTGATGTAGATCAAGTGAGTAACTCCATCACAGAACTGGGGCTAACGTACCTCCAGCGCCGGCACCCCGTGCTCGCTTACCTTTCCGGCGATCGCTCCGTGCCGGTTATCCGGGCACTCTTACCATTGTTTCTCGGCATGGGCAGGAGTTTTGAAGAGTTTACCGAACAGCTTCCGACCCCGCACTTATCCTACGCCGAGAAGCACCAGCTGTGGGTAACCAGTGCTTCTTCCGGCGGTAGGAATAACGGCGGCCAGAGGACTACAGAAATATCATCCCGCAAGGGAGGTGGACCGAAAAACAGCATGATCAGTGGTCTGAATGCCGCGAGTGCGGAGAATTTCGTGCTCGAGACTCTATCCTTCTGCGTGCGAAACAACGCAACGAGCTTGGCGCCCGGCGTGGACTTTCCGTGCCGCGTGTTGAAAGCGGCGCTCCCCCACTGCGGATCGTTGAAGTTGCAGACCCTTGTTGCTGCAGTGCTGGCGCTGTACGAACTTACTACCGGCAGCGGATTGTGGTTGAGTGACTACAAAAACTGCGCGGCGCGATATTCGTCTTCCAAGAAAGGTAGTGGCTCAGCAACGGATCATGCGCACCGTGGGAAAACATCTGCAGGAGCAATTGCGGCTGCCCCTCTGTGGGCCTCTGATTTCCTGAACAAAGACGTCGATGGAAAGCAAGTGCTGTTGGGTGACCCGACGGAAAACCTTCTGGATAGCGAGGAGGAGAGTAGAACAGGAAGTATGACAACGGAAGAGCTTCACTCGGCGAGAGAGAAGACTACCGACGTCATGTGGCGCGTTCTTTTGCAAGCAGTGCAGGAATTGTCTGCGGACGCAGTGCTCGTGCAGGGAACAAGGTCTGGATCTGTTGGTGGATCGCATCCTTCTCCGACGAATCCTTCCGGGTCGTCTTCAGGCGCTCGTCCTAGGCAGATACTCCACCCCCCAGCCCCGACTTTCAGTACCGCCGCATCGCTTTTGCTGCAACACTACGAAGACGAGGACTCTCTGACCAATACCAGCACTGAAGATCTTCCTCCTGCTGCTGGCGCTGGTAATAAAACTGGAAGCACATCAGCAAGTGCCAATATGAGTGGTCCACAGCATTCGCGACCACACTCCCCTGCTCGTCCGCAGCCGCCAACACCAACGCAGGCCCTACTTCCGGTTTTTCTCACGACAGCATTGTCCTCTTCCGCCCAGCTTCCTGCCTCCGTCCAATCCGACCGCCTGGTCCACACGGACGCGGCAACCCGGCACCCAAACAGCCGCATGCTTGAGTCGCTTGACCACGATCGCGACGTGGTTCGGGCGAGGTTTGACAAACTTCGTACGGATTTCCAGGCGGAATTGCAAGTGTGCAGGGATAAAGACGCAGGTGGTGGAGCTCTTCGCTTTACTTCTTCCAAGAAAAAACAATGGGTGGATAGCTCCTGTGGAGGTCTGCTGTGTCTCACTCCGCTTCAGAAAGTTTTCGTCTTGTCCTTCGCGGTGCAGGTTAGCGAACAGTTGGTGGACCACCTGCTTCAGAAAACGGAATTCGAAACGCGAAGCGCGCCACCTTATACAGGGCCGCTGACGGGCATAGCTACAACAAATCCGTCTTCCCGTGCGCCATCCTCGACATACAACAGCAAACAATCGAAGTCGACCGCGTCTTCTTCATCGACTTTCGACTCGCTCCCGCAAACCGGCACCATGCGGACCTTCCTCCACCTTATCACAGTGCGTGCGCGGCACTGCGTCGTCGAGGAATTTTCCAAGTGCCCCCAGGATTTGAAACTGGCGTTGCTGCACGACGACATCTTTTCCTTGCAAATCCCGCAGGAGCTGGCGAGCTTCACCTTTATGCGTCGGAAATCGAGATCGAAGACCGTACCTCTACCAACAGGAGCCAGCAGCGCAACCGCGATGTTGACGGCGGCCGAGTACGACGCTGCGCGAAGCGGTGGTGCTGCAGCTGCCTCAGGAATTAGTACTCAGCCGACATCAACTTTTTTCGGCAGCGTGTTCGGCGGCATCCTTGCGCCGGTAGTTGTGCCTGAAGCGGTGGACGATGTTGTAGTATCCGACGAGCAGACGCCGAATAGCAGGACTAGCGGGACTAGTACAACTGGGACAGCGCAACAAAGTACCATCCACCGGATTCAGCTCACCCCGATGGATGAGTTATTCCGAATCGCCACCGGAAACAACATCGCTGCTTTGACCTTGTGGCAAAGGCTTTCCGGGACGTCATTTCTCCTTTTGCTTGGCACACACCACCCGGCGGTGGTGGCGATGCGACTTGATGAGAAGTTTGAAAAAGACTTCGCCTTGAACCCAAACAATTCCTCGAGCTTTCATTCGGCAACATCCGCCGGACCGTCGACCGCAACCGGAGCTACAGCGCTGAGTGGTAGAACTGCTGCAAATTACAACAACCCCGGGAACTTTTCCCTGGATCGGAACCTTCTCACGACCGAAAACGAGCGGAACAAGCTGGAGGAAGAAGAATTCCTGGCCGCTGCAGCGGAACTACAACAGAGCGGACTTCTGGATGCAACGGGAACAACAGAGACGAGTCTGAGCGGAACAATCCAAAAGTCCTCTCAGCTGCAGTCTCTCCTCCTGAAAAAAGTTGTCAATGCCGCCAACTCTTGCGTCGTAGACAACAGCGGGTCGCTACGGGTAAGTTTGTTTTCCGAGACCGACGCTTCGTCCTCGTTTCTAACCGCCGGGAAGATGGTTAGTGAGGGCGAGAGGTGCCATTTGTCCATGTTGATGCGGAAGCCGTTGCTGGCCACCGACGTGGAACACGAGTGCTGGGACACAGCCAGGGAGATGCTTCTAGCCGGGTTGAATTATCGCGCCCCGTCCTCGTCGTGTTCGTACGACGAGCGCAGCAGCTTCCTGGCCACCACCGCGAGAGGAGCTGCCGGTGTTTCTATCGCCCCAGCACAACTTCTTCGAGTATTAAAAAGCGGCGAGATCATGTCCAATTTCAACCCACCGCCAGGAGCAGGGGAGACAGTATTAAACGGGACGCCGGGGGCTACAACTGCAACTGGACGGGTCGTTGACGGTCCGCAGGACGTTGTCGTGGATGACCAATCTGCAGCTACGCCTAGTAGTGCAGCCCGCTCACGGCCCCCGCGGGGAGCTTATCTGCGGATGAAAGTGAACAAGAGCAGCCCGCCGAGCAGAGGTCCAGAGGAGGACGAGGTGCTCGAAGGGAATGAAAACGCAGCTCCGACGTCATCTTTTTCAGAAAGTAGTAGAAGTAGAACTGCACGTGCACCTGGTGTCCACCAACACGCTCCTCCATCTTCCGCGATCCTTGACCAAGCGATCAATTTCGAGCAAACTACGGCTGTGAAGAAGCTGAAAACTGTCCCCGAAGTGATCACAATGTCGTGCGCGCACAAGACGGAGCCGCTGTACGCCGTCGCCTGCGATTCGGGGCCGCTGGCATTCGTGCGCTCGTTTGCGGAGGAAGAATTGGAAATCAGTTTGGACACGTCTGCGCTGGTGAATGCGGGGAGTGGCAGTTTTGGAGCCGGCAGTGCTGCAGTGGCGGCTTCTTCTAGAGCCGGCGGCGTCAACCAGCAAGCAGCGTTTACATCCCCGGAGAGGCGGCGGGCCGAAGAAGAGAGTGCTGCAGCAACAACGTCGCAAGGTGGACCGCCAAATGCTGGTGTAAGTGGTGACAACTTGAAGAGGATAACTTCAACACCAACCCTTAATGGCTCTTCGTCGTCCAGTGGGGCGGTGGGGGTCGCAGCTGGTGCTGGACCAATCTCTCTGTCCCCTCCCGCAGACCTATCCCCAACTACCAGCTACTCGGCAGGTGCTGGTGCTGTAGCGAGCGCAGGCTCGTCGCCCGTGGACACCGGCGGAACGTTGCAGCACGGCAAGAAGACGCAGTCGATACCTTCTTCAACGGCCTCAACTTATCAACAAGTGCAAAAATGTCTGGGTCTGGAAGGTTAGAACTTGTCATGCTAAATCTGAATGATGCAAAAATCTGTGTTGCGTGAGTACCAAAAGCTGTCCGCTTTTGACCAAGTTGAGAGGGAGTTTCTCATGCAGGAAAGGCATGATAGAGACCTCAAAAAATCTGTCATGCTGGGTCTCGCATTCCAGACCTCATGGGTCATGGAAAACCTGCATCACAAATCTTGCATTCTTGCAGACCCAGACACTTTTACATTTGATACAACTACGAAGCAAGCCAACGCCTACGTCGCCACGCAGCGGATTTCTGTACTGCAGTTCCAGGGCGACAGAATCGTTGTCGGAACCCGAGGTGCGGTGGATTCGCCAAACGTGTGTGTTTACCACTATGGCGCTGGGATAGAAAGCTTCAGTAAGAGAAGTTCTGCTCGTCCAGATGTTGACCGACAAAGTGCGATGCCGTCAGGAGCGGTTGCTAGTACTGATCCCAGCTCAACAAACAGACACAACAACACAGTGTCCCAACGCCCGTACCTGACCTTCTCGACCGAGTCCGCGCACAGCCAACTTCTCGGTGGGGACTTCTGTTCCGAGCAGTGCCTGGTAACGTGTGGAGCGCCGACGGAGACGACGTACTTTTCCACACCTTTGTCCTCTTCAAGCTCGGCAGCTATCCAACCGGGCAGCTACAACTACGCATCCAGTAAAGAGGAGTTCCACAGCTCTTTGGGAGTGTGGGACCTGCGCATACCGCCAAGAGCCAGGCTCGTGCTCCGAGACAAGATCTCGCTGCGCGGAATGTCCAGCACGTCCGCAGACGCATTGATCAACACCAGGGTGGCCTGCTTGTGGACGAAAGATGCGGGGTCAGGATCTTGTACTGTTTCATCATCGAATAGCAGCGTAGCCCACACCGCTACTGGAGAGATTATTCCTTTCGATCAGCACGGAACAAGTGGGTTTTCGGCGATTCGAAGGCCGATGGTACAGCAGGACTTCTCTTCAGACCTGTTTTTCGTGGACCACCATGCGTCTTCGACCAATCTGCCCTCGACCGCCTCTCTGAATTATGGCACCAACGGGACAACATCATCATCCTCTTCGAACCTTTCCTCCAACGACAAAACGCTTCTAGTCACCTCGCGCAGTGGCCACCTGCGGTGGTTTGACCTGCGCAACCAGAAGTACGTGCACAAGGCGAAATCTTCGCACAACGGGTCCGCGGTGAAGCAGTTGCTGGTTTTTGAGGACTTGAAAAATTGCGTGACCATCGATCATAACGGGAACCTGCTTCGTTGGGTCTGCCCCGATCTGGCGAGGCGTTTCACGGACTGCTTTTGCGTCGAGAAGAAACAGCAACTACACGCGTCGACGAGCTTGTTGGTGCAAAGGACCGCCGTGGTGTCCTCCGCGCAAGTCGTCGGTCCGAGACATTTCGTGACTACTGGGCTGGATGGAGCGTTTTACTTGCATTGCTTCTGAATACGACTGGTAGGGCTCCTGCACCAAGAACGAGATGAACGCTGAAGAACAAGAGGTGGAAACGCGACTAGGAATAGAAATATGAAAATGAATAGTTTTAGGTCGTGCTCGTCTTGACGGTGGACAGCATCGCGTCTGGTGCTCACACGAACTGTTGTTCAGGGGGTCTGAGCTTCGACTCCGCTGGGTATAAAATATAAAGCAGAGAGGTCTTGAGAGTAGGTACCTACTCAGTATGATGGTGCTTGCGTGGTGCGCCGCCAAAAAACAACAGCCTCCTGGAGCGTAACGTAACGACAAGGCGATGCGGCACGAAAAAGTAGAAGCCTCTGTATCGAAAAATACGAGAAGTTCTTGCATCCCTATCGACCGCATACTAGGTAAGGTTACAAAAAGTGTCGTCTTTCAACCTTCGAGTTGTAGCCATCCACCCTACGAACTATTCCGCCACACACACAACATCATCAAACTACTACCTCGCTTAATTGCTAAACCGAAAAGCGCCATGCGTATCCCACGCGAGCGTCAGATTCCCCGTACCCAGCTCGCCACCGGCGGCCTCTATGTCGCGCGTCTGAGCACGTTTGCGAACGGGTATCGGGCCTACAAGGATGGGCTACGACGCTACGACGACATTCCCCAGCCAGTCCTGAAGAAAAGCCGACAGCTGTCCACTAATGTGGAATTCTTACAAGATCAAGAACGAGGCACCAGTGATGGCGGTCCTGCAAGGGGCAGTACAACTAGCCGGAACACCACGGCGTCGTCTTCCTCTGGGCGCGACACCGTGATGTCGTTTGTAAGCCGCCCGTCAACGACGGATTCGGTGAAGAAGACAAACAGGCGAAACCTGAGTACGTCCACTTCTTGTGCGACCAGAAGCTCTTCACGGCTGTTTGAACCGGTGTTGCGAAAATCGAAGAGAGAGGACCATGAAGACCTCGAACAAGGAGTGGTATCTCACAATGACGACCAAGAAAACGACGATCCGTTTGGATTTGAAGCAACAGAGGTGCTGCCGCCGCCACCGAGGGAGACCATATGGTATGATGTCCTACTTATACGATTATGTCCCCGGCGAAAGATCTTGAACACGAGGGCTTGGATGTATCTCTTGTTGCACATGGTGCTGCTGCTGCTGCTGGTTGTCAATGTGGGACGCATGAAATGCTCCAGTCTGATGTCGCCACTGTGCACAGATGCCACTTGATGTTTCACAGCGACGAAAGTAAGTAAATAAACGAAGCACAAACTCCTGTGCATTCAACTCCACAACTAGGTACGACGAGCACTACCAGCCGCACCTGATCGACGAAAACACCACGCCGATTCGCTGCTACAACTGCGGAAAGCCGAACGTACGACATGAACTGTTGTCCTCAGGACCACAAACAAGACAAAAGTGCACCCACTGTAATCGGTGGTTCGATATCGAAAAGGCAAAAGCTTTGTGAGCGTAGATTGTTGTGCGTGTAGGATAGAACTCATGATATACTAAAGAGTATGTTTGTGATCATGTTGCGTTTCTTTGCACCTTTACAGAAGCTGTTTGTGGTTTCGTGCACTTCATGTCGGATTCAGTGTTGGAAAAAAGTTTGTTTCCTGTACAAAAGTCATCATCGTTTTGTCGGCTAAATAACAAAGTCACAAATACAAGTTAAAGCTAGATTTCCAGCAAAGAACATGCTAGATTGAGACTGCGCCGTCGTCTTTCTCGAGCCTACTCCTAAATTCTATTTCCATCCCTCAAAGATTTGTTCCGCGATTCAATTTTCGTCTTTTAGTCACGGCTGTTCTTGTAGTTATCGTCAATTGATGTTTTCCTTTTCTTGTTGTGTCGTTTTTGTTGCACCCGGATCCAAATTTGTCGTCGAGCCATGCCAGCAGATCTTATTTCTCAATGAGTATCTATGAGAATGAAACTGAAAGCAATGCGATCCTCTCGACTTTTTCGTAAGGTTCTTGAAAGTTGATATTGTCAGACTCTGTAGTTCTTCATCTTCTTCTAAGAGCTTGTCGCGCTCTTGCAACATAGGTGCCGTGGGTCTTCGTAAAAGACAACTCATCGTGTCCGTTTTGGATTTTTGACCCTCATCCGCCCCCTGCAAATAATTGTCGCAGAAGCATTTGTTGCACATTGCTGCTTGTTTTGCGCTCTGTATTTGCTTTTCTTCGGTCCGCTTTAGGTGCATGAGTTGTCAGTGTCTTCTTGGTCTCGTCGTCGCAAGCGCCAGTGGGCCGCTACTGATCCTCGTGAATTAATTGACGGTCGACGGCCGCTCCCGCTGTCGTGCACTGCTCGCTGCACCGAAGGACCCCATTGGAAAAGCGTTGCTAGCCGCAACGTGGTGTTCGTTCTGACCTGAAATTCGCATTGCAGAGTCAAGGAGCCGGTATTGATTGGAGCAGGTGCAGGAGGACGAAAAAAATGAAACAAAGTCAACTCTTCTCCTCGCTTCTTTACCTAAACAGCCTGTACCATCCTGTGTTCGCCGAAGAAGAAGAGACGTATCGCTGTGTGCGTTTTCAGAAGACCGGCGGCTGCTCACCGGATGGGAAGGAGGAGGACAAGAAGAAGTGCGCCGATGAAATCTCGTCGGGGGAGAGCGGATACTGTGTGTGTAAGACGCAGAGAGGCTTGTTCAAACGCATAAAACGAGAAACCTGCGACCACGCACCCTTCACCTGCGACTATGCGTGTGCAAGGTAGTACTCTCTTCATGCGAAATTCGATGGCGACGAGTCTACCTCTACTTCTTATGAGTGGTGAAGATCATGCGCTTTCTTGAAGATAAAATTCACGCATTACAAGTACAACCCGCCCTGTTCTCCCCGCTTGTCTTAGTGCTTTCGATTCGTTCTAAGTTGACACCATGTGTTTTTGATAAGTGCTCGACATGAACAACATAAAATCATTCCAAGGCACACCGAGTATACCTGTAAGCACTTTCAGCCAATCGAACAGTGTACGGAGTTACAAAACGCAAAACCAACAAAAGGTAAACTGAGTTCTTATTCTTTTGCGCGACTTCGTCTTCGTAGTGCACCACTGGAGCAGCTGCTGCAGTAAAAAACTTTCTTTATGCAAAAGTAAACATTTCGGTGCTACAAGTACAACTGCTTCTAGGACCACTTTATGACAAAAGGAGAAACATCCACTACAGAAACGCTTTCCTGCGACGAGGTTCCTCCTGCAGAGAAGCCTGGTTACTGCGAGTGCGGTAACGGGCGACAGATTATGCAGCCGGGGTGTTTCAACCCGAGTATGTCGGATATGAAGTCCTGTACGGACCTTTGCGCCACGGGCCCCACCCCGTACGAGGACCTGGGGACGCACCAGCACGCCACGGACGCGGTTTATGACGTTCTCAAGCGTTACATTCTCAACTGTTACATGAATTTGTGATGCAAGAGCCGCAACAGTCAAAGGTGCAAAAGTTGCTGCTTTCGCATCACAGATTTGGCACCGATTTAGGTGCTGTGTAGCCCTTCGGAGATTTGTCATGCGAAGCAGCTTTCTCATGTACCGGCTCAAGGTAGTTTTGCACGACAAATTCATGTAACAGTTGAGAATGTAACGTTTGAGAACGCCATACGGTTTTAAAGCAGAACTTCCGAAAACTCAGTTTGAAGCACCACCCCGACAAGGGGGGCGATAAGGTGAGGTTCACTGCCATCCGAGAAGCCATGGACGTGCTATCCGATTCCAAATTGAGAAGGGTTTACGACATGGGTGGCTGGGATATGGTACGTTTATTTTGGCATTGTTGACAAAAGGAAAAGCACAACAGGCGAAGAGGAAGTAGTTGCTGTCGGTGTTGCCATGCAGATTTTTGATTTGCATAGTGTCTAGTATTAACATGAGCATCACTGACATTGATGACTCCACTGACTTTGGCGAGTCGAATCGTTAACCTCACACTTATTTTTTCCAGGTAAGCAAGGCCAAGCAGGATAAGCTGGAGAAGGGCCCGAACAAGGAGCACACGATGCACTTAACCCTCGCGCAGATGTACACGGGCACAACCAAATCGATGCACGTGGGGCGGCGGCTCCGGCTCTGTCGGGGGTGCGACAACGAGAATAACAAGTCCGTGTTTTGCTCGAAAACTTGCAAGAAAAGTATCAAATGTAAAAATGTCTGGGTCTGGAAGAATGCATGTTTGTCATGCTTGTCTGGCATGATTCTTAAATCTGTCATGCACGTTACCCAAGAGCTCCATTTTTCTGTGATGCAAAAACGCAGTTTGTCATGCAGAATAGGCAACACCTAGAAGCTCAGAAACTTGTCATTCTGAGCCAGCACTTATGGCCTCATCATGAGTAGACGCCACCCAGCATCACAAGTTTCCAGACCCAGACATTTTTACATTTGATAAAAATCTGCCCCAAGCAAATCGAGTACAGGTATATGATCCGCGGCGGCATGCGGTACCAAATGCAGCACGAGGTGGAGTCAAAGCACAAGTGCCGAGCCGAGAAAGGGCCACTGGAAGTGGAGGTGCCGGCCGGAGTGCGAGACGGGGAGGAAATCAAATACGCTGGGGAAGGAGACCAGAGTGAAAGTCAAACGCCGGGAGATATTGTCTTCAAGGTATTCTGGATGATATTACTTTTATGTTTTCTACAGATTTTGTAATGAAATTGAAGCTGTTGAAATCGTATTTCTATTTTGTAACCGTATTTTTTTTTACTGTTGCTGCTCTCACACACCCCGTCTGGGATGATCTTCATTGGGAGTCAACACAAGATTGCATCGCTGACGGGTCCTAGAATTTCTGCACCATTTATTTTCGAAAAAAACACCAACAATTTGAGGTGAAGCAAATCTACGAGAAGCAGTGGTCTCGCAAGGGGATTCATTTGTACCGAACCCTGGAAATATCCCTGAAAGAGTCCCTGCTTGGTTTCGACAAAACCATCACGCACCTGGACGGTCGGAAACTGCAGGTCAGGAAGGAAGGGGTCACCGAGGCCAACAGCCGGATCGTTTTGTCCGACGAGGGCATGCCGGACAAGCGAACGGGGTCCACCGGGAAGCTAGTCATCACCTGCGTCATCAAATACCCAACCGCGCCGCTTTCTGCCACGTTGCAGGAACAAATCGCGAGGCTCATGCCCGGACCCGGCTCCATCGTCAAGGCCAAAAAGCGTGAGGAATTGTAAAGGACCCGACTAGATTTATTTGACGGCGAGGAGCCGGTGACATCCTCGTCATACCTCCGGTGGGAAAAGAAAACAAAAACTTTTTTGGTAAATGCAAATCCACAAAATTTCAACTTTACATCAAACTGAAACTATCATCCAACTTCAATTGATAATGCAAAAAAAGAGCCACCAGTCGAAGTAGCGAAACATAGGCCCCTCAAGCGAGGAGAACAAGCAGAGACGAAGATAATACCTACTTCTTCGCTGAGTACTTTGATATTTTCCTAGAACTAGATGTTTTGCTTCTGCGTCTGCCTCGTAACAACTGACACAATAATGCTTACGCAGCTGTGAGACAGGCAGCCACAGAAACGCGTGTCGTGGCACTAGGAGGTCTTCGTGCTATCGCAATTTACAAACAGCTTGTTGTACAGAAAGACTTTAAAAATTTTTGCTGCTTGTCGTGTGGTCAGTTCACCAGAATTCAAAACATGAACATGTGGTAAAAGTCCATGTTGCTCTTGCTCGCCTCGTCGTCTCAAAAACCTGTTAATGTTGCAACTTTAAGCGACTAGCTTCTAGCTTCAAGGAGGATTTATCCGTCCATTTTGCAAAAACCATTTTGCTGTCCGATTCTTGTTGCCTCCTTCCGACCAATAACAATCGCCCGGCTTGTTAGTGAGCTCTGCCAGCAGCCTCTCGTGTTAGTGAACCCCAAAAGGAGGCACGCACTCATCTGAGTTTCTTTTTATCTCGTGCTGAGTTTCGCCAGCTCATCTTTATCTCTTCATCGAAATGTAGTTGAGGCTTTACCAACATGCGTTGAAGAGAGCGTTTTTAGTGCAAAAACCTGTTGTCGTTCGGGAGTGACATCACCAAAGAACGTTATTTTCGTCGAGCGATGCGCACACAAACGCAAAAAAAATCGGAGAGTGATGTTGTTCTTGCATCAAAATTACATTTCAAAAGATGAGCCGTAGGTAAAAAATTAAATAGCCAACGTTTGAGATAGATTTTGTACAAAATAACTACAACGACGTGCTAAAAGTATGTGGTTTTGAGATTCTTGAAAACCAAGAGCACGCTCGTTCTTTTCCAAACAAAGAGATTAAATCATGGATCGTATATCCCCCGTGGTGAAAAAGCACGGGTATGTCCCGCTGAAAAAAGTGGGCTCTGGATCGTTCGGACAAGCATGGCTCGTAGGGCAGGATGAAGACGGGAAGCGGCAAAACTACGTCTGCAAAATGGTATTACTTTTGACTAGCAACATCAAGAGAAAAAAAAAATATCGCATGATGAAAGCCAAAACTTCAATTATCAGTTGAGGTGTCTGCAATGTCGTTTTCTGGATTGATGATGCATGATCTTCCGTGCGACATCTATCCTAGCTTCGGCAAATGCGCACGAAAATGTGAAAGGCGAATCTGAAATTCTTGTCAATGTTTTTAGGCTTCTTGTTGGTGCACGAAATTTGTGATGTAGATCGGCGTTTGAAAACAAGATCAAGATCTACGATGTATTGTGTCTACAAAGCGGCCCTGTTCATCGAACCTATCCCACTTTCCCTATCCCTGTCAGATCGACATCAGTCGTTGTAGTGCCAAGGAGAAGAAGGACGCTTTGCACGAAGCTTCCGTTTTGAAAACGCTACAACATCCGTACGTGGTACGGTATAAGGAGTCTTTCCTCGAGGACGGATGGCTCTGCATTGTGCAGGAATACTGCGAGGGTAACAAGTATTTTTGACAATTTTGCTTTGAATTTGATGTCGCGTGGAACTAGAAGTAGAAACTGCACCAGCTCCTGCTTCTGCATAAGGGGCCTCTGTTCAGCTGCAGTTTCAGATTGTGCAGGGTAAAGTCTTTGAAACAAAAAAACAGGCGGCGACATGTACCAGCGAATACAAAAAGCGAAGAAAATGCACCAGCCCTTTTCTGAGGACCAGATTGTTATCCCGGAAAGAAGACCCATCCCCATTCAATTCGTCATGCAAAACATCCATAAAACCCACTATTTTTCATGCAAAAAAAGGATGTGGATGGGTGTTTTTTCCTGGATAAATGTCCGGTGGTTTACGCAGTGCATGCTGGGGCTGAAGTTCATCCATGACAAGAAGATTTTGCACCGAGATTTGAAGTCGAGTAACTTCTTTCTATCCAAAACCGGCGACATAAAGATGGGCGACTTTGGAATCGCAAAAGTGCTCGAATCAACGGCCGCAGTGGCGAAAACACAGATCGGTAAATTGAGTCATGATGTCGTGTAGGATGAATAGTGATGATGAAGTTAGTTGATGTCACAGGAGGTGGTACAAGTGCCACATGTTGGATTGAACAAGGTGCATGTGGTGGTGCATGGAGGTCGTAGTTTTCGTCCGTTTCATGATGCTGTCAACAACATGCATGACGATTTATTGCAAATGATGACGAAGCTGAAGCAGAACGCAAATAATTTTCCGAAACCATATCAGGTACACCGTACTATCTGTCGCCGGAAATTTGCCAAGAAAAGGCGTACGCCTGGCCGAGTGATATTTGGGCGATGGGTTGCATTCTGTACGAAATGTGCTGTCTCCGAGTACCGTTCGACGCTGCGGATTTACGAGCGCTGGTGCACAGGATAACAAGAGGACCGAGCCCCAGTTTGCCGGGACAGTAAATTCTATTTGACATTGCGAATGTCGTTATCGGAGTAGATGACTTATTGTGATACATTCAGAGCCACAGGAATTTTCATGCGCAGAAGAGCGTGCTTCTTGCGCTTCAAAAATCAACATAAACGTACCGCAAAACGTCAACGAAAATTAAGTTTTATACCATTACCATGACCCACAGCTTCTCCCCCCAGTTGCGGCAACTCGTGACTGATATTCTCGTGAAGGACCACACCAAACGGCCCACGGCGGAGAAGATCCTTACCCGGTCCATCCTGGCCGACCGCGTGCGGAAACTGGAGGCAGAGGACACGGGCGCCGGTGGGCAGGAAAAGCAGGAGGGAAGCAAGAAGGACGACATCTCGCTCATCCAGTCCAAATTGGAGCAGGGCGGGAGCTATGCAACATTGCAAAAGTATCCAACTAGTGTAGATTGCATTACAAATTATCTCAGCATGATGGCGAATGAAGTTTGTAATGCTGTTTTAGCTTTGGAAGGGGATTTGTGATGCATAACTGCAATTTTTACTAGGAGTGCGATGGTTTTGCAATGCATATGAGCAGTTCGTCAAACGCGAAAGGAGCCGGGAACAATAATAATGCCGTGAAAGGCCCGTATGCGGATGAAGCGGGTAAGTACACGAAGAACCAGGTCGTGGAGTACTACTCGGAAACGCACAAGGAGTGGCTGCCCGCGCAAGTAACCGCGGTAGATTCGGACGGGAGAATACAGGTGCACTGCAAACCAAACGCGTGGCTCTCCTTGAACGTGCAAGCGCAGAAGGTACTTAATCTTCGTGTAAATCGGTTTTTACTGGATTTTCTTCATGCGCATGCAGCGGCTTTTTTTTTTTCGTTTAGATTATATGCAGCAACACTACAAGCTGTTTGCCTTTGCGCGGTTGAAGGCATCAACAACCGCGTGTCATGATCCTGTTCGGATCGGTTTTTTCGTAATGTAATGCTGGAATGAAGAAAATGAAAATCTAAAATCAGGTCCGACCGAAGAAGGATGAGAATAAGGAAAACAAGCCCCGGCCGCCCGTGGTGCCGGTGTTGGAGCATCAAAAGGGGTCCAGGTCCTCCTCCTACAACACACCGCGATACCCGGGAGCCGCAACACCACCGGTATACCACCGCCAGGCGACGCCACCCTACGCCTACCCACCGGCGGGTGGCAGAATTGGTATTCGGTGTTTTCGTTCTACTGTTGGTTTTGGAGTTTATTTTGTCAGAAATTTCAAAGTTTATTTCGATTCTGCTTTACTTCGCTTTAGAGAGAATTGAATACCTGTTCTTTTGGTTTGATCAGTCACAAGCATTGCGTCGGTCATTGATTTGATCACTTATCGATGAAAAGGTTCTCCATCCCCGTTTGGCGGCCGCGGTACTCCGAGATTAGCCTATGGCGTCAACCGGTACACGCCCCGCGGCGGGGTTGGCACTCCACGGGCCGCATCCCCAATGAATCGCCCGCCATGGCAGGCGGGCTCGCCCCGAGGCGGAGGAGGGTACTCGAATCGGATCTATTAGATACGGATGCGGTTGCTCTGTACTAGAAAAAATGGGTCCGTTTCGTTGATTTTGTTGTAAGATTTCACACCGTTCTGTTATGCTAAGAGTCTGACACTCAATTTTCGCTTGTCCGTCAATTATGCTTCCATGATTGAGTCGAAATAAAAGTCGTTTGCTTCACAATGACCGAACCAAGTAATAAAGCTGAACATTTTTTGAATTTGTCAATATAACTGAAACGAATGTAGAGCTCGGGCTCCAGATGATTAATATCCAGGTGTAAGGTCGCAACACCTGCTGCTGCTACTTTTTTACAATGTCCCACTAGATGTTACGCAACCAAAAGAGCAAATAACGCACCGAAAAGATATTGTCCAAGAAGGGAAAAATGTCAACCGTTTGCAAAATAATGTCACTCTGTCACAAATGAAATAGAACTAGGTGAATCTCCTACAATTTGAGCTTCCTAATGAAAATAGTGCTGACCGTCACCGTTTACAATTCGCGACTGGTTCTGATATAGCAATTACATACAACTTCACGCTCACTTGCTATCATCTTCCAATTTTGTTGCAAAATGACACCTGAATGAAAATATTTCAGCGAAGATGTGTTGCCACTGCATCGGCGGAGAAAAAGCCGACCGCTCCAGTGTCGCTTTTTTTCCCAAAAATCGCAAAAATGATAGCACACGCAAGGTTGTACCTACAAGAAGTACTAGTAGTTGACAGAACTCTCACACTCACTCTTCTGTACCAATGATATCCTGTATTTTTACACTCGCGGCTAAGCCAACAATTAGCTTCCGAACTTGCTTTTTTCTAAATTCTTCCAAACAAATAACGAGTTGATGTTTCAGGTTTCACGGGCAGCAGCGCGTGGTGGCTGATCAGGTAGTTAGTTCGAGCAGAGTCCTCATCTTCTCATTGCAAGAACAGACTACAACTTGGACGGCTGCGATTCTTAGCCACCGCGGCCTCGTCGAGTTTGGATGAGGTATTTAATGTACACTAGAAAATTAATAACGAGGACAAGCTTGACGTTGATGATACTATTCTTCAGGCATCAGCTTGGCTCCAACTCCCCTCAACAATCCTCTTTAATATCATAGAGCTTTTTTACACTAGAATAAAAGTGTGTTTCTTGTGAAACGAAAATTTTGAAATGAAAAAATATCTCTACTTTTAGGAGAAGAGACCACCTGATGGAACTCACAAACCGGATTTTGTTGACAACAATTCTTGTGCAATAAACTTCTTGAAAATGCTGCCCGCCATCGGCAAAACTGACGCGACTGAGCCCGCGTTCGACAAGTACTCGCACTCAGCACAAATAAACTGCTCGGACATCCGCAGCCAGCACATGGCTTTCGCTGGTAGTGCCGGTTGTACTTCTCCGGCGGGGCGTTGATGTTCTTCTCGACCAGCACCACTGGCCAACGACGAAAATGTTTGCGTTCTAGATAGCAGTCCCCAGGTACTATGGTAGTGCTTGTTGCTGGAATATCATGACCTCTCAGGTTGTAGTTTCTGCTTCTATAATCGATCCGCAACATCCGATGACTTCTTTTACATGGTCTACAGAGGCACTCGCTCATCTGATCCACTCTACGCTTGCTCTCCGACAGGCAGTATGGGCGAGAGGTAGGCAGAACCAGAAGGTTAATCGGATCGAAGATCTTAATATCAGTAGCACAATTGTCGTTCGGTTCTTCACGTGCCGTTTTTCGCTTTATTTCACCGCATCAATACAAGTTGTATAAGAACATCCTGGAAGAATTAGAATGGATTTTCTCCTCAACGCTGCCGCCCGCACGGTTGCGGCCCAGACCGCTCGCGAAAGTGCGCCGGAGGCGGAGATCCGCCCCGTCGACGTGGAAGCTTGCCAGCTTTGTGGGATCTCCTATCTGAACAAAGGTGAGCGTCTGAAACCGCTGCAAAACCTCGGGTATGAGCTGTTACTCGAGAAGACAGCTTGGTTCGTCGTGACGGATAAGGATTTGCTGGGAACAAGCACAGGCTCTGGTCGTTCTTCCGCTTCAGCCTCCCGGGGCTTTATCGTCTTCCGCGGCACCGCGAGCTTGCGGGATGTCATTACGGATTGCCTTGCGAAGCCGACGGAGGGTATTGCGACCTACTCGGCTGGAGGTTTGACATCAAATAACAAGAGCGACGATAATTTTTCCACCGCGTACCTTCCCCGCACGCAGTTCCACTCGGGAATATTTGCGAACGTGGTGGAGAATTTGAAGCTGCGCGCGTTCCTGGAACTTGTCGGCTTGGTGAAGAGGCAAGCGCCCGGGTTGGACCAGATTAGGAAAAAATTCGAATTTGTTTCCTCAAAGAAAAAAATCATGGAAGTAGCAAATTGTTGCACCACCTTCCCAATAAAGCGGTGGTTTTTCTGCGGGCACAGTCTCGGGGGCGGTTGTGCGCAGCTGTGTCTGACGCTGTTGGAAAAGGGTTTTTTCGAATCCAGTGCAAGCTTTCCTTCAAAAGCGAGCATCACTGCGAGCTTACAGCAGGGGGAAGGATCCAGCTGTGAGGAAGAGAAAACGCAGGAAAGGAAGAATAAGGAACAAAACGGAGCACCAAGTGTTGCTGCTGCAACGCCTCCGAACTCCGGCCGGAGTAACACCGCTGCGGGCCGCGAACAAGCTCAAACTGCAACCACTTCAACATCTTCGCAGGAATTTGCCCCAATCCACCGAATTCCGATTTTCCAACAAGATGCGCGTGGGAAAACAGCAACTTCTGCGGGCCAAAATTTTTTCCAACTGGAGGCCATCAGTTTCGCGTCCCCACCGATCTACTTTGATCCGCTGCACCAGCTTTCGTCAACGAGCGGAGCACCAGCTTCGAGCACTTATGGTGTGGAAAATCAAACTCAGCAAGAGCAAATAGACCTTGTTTCCAATGCCTCCACGATTTCTTCCTCCTCCTCGCAACCCGGAAGGAGTCGAAAATCGTGGCTCCCGCACGAGCAGCACAAGATCCGCGCCTTTGTGTACGGCTCGGACCCCATTCCGAGACTGGACCGGCAGGAGGACAACGTGCTGTTGACACTCCTCGGGAGGTACAACCGCACGGCCAGTATGCACCAGAAACTTTTGTCCGTGAACCACTACATTCATCACCCAAATGAGTACACTGTGTGGATGCTGCCGGACATTTTGCTGCAAAACCTGCACACGGCGAAGCAGGTCGGAAAATTCGTGTTTGAAGGAGCAAAGAACTTGTTCAGTCGGACAGCATCGGCGAGCAGTAGCAAGACGAATAATACCACTAGCAAGGATAAGGAACGAAATGACAGGAATGATGTCAAGTCCGAGGAGAGCAGTCAGAGCGGGTTGGAAAACGGAACCACTGTGGGTGGAAATAAGAATAGCGACACCTTGGCGACGAGGAGGGAAAAAATCAAAAAAGAAAATCAACTACCACAAAAAGCTGGTGGCGGTGCAGCCTCTAGCTCCCTCTTCGGAGCGGCCGCCGGTTTTTTTGCGAATGTTTTGGAAGCAAGTGCGGAAAATCAAAAGCAAAAGCAAGCTGTGGCTTATCAGCCAAAACCAAGGACAGGAACTGGTGATAATATTACTGCGAAGAAAAATAACATGATGACCCCAGAAGGCGAAGCAGCTGGGAAAGATTTGATCGGCACCAGAAACCCGGAAACCGTCGACGCCCGGGAGATGCCGCCCGAGACGAAGGCCATTGTTTTGAGCAGCGAGGCTAGTGGTGGGAAATTTTCCCGTGCGAAAGTGATGAACGTGAATGACAGCAATCCGAGTGACCACTTGTTGTCAAAGTACGAATTTGGTTTTAAAAATCACTACCGGAAAAGAGACGCGTTGCAGTTCACGCCCCTGTATGAGGTGAGGCTGGAAGAAATTGTGAACTGATGCTCATCGACGGCTCTATCACGCGCGTGGTTTTTCTCAATGCGAAGGAAGCTTCAACATTTTTCAAGATTAACAGAATCCAACTCAACAAAGGTGAACATGTGGACACGTCCATCGTCCCCTACGTATAAATCAATATGAGGAGATGACTTACTTACAGTGCGGCTGCGATCACGACCGTGCCAGGTTCTCAGATTCGGACTCAGAAATTTCACATTGCCGCACCGCTGCAGCTGCTGCATGCGAAAATATTACAGTCTATCCTTTCATCGGTTCTGCTATCACTTCTTCGGGTGCTGTATTCGGTCATGCATCAGTGTGCATATTCTATACAAGGATTCGGTCAAGTGTTGCATGGATGCTGATCTAGAGCGAGGATCTGGAGTCATTTCATTTCATGATCCCGAAAAGATGACGCTGTTAATTCTATTTGTCAAAGTATGGATCACACCTACTCAGCCAGTAGAATTGCAAAAGAACCTTGCACATGGTGCGCACTTGAAATATCGGTATCTACTTACAAACTCTGATTTCTAAAGCTTTTTCTTCATTTGCTCTCTGTCTCGTCGCTTTGTGGAAAATCGAGCGAAGCCACATCATTCACACAGGAACCCTGCTATTTGCCTTGGCAAAATAGTCTCGGTTTTGAATCTCAGCCTCGACTTGTCGTCGTTGTTGAAATTTTTCTTTCTCGAAAATACTTTAAACTTGACACAAGATAGCGTTTGCTTTACACGACTCCTGCTAAACAGTACTTGAAAAAGCCACTGTTGTGTCTGTTTTTCCACCATTTCATTCTATCAGAACCAGAATGGGCAACCTGTGTTGTGCTGAGGGCCGCGCGGGCAAGACCAGCGCCCGTGGCAGCGGATCCGGGTCCAAGAAGTTTGACATGACGGGCGGGAGCGGGGTCAGTGGCTCCGGGTATCAAGTGCAAAAATGTCTGGGTCTGGAAACTTGTAATGCTAAAAGTGAATGATAGAGATAGACGCACTGCAATACGCAGCTACGCATGACAAATTTTTTGGCCTCCATGTCTTACGTATTCCGCATGGCAAACTGCGTTTTATTTGCATGAAAGGTAATAGGGCCTTTTGGTGCCTATGCAACACAGATTCTCGAATTATGCCAGACAATCATGACAAAGTTGCATTCTTCCAGACCCAGACAACATTTTTACATTTGATACCGGGACCGGATTCGCGATTCCGCCGGAGATGTATTCCGCCTCGACCACGGCCTCTTCTACCCCCGCGGGCAAGCGCGCCGAGGGGGAGCAGGCGCAGCGCAAATCCTCGAAGGGGAAGGGAAAAGTCGGCGGGAAAATGAAGGGACCGGAAGGGGAAGCGATGCTGGCGGGACAGGCGTACAACTGGAAAAGTAAGGGCGGAAAGCAGGGGTATAAGAAAGGGAAGAAGTAAAATGAATGAGTATGAGGATAATGTAATCGGTAGTCTATGATCCACCGTGCTTGAACTACCATTGCTGGGTGTTAAGTAAGCATATTTCTCCATCTTGGGCAGGTCTTCTGCGACCGCTTTCTTGACCTTTATGTGAAATTTATACATGAATTTGTAGAAGGGACGAGCAAGTCCAAGTGATGGAACTTGTTGCTTCTAAGAGCCTATAATCACGGCGGCAAACCACTTCTATGTGGGATATCCAACTGGGAGCCCTTACCGTGTACTTACGCAGCTTCAGGCTCCGGGTTCATACCGTATTTTTCCACTTTTTTCAATACCACAGTTCGCACGTAGTTTTTCATTTGCACCTTTAACAATAATCGAGCATGAAGCTCGATGGCGATTTAGTTATTTTTGACAATTTTGCACATGAGAGAGTACTAGCATATACAATTTGCATGATCCCTATTTTATTTTTTTATACCGTGCAACGGTCCCCAGGAGGGCCTGACAGGCACAGGACGCGGACCTGAATAGACACACAAATCGTCCAGAGGATTCCCATCTTGCGAACACGCGTCAGGTTTTGAAACGTAAATTTACCTTTGACCCTGCGTTTTTAAATTTTAGTATGAACCGTGACTACCTATCAATCAATATCAAACAATCTCTAAGTGGCTACAACATGAAATTGTAATTGAGCATCGAATCTCAAGCTAACCAGCTATGTTGCAGTTGTCTTCTGTTGCGCTTGCAATATTATGTTGCCCAACAGCACGACGGCTACGAGTACACCATTAGGTAAAAGATTAATAGGACGAGAATCTTCGTGTACGTCACACAATTTTGTCATGTTTGCAAATCATATCATACATGCGCTGCTGGTAGTTGATACTTTTCGTTCACTTAAAGAAGTCAGAGCTTCTGATGAATTGTTGGGGAGCAAGAATCGTGATGAACACTATCAGATAGTTTCTGGTGAGAAGTCATACCTACGCGTCTCAGACGCGTACGTATGTTGACTTCTCTGCGGCCACGCGGTGGAAGGATGTGTGACTTTTGCGAGCAAAAAAAAAATACCGAGTCTCTTCAGGTGGGCCGTGATACGATGCGCCACCTCCGGCCAACGAACTGTCCAGCGACGATGTTGTGCGGAAGCTGCGCCACGGATTTACTAGGCCGGTTCTTTCACGTAGTATTTTCACGAGAATGAATGACATCAGCACGATCAAAGCAACACCAACAAAAGATATATAGTTATAGATTCAATCATGCCCGTCCTCGGTGGTACTAACTCGTGAAGCACGCGCTGGCCGCTCTGACGTGCACAGTGAAAAAGCAGATCTGTCTTCACAGAGAAGCAGAAGCTTGAGACTCACACACTCGCACTCGGCCCCCGCATCCGTGGCGTACCTACGTTGCAATGTAACATGAAATCGGACCGAAACCTATCGTCGGTAGTGCAACGACAATGCTACTCCCTCTCTGATTTATCGGTTCTGCATGCATCGCGATGAACACTATTCATTTGTTGTCTGAATTGCTCTTTAGGGGGCCAATACCAAAGCGCGCAGCAATACCTGGAACGAACAATCGGAATTGTGCAGGCGGCGGGTCTCCTCCATTTCTCTAGTAAGTCCATTGCACGGACACGAATTGCTTTTTTGTAGATACTTTTGAACCGTGCTGATATATATTTGTCGATTCGAATAGCACCGCAAGCGCAGAAGTAGAGCAGTAGATGCTTACAGTCTAATCTGAAGCTTCGTCTACGTAGAAACAAAATCCGTCAATATCAAGTTCACCATGGGCAACAATTGTTGCGCCGGACGCGACGAGAGTCTGGGCTCCAACTTTGCCTCTGCTCGCTCCAAGCGGGTCACCGCCGGCGAATCGAACTACGGCTACGGAATTTCGCGTGACCCGACGATTATCAATTCGTCTATGATGATGTCGCAGAAACAAGGTTCCATTCGGGCTGCAAGCACGCACATCAGTCCTGCAGCTGCAGCATCAACACGTCGGAGTTCTAACGGAACGAAGCAAAAAGCGCCGCAGGGAATGACGCAGTATGTGGTGGAGTCGGCGTTGCCGCCCGTTTCGGGGGCGAGTCAATACGACTTTTTGAAGGATGAGGTCAGTGGTATGTACGACCCGAATGGAAAGGCCACGATGTTTCAGGGGTCCGGTGTGTACAATCCTGATTTTGATGACGACTCAGACGACGGCGACTATGCTCACGCGAATCAGTCTTTTATTCGGGGGATGGAGTGAAGAAGAGCACACCAGGGACGGATTCGATCAAGATGTGGCGTTTCAAAAATGATGAAACCAAACTGACTGAGGAGCAGGAGAAGGAACGACCAAACTGGAGATAGTACATCAATGGAAGATACGAGGACGTGTATATAAGACCGCGTTGAGAACAGAGCAAATTATCACCTCAGCTCGCACTTGTTCCGCACGTGAAACTAGAACCTGTCGCGCCACACGTTTCATACATTACAATTACACGTTTTAGTACAGCCTTTGGTGTAGTAAAGTTAACTTTTACTTGAAAATCTTTTCCTGTTAGTCTGTTCGTGCCGGAATAAACCGCCGACGTTCCTCTGCGAGGAGGATGCTTGTCGGCCCCTGCAACTACAGGATCTGATGCATTTTTGTCTCTAAAAAATCCATTGATGCTACAGCATCCGCGGTGTCTGCTGGGCAACAAGCCACTTCGAAACGCACGAGGTTGGCTGACGCCCAGCGGATCTCTTTCTAGCTAGAGAGCGAAAATTATGGCACGCAAGTATGCGGTGCGAATGCGATGGCCACTACTTCTTTATACGGCTTGAATAATGACGGTAGTTGAGCCCTCGAAGGAGGTTGTCGCACTTGGCACACAAAAACTTTCTACGCACTGACAAGCAAAGTCAAGAATCCACGATGTTGTGCCCGGAAGATTGCATCGAGCCAACAAGTGAGGACCAGCGAAGTTCCTTGGTGCCTGCTCCGTTTTTTCTGCAGTTTCCACAACTTGTTCGACGCGAATAAAGAGGACTTTCCCTCCTACCTTTGCCTTTGTGTTTTCTTGGTCATTTGGTTCTCATATCACTTTTCTTTTGTCCGCGCGTTTGTTGTGCGCGCGAATTTTGTCTATTGTGCGCACGACCGTGTCTCCGTTCCTTCGCGTCGGCGAACCCGAACGCCTTCGCCGACAAACGATCGATCTCCATCTTTTTGTTGGTGCTTCGTTTTGTCCTCTATGGTGTCGTGCTCTTCATTCAACATCGGCGCTCCTTTTGTAACTCAGCGAAGAGCAGTGGTGACAAGGTATTGCATCCGCTTGCAGCTTTCAGGAAGATTGAGAAGTCATTTGTTGCAATCGGGATCTTTATCACGAGATGGTGGAAACAAAACCGAAGGAAAAATCGGCCATCTCTTGTTCTCGTTTACCTTCGTCTCTTTCCTCTGCAAACCGCAGCGCAGCAGGAGGAGATTCTTTGTCGCCCAGCGTGAAAAAGTCTGTATCACCCACAATCTCGTCTTCGTCCACTCTTGCAGCTGCAGCGGAGGGGTCGTGCGTCGCGGTTGTTGAAGAAAAAGTAACGGGTCGCGCTCAAGCTCAACAAGACCAAGACGCACGGCTAGAAGGTGTTGCATGGTCTGCACCAATTGCACAATCTGGCACATCAACGAGCACAGTTGATGCTCTTCTCCCACCGGAAGTTCGTGGTACGGTCGAAGAACTACAGCATAATTATCGAGAAAGTTCTTACACCGTCGAAGACGAAACCACGCACGACGACTGCTTCATCGTGAAGTTCGAACACGCGGCGCCGGAGTTGGACGTCGAGGGCGCCCTGGACGATGGCGCGACACGACCGCTGTTGGCGAAGGTGAAGGAAGCAGAGCGACAGGATGAACAGCGGCCCTTCGGAAAAGTTGACATGAATTCAGGAGTTGACCTTGATCCTACTGCTTCAACCCCACTACTTGAAACAGGTTGCAGTCAGCATGCTGAAGAAGATTCGTTCCACGGTGGCCCGCTGCAAACGAAATGCCCGCATCAAGTGGAACACAAGAACCACTCGATCAAAAAAGCAGCGGACGCGGAGCACAAAAATCATAACCCCGAGGAGTCCTCTTCGACGTCGAATTTACCCGTGCTACTTTCGGGGAAAGAAAAAGATGATGTGGACCTACATGGTGTACTAAATTCAACAGCAACTACATCAAAACTGCACCACTTGGTGGATCACCCGATCATGCTAGACAATTTCACTGTTGTGCCGACCCAAAGCTGCGAAAAGCATGGAATAAGCTGCAAGGGAGGAAATCGGGTTCACGAAGATGGAACCACCGTTGTGAATGCCGCGAAATCAGCCGAAAATAAATCCAGCCTACAGCAAGTCACGCAGGTTCAAATTGGAGTTACAAATGAAGTCGATGAGAACGTGAGGCACAAGAGTATAACCAGGTGCATGGGAGATGTGAAAGACAGAAGTGGACGGCTGGCCCCCGACGATGTGGTTTTGGAAATAAGCAACCCTGCTGCCGTTGTACAGACCACGGGTCAAGAACATCTCCAGAGGCGAAGTGACCAAGAGGATAAGCCACAGGCACACGGTGTTCACAACGAAGAGCCGCTGGAACAACTACACGACACTCAATCCGACCCCCTCGTAGTTCCTCCCGAACTACCCGTGAGTGTGAAACTGCGCAACAAGATGGGGACTACAACGAGAAAACAGCACACGTCAACTTCCCGCGATTCCACTTCTACACGAATCGAAGATTTGTACGAAAAGGACTCGATCCGGGAGAAAAGGAAAAAACAAGCCGCGAACCGGAATTGTTTGACCTGTTTGGTGATCAAATTCTTCTCATATCCACAGAAAAAAACCCATCCAATTTGTCATGCAAAACACGTGTCAAGTCATGTGTTTGTCATGCAAAAAGTGGATGTGGATGGGTTTTTTTCTGTGGATATCTCAGTCGTGGCCTGTGGACTGATCGTAGCGATTGGAGTGGTCGGGTTGCTGCAGGCAGAGGTAATAAACGAGGCGTTTTGCTCTTCGTCTTTCTATATCTAATCTTGCGGTAGAACTACACTTGGAGATGGTCCTATTGAGAAGGGGAAGAAGAACCCCTGTAGTTTATCATTTGTGCATATGAGTGACAAGTCAAAAACAATGACAAATCCTTTTCCAGGCCGACAATGCAAGACGGGCCGTTAAAGCTATGGAAGCGCGATTCTTGCAGCAGTCGTTGCAAGATTCGAGAAATTTCGCGTCCGCTGGGATTATATTCAATACGGTGCCTACCCCTGCGAAAAAGAGTGCTCTTCTCAATAAGAACATTGGAAGACAAGCAACGTCGTTTTTGCTACAGAATGACCAGCTTCAACAGCAGCAAAACTTCGGGAAGGCAAACAAGGACGGCAAAGGAGTAAATCCAGCATTCGAACCCGAATTGGAACCGGGGACGCCAGGGGGTCTTGGTGGAGGGCAGGCGGAAAAATTACTGGCACCGCAGTAACCGTAATGGCCGGAAAGTAACGTGTGGGAGTCGGTGTCTTCTTTTTTAGTTTCGCGGTGCGCGGAAAGTATAGTGGTAACCAAGTGGCAGGAGTTCATGAGCACGCATGAGCCTGTGTGTGCACACAAAAAATATAACGATGAACATTTAGATTTAGATGCATAAACACATCTGGGACCGCCCGCGGGTTCCAATGCATTCTGGATATCCACTGAGTACGTCGACCGAACCGTCACGGTCACTGATATGCATCTTCCCTTGCAAATGAAAATTGATGAAGAATTCTGAATACATACGTGGTTACTAACCTGGACACAGTTGTAGTATCTCCACTTCTCATCTGCGAGGACGATGGTGCCGCCCTCTTGCTCTTCTTGTGAAAGCGACAAGAAGCGACCACTTGATGCAGCCCTTTCTGTCTGGCTGACAACTCTATGTTTCGATACTATGGCGTTGGTGGTTTGGAGTGATGGAGGACTCACTGTGCGCCACAGCCTCGCTGTGCGAGAGAAGAGTCGCAAGCTTTTTTTTGAAACTGTCCTGCTTATAGATAGTGTGGCTTTCTTCGTTTTATGTTCGTCTTCCTGTGTCGATCGCTAAAGTAAATGTTCATTATCTTCGAACGGCTGGCGAGCCTGTGACTCCAGGCAGAGAGAAGATAAGGGTAGGTAATTTGATAGGTATGCGAGGGTCGGGCCCCTTCTCCTCATTGCTCTACTATGTATCTGCTTGGCTAAAAATGGGCAAGCGCCCCGTCCCGGCTAGACGCCGCCCGATTCGATCGCGCGATCGAAATTTTCCCCACCCTCCCGCCCTGGAGTGGTATCAGGATCGTGCATACTCGCTGGTAGGCTTTGCCTACCCTCTTCCCCATCGCTGTCAGAGTATGCGCCCTGCCGCCATGACAGGACGGCGCGAGACATGTGATACAAATTACGTAATTTAATTTTCTCCGATCGTCAAATATGGCTCGTAGCCTCCATCACCTTCGTTCTGGTTCGTCTTGTGCCGCGGCAAGCGGGCACCAGCGGTGTGCAGCCGGGGCGACCCGCCTCGGAGCTGTGCCACGGTTCGGACATGGTGACCGGCGTCCTGCTGAGGTCAGTGCGAGCGGTAATCGATCTTCGTATCGATCCTATTCCTGGCTCGCACCTTGTAGTTGGGGGCGTGTGCGTGCGCAATCAACTTCTAGTACCTCCTGTTTGATGCGGCCCATGATGATGCTCAAGGCATCAACTACCACAATAGCAACCTTTCGCAAACCTCCCGAAAGACACTTCTCCTACCTGTCCCTGGGCCGCTATGATCCGAAAACCAACGAGACTGGGCTGGCGGGCCTGCAGCACCTGGACAGTATGCTAAAACTCGTGATCGAGAAGAAACCGCTGGAACAGCGGAATATGCAGGACGTGCTCAGCCGCGTGGAGGCGTTCACCACGCTCGGAAAGCACTACCACTCCGGCGGCCACCCCGCCCGCGCGGCCGGGTACTTCCAAAAAGCGCTCGAGGAGTGTAAATTCCTCGCGGAAACCCGGGCGCAGTACCTCCAGGACTTGTACGCGACGGGCGACAGCAGGAAGCAAATGGTGCCGGTGGGGAGCACTTCGCTGGTGGCAAGAGCGGTCCGCGCGGTGAGGAAAATAAGGCGGGAAGGGGTTGTGCGGTTTTTGCTCGGGACGGTTCAAAATGAAAAACATGCAGAGCCGGATCGGATCGTGGCAAAGTCAAGATTTCTGCAGGAGAGTAGAATTGCTTCTGCAGGAGCTGTCGCCGCTCGCAGTGCTCGGGGGAAGACCGAGAACAATGCGAAGCAGCAACTCCTGACGTCTGGGTCCTCGGTTGCTAGAAGCTCTGAGTCTGGTAGCCCAACCGCAAGCGGTGTGATACGACCGTCTGACGAGAATGGTGGTGCTGGTGCATCACTAGATGAAGATGCTGCAACCGTAAGAACCGAAGAGGCTGTCGCTGGAGTCGCCAGCAGCGCAGCAGCTACAACGCCAACAATGCGTGACGATGTACATCAAGGACAAGGTCGTCCCGCCATCGACGACGAACAGCAGGCACCTTACACGGAGCAGAAGATGCTACAAGTGGTGGAAAAGTTGACCGGCGAGAAACCTTCCTCCGAGGACCGCAAGTCATCAACGACAGAGCGCAAACCGGAGCAGATGCGGGACGCCCTGTTGAACTGGCTCGAGGATCTCCCCATCGACAGCATGCTGGCGGAGTGCCAAGGCTACGTCGGGCTTTGCCTCATGACGGACAAACAGCAGCACGACGAGGCAGAGTACCAGCTGCGGGCGGCTCTAGACTCCCTCCACAAAGCGCAGCGGTGGCAGCAGCTGCGGCAAACGACGACCGCGGTACAAGCATTCAACGAAAATGTCACGGTGATGAACACCAACGACCTGACTTCCCAGTTCGCGGAGGCGTACAATAACCTCGGCGCGTGCTTGCAACAACGGGAGCAGTACCAAAAAGCGGTGGATTATTACACGATTGCATTGGAGAAGCTGATCGAATACTACCAGGGGGACGAGAACAACCGGTTTGTGTGTCTCACCTACTACAACCTCGCTTGCTGCAAGTGGTACCTGAACGGGGGCGGGCGAGAGGAGATCCAGAAAGCGTGCGACTTGTCCAAGCGCATGTTCGAAATCGGGGATCCGCAAAGGACCGCAATCGACAGTGTCGCTTCGTTGCTCCACCCGTCGCTGACAACCACGCAGGAGTTGCGGCAGCAGTTTCAAGACCCGGCGGAAGTGTCTGCGAAGGAACGGGCGGAGCGGATGGGGGCGTTGGAAGAGCTGATGAATGCGAATGCGGAAAGAGTGGAAGCGCAAAATTACGGATCAGTTTTTCCATCAAATTCTGCTTCTGCAGAAACTGCAAAAACTCATTTGCCGACGGAGAAAGCGGGGCGCCAGGTCGCAGAGGATGAAAATTCGTCATCGTCCACGCCCTCTAGAACCGATGAAAACGGTCCGCGCGAAATTCTTGCACAAACATCAACTAGTTCAGCTAGCGGTTCTACTGCAGCCGCATGAAGAAATGTAAGTAGTCGTGGCGGTAGTTGCGCGTCACACTCACGGAGCGCTGCACTGCGAGCGCTGCACTGAAAATGAAACTACTCAGGGGGCATATACGTATCACCAGCCCCTGCCGATGGTCATCTACCTCGCTGAAAATTATGAAATTGCGGCCCTGTAGTTCTTTCGTACGGTTCGTTTCTCCTGGAAATTAATTTTCTTTCCGCTGGTCGACACCTCCGCGACCTCCACAGCTGTATTCCTACGATCAACCTACTTCCACCAGGTTTTGAGGTATTTCGACGCTTTGGAAGAGGAGCAGAAACAAGAAGGCAAAAGCAAGATCCGGCCGAAGTTCGATGACAAAGATGATCAGGATCCATAGCCACAAACATAATCCGAATTCAAAGTCGCTCTGCAACGAGGACAGCACCTTCTACTTGAACGAACTACAGGCGACACTCACCGCTTCGACAACATTTCGCCTTTCGTTTTTCGCACGAATAAGTAAACAAAGTCGTCAGTAGCTTTTGGTCGTCCTCGATCCGACCACGAAAACCACGACCCTGAAACTAGCACATCATCATCCCGTAATTCCCAGCATCACAATGGACTACCACGAGCGGCTTTATTGGGAAAAGCAATACAAGGCGGGCAACTTTGGCGAAGTGTACGAATGGCTGGGAAGTGGGGACGATCTGCTGCCGTTTGTCTTGAAGGAACTGGTCCTCGATGTGGAGCGTGAGAAGAACGATGGCGGTGCCTCTAGCAGCAGTTCTGGAGCGCCAGCCGCTGCAGCAGCAGTGGCGTCTTCCGCCGGGGGAACCGGTGCTGGCAGTGGAACTACGAGCACTACGAGCTCGAGCAGCTCCGCGACCAAACGGATCCTCCACGTCGGCTGCGGCAACAGCTTGCTCGGCGTGCAGCTTGAGGAGCAGTTGAACAGCATAAGCGGCATATTTGCAGATGCAGGTACCACCTGTTCATCATCCGACGCGACGACGACTTCCTACGCCAGTACTACAATTGTCCCAAAAAGTTGTAGAACAGTGGTGGTTGACAACCTGGACTACAGTCAGACGGTGATTAACCAGATGAAGGAGCGTTTTCCCGAGCACAACTGGTACAAGGTCGACGTCGTTGTTGACGGGTTGTTGAAGCACGTAGCGGACAAGAAAAATTCCGTTCACGCCGTGATCGAGAAGGGACTGGCGGACGCTTTGCTTGCGAATCCGGATGGGAAAAAGAGGAACCAAGCACTTGCGGCTTACTTACAGGAGATATGTGCGGTTTTGGCAACAGGTGGTAATCCTGTCAAGAAGGCGAGTGTAGCTAGTACCGCGCTGATTTTCACGCTAGAGGGTAAGCGGATGAAGGAAGCGATTGCGGAATGCGGTGGATTGCCGGCCAGCCTGGAGTTGAAGAGTCTGCAGAGCTGTCGTAGGAATTATGCAGAAGGAACTGCAAAAAATAACGAAGTCGAAGATGATGACGAAATGTGCTCTCTGCTTGTGTTGCGAAAAAGAGTGAAAGAAATTGGCGTTTTCTGCCAGAAATGCAAGAAAAAGAATCTGTACGCGAACATCACTGCAGGAAGTCGGTGCGGCAGGTGCGGATGTCTGCATCGACCCTAGTAGAAAAAGTGTCACAGATGACCACACCGATGAGCGAAGTTAGAAGCAAGGCGACGTCTACTTCTGTTTTCTCATGCTACTGCAGCAGTATGCACTGTCGATCATGGTGGAAAGAAAAAGCAATCATAAATCATGTTGTACTAGCTTCTGCAGGAAGTTGACAAAAAATGGTGCACGTGCAGCAAAAATCTGTCTTCAATACCAGCAAACATCTGTTTTCGCAACAACTGCAAGCGGCACAAGATTGTGTGTGCCTTTCGGCTGGGTGGCACGGTGGAGCGATGGCAAGTGGAAGGTGACGGAGAGTAAGACCAGATGATCATCCTTGTCGAGCTTTAGCGGATCTTGATCTCGGAAGGAGTGGTCTTTCTTTTTTCTGATCAGCGACCAAAACACTTTTCATCTCCCTATCGTGATCTGAAGATGATGGATCGAATACGAAGAGTGAGGCTCACATAATTTGTAGGATTCTTGAGAGACAACTTTTCTGGTTGGACAGAGTACTTATGTAGCTTAGTGTGTTACAGCTTTAACTTCGAATCTTATTGTGCTACAGAGCACTCAAATATTCAGATTAACTACTTCTACTACCATGCTCCGCAGCCGACCCTCCTTCGGCGACCTGCTCGACGCGGAGGAGAAATCCGAACTGGATCTCTGGGTCGAGTCCACCAACGGCCTGTGGCGGAAAGATTTGGAAAAGTTTGGCCCTGGGTTCGTGGACTACGTCGACATACCGAACAGGCAGGCTGTCGGCCTGGTCGCCGCGAAACTCTACCGGAACAGCTATCTCGCCTGGTGCGGGGTGGTGGAGCTGGCGCCGGATCATCCCTGGTATGGGAAGCGGTTGTCGCAAATCGAGAGGGAGTTGGACAGAATGTTGGACACAGTCGAGAGAATTAGCACGACCCCGTCGTCGTCGCCGCGAGGTGCTACGCCACACGATAATTCATCACACGTGAGAATAAAAAGACCGCACGGAGGTTTGTCCGATGGCGTGTCTCTCGGAAAGGCACACCTAGTGGGCTTCGACTGTAACCACCGCGGCGACGCGGTTCCCTATGCGTCTTTTGTGCAGGAGAAGAATGAAGCGATGCGGCGAAAGGCGGCAGGTGGAGGAGTCGATGCTGCAATGGAAGCAGGCGATGAAGACAGCAGCGACGATGTTGAAAACATTTTCATGGGCAAAAATGGGGCTGCCTCTACGGACGACCGGGAGCCCGCGTATAAAAAGCAAACTCACTGGCTACAGGCCACGATGGAGGACAGTGACGATGCTGGCGCCGAGGTAAATCCGCAGTTGGTGCAAGCTGCGAAAGATTTTGACGTGGACTTTTCCACCTCAAGTTTGCCGACGTCATCCGGTGGCGGGCTTGCTATGCCACAAACGGGAACAATTAATGTGATCCCACAGACTGGCATGCCACAGATGGGGCTGCCGCCGCAAGCGCAAACCGGGAATATGCCTCAGACGGGCCTACCGCAAATATCGGCCACGAAAGCTGCTACTGCAAAATCCATCCCGCAAATGGGTTTACCCTCCGCGATGATGGCCCAGCAGGTTCAGGCACAGTCGAATTCGGCAGTTGGGAAGTTATTTAATCCTGGCGCTTTGGACACGGATTGGACGCCGGTTTTGTTGACCAATGGAGTGTACAGAGACCACGCATTCGCGTGGAAGGAATTGCAGAATTTGGTGCAGATTTGTGTGCAAGCGAGGACGTTCGACGAGTTTCGTGGGACATAGAGTTCTTGATAATTTTTAACAAGGAAATTCTACTAGCTCGTGGAACGGAATCACTTTTTTGTTTAGAATCACTATAGAAGGGGCGTATTGGTACTTTTGTAGCTGCAGACGCATTGACCTCACTGTGGGCGTAGTTCCATTTGCGCTTAAAGTCCGGTGTCCGAAGAAGCAGACGAAACTCAGGCGCTCAGTTTTGCTCGGTCAAATGCGACTTCCTGTTTCGTGGTCAGTCGTTGCGAACAATGAAGCTTCCGTTGGGCAGAGAATCGGTAAAGCTTCAGGTGAGGGACACGAGAGCCAAATAGGGGCTGAAAAAACGATAGTAATAGTATCACTTCGTTATATAATTTCGTTTTCGTATTTGGGAACGACGAGGTACTTCGCCCTTCACTCGCTCTCGAACTCGATCGTATTTGTCGTGCTATTAGAAACACTATCCTTCAGCTGTGGGCAACAAGAGCATCGTGGCACGTTCCTTATCGTGTGGTCTTGCTGAGTGATTTTTTTGGATATGGATTTTCATTTCTTGTTCTTTTACACGTAATCAAAAACTATCTTCAAGAACCACTATTTTTACGACTGCTTTTGTCATCTTGTTTTAGATGATGGGATTTTTTTTTTTTCGACTCCGTAATCTCAGCGAGAAGACCAAAATCTAGAATGACGTGAGTACTGGCGTTGGCCAAGAGTTGGAGCAAGGGGAGGCTCCGCGCAACTGTCGGGTTACTTCCACCGGCAGGGGGACATCAGTACTATATAAGTAGTCCTGAAGAGCATTCGAATTCGTGGTTGATAACTTGACTACCATCAGGACCAAGGCTCGTAGTAAATTTTCTTTCGCTCCAATCTTTTTTTGTTTTCGATTACGTCGACATGTTGCAGAGCATGTAATACGTGCCGCATCGTCATATATAGGTTTTTTTTTTTTTTTCAGCCTCCTGTCAGCTCGTCTTTGTGAAATTTCTCAGGTAGCTGAAGAGCAGAAGACGCAGTGATCTACTCATCTGGCACCATGGCCATCACCACCGTCAGCTGAAGGAGAAAGCCCGCTGAAGCCGGCGTGCTGCACCGGGAACTGCAAGGTCCGTACTGATTTAATTTCGTTCAGCAGGTCCGAACGTCTTAATTCGGATGTACATACATGGCATAGATTTAGCTGCTTTTGACTTGTTCGAAATATCGTCGAGGTTTGTGGACGGTCATTACTCATTTTCCTTGAAAATTGACATTGATTTTTGTTTTTCGCGTCAGGTACTAGCTGCCCAAGCGTCCCCGCGGACGAAGCAAAGAAAACCTGATCATACCTTCACCTGGACTAGTACATCATGGCCCTGGCGGTGATCAAGAAGATTCGGTACGCGATCGTGGCGTTGTTTGCCGGTGCGGCGAGTGGTCTGTTGCCGCCACAGGAGACGGAGTTTGCCGATGAGAATGCTACCCCCCCACCCCGATCAACATGATAGCTTGAGCCGCACCGCCTCCCGGAGTGTCTCTATTACCGGCTCCGGGGACCTTTCGTCAGAAGCGGCGCAACAAGGGGGAGCGGCGCATCTGCAGCTTCTGCAGCAAGAAAGTTCCGTCATCAACGGGGGGCCCGTCTATGGATGCGACATCACATGCAGTTGCCCACCTCCTCCATCCGTCACACGCTACGCATTCTTTCGGGGATTTCCTTCAATCCGCTACCGGCCCGATACAACGAACGACGACGAGAAGAAAGTGCCTTCGGAGAGCCTGGAACTTAACCGCGTCTACGTCAGCGCAGCAGGTGTGTCCCTGTCCAGAGCCTGTGCGAGTGCAATGGCACCAGGAGGAGACGCCGATCGTGCCTGCAGCGAGTACTGCAATAACTACAGCTACGAGCTGAGCAATTGTCGTGTTAGTTAAGGTGAAGCCGGCAAAGGAAAAGGAATCGTAGACGATGGTGATTCTTCAACCTCTGTCACTTTCTGCACAGGTCAGAATCAATGATGAAAATGTAAATATTCATAAGATCATATAGTTGGTTGACGGTGAGTCGAAGCGTGCGTAGTTCTATTTTGTAGCATTCAACACACCTCGACCTCTCGCACTTTTGCGCTAAGACGGGACTTCGACTTCTCATGTTCTCCTGGGGGCGAATAAAATTAAAGTATACACCTGTTTCGCCCGGCGCTGATAATTTCAAGGTCATGTTCATGCAGAAACAAAGATCTAATTCTAAATCAAGATCATCATCACCTGAAATCATGATTTCTCTGCACCGCGAGTACGCCAGCTGCTCAAGAACAAGATCGCCAATGCGATCAGCATGTATATCGGAATGTGAGATCTGCACCAGTTCGGTGAATCATGGCAGCAGGATCTGGATTTTCTTTTCTATCCATGGTTAATCTCGAAATTTTGAAGAGGATCCAAACGCAAACAGAAACAGTTCAAGGAGCAATGATACTAGCCACGTACGCTCCGCCTGTAGCAATGTGCGTCGAAGTTCAATTATTCCGCTAGATCGAAAAGCAAAAAGAAAAAGTAGCTCAAGGGGCCGAGGCTGATTCTCCAGGCCGGCGTGGCGCAGGCAGACCTCCCAGCCGGGGCCCGTCTGTCAGACCTGCCTGCCTTGGTCGCTCGCCGGGACCGGGATCGCCGGGCGGGACCGGGACCGCCGGCGATCTGAAACTGCAGCGCAGCACGCCACCCGAAGGCGCACGCGTCTGCCTCCTGTTCCACTCGATGGATGCAGCAGGCACTGAGTGCCAAAATCGATTTGCTTAAGATTGTTTGCTTCCCGCAAGCTGTTCAAGCCTTTGAGAGCCTGGGGCGTCGTTCTTCCTTCCAGCGCTGGACACGCTTACTTAGTTCAGCCAGCTTTAGCGACCTTGCCTGCTATTTTTGCTGCTTCTGCAATTCAAAAGCTTCCCAAGTTCTGCTGCTGGGCCTCACCTTCAAGCTTTGCCTTTTCTTTCGCTTTCACTTGTAGCTTTTGCTTTTTTACTTTTAGCTTTGGCTAGTGCCCTCGCTTTTACTTTTAGCTTGTACTTTTACTTTTAGTGCTTACCTTCAGTCTTCGCTTTTAGTTTTTACTTTTAGTTTTTACTTTTAGTTTTTACTTTTAGTTTTTGCTTTTAGTTTTTACTTTTAGTTTTTACTTTTAGTTTTTGCTTTTAGGTTTTGCTTTTAGTTTCTGCTTTTAGTTTTCACTTTTACTTTTTGGCTTTTGCTTTCAAACTGCGGAATAATATGTAGTGAGGTCACCGAACGGTTCTAACCGGGGAGTTTTTTTGCCACCTACCGTGAAAAACGACCGGCAGTTTTCAAGCGGCCGGAAGGCTTTTTTGACATAAAAAATTTCCAATTATCAAGCGGCCGGGGCTTTGATAGCAAACAAGCCCGGTCGAAAACTATCGATTCGCACTGGATAAAACGACGCAGGGAAGCCGGCAAAAGGGGCGCCCTTCTGAGGCGCCCACCGCCTTGGTTTCTGGCGATTTGGGGCGCCCAAAAAGGGGCGCGCAAAAAACGCGCCCAAAATCAGAACAGCGAAACAGCATGGCACGGCCGCGATTTCGGAGCATCTTGGGCGGCCGCGAAAGCGGCCGCCTTTTCGCCGGTTTTAGAGCCTGGGAAGCTTTGCAAAAAGCGCCGGCGTGAAAAATAAAAACGCGAAAAATAAAAAACGCCTCAGACGCGCAAAGCCAATCCGCATGCTATGGGCCCGGTTTTTCTTCGCTTTTTGGGCGCCCCCCGTGGCACCCGGATCGGCCCCATAGCATCGGGGCTGGCTTTCGGAAAGGAATTTGGGAAATGTGCCAAAATTTGTGATGTTTCCCAAGTGGCCGCCATACCGTGCGGCATAACGTTACTCACGGCGGTATGGCGAGCCCAGAAAAAACAAAGGCGCGGCCAAGGCGGCGGTCGGCAAAAAAACGCCCACGACCTCACTACCCCCGCCCCGGCGGCTATATTTGGTAGTTTGGCCGTCACGACTTTACTCTTTAGCAAGGGATAGATTTTATCAAGCGAGAAGTACAACTACCTAAACCTATCAATGTGGATGTGGGAAAATGGCGGTGCCTTTCTTGATGTTCTCACTCTTGGTGAGAACCCAACTGATGTTGAGCTTTATATGCAACGAACAGGCCGTAGGTGGACCTTTCAGAAGACGCTAAATAGCGAAGGTATTTTTTGATATAGAAACATAGTACTGAAGTTGCCGGTGCATCTGTTCACTATTACCGCATACGCATTGAGTTGCACTTTCAAGTTCGTCCATCATCGTATAGAAAAAGAAATTATGGCGAAAAACAAGAAGTCGAAGAAGGCCAAATCCGGCCTGACGATCAAGCCGAACAATACCGAACAACCGCTGAAGAAGACCGCGAAAGAGAAGCGGGCCCAGGCCACCATGGAAATCCAGCAGGCGAATGACAACTTGAAACAGAAGCAGCAGACGGGCAAAGCCCTTGCCCGCGACGAGGAAATGACGACCGACACACCGGAGAAACAACTGAAGCGGCAGGTGATTAAGGCGATCGTGGACCCATTGAAGTACGAAATCGGGATCTGGGGAGATCACGCACCGAAACTAATGCTGCAAGAACGGCAAAAATCCACTGCAAGAACAGAGAAAAAATACACAACTCCAAATCAGCAACACACGACCACGAGCACCTCCGCCCTCGCCAAGCTTCTCTACCCGATGAAACCGACCGAGTTTTTCGAAAAATACTTCGAGAAGCGGCCGCTGGTGATCAAAAGAACCAACTACCACGCTACCAACGCCGGCAAGGATTTTTACCAAGAGGTCTGCGGATTGGACTACAACAGAAAGGTTATCGAGGAAGAGTTGGAAAAGGAAACCGGGAATCTCAAATACGGCACGGAAATCACCCTGGCGAAGTTCGACCGAGCGAACCAGTGCAAGGTGATCGAGAACGTGAAGGATGACAACGAAACCGCGACAAAAGACGAAGTGAAAAACGCGATCGACAAGTTTGGCCTGTCCTGCCAGTGCATGCACCCCCAGCGGTTCTCCCCCTCCGTCGCGAAGTTCCTGGCCGGGCTGGAAGACGAGTTTGGGTGCTTGTTCGGCTCCAACTCCTACATCACGCCGGCGAAGAACCACATCGGTTTCGCGCCGCATTTCGACGACGTGGAGGTCTGGATGCTGCAATTGGAAGGGAAAAAACGCTGGCGGTGTTGGACCCCGGTCGGGAGTGACATCTTCGCAAGAAACTTTTCGTCTTCTTCTTCTTCGAGTAGTAGTGCTAGCGCAGCAACTTCCTCCATGTGGTCTTCTGTACAGCAAGAGGACCAGCAAAAAACCAAGTCCTCTTTCACGACAGAGTTTTTCGACACTTTGAACTACTCCGCCTCCCTTCCGCGCGACTACTCCCGCGATTTCACGGTGGACGAGTGCGAGAAGCGGATGGCGCTGAGATTAGACGTGGTGCTCGAGCCGGGCGATTTACTCTACATCCCGCGAGGGACGGTCCACTTCGGCGAGTCGATTGACCAAAAAGACAGTTCCCACCACTTAACCGTCTCGACGTTTCAGAAGCACAGCTACGTGGATTTTTTGAACGAGTTGCTCCCTACGGCGCTAAAGCACTGCGCGGAGAAGGATTTTCGCTTCAGACAGGGACTGCCGGTGGATTTCTACCGGAAAAACGGGTCGATTCAGGGGGGACCGGAAGCGCGGTTGAAGAAGAAACTGGCGGAGTTACTGGATTGTGTGAGAGAGAAGATTTGTGCAGAAGATACAGAACAAGAAACTCTTGAACAGGGGAGTGCGGTGACAAAAACTTCTGATGTGAAAGCGGGCAACAAATTGGTGCAAAACGCGGTCGACCAGATGGGCAGCGATTTCGTCGTCCAACGACTGCCGCCGCCGGTTCTTGCTGTTGAAGAAAAAACAGCAAACAAATCCTCTCAAGAAGATGAAAGCAAATTCAGAAATCCCGACTGCGGTTTCGAGATCCCGGAGCAGGACGATACCTTTATCCGCTTCACGAACATCGCGAAACGGTCCATCCGCTGCGCCTTGGATGTCGACCCCGCGACGAACGAATTGCAGTGCTTATTGCTATTCCCCTTCCGAAATTTACCCGAATTGCACATGCTCGGCGAGGCGAAACTGGCTGAGTACTACCAGGAGCAAGCGGAACTGGAGGGAAACGAGAACGGGCAGGCGGAGCCGAAGGGCAGCGTATCATTGGAGGAGATGTTCTTTCCCGCGTTGCGGAAATTAATGCAGGTTTCTAGTGTTGATGGCGATAGCACCAGTGCCTCTCCTTGGGTGAAGGTCAGTGAGCTTCCGTTGGAGGAGGGGTGCGACCGGCAGGCCTTGTGTCAGCTACTGAACACACTGGAACTGCTGGAGATTAAGGACGCCGGGACTGTAGGAGCTGAAGAAGACTGTGAAGATGCGAAAACCGCGGCGGGAAACAAAAACCATGAAGTTGAAGAGATTGTTATCGACAGTGATGAAAGCAGTAGCTGTAACGGTGCGGATGGTATGGTGGATGACGAGGAGTCGATGTCCATTATGGATGATGAGTTTGACCTGGAGGAAGAAGATTTGGAGGAGGAAGACTCTGATGTTGATATTGGCGAGGACTAATGAGGACGGAATCAAGTGGCACTTGTACTTGTTGCGGCTGTGCAAATGTTATTAGATGGAGCTTTCTTCAAATTATTCATCAACTTCAGCATGGACATAGCACGTTATTACTGTACTAGAAACTATCTTCACGGACGCGCAGCATCTCTGAAATGCAACTGCATGCAAAGAAAAAGTCTGTGATTCAAATCTTATCACAATAGTAATAGACAGGCCGCTGTGGCTTGCATTTACTTCCTTGTTTCTCTTTCTATTGCGGGCGAGGCCTCAGAGTTGATGTAGTGTTCGAATTATCATGTCGTGTTGAATTTCGTGCCCTGGTCGACTGCTTGTGAAATCCTTCGCAACTACGAAAGCAATCGGCTTTCTTCTTGATTTGTCGTTCTTCTAGTCAGGAGTGTTTTCGGACGGTAAGGATTTTGCTGACTGTCTTTTCGTAGCTGCGTAGTAGTCAGTCCAACTTTTCTGCAGCAACAGCTGCTGCGACTAACCCAAAGAAAAATGAAGTACAACCTGTTCCCGAAGCTCGATTTCTTTGCTTACCTGAAGAAGATCCACGTCAGTTACCACCCCGGCCGGCCAAAGACCGAAGTCGCGAGGAGACTGATCATGCGCATGACGAGCGAGAACACGAAGAAGAAGTTTCCGAACTTGCAGGCCACGTGGGAACTGCTCGGCTACGACGCACCGTCGACCGTGCAAGTGGAATTTTTGAACGGAAGGGAAAAGCGGTTTCTCATTGAGCACTACAGCAGGTACGAGATGCAGCACATTGTGGACGAGTGGCAGTATGACGCGCATGTGGAGTACATGAAGGAGAACAATTTAGAAAAGGCAGAGGACGCCGATTGATAAAAGCGAGAATGAGATCTTCGATGTGTCGTAAAATAAAAAACTTCCACTTCGTCCAAAGTTCGTGGTACAGATTGATTGTCCCGGTGTTCGAATGCCGATCCGACCTCGTGCATACGCATAGTTCCCTGACGAGGCACATTTACGACCTTCATGATGGACGACATCTAGAAGAGTGCTCCTTGTGCTTCCTTAGCTCAAGCTCTGCCACTCCTGCTATCTTTGTCGCTTCGAAATGCAAGTGAGCACATACTACTTCCTCTTCGTCTCGCTATCGCTTTCTGCCGCTGCCGCAGTTGGCACACTGCAGTCGTGTCGTTTTATCGTATCTCTGTCGCGATATAATCGTCGTGTTGGGTTACAGTTTAGTTCGCTCCTTCTCGAGATCGTCATTGTTCCCGTAATTTGAAAGTCGTAAAAGCAACACGATGTCAACAATTATCGTGAGTCTTGCATCAGGCGAGGCGATGCATGAGGATGAACAAGAACAACAAACGCGAGATCCACACTATGATGTTTTCACCTGAATTCAAGCACGATTCATGATCTTCAGAGCCCATAGCACGCGCACGCCAAATCTAGTGCATTTAGGGACTCCAAGTCAAAGATGGGGAGTAGTGCATCGGGAGGTGGAGGATTTGGAACACGAATAGCTGGAGACGCTTTGTTGCAGCATCATCCAACCCGATCTCGGGTGTCAGGAGGAGCGCCTAGAAGTGTGGGTCCTCTTGCCCAAAATTCTTGTGAAGTACACGAGCAGCACTTTTTCCTGGAAAAGCTATTTTCCTTTGCAGGGCTTCACGGGCCGAATCCCAAAGGTGCAGTGGTGAACTCACATGCAAGACTAGGACCTCCACCCTCATCCACGGTCTTCTTTGCCGCCGAGTACGACGACCCCATCGTCCAGGCCCCGACCGCGTACTCCGGCTCCGAGGCCGAGGAGAAACTGCCGGACGACTATTTCTCCAGCGAAATGTTGGACGAGTTTTCGACGAAAAACGAGGAAAATTACGTGGAGAAGTACAGCTCGCTCGAGAAAAGCCCCGTCCTGGGCTGGGAGCGCGGAGAAGAAACACCGGTGCCGGAGGCTTTCCTATCAAAATCAAAATCACACAAGTAGATGAGTTACAAGTTGTATAAGGGTCGTGCTGCCCCCGCGGCTTTTTTTTTTTCCCCGACATGCTTAGTGGTGGACCTGCAGACCCCACTGCACGGGCAAACAAAACTAACATACCGAGCAGATGCCAGAAGTGAAGCAGAACAGTGGGGCGGCGTCTTTTTTATAGTAATGCCATTGAAAATGGGCTCATGGTCATGCTCGCGACCCTGGTAGAGCACTTTGCACGAAAAAGATGAGAGCTTTGACTTCATCAGGCAAAAATATCGCTACTTCTTGTCACACATCAATTACGCCCGCCTTCATTTTCCATACTCTGAGGATGAGATCGACAAGTTCGAGGAGAACAGCTACTACGCCGTTCTCCCCCACGCCCGCAATCGGGAAGACGGTCCGGGCCTGTTTCCGCTTTTCAGTAAACTCAACGGCACGGGAAGACTCCAGATCCACAACCCTGACTTTGACAAAGCCAAGCACCAAGCCGAATTACGGGACGAAATGCGGCCGGAAGGGGGTACCGCCGGCCCGATCCACAAGCCGTTCAACGCCCAGAACTTGATTTTCCAGTTCATCAAGCGGCACTACATTCAGGACGGGGAGGACGGGTGCGAACCCGTGCCCGGGGAGGACGGGTGTTACGTTGCGGAAATCCGCCCGGTGGCGAAAATCGACTGGAAAGATGTGGACCACGAGGAAATCAAAAATTTTGACCATGCGGCAGAACACGACGAGAAAGGTTCTGAAGACACGACCGGAGGAGCAAAGCCAGGAGAGCATCACGATGTTGACGAGGACGGCGAGCCGGTGGACGAAAACCAGAAAGACTTTGAAGTGACACAGAAACCTGCTGAAGACAATAAAGTCGAAGGGGAGGATCAACAAACACCAAATGATGACTCTTCAGCAGCTGCGAACGATGGCGAAAACGACGAGAATCTGGCGGAACAACAGGAAGAACAGGCTATAAAGGAGAGCAAGGACCCGAACTCCCTTTACCACCTCAACGAGGAACAACCGCCGTCGGAAGAGGTCGAACACGAGGAGAAGTACGATTTCAGCCGGATGCACTTTGCGCACATTCCGCAGTGCGACACGCTGCATCCGGAGACGGAGCGGGAGAGCAAAGTGCCCTGTTTCCGCATGCTGCCGGAGCTGCCGGTGGACGAGAACAAGGGGGAGGCGTCCACGGCGTTTATCCCTATGCGAACCACGTGGAACGACAAGAAATTTCGCACCGTCGACAACCCTTCCGGGGAGAAAACCACCATCACCATCGACCCGCTGCGCACGTTCGCGATTGACGCGCAGAAGGCGCGAGACCGCGAAAGCGCCCACGAGGAGCACAACCGGGAGGAGGAGCTGCAGGAAGATGCCAAGTGGCTCGAAAACCAGCAGAAAGTGGCCAAGGCGAAGGCCGCCAAGGAGAAAGCCATGACCGAGGAAAAGGTTGCGGAGGATGAATTGAAGAAAGCGAAGGAGGAGGACCGGCAGAAGGCGCAGAACGAAGTGGAGCAAGCGGAAATCAAGGCCAGTAAAGCAGCGCAAGCCGCGGCGGACATGGCGGAACGGTTCGGGGATGACGACCACATGTCTTTAAACACCTCCATGAACGGCGAAGGACCGCCCATGTGGGTCTACGTGCCTATCGGCGAGCCGATTAAGGGACACTTTCCGAGGGGAGTGTCCGGTGATCCCACGATGTTTTTGTAGACCACAACATGACCACATTTTGATAGCTTTAGTCGTCGTGAAGGAGAAGAGCAAGAAGAACAAAGAGCTTGATCCTCCTGCTTGCTACTGGTACGGCAGGCTTTGCTTGTGCCTACAGCTTGTCGTAAATGCATAATTTCGACGAAATGCGTTCCAGGAGCAAAAGGTTTTCGTGATGCACTTGAAAAAAATTTTTGCACGATGCATTCCTGTGAACAAGGCAGATCAGATTCAGGAAACCTTGGTTGAAGATCAGGAGAACCAAGAAAAGGCATTCGGACTGATATGATCGAAGACAAAGACGAAGATCGGCGCACGCTCCGCCTCTATTCGTATTCCTGATCGAGCACAGAAAAAATTGGTTGATAGATCTCATCTTTCATCTTGTGCATGCTTTCTTTTTTGACCTCAATGCGAAAGTGTGCTTTTAATGACAGGCTGAGATATCATGCGGGAAGCAGCTGCATCTGCGTGTTCTAGTTCGTAGGAAATAAGTATCAAATCGTGTCGTGGCTCCTTGAGCCGGTTCAATAGTCCACGCATCAAGAAAATCATAATCAACTTTAAGAGCACTCAGCTGCCGAAGACTTCTAGAGACCACCAGCTGAATTGTTTCATCTTGATGTGTAACTGTTTGTGATGTAGCTGATGTAGCACAGAGGCGCAAGACGCGAAAAATGCCGGACCCCCGTAGCGTCCACGCCGCTGTCCGACTGGAGCTGGACCGGAAAAACGGCATCAACCACTTGCGGGCTGTGTTCGCGGAGCAATTTGAGCAGAAGCTGGTGCAGAAAGGACACCGGATAAGCGTTGATGAAGATGATCATGGAGGTGGAAAATCAAAATCTGGTGCTCCGTCTGACCACATCAAGACAAGCACACCGCTTCTTCAGCCGCCCCGCGAGGCTCTGAATCGGTTTCTCTTTTCTGGCCATGAGGAGTCGCTCGCGATGGAACTTGTGGACGACTGTCCGCTGAAGTTACACAACTGGTACCCGACGGAAATTGAGAAGCAGCGGCAAAACTACGCACACTGGCGCACGGGGATGAGGAAATGGCTGCATCAGGTCGTACCAGACCAGCTGGGGAACGACTTGGATGTGCCTGGTCTTCAGAAGCAACCAGGCGCCGACACATTTACTTCTGAGCCAGCCAGTGAAGATAGGGTAGTCTCGCGTGCACGTGGCAGACCTGAGTTTGCGCACGTGTCAGATGCGACTTGGGAGTTACTGCTGCAGGATGAGGAAGAGGAAGTCGAAAGCGTGAAGCAGGCTGAGGCGACGCCCAGTTGTGGTACAGCTACTACTCCCAATCGGTCAACACCCGATGAGCCAGGAGCTTGCTCATCACGCAGTGACACAGCCACGTCAAGTCGGGGCGACGGCGACCCCGAAGTAGCTTTGGGGAACGAGGACGAGGACCAGTCAGTATCAGCGTCTTCTGGTTCTAGCGAGGAGATGAACCAGGAGCAAGAAAACTTGAGGCATGTTAGCCCAGATGAGGACTCACGACGCAACCACACTTCTGAGAACGAGAAGCCCAAGCTGCCCTCTCAGCGACTTACAGTTTCGCCCAACCAGCTCCGGTCTGCCAGCCGGGAGATCGTCGGGCCGATTGTATTGCCGATTGCAAGGGAGATAGCAAAGGAAATGAGAGAGCTGAGGGATCAAGCGCTTTTTTGCGTGAAGGAAAGCAATCTGAAAAATCTTCCCCGTTCTCATGGACAAGAAGATGATCATGATCTCCTAACCGTCGACGTCCAGCCAAACCCGGAGAAGAAAATTTACGTCATGCGAGCTGGTGACGAGGAAATTACTTTATCTGAGTGGGCCTTGCAGAAGCTCTCCAAGCTGTACCATGAAGAATGTGATCGGACGAATGGCAAGGGAAGCAAAGGCGTAGGCGTACTAGCGAGTGAAGTAGATACAGGCTCAGCCGCGCCCCCGTCGGCTCTGGTTGATCATCGAAGCATAGATTTCTACACGGCGGCCTTCTGCTGTGCTCTACGCTATTCCGCCCTGGGAGGCAAGGAACAGGTCGACGGTGCCGGTCTGCAAGCGGCGATGCCCCAGAAGGTTTTTGACGTCTTACCGTGGCAGGTGCGGGAATGTTTCGCCAGCCCGTTTAACGTGTCTAAGGCGCCGCCACGGCAAGTGAGAAAAGAGGAAGCTTCGGCGAGTTCTACAGCTCTTGTAGTGTCAACGAGCGCGGCATCATCACGGGATGACGGAGTCGCCGTGCTCGCCGAGAGCACTAGCGGGTCTCCTGCTGAGCCGTTGACTGTGCTAGATTCTAATTCGCCAACAAGAAGCTCAACGTCGGACCTTGAAACTGTGGCTCCTGCAGCCAAGCGACGAAAAGTACTGGACGATCCCGCTGTGAAAATTCTAGCCGATAGCACAGCTAACGGCTTAATATCAAAACCCAAGCAACACCCAACAAGAACATACAACGCGTACTGCAGCTTCTTCGAGGAGGACAAGCTTTTCGGGTCTTCTGGCAGTTTCTTCGATTTCATCACCACAGTCGTGCCTCCGGTGCGAGGAGAAGGTGCAGGAGCAGCAGCTCCATTTGTAATCGAAAAGGAAGACAATAGCGGCGCTCCCTACTTTTTCGAAGTGAACCCGCCATTTGACGTCGACGTGATCCACCGAGTTCTAACGGCGATAGAGCGAACACTTTCATCTTCACAAAGAAATAGTGTTGATGCGAATAAAGATAGCAGCACTTCTAAACAAGCGACCTTCCTCCTCATCGTCCCCGAGTGGCTGCAGCAGGGAACCTTTCGCAAAAACAGTCCGATCGACCGGATTTTGAGTTCCAAATTTCTGAGGGCGACGGTGGTGAAGAAGCCACACAAACACAAGTATGTCAAGGGCCGTTGCTGGCATTGGAAGAAAATGGAAAATGGGCCGCCGCTCTCGCCGGGCGTGTCCAAAAGCCGGGCCACGCTGTTGAGCAATTTTATGGAGAATGAGGAAGCGGAAGAATTGATGGCGAAAATCGCACGAGAATGGTGACGCTTCACATACTACGCATGGCTTGACTCAGATTCATACAGCGACAGAACTAAAGGAATTGACGATTATGCTGGGCTGTGGGTGAAAAAAGCCACCATCTAGTAAGTACTTCACAAGGACAACAAAACAGCGACTAAGATTTTCCTGATATTCTCGCAGTTATCGACGACGCTCATTCTATCGCCTTGCTTTCTGGGCAAGTCCTTGCCAAATCGTATTGCCACTCATCGTTCGAGTTCGAGAACAAAAATAAAGACCACTGCGGAGCTACGCGGCTGTGCATCGGACTTTGAGAAGAGAGTTGTGAATTTCATCTCACCCTGAGGACCGACGAGCGAATGTGATTTATTTCGTGACCTTCTTGTGATCATTATTTGGATCCGTGGCGGTTCCTCGTCTTGGTCGTGTCGTTACTTTCAGTTCGTGGTGACTCGTTGCTGCTCTACTTTTTATCGGTCGTGACATTCTGATTTCCCCTTCCACCATAGCGTAGTAGTTTACGAACAGCAGCACCACTGGTAATCGTCATCTTCCCAATCTTTACGTTTGATTGATATTTATTTTTTCGTTTCAAGTTCCTCTGTCGACCCCAGGCCCAAAATGACGACCCGTTCCGTGGAGCTGAACCGAAAAATGAACCAATGGCTAGTGAACATTCAAAAGGCAAAAAAGGAGCAGGAAGAAAGGTCAAGGTCACCCGCAGCTCCTGTATTGAACTCGCAACAACAAAACGTCGCATCAACCGGGACAATCGATGGTGGTACTTCTGCAACGGCGGTAGTTTTGCAGCAGTCGCGCGAGGTAAAACAGCAAGGACCATCGTCCCCCGGCGTCGACGCAGTGAAGTCCCTGATGTTGAACAAAGGGCGTTTCGCCGAGGGTGAGCAAGTGCGAGAATCCGTTGAAATCGCCGGTGGCGAGGAAGATGATATGAATTTCTACCGACCAACCGGAGCTGCGACATCATCCGTCTCTATTCGGGATTCGCGAGAATCCGAGTTTTTCTACCGCCCGACCGGCGCAACTGCATCTACTTCAGCGCCGTCGCGTAGGAGCGGATCGCTGCAAGATCAAAGCTTCTACCGACCGACTGACAGAGTGACAACTGGGGCAACATCCAGAACTTCCGACACGGCAATCAACGCCACAGACACTGCGATGAGAAAATCTAGCGCCGCGGTGGTTGCGAAGAAGGGTCTGAGCGTCAACTCCACGAAGCCGGGCAGGTACACAGAGTATGAGCAAGCGAAAGAAAAGGAGGCGGAGATGAAGAGAGCCCCCGCAGGTGATTCCCCTGGAGTAGCACGGGAACAAGACTACAATCTCGTTCTCCCGTTCGAGCAGCCGTGGAAACCGAATCTGAGGCAAACCAGAAGAAACTCCGCGAACCGGATTCTGAACATGCAGCAACGGGAGATCTTCGACAAAACGTCCACTTCCTCCGCAATCGCAACTGGAATTGTGGCTGGCTTGGATGGAAGTTCAGCATCACCTCCTGCCTCGGGAGAACTTGTTTCACCGCCGGCAGCAGCAGGAAGTGGCGCCGCCGCCGCTCTGTTCTACCAGCCAACAGCTGCACCAGGAACTACTAGCTCTGTCGCTGGTACGCTGAACTCGAAGGAAGGCGTAGGGATAGACGTAGAACAGACTAAAAACGATGATGTTGGCGACTTGCGCAGATCGCTAGCGGACATCTTGCTTGATGTGCAGCACATGCGGTCGAGCGTGGACAAACGGAAGGAGGAGCTGAGCAACCACCGGCAATCACAACGAGCGGCTTCGCGGGCCAGCAGTCGGAGGAGGAGTGCGAACGACGAAGAGGCAGAAAGGGCGACCAGTGTGGTTGCGGTGGGGGCGAGGGGGTACAGCTTATAGATGCAGTGTGTCACCAGAAGACACATGTAAAAATGCGCATGCACGTTATATCTCATCCATCCTCCTCGATTGTCAATACTACTTTACATCAAACATCTCGCCTCCACTTCTATGTTGTTCTTGTTTTCTCAGGTACTACAGTCGCAAGGTGGAAACGCTGTTCGACCGGGTCGATTGGGCGAAGCTTGGTCTAGCACTCAACTTATCCGACTGGCTGGGCGACTTTGTGATGCAGAGCAGCGAACGGAACCGCAAGAACAGCGTGCTGACGAGGTTGTTGTCCGCCTTCCGGACGAAACTGGTGAAAAAACTGGTGTTCGGCACGAGTACCGCGCCGGATCCGTCTGCGTCCTCCTCTTCCTCCTCGAAAAGCCTGATCAGTTTGAAGAACGCAGCGTACGAAATCGTGGAGAGAGCGCAAGTGCGGATGGTCTTGGGCGAGGAAGAAGATTTGCCAGGGCTGATGGACGAAATAAACCTGGAGGAAAAATTTGAAAACTACGCAGCAATTGGCGGGTCCACTTCGAGCAGTTATTTCGATTACGACCGGCAGAAGCAAAACGCGATGTCCCGCTCGGTTGATTTCCTTTCCCGCTATCTTTTCGACTGCAAGGAGGCCGTGCGGCCGGTGCTGCGGGTTTCACTCCGTGCGCTGATGATGACGAGGCCATTTACGAATGAAGAGCTGCGGAAGGTATAGAAGAAATTGAATTTGATGGCTTTCATGCGGGTGTGTTGTGTCTGATTCAGATTCTTGGTTCTAGAGTAGATAAAAGCATGATGGAAAGTGCGACGTTTTCTTCCACTCATTATGCATCATACAAAACACAACGTCAACTCCAGACGATGGGCAAGCTGCAGAGCAGTGGGGATGTTCCCTGGATATCTGACGAGCTGAGCAAAATCGCCGTCGACCGCGCGACCGGGATTCTCGAGATGGTCCGACTACATGACATTGACGGGATGACAAGCCCAAGCCCTGGTGGAGTTTCTCCGCCCGGGAAAAGCGCGGCCAACATGCTCCAGTCTAGAGCCGAAATCCGGAAATTCGTTCCAGATTTCCCGGAAAGAGGAGAGGGTGGAGATGCTACCGCTAGCAACGCCGGCTCTCTGCAGTACTTCGAAGACTACGCCGCAGAGCTCAAAGCAGCCGCCGAAGCGGTGAAGGCGGACCCAAAACTGCAGGAGCAGATGTGCAACTCCCCAACAAATGTTCGTGGGTCGTACATCGAGACTCTCCGGGAGCAACTGAGAAACGAGCAAAACCTGAAAGAGGAGAAGGAACGGAAGCAGAGCAAACTCACCCTGTCCGCGGAGGATGAGCAAGAAGCTTTGGATGCGGAGGTTCGGAAGAGAAGCAAGAACTACGAGTACCGACGATCGTTTGAAGAGAAGGTCGCGGAATTCTACCTGGAAAAGATGCATCTGCGGGAGCCGGTACCACGATCAGCCAGCCGGTCAAATTACCGGTCGAAGTCGACGGAAAGAGGCGGTGGTGGGGGTGGACCTCTTTCAACCCGGAGCTCCAAACAGTCGTCGGCTTTCGGGATGAACAATCCGAAGAGCCCCCCGGCGGACACTGCCGAACTGTTTGGGAAGTTTTCCCTCGAAGATCTCCTCGCTACGAAGCAAGTTGAGGACGACGAAGTGTTGAACCTCGCCGCAGAAGACAAAATCCGGTTCGTCAGTCGGTTCGGGCTGGCGTTAGTCCGGGGGGAGAAAACGGGGAAGATGAAACAACAACAAGCGAACGAGGAAGCAAACGCGAACACCTCCTCTGGAGGTCAAGGAAATCAATCTCAAACTACCCGGCGCATTACGACCGGCATAGCGGATGAGCTGTTTGACAATTTTTGGAACAACCCGGAGCAGTGGGCGTTTTTGGAAAAGGTCCGGTCCGCCGGCGCAGACGCACTGCAGCACATGTTGCAGGGATTTCTCGTGTCCGTCGACCTACCGGAAGACATCGTTGACATCCAGCACAGTAACGAACTCTCGAAATTTTTCAAAAAGTTCCAAGCGACCATGCCGCGGAGGGGGCACAGTACGGAGATGCTGAAAAAGCACTTTGTGAACAACAGAAAGTTCGGCACGTCGCAATCGCCGAGCACAGGGAATAGGAATATTAGCAAATCCCGGAGCCCGAACCGCACCGCAAACCAGAAAACACTCCAGGATTTATCCGGATCGAGTAAAGATTTCAAAAACACAGACGTGCGGTTCCAAGTGTTGTCGCCCAGACGCCAGAACCGCTTTGAAAGTCGAGAAGACGACTTCGAATTTTCGCTCCGGTCCGCGACGAACAAGAATATTTTGCAGCGCGTGCAACTCCCGGTGAAACACGGATCGAGTGACTCTCACCCGGAGATCGCCAGTCAGAAGTTGATTGACCGGATTCAGCAGTTGCGCTTGGAAGAAAGTAAGAAGATCAAGATCGGCAGTGCCCACGAAGCTTCAAACGAGAGACAGGTCCTGGCTGCGGAGGCGCAGGCGCTGCTGGCGCTGGCGACGGGCGGGAAGGAGGGAGGGCCGCGGCGGGCGCTGAACAAGCCGTCGAGCAGCGCAGTAGGAAATACGTCTTCACCGGAGAAGAAAAAGAAGGAATCGAAACCCGGGGCAGCAGCGAGGGATCTGATTGCACGATTGAGGGCACAGTTGAAAACGAGTGATGGTGCTGCCGCAGGAGTGAAGTCTTCAGATCCGGGGAACGCCACCCGTGTGCAGCCGGACAATGACCCAAAAGCGATCGTCGACAAGAGCAAGGCTCTTGCGGGTGCAACAAAAAATGAAGCAGCCGCAGCTGCTTCCACGTTGGCTTTTCACGGTGACGCACTAACACAGGAAGGCCCGCACCCGGACACGCCTTCGGAGGACAGCTTGCTGAGTGATGAGGAACTGCAAGAAGACGACGAGGATTTGCTAGATGAAATAGGAACGACCAAAGCTTCTCCCACGGCCAAGCGGGCAGCCAAACAGGAGCGGAGGAAGAAGCATTTGGAGAGGAACATGCAGCAAATAACGGCAAAACGCGACCCGAACAAGCCTCCGACTGTTCTCGACACCGAAGTCGTGTTTCCGAAATTTCCTGAGAATCAATCGAAATTAGAGGATGACGACGAGTTCTACAGCCACACCAGGCGCAAGTACAAAAACCGATTTGGCCGGGACGGGACCACGTTCGAGCAGTGGCTGAAAGAGGAGTTGGGAAGAACGTCAGCCAGGCCAGGGACAGGAACTAGAAGCACAGTTTCGTACAACTACACCATGAAATCCTCGGGAAACAAGAAAGGAGCTCGTGGTCCACAAGCTGGTAATTACGTTGCAACAACAAGAACTCAACCCATAATTTCCGTTCCCGTTCCGCCCGAGCCGCCAGGGGCCCTCGCAACTACAAGCGATAGGGAACTTTTGGAAGATGAAGCGACCAGCTACAACTTCTACGATGAACAATATCGCATCATTCCGGACCCCACGTCCTCTGGAAACGGCTTGGGTGCTGGAGCCGACTCTTCTACAATGACCTCTCAGCAGTTTCGCACTTTGCGCAAGAAAACGACGTCGTCCAGTGTGAGCAGCTCTGCAGGATTTTTTCCGACGCAACTACAGCAGGTCCCGCCTCTGATGCCGATGCTGAAAAAGACACATGGTAATAGCGGACAAGGGCAAGACGTTCTGTCCACCGACATGAAGATTCCGCTGCTCAGCTTGATCTCCGAGGAGCCAGGATCGTCTGCCAGCGGTGGCGGACAAGGAGAACAGCTACTATCCACGACTGCAGCCGCTGCGGCAAATCTGCAAAGAGCCTCCACTTTTGGCTCGCTGTACCCCAGTGGGCAGATCGAGAGTGTTATGTCCGGGGACGTGGCCGCGCTGCATGATGTTTACGACATAACCTACGAGTTGGAGGCGAGGATACGAGCACGCGCAGCTATGAAGAGCAACAAAATTTCTACCGAGGCAGCAGCTGGTACTTCTGCTACTCTTGGCGTTGCTGCTGCATCTACTTCTTCTGCGCCACCATTACAACCGGGATCAGACGAGGTTGCTGCTTCTAGCGCGCAAAATCAAAAATCAGCCACTGAGGATCATCATGAGCAGGACGAATCAGAAATTCTCGGTGGCAGTGTGGATCTGAACGTGACAGAACCTGGCTCACCGTTGACGCCACGGCTAAACCGAAACGGGCTTCTTGACAGCGCCGTTCGTCGAGTAGTTCCTTTTCCGGGGGCGGTTGCACCTGCAGGAGCTTCTTCGTCACCACTAGCAGCAACGCAAGACATCGATGAAATGTTGCGACAGGCGCAGAAGAGACTACGGGAGAAGGGCGTGGGCACGAATACTAGCTTCGAGGAAGAGTTGTTGCAACGCGTTGACCCGGACCATGCACACCGCTCGTCTATAGAGGACATCACATCTTCCGAACATCAAGACATACAGGAAGCACAAACTCAGGCTCACCCCCTCCGCGCCGCCGCGCTAGCGACGGCCTTTGGCCAGAAGTTCCAAACCCCGGAAGCGCTGATTGATACGATGTTCTCCCAGAGGCAAGAGATTCTGGAACGGGTGAGGAGTGAGAAGAAGCGACAAGCAGAGCAGGTGGCGCAGGGGCAGAGGGTGAGTAGGAGTAGCGGCGCTGAGGGTGATGGTGGTGAAGAAGATCAAGACGTTGACGCGGAGGACCGCAAGCCGTTGGCCGTCGGCACGGACCAGAAATTGTTCGGACAGGTCGGAAGGATTTTGCGGGATCGCGCGCTGGCGAAAAGCGTGCGCGAGTTGACGGCGCATTTGGACCTTTTTGAGCAGTAAGGGTCGTTGGTTCTTGCAGCGACGTAGAAGATGTGAAAAGTGTCGCGTTGTGTTCTGCTTCGAAAAAGAAGAAGCAATGAAGATAAACTACTGCGAGAATAAAGTACATCAGAACTACTTCAGAATTGAGATGCCCAGCACTTGGTCGCGTCTCATCGCAGCGCGGTTGCGGCATCTTCACCTCCAAGAGAATACTAGAGAATTTTGCTTGATATCAATGGTGTGCGACTACAAAGAGATGGAGCACAAAAGCAGTATAATAGCAGGAACAAATGCAAAGGCAAGCTGGCTGGAAGATATCGAAAGATTGCTGTGAAGTAGCAACAAGTCCAGTCGTTGGCTCCTGTGCCCCGGCTTGTTTGGTTCATCTCGAATAATTTCTCCTTGCTGACAGTTTGCCTTGTACTTCTTACCGTCATGTTATCAGCATCAATCTTGTGGGTGGTCTGGGAGTGGTTGTCATTCTCTCACTTGGTTAAGTGGACGAGGTCGCGACGTGCTCTCAAGCGATGTGTCAATTGTCAAGATGAGGAGAAGGACGAGAACCTTGTAGAGCTGCTGATGTTCTTCAGTCGCGTGAAAGAGTATTATTGAAAGATACGGTTTTGTATTTTGGTTGTGTCAAGCAGCTGTGCCAGAACTACGGTAAGACCCCAGAAATGCTCGTCCTGCTTGTTTAGCGATTTCATCCACTGTTTGCAAATTAAGAGTAGGTTTTCTTCTCGGCGCACACACAACATCTTTCTACCTTCGAAAGGACCACGAACAAGAAGTACACCGATGAAGTCTTTCCAAGAAGTTTATTTCCAGAGCGTCAGAGAGTCTCAATGGATCCGAAGTTACAACGCTGCACTGGAGCTACACAAACGATTAACCGAACATGAAAGTGCCAAGCCAAGCGAAAGGAAAATGGACCTGCCTCCCGCCAGGTCACGACTAACAAGGCTGCAGCATGACAAGCGCAGGACTTCTGTCTAGCAGCGTCGTTCTTGTTCTTCCTGTGACCGTCCGTGTCCGAGGACCACCACCGTGAACCGTCCGTAAGATGTCAATGTCCGCTCCGCGCATACCTCGCAGCGAACAGCGGCTGCTGCGCTCGCACCTCTCGTCGTCTCGCCGTGGTGGTCGCGGAAAGCGGGAGCAAGAAAATGAAAATTTTGAAGAACAACAGCATCAAGAAAACCTCGATGGAAATTCCGCCAGCAAGCGGCGCGTGCGGAGCCGAAGTCGGACGCGCACGCGAGTTAGCTTGGTTAACAACAATCAAAATCCAGGAACAGCATTGGTAAATTTGGATCAACAGAATCTTCAAAACCAGGAAGCTCTCCGCCGGTACTACCAGCAGCTCGACAGGATGCAGAATCCATCTCCCTACCCGCGGATCGTATTTCATTTCGCTGAAAAAGTCGAGGGTCCGTGGCGGTCGCTTTGGCTAGCGGCACACTGGGAGAAGAGATTGAAAAAAACCGACTACATGCAGGCTGATGTGAATGAGGTAGAGTCTTGCATTCTTGCAGCACTTGACGATCTGATCTGGCGTCGTAGCATTGATAGCGCAAGGCACCGCCGTCCCTTCACTCAACATTCTGCATGTTGATAGATAACATCAAACTAAACTACAATAAACATACGTTTCAGATTGTCGACGATATCCTGCAGACGCGATCTGAGCTCACGCTCCGGCAGCATGGGCATCTCCTTCTGGGCGCGACCCGGGTATTGGCGCGGAAAGTCACCTACCAAGAACAGCAGCTCGCCGCGTTTGCCGATCAAATCCAAGCCTCGTTGGAGGAGCCGGAGGAAGAAATATTGGATGACCTAGCGCAGGATCCCGATGCCATAACGCTTAACGTAGGAGGCGGGGCGGGAGGACGGGGGAATTGGCTGAGAGACGACTTTGAATTTGTCGAGCAGCAAGCGAAGTGGGAGGAGATCACGGTATGTGAAGTGATAGATTTTTTGTGATAGTGTGCAATGCAATAAAAACAAAATTTTGAAATTTCGCGGATTTTCGAAATGACTAAAAATGAAATTTTGAAATTTCGCGGACGTAATGAATTTCGTTGAAATTGCATGTGTGGTGTATTTCGTTCTTGTTAATTGACCACATAGTGGAAAAAAAATAAAATTTTGAAATTCCGAGAATTCTTGAAATTCTTGGAACTGCGAAAAGATCTATATCAGGAAAGCACGCCTGCATTCCTATCTTTGTAGGTGTGTGGTTCTGCCACATGCAATTACATACTTCCAACATGCATCTTTCTAACATGTACCAGCGCCGCTCTTTCAGTATGGGTTTTGCTTGAATTTGCTTCGTATAAAAATAAAATTTTGATTTTTCGCGGATGTACCAGGAGGCCAGAACGGGATGCGCAGCTTTTTGAAGCGGCAAAATCGACCATAGCGTGCAGGGGCGGATCGGGCGGACACCTGAAAAGGAGTCGTCGGGGGACCTCGGTGGCCGCCTCCTGGCGCCGCAGCTTTTTGAAGCCGCAAAATCGACCATAGCGTGCGGGGGCGGATCGTGCAGGCATCTGAAAGAGAGTCGCCTGGGGACGTCGATGGCCGCCTCCGGGCGCTGCAGCTTTTTGAAGCCGCAAAATCGACCATAGCGTGCGGGGGCGGATCGTGCAGGCACCTGAACGAGAGTCACATGAGGACGTCGATGGCCGCCTCCGGGCACCGCAGCTTTTTGAAGCCGCAAAATCGACCATAGCGTGCGGGGGCGGATCGTGCAGGCACCTGAAAGAGAGTCGCCTGGGGACGTTGATGGCCGCCTCCGGGCGCCGCAGCTTTTTGACGCCGCAAAATCGACCATAGCGTGCGGGGGCGGATCGTGCAGGCACCTGAAAGAGAGTCACCTGGGGACGTCGATGGCCGCCTCCGGGCGCCGCAGCTTTTTGAAGCCGCAAAACCGACCATAGCGTGCGGGGGCGGATCGTGCAGGCACCTGAAAGAGAGTCGCCTGGGGACGTCGATGGCCGCCTCCGGGCACCGCAGCTTTTTGAAGCTGCAAAATCGACCATGGCGCGCGGGGGCGGATCGTGCAGACACGTGAAAAAGAGCCGCTTGGGGACGTCGACGGCCGCCTTCGGGCGCCGCAGCTTTTTGAAGCTGCAAAATCGACCATAGCGTGCGGGGGCGGATCGTGCAGGCACCTGAAAGAGAGACGCTTGGGGAGCTCGGTGGCTGCCTCCAAAGGCCGCAATTTTTTGAAGCTGCAAAACCGACCATAGCGCGTGGGGACGGATCGTGCAAGCACCTGAAAAAGAGTTGCTGGGGAGCCTCCGGGACCGCCTCATAAGGCGGCGAGCAGCTTTTTGAAGCTGCAAAATCGCCCATAGCCTGCGGGGGCGGATCGTGCAGCCACGGGAAAGCTCCGCACGGTCTTCTCTAGGTCCAGCCGCCTTTTGAAGCCGCAATACCCGTTATGTACGGCGTGCAAGGGCGGACCGCGCAGCCATCGGCGAACCCGCAGGAAAGTTTAGAAATTTTACTCGACAAGCTGTGTCAAATCCAAATGCAAAAACGATGCTGCCATCCGATCATGCATCATGAAACACTTCTGAAACATCAGCTCGCCGTCTCTCCGCTGCAGAAGAGGCGAAAGCTGGTGCCCCAGACCCCGGATGAGCTGATGAAGGAAGTTTCTGACGGATTCGGCCCCGCCACGCCCCAAGAGATAGCAAGTACAGAAGAACGAGGACCAACATCATTTCTACACTTGGTGCTTCCGTTCTTGTCTGTTTTGATACTTACCTTGTTTGTTGTCGATGACGTTTCTATGTGGGATAAACACAATCTAAATCTATCTGATGGTGATACATCGGCTCCACATAACCAGGTTTCATTTTCCTCCAAAATTCCGCCGCGCGATCGGAAGAGCTGTTGGAGCAGCAGAGAGAAGATCCGGACATGCGGTTGAATCCGGTGGATTTTGACATGTTCTCTCCCGCGTTTGTTCCCACGCCCATGAAAAGCAAGGCGATCGCGCAGCAACAGTACGACAAAGCGTCCACTTCCGGAGCCGGACGAGCAGAAAATGCTGCACCCATGGCCGCGCAGACGCCGATTTTTGGAAGCCGTGGAGGTGCGGTTTTCAACGATGAGAATCTGTTTTTTTCTGCGGGAAGACCAAACGGAGATCTTCCTGTCCATCAAGAAGAGGAAAACTTGCTGAGCCTTTCACGCTTGAGCATGAGCTCTATCAAGCCGGCCGCGTCGCAGTCATTTCTCGGCGGAAGTGTTGGAAGAAGGGATCATTTTGCTGCTGGAGCAGGAGACGATATTTTCGGCGACGCGGGCCACGACGCTCCTGCAGCAGCACAAGGGGGAGCAAAGAGTCCGAGCATCAAGCTGGATAACAACTACAGCTTTCAAAGCGACCCGCTCGCCGCACTCAGGCTACAACCGCAGCTGTCTGGGATGCTACAAGCAGACGGCGTGGCAAAAAGCAGCAATCTATTGGAACAAGACAGGGATCTCCTCGATATAGACGACAATGTGCTCACCAACCGCTCGGTTGCGGTGGACGAGGAATTTTTCAGCAGTTTGTCCCCCGTCGACCAGGGGATCTTGATTGAACATTTGCAAAAGAGCGGGGATCTGCTGTCCGCGGCGCATCTCGAGAATCAGATCATTACGATGTCGGCAATAAACAGGTCGGATATCGATATGGTGATCACGGGGGACGACGAGGGAAGAGTAGGAGAAGGAGCCCAGAAGCAGCGGCAGACCGGTGACGTTCCCGCTCGTACAGGACACCTCCATGGTCCAGTATCATCGTCAGGAGTGGAAGGACTCGCCGGTGTGGACGGGGGTGTCGATGGCGCAGCAAGGACGACGTACTTATTCTTCGAAGAGGTCTTCTGGAAGGAGATGTGGATGTCTTTAGATAGAATTTTATTTGCTTTGAGCGAACACCGAGCCAAAAGAACTTTCTTGCAGACTACTTTGTACCTACGTGGTCCAGAAATCAAAGCAAAAATTTTTATCTTTCACAGGGGAGGTCATGAAATCGATAATGCAGCCGACGCCATGCAAATTCAGCGAGCAAACGAGCCAGCGACCCCGGCCTTCGAGGCCACTGCCGGCGACAAAGCAGGCCCGCTCGACGTCAACATCGTCGCGTCGCCGAATAGCGCTAGCGGTCCTGAAGTTTTGGATCAACAAGTAGGAGCAGGCCCACGAGCATCGCACCTCCAGGGTATGATGCTCCTCGACCCCGCAAAAATCCATGCGAGAAACAAGGCTTCGAACGACAGTAGTTCATCTCAACACGACCAGGACATGTCGATGCAGATGCTTCGGGACGGTAGTGCTAGACCCGACATCCAAATGTCCGCGTTTCGTCGCGGTGGAGCGAACCTCTTGCGGGGCAACATGATGGTGCAGCAATCCGCTCTGCGCGGCAGCGCTGTTGCAAACGCGGATGACGTAAGCGACCTGTTGCAGGGCGTCAACCTGAGCCAAGAAATTCAGTTCAACGACGGCCTACTGATGCACCAGCTACAGGACGGGGGAATGGGAAACAAGAGCAAGCGGGATTCCAGCAAAATCGAGCTAGACGACCCCGTGTTCGAGCAAGGGCATGACAGTCTGCAGTTCGACGAGCCGGTGTTTGCGGAGGATGCTGTTGTTGACGAAAATCAAAAGGACGACAGTAGAGAGCGAGCGTCTGCTCCTCGACGACCGCTCGCAGGAAACCACGAGAGCAAAGAAGTGACTCCACCCGGTGCTGTTGCCGCCGCAAGCGATGACGAAGAGCGACTGAAATTGACGCCGCTTGAGGTACTACTTGGATTTACGAATAATGATGAGCACAAGAACTACCTTAGGCGTAGATCTGTGGTGGTTTCTGTCGACAACGTGGTGATCTCAACATGCATCAGAGACTGCTGGTGACCTCGAGCTCAACACGTATTTTATCGCCCGTTGTGGATTCAGAATTTATTTGAATTGCACCTCAGGTATCCATCCTCGCGAGTCGTAGTCTTTCCGCGATGGAGAAGCGTGCTTACCTATCCGGCATCAGAACCCCGCGCTCCGTTGCGCGTAGCTCGGCAGTGGGAAGAAATCGACGGGGCAGTATCTCCGCGTCTCCCGATAGTAAAGGCAAAGAGTCCAGCGGGGACTTCCGGGGGTTCGGACGGGGAAATTTGGACAACTACCAGGTGGACGACCGGAGGAGAAGGAAGATTTTGGAAAACTTGGAGCGACACAACCAGCTTGCGAGAAATCCTAACGATCTTTACGGCGAGAACAAGCACGACTACCAGTACGGAGCCGGTACAACAATAGAGGCTCCGACCACGCCCTTGCCCGCGCCAAACAAACTGGATTTTCTGCTGGCCAGGAGCGCGTCGCAGCGTGAGATGGTGGTCGGGGATGAGTTCTTTGATCTGGGAGGTGTTTTCAACAGTGCGAAAAGAGGCAGGGTGAATGTTGAAAGCCCGCCCATGGTCTTCACTCCCGGAGGTGGAAGGTCACACGGAATACGCAACAAGGACAATGTAATGAGTTACTTCCGACCGGCCGCGGCCCGTGGTCCAGACGGCACGCCCTCCTCCATCCTGGAGCGCAGCGAAAGTCGGTTGCGGTTGAATCCCGACCCGTTTTCCGCGATGGACGACGACGACGGAGATCTTTTTCGCAACAGCTCCATGAACTCCCTAACGCCCGGGGCCGTTCCGTTCGACTTTCGTCCAGGCGAGATGAACTCGCAGTCGCTGCCCCCGGTAAACTTCAACTCCACACAGGCATCCGAAATTGACCTTGCTGAGGGTGGAGATGCTGCAGGCGCGTTTTCAATTCACGGGGAAGATCAGGGCTTTGCTGCGGGTGTGCTGGCGGGCGGAGGCGACTTTTGCGACGACTTTGAAGCTGGTGCCGGGGGAAATGTTGACGAAGACCGCCTCAGCACCGGTAGAAGTAGCTTCGGGTTGAAATTCAACTTCAAGGATCCGGCAGCAGGAAGCGGAAGTCGAAGTGCGCACGGGCAGCAGCGGCCGCCTCAAAACGATGGTCGACAACAGAACCAACTGGACCCCCGCAGGATTTCCCGGCCCTCACCAAATGCAAACGAGCAGCTACTTCCAGATAGCATGCAAAGACGGCGGGACTTGTTCCACACGGTGAAGAAATTTGAAGCCAAGGACAACCTTTTCCCCAAAGCCTCGCCGGTTACCGGTTTCCCCAACAACCTGCAGGACGAAAGCGGTCTCGCGTCGGGGAAGCTGCGAAACAAAGGCAGCACATCGATGGACCAGCAGCAAGTACAACCGGGAACAGGGAAGCACCGGACGAAGAAGCAGAAACGACAGCGGAAACTGGAACTGCAGCAGCAGCGCGCGTTGAAGAACAAAAGCGCGCTGGTGCTGTCCGACGCTCAGCTAGAAGCTTGGCAGACGGAGGAGAACCGGCGGAAGATCACCCACACGTTGGTAGTCCGCCCGGAGATGGAAACTTCGCTGCGGTTCGGGGGGCCTTCTATTAGCACAGCTGGTGGTCCATCAGGCGTTCTTTCCTCGTTGTACTCCGCAGCGCATCTTCCGGGGAGCAAAGTCCTCCCAACCTGCACCAGTTTGTTGAAAAACCGGCCGAACGCGCGCCAATACGAGAAGTTTCGGACACAAAAACACTTGTACTATCTCGATCACCCAGACTTGTTCGTCTCCGCCGAGCAGTTGCAGGACGGAGAGGAGGAATTGAAACACACTTTCGCACGCTGGTACACGGGCTTCCAGCAGGGAAAACCGCCCCTCGTTGGGAACAAGAATACGAAATCCATGCTCGATCTGGATCAGTTAGGATTGGTGTGGAACAAAGCGGCAGGGGTTGACGTGGCGAGACTGCAATTGTTGAAGCAGGGTGAAGGGGGTGTTGGTGGGCGTGAGTTTGTTAACCAAGGAGATGACAAGTGGGGTCGAAGCAGTTTTGGGGACAGAAACAGCGACTTCATCATTGACGACCACAATAACGATTACGACGCTCCTGGTAGTGCAGGAGCTCGCGCGCGATCAGTACAGAATCAAGACACGAACAGGAGCTTGGTTTCGCCCTCCTGTGTAGTTGACCAAGGCGGATTTGATATGACCGTACACGATGATGAAAAGCGGTCCCATTCTCCCCCGAAAAAGCGGATCTTTTCGGAGAAGTTGTTCGTGCCGAGCGAAATGGGCAGTCAGCCACCGGTGGTGGATGTCGAAATGAACAGTCAGCAACAAGTTCTTTCGGATTTGCTGAAAAAAGGAAGGAACCACGATTTCGATTCCGAGCAAAATCGAGGTCGTCACCTTGCAAACGTGACGCCGGGCGCTGAACATCAGGAGGTTGTTCCTGGCGTAGGCGTTGATCAAGAGCGAAACAAAACCAGCAACAACGCCAGCCAACCCGACCGCATGCTGTTCAGCGCCAGAGCCTTCCGACCGGATGCTTTCGGTCATCAGTCCGGATTTCTGGACTCCCAGCGTGGCCTGTGTTCGCAACCCGACGCATCGTATTTCGTTTCGCAGCAAGACATGCCAGTGCAGCCCGAGTCTTCGCAGCACGGTATGATACTGGACGCACAGGCTCAGCGCGCTTTCCTCAACGAGGGAAATTTCTCCGGCAAAGACAGACCTCCACTTTCGCCGATTTTCTCCGACATAGGGTCTCGATCTGTAGTTGGCGGTGCAGCCGCTGGGGGTTCAGAGAGAAGTGGACGCAGCGGGTCTCCTGTGCGAGGGGACGAGGTTCTTCCCAGGAACCAGCAGAACAGTGCGCCGCTGTTCTCCTCCGCAGCTTTCGAACCTGGGAGCCTGGTTCCGAGCGCGGAGCCCGTGTCCGATAGGAAAGAAGTAGAAAGAGTTGCGGGAAACCAGGCTGTTGTTCACAACTACAGCAACAAGATGGAAGAAAGTCAAGACCTCCAACTCCACTTCGAGAACGAGCCAGGAGAACATGATAGAGGTGAATTGCGAGGTCGCAGTCCCTTGCGCAGGTCACAACCGTCCTCGTTGATACCACAGTATAATCAAGAGGCGCGTGCTGTCAGCAGCGGGGATGGTTGCTCACCGAAGGAAGGCGGCGGAAGAGGAGTGGTCCATCTAGTACTATCTGGCGATCGAAGACCAGACCAACTGATAGCTCCTGCCCATCAGCAGCATGATCATGTTGAGCAGACGCGTCTATCGGCTGCCGGCGCTCGCGGGCCTCCACACCGACGCGGCAGCTTTGGCCAGGTAATCACCTCCGCGGCGCAGAATTTGATCCCGGGAACGGCTGCTCGAAGGAGATTCAACATCGCGGCGGACCATCAACCACGACGAGCAAGCCGAGATATGAGCAATGATGGAGCTGATTTTGAAGACCTGTCTCCGAACCAAATTGCGGACCAGCAGAACTTTTACATTCCCTCGCCCGGGTTTCTTTCCGCGGACAAATTGTCGCAGCGAGACGATGAGGAGCAAGCGTCCTCCGGTCGTGGAGGGCCAGCACGGGAGCAGCAACAGGGTGGCACCAGGAGCCTCTTGAAAGGAAATGCACGACAAGGGGAAGTATCAGCAGCAAAGATGATAAGTCCGCAACAAGCACCTGGTGCTGCAGAAGCAAACGCGCAGCTGCGACAGCTTGACCATCGTGAAGAAGATGCTAATATCGATTTGATTCGCGACAGAAGATCGTCGCAGTTTCAACGCAGAAGCTTCGCCCTGTGGCGGAATTCGCCTGCTGGGCGGGGTCTTCATGATTTTAACATCAGCGGGCCGGAACTGGAGGAAGAGCAGCTTGTTGTCGACGCAGAAATCATGAACAACGTCGGTTCACGACAGGAGCAAGCTTCAGCTGCGTCAACATCACAAATAAACATGCAGAGCAACCCCCGCAAAAGTAGAGCATCGGGAGGAGGAGCCGAAAGAACGCCGGGGGGCCGCTCCATTCATCTCCAGAAGAAAACGCGAGGGGGAGACGTCGAAAATGAAGCAGATGCTGGTGGTCATGATGCGCCTCCCTTTGATGTGCAGCACGAAGGTGCGCACGATGATGTCGTCCCTCAGGAGCATTTTTTGGATGAAGGCACAGCTTTCGACCACCAGGAAGGCGGCGGTGCCGACAACTACATCAGCCAGGTAGATTTTATGAATTATCCCACGCCCGGCGGTAACCACTCCCTTCCGTCCTCCTCACCGTCGCTAAAATTCAACTTTCTTCCCGGAAAACCCAAAAACCCAGTAATTCACCGACCCCAGCACGAAAACAAGCTGGCGAAATTTCTGGGCGAAAACCCGCCGCCGGTACTGCTGGAAAAGTTTTTGACCACGGATACGGAAGATGCCGATAATTGCGGACTTACCAGAACTTGTGATGCGGAGTTCGCAGCGCTCGCGTTTTACGAGTTGCTCGAGCTGCGAACGGAGGGCAAGGTGGAAGTAGAACAAGAAGTCGCTTACTGCGATATTCAGATTTTACCATCACCACTCGGAAGTGCGGGCGGGTTTAATTTGTGAGAAGATACGGCCAGCACGGGCTTCGTTACCGTTGGCGTTGTAGTTATACACTCGGAAGTACTAGTAGGAGCTGGTTTGTCGTGCCGGTATTTGCTTGTGTCTGTGTTGAGCACACCGAAGCTATATCAAAAAAATTGATGATAATTTTAACTAAAAAAAACTTTCTGGACATGGTTGAGCTGAAATTTGACGTATTTTGTCCTGAGAAAAATTCAACATCACGTAGACAGCAATAGATAGACGTAGACAGCAATTTGAGATTTTTCAGTTCTTGAGTTTGTTACTTAGCCGAAGATCAATTATACGCAGAACAATGGGTAGGTCCCTGCACCTACTGCTAGAGCCGCCTCGGCCTCGAAACTGCTAAATATAATGAAACTAGTTACACCAGACAGAGTATCCGTGTACAACTCTTCCGTCCCTATTCATCACCACCCAGAATGAAATTGTATGGACACTGAAGAAAACCTGTCAGGTTTTCTGAAGTTGAAATTGTATTCACCATGTATCGATTGTGCTCTAACGCCTGACAACCTCAAGCAATTGATTTGCGGAGTTTGTTTTATTATCCCGATGCCGCCTCTCTCCTTAACTCGTGCGTGTTGGCATTGTTTACACTTTCGCGGCGACTACAGGTGAAGGTGGTCGCAAACAGTAAAAAACACAGCTTTTCGTGCTTGGTCCGGTCGTGTCGTTACGTGTCGTTCTTTCGTCAGCGATGTCGTCCATTGAAAGTTTTGGTCGTTCAGACCGTTCATCGTCGTTCATGTGCTCATCGTCTACTCCTTACAAAAGATAGCATTTTAGAGTCAGGATCATGTCCCTCAATGATTGTTCGACGACGTTGCAGTGTCATTACATACAGATGATACAGTTCGTGCAAAAATTTATGAGAGCAAGAACTCCACACGGCACTTCTGCACATCGGTCGCTAGTACGTACTTCATCGTGGTGCTGTGTGTTCTACGCAGCTGTCGTGGTTGATGTCGCTTTGTTCACTAACCAACTACTACTCAGGACCCCAATCAAAAATGTATTTATCTATCACTGTAGTGCATTTCACTTTACTATGACCATGACCTTGCCTTCAGCTCCTTTTCGAGAAAAGCGCGCGATTTAGGGAACTAATTTGAGTAGCTCACCCCCGCAACATTACAAACCGGAGCCATGGCGTCCGATCTGCTCAATTTCGACGTGGAGATGGATGCCCTCTTCGAAGAGGAGCAATTCGAACGCAAGGGGGATTTCTGCTTACGGATTTACGCTTTATCCGAATTGACCAGTCTGGACACGCTCGCAAGGCTACGGACCTGCGTAAAGACCCTCGACGAGAAAGACATGCCCGACAAAACCATGGTCACGCTGAGCGGCGTTTCGGGTGGCGCGTTGCAGTTTCTGCTCGATAAGGGAACCAGTTGGGTGGACATTGTTTCGCGGGAAGTGAAGGACAAGGGGAACAAGAAGAAAGACCAAGCTGCCGTCGAAGACGATAAGGATACTAAAGCAGGCTCATCTACTTCCTTAGTTCCGGGGGGCGATGAAAGTGAAAACAAGGACAAACCACCGAAGACTATTCGTGAGGAATACGACCCGACCGAGGGAGAAGCAGGCCTCCTGAACGACACGACAAGGGGGCTACTTCGGAGTAAGAAACCACGGAAGTCGAAGTCCGCTTCCCCGGACATCGGCGACAAACACAACCGCGAGAAAAGGAAAAAAGACAAAAAAGAGAAACAAATCAAGCCGGAGTACAGCGAGAATTTGTTCATCAACGAATCATTGTCCCCGCGCGCCAGGAAAAGAGATAAAATACTGTACGGAAAGGACGAGCTGGATTATGTGAAACCGGGCGTGTGTTTTGGCATCGTGAAGAAGGAAAAGAAAAGCATTCTGAAGCAGCCGCTGTCGACTACTAGTACTAGAGAAGATGCGAGCGGTCAAGGAGGAGGTCTTGAAGGGTTAAAAGAAGGCTTTGTAGAAGGCCAAGAGCAGCAGGATGATATAACACAGACAGGCACGACAACTTCAACTACCGGAGATCAACATCAGCAGGGAAACCAGCCCCGCACGCCACCGCCCCAAGTTCGACAACTCCCGCTTTCGCCAACTGGAGCTACTAGTGCAACTGCGACTTCTGCCCCCCAGCAACCAGGTCAACATCTTCAAGAGCAGCAATCAGCTGAGGGGGTAACACTCCCCCCAATCAAGCAAGAGAAACCCCAGACACAGGAACAGATCGAGAAAACCATGCAGAAGGAGCTCGCAAAGGAAATGGCGAAGAAGCAACTTCTTAGCAGCAAATCCATCGTAGTGAAAGACACGAGTGAAAAGGCAATGCCGAAAGCCCCGACCTTCGGCGCTCGCGACAAGGCCGCGGCGATGGGACGCCCGATCACGCCGATCGGCGGAAATAGTACTAAAGACCAAAAAAGCGTCGAGTTTAAGGATTTAGACGAGGAGGGGAGGCCAATTTCCGCCGGAAATTTCACCGGACAAGAACAAGCAGATAGCAAACCGAAGTACGACACAGAGACGCTGACCGACGTAGACACGAGCTACTTGCACAAGGACTGGAACATGCAAGAAGCGGAGAAGGAGACGAAGAAGTTGGATAAGTTGAAACCGCAGCCGAAATTCGGGTACACGCACTTGATGTGCATGGGCGTCCACGAATTTCACCACGGGTTGCGGAATTTGGAAACGTGCATCGAGAGCTACTTGCGGAACACCACCCACAACGCAAACGCCGTTATGTTGAACAGCAATTTGCGGTGCAGGGAGGGAGGCGTGTTTGATTCGCCCGTGAACATTCTGCCGAAATACCACGTGGAAACCGTCGGCCCCGCGGGTTTCCGGATTGGGTTTCTAGGATTGGTCACCCCGGATACGAGGTTTTGTGCGTTGTCCACCGAGGTGAGCAAAAGGTCCGCAGTGACCATGACGGCGACCAGCACTAGTCCGGCGGTGCGGCTACTGACAAGTGGGAGAGGGAGTTTTCTGAACAGCAGGGGTGCTGATGGAGATCAAACGGAGGACGAATCGAAGGCGACCAACGAACTACTTTCCAGCACGGTGCTCGACCAATCGCCGGAAGAGGTGACCACGTCGCACGGCGGGAGTCTGTACCAGAAAAGACGAGGTGGGATGATGTTACAACGCAGCAGCAGCACGTTATTGCAAGATATCGGCGAGGTGGGGAGTGTTGAGAACAACCCAAATTTGCGGTTGCAGCAGCCAGAAACCGGGGATCTGGCGGATATTGGCCGTGGTCCACCTAGTACAAGCGGAAAGCAAATCACGTTTTCCCCGAATTCGCCGAAGAGCCGGCGGATGATGTCACAAGACCAACGCCAGGGCTCGCTTGGGTTGGAAGAGGAGGACGGCGTGTTTTGGCTGCCCAACGACAAGAACCGGGGTAGAGGACAGGCTCCTCCCGCCTCCATGTCTGCCTCTCCAGGAGCACAGCAAGAGACTACTTATTCCACTACGCAAAGTAGACCTTCCGCAGACGTCGATAAGGCAGTAGACCATGGAGGTTCCAGCGCGGATTCCTACGTGAACCCACAGGAAGCGCCAACAGGCGGTAATAGGCCGATGACGCCGGACGACAACGCTTCGTCCTCCTCTCGGGGCAGAGACATCGCGGTGAGAAGGGGAGCTGCAGGTTTGGCGCCCAGCGTCAGTAGTGACCACAATTCCGCGGAGGGAAGCCAGGAACTGCAGCTGTCTGGCAGCGGACAGCAGCAGCTCAACAGCGGACATCAAGGAGCTCCTGCTCGTGCGACAGAAGGGCAACATCAACCTTCTGCTGCAGCCGCAAAGACATCAAAGCGTGGCGCGTTCATGTCCTCCATGCGGTCGGGGAGCTCCTTGAGCTTGGACGAGCCCCTGGATTTACCGGTGGACGCCGGCTCCGCCGACGGTGCGGACCGGATCAGCCAGGATATCGACGACGGAGGGTTGGTGGAAAAACCCGCCGATGTTGTTCCGGCACAGGTTGGGGCGAAGCAGAAACGCTTACAGATGCGAGCGAGGAGTGGTAGCAGCATTCTAGATGAGCCGTTTGACCAAGAGATCGGAGGTGCGGTCCAAGAATCGCACGAGCAAGACAAAAAGCCAACCGGTGCCTCGTCAAAACGCCTACAGATGCGGGCAAGAAGTGGTAGCAGCATTCTAGATGAACCGTTCGATCAGGAGATCGGAGCGGGTGGCCCGGTTGAGCTGCAGCAGGAGCAAAGCAAAAAGCCAACCGGTGCAGCTTCGAAGCGTCTGCAGATGCGGGCGAGGAGTGGTAGTAGTATACTCGACGACCCGTTCGACCAAGAGATTGGTGCACAACAGGACCACCAGGACATTGCAACTGCTGAGCCTAGTGCTCCTTCTGGCAATAAGACATTAAAACCCGCTCTTTCGGGTCAATCAAAACGATTGCAGATGCGTGCGCGGTCGGGGAGCAGTATTCTTGACGAGCCTTTCGACCAGGAAGTCGGAGCTGCGAAAGGGGACCAAGAAGAGCAGCTTTTCCCCGCGCGGCCAAGGATCTTCAAATCGATCGAAGAAGCCTCCGACGAGGCGGACCAGGACTCGCGGTCCGCCGTGGATTCCGGGTCCGCAGCGCGGAGCGGCAAGCTGAAGCAGATCGAGTGGGCCAGTGACGTGCGCTTCGGCTCGGACGATGAGGACGCAAGAATGCAGCAGAAAGCTGGAACCGCAATTATCGGTACTAGTGCTGCTTCGAGGGGGCAGGGAAACAAGCGGAAAATCTTCACGGCCGCGCGGTCCGGAAGCAGTTTGCTCGACGTACCATACGACTTAGAGATCGGCGTGGCGCCGGAGTTTATTCTGATGCAACAGCAAGACACGGGTGCTGCTGGTTCAGGTTCTGCCACTGTTCCCTCTACACAGCAAAACGCGAAGCGGAGAATGTTTGGCACGGGGGCGACGCGGAGTGGCAGCAGTCTCGCGCTAGACGAACCCTACGACGTAGAGATCGGTGGTCCGGTACTGGGACCGCCAAATCAACCGCAGCAAGCCGCCGCTAAGCGCCGAGCGATGATGCGGGCGCGCAGTGGCAGCAGTGTCTTGGACGAGCCGTATGATGTTGAAATAGGTGCGGCTGGTGTCGGTGCTGCAGCAGCTTTAACCAAGGCTGCTCTGGCCAAGAAGGCCACTTTCGACAGCATCCAAGAAGAGGACCAGGAGGACCGTCCGGGGAGCGCCCCCGGCGCAGCAGGAGGAGGAATGGTCTCATCTGGCCAACAGGCTACAACAGGAGCAGGAGCTCCTGGTGGAACGAAAAGCCGGCGCAGCGCATTTTTGACGAACAAGGCAACGCGGTCGGGGAGCAGTTTGCAGCTCGACGAACCATTCGACGTGGAAATCGACGAGGGACAGCCTGCTCTTGACAAAGACGCCGACGCCGGTGAACAGCCGACCCTTGGCGGAGGTGCAAGAAGGCGCGCGCTGTTCGACAAGCGCCGGTCCGGCTCCAGTGTGCTCGACGAACCCTATGACGAGGAGGTCGCGGCAGAACTACAAACGGGAGCAGACCAGCAAAAACCCTCCTCCTTTGCGAAGCGCGGGCGGATGTTGTCGGGTGGGCGCAGTGGGACTTTGTCGAATCTAGCAGAGATCGATGAGGGGGACGAGGAGCAGAGATCCACGGAAAGCAGTGGCCAGCAATCCGGGAAAAAACGGTTCGGACCCTCCAGGAGCATCGAGTGGGCCCCGGACGTGGTGTTTGATAAAGATAACGCCGATGAACAAAACGGCGACAATACAGAACCAGGAGAACAGCAGCAGCTCTCTGGCCCGCCGGGAGGGAAGCGAAGGTCCTTCGCGGGCGCCACGAGAAGTAGCAGCAGTTTGATGTTGGACGACCCGTACGACGTTGAGATAGACCAAGGACAACTAGATGCAGCTGATGAGCTCACAACAACTACCGCGCCAAGGCAAGCCAGACCGAAGCAGGGGATGAAGTCCTTGCGCACGAGATCCGGCAGCAGTTTGATGCTCGATGAGCCGTATGATATCGAGGTTCTGGGCGGCGATCAGCCGCACAGCACCTCCAAACCATCCGTTGGCGAGACGAAGCGCTCGTCCTTTGGTCGACGCGCACAAACCGGTTCTTCCACCGCTTTGCAAAAAATCGAGGAGGGCAAAGACGAGGACCAAGAGTTCCTAGACGCTTTCGCCGACGAAACGGAAGAAGTTATCGGAGCTGCTGGCGTGTCGGGAACAAAACGAGGTGCGTTTCGTGTTTCCAAATCGATCGAATGGGCCGCAGATGTGCAGTTCGGGCAGCAGGAGGAGGACCGCGCTGGACAAGAAGAACTAGATGGCACGACAGTATTAAACCCCGCTGCCGCCCGTAAACGGCGGTTCATGGCCGCGCGGTCTGGTAGCAGTCTTCTGGATGAGCCGTTCGATGTGGAAGTTCTGGAACATCAAGGGCCTTTGTCTGCTGCAGCGGCGGGGGGAATGAAGCAAGAGCAGCAAATGAAGCGAAAGAAGTTCATGTCAGCCAGGTCGGGCTCCTCTTTACTCGACCCGGCGTTCGATGAGGAGGTCCCTCTCGAGATCGGGGAGCTAGACACGCTTGCACCAGTCATGGATCCGAAAAAAGCTTCTGGTACTCAACAGCAGCAAATGCGCTCCAAAGCCTTCCGACAGGGAAGGTCCGGGAGCAGCTTGGCACTCGACGAGCCGTTCGAAGTCCTCGACGAGACGAAGGAGTTACAGGGTGTGGATTTCTTCCCGCTGTACCCAGTGAGAGAGGATACAGCGGAACAACAAACCACTCCCGGTCAACATCAGGATCGCAGACTCGCACCTATTCTGAAGAAAAAGCAGTCTGGGTCGACGCAGGACCAAGAATCCGCGAGTGACAGCATGTCGCAATCCAGTAAAATCCAGGGTGGTACGACCTCCGCCGAACAACAGAGCAAGTTGTTTGGTGCGCAGAACAACAAATCCTCTTCCTCCACCACCGGGGGCGGTCCACACGCGAAGATCTCCGCGGACCAGATTGGAACTGCCGATGATCAGGACCAGCCCTTGCTGGAATTCCAGGAAACCCGTTGCGCGGCCAATGAAGTCGTCGGGCAGGCGCTGAAACGGACCTCCGCCGTTGATGCGGTTATCGCGTTGACACACCAGTCTACCGCGGAAGATAAGGAATTGATGCGGACGGAGCCCGACATCGACATCCTGCTGGGCGGGTTCGAAAGAGAACCACTCGAATGGTACGTGGATGAAAACGGAAAATCCCTGGGGCAGGAGTGGGACCCGGTGATTCAGAAGTTCATCGCGATTCAGGGCCCGGACCGACTGGCGGTGAAGCCCGGACCGGACGCGGTTTCCGTGTTGGATCTGTGGCTGGTCCCGGATAATGATGAGGTACTGCAGCAAGACGCACCGAGACCGCCGATTGGGGACACCGAAGAGGACGAGATCACGGAGTTCGACGACGAGCAGCTCACAGAAGTCATGACGCCGGACCAGAAGTTGCTGCAAAAGATGAACCGGTTTCCGACCGTCGAGCAAAGATCTCCAAGATGGAACCAGCAGCGGACCATGCCGTCGCGGACCGGTCGCCGGCTGGTGATCGGCCGGCATAGGCACGTGAAATTGGTCCCGACTCGGGCGCACATGAAAGACTACGACGAGAAGGGCTTTGAGCCCGATGAGGAGTTTTCGACGATGCTGCACAAGTACCAAAAATTCTTGAATTTGGAAAACATGAACTTACTCCAGTGGACGGATTACGACGATCGGCTGGCGAAGGTCGCGAGTTGCGAGGAAGATTCCTTCGACCGCATGCGGGAAATGGCACTGGCGGAATACATTTCGCTCGTCCAGAGGATGGACCGCGGGCGCAAGCTGGGTCGGAACACGACCGAGGACGAGATCAAAGCACTCCGTGCCGTGGAAAACGTCATCGCCGCCGGGCGGCCGACGGTGCACGAGGAATCGGTTTGCTCCGGGACGGACAACAGCCGAAGGCCAAACTGGACTACCAAGGACGCGGAATGGCGGCAATGCACGTTTCACAGCCTGGTCGCGGACTTGGTTTTACCCGAGTTGGTCGGTGCGGACGCGAGGGATAGGACTTTACTTTTACTACCTGCGACCCACTACCTCTCCTTCGTTTCCGGTGGGAAGGATTACGGGTTAGACGACCCCCGGTTCACGCGGTACGAACTGCTAAAAGAGTTCATCCCGCCAATCATCGACGATTTTCCGGAGGGTACCCCCGCGAGTGAGAGGAATAGGCCGAAGGATTTGAGCAATCAAAAGCGAGCGGAGTTGAGATTGGTGAGGTTGAAAATCTCCGGTTTGGATTTGCTGAAGTTACTGTATGAGTCCGAGGCGTTCCTCCGCGGGACGAACAGCTACCTCCAGTACGACCACAGCGCAATTTGCATCAACGATTTCACGGACCTGAACTTACCGAAAATTTCCGACAAGGACATGAAGCGCAACAAGTTCCCGGGGTTTCCCGGGAAGAAGAAGAAGATGAAATCAGCTGGTGGCAACGCGAGTTCCTACGCACCCTCCACCGCGGGGGATGTGGAGACGCACACCGGGGAATCGACGCTAGCGTGGCGCGAGGAGCAGGATAGGATCGAGGAGGAGGCGAGATTGGCGGCGTTGGAGAAGGTGGAAGAGGAGCAGATTGAGGAAGCATTCTTATCCGTGATGGAGAACGCACGGGCGGATAGGATGGAGGCATGCGGGGGCGTCCTTGGATTCCCGGTGTCTGGTGACAGTTCCGAAATCTCCGGCTACGATCCGGACGAGAGGCTGGAGGGGTGGGCGTCGAGCAGTGAAAAAGCGGCAGCGGAAAATAAGAAAGACGACGATGACAATTCCGAAAACGGTGATAAATCACCTGGCGGTTCCGACTCCGGCGGAGACATGTCCGGGCTAGACCCGGACGACGACGAGAACAAATTGTCGAAGTCCAAGGAGAAGGACAAAATCGATTTGTTGGACGCTGAGTCTTTACTTCCCTCCACCGAATCCGACCACTACGACCCGAATGAGATGATCAAAACGAAGGTTCCGGCGGATTTCCAGATCCTCTCCGTCTTCGGGGAGCAGTTTGATCGCTCGCAGTTTTACCAAATCGTCGTGCCGGGGACTTTATTGCTCCACGAAACGGCGAAGCCGGGGGACCACAGACTGGTCCAGCCATTGATCGTTGGCGGACAGAGGAAGGTCAGGCCGCGGAAGCGGCAGAAAGCGCAGTTAGAAGAGGAGGAGTCGAGTGAGGATGAGGACGAGAAGCGTCGCCGGTACAATGCCGCGCCGCCGGTTCGCGACCAGGTTTACAATTTGTTGAAGGACCAAGTTGCGCCGAGACAGCTCGGGAAGGAGAGTGTGAAGCCGATCGTGGAAAATTCCCCGTTGCTGGTCGAGTTGGTTCTGAAGCATTTGCTGCAGGATTTGTGGGAAGACTTGTCGCCCTTCTGGTCCAAGTCGAAGAAGTTCACTTTGGGCGGTTTGAAGCCGCTACCGAAGGATGGCGATATCGATGAGTCGAAACTCCCACCGATCGTCCGGGTCCGAAGACGGCTGCACTTGATCCAGCAGATGCAGAGAGGGGAGAAGTTGTACGACATGGAGGACCCGATTGAGGTCCGGAAGGATAAGCAGATGTTGGAGAAGCTCGTCAACCTGCTCGACAGCGAGCGAGATGTCGCGCCGGAAGAGCTGGTGGAAATTTTGGAAAAGTACCAAAAAGACAACGTGTTGGCGAATTTAGACCCGCGTTTGTTGAAGCGCGCTCTGAACGAGCGGCTGCCCGCGCCCATGTCGAAGTGGGCGACTTTGCGGTTGCAGGACGAGCCGAGTGGCACGGAGGAATCGTCGTCCGCGACTGGCGGTGAGCGGTCGGGCTCAGGACAGGAAGATGGAGAGAAGGAAAAGAGACCTGCAAGTGGTGATCAGGGTTCCGTCGCGAAGTCGGTGGGGACGGGAGAAAAAGAAAGTTCCGCCGGCGGGGATAAAGATCAGAAATCAGAATCCAAATCCGACAGTCAGAGTTTGAAGGACAGCCACTCACAGAAGGATTCGGACAGTAGAAGTTTATCGCAGTCGCAGAGCCAGCGGGGATCGCAGAGCTCCAAGCAGGTCAGCAGCAGCGCCACGCCGGGTGGCACGAAAGGAGACACGACTACTTCGGCCGCGAGACAGGTCGAGGCCAGTGCCGGCCGGAGCAGGCGGTCTGGCGCTAGCAGTAAGTTCAGCAGAGACGATGAATTGGAGAGGATTGAGGAGGAGAATGTGCTCGCTCGGTCGAGACAAAGCTCAAAAGACGCGGCGGAAACCGTTGTCAGTTCCGCGACCGGCACCACCGGAGCTGCTGGTGCAATGAAGGAAGGAACAAAACCTGCGAAAGAGTCCACGACCCCGAAAGACTCCCACTCCGCTTCCGGAAGATCCACAGGGACTAGTCGAAAAACTGGTCGCACCCGGGGATCCCATAAGTCAGGGAAGGAAATCGACCCGAATGCGTACCGTGGCATCGAGTGGAACGGGGTGCGGATCGCAAAGTCTCTTTCGCCGGAAAGGGAACAGAAGAGACGGGATTTGTTCTTTTCTGATGACACTCTGGTGAGTGAACTAGAAAAGGGCATGGAGCAGATGGCTAGAAGGATGAAATTCTACAAGAAACAAACGCCGAAGGAATTGCTCTACGAGATGCAAAAGCGAGCGGACACGGGGAAGCTGGGGAGGCATTTGGTCTTCAACATGCCGTTGCTGTCTGGGTCAGAAACGGAGCTGGAGAAAGCCCGAGAAAAAATCGACCCGGTCATGAGCACCAGCGAATTAGAAATGTAAACATAGACATACGTTAGTACGAGTTTTGGTTTCAAACCTATTTTTCTCGGTGAGATCATTTCTCAGCTCACAGTGGGCTTAGCCTCGTGAGCGAAAGCTTTGCAGTACCTAAATTTTTGCACGCTTATTCCACGTGAACATTCATATTCTTATTCATGCATACCTTGACATTAATGCAAACATACCTTTACCATACCAGTCATGGAAAAAACCATTTACCATCACCACGCATATCATTAAAACAAATCGATATCGATCATCTACCCCTTAACGGTACTCCATTCCGCGCATGACTGCTTTTATTCCAAAGAAAGGTTATACCCAAGGAGCTTGTTTAATATCATCGGCGCGTCCAAGTCCAACTCCGACTCCCAGCGCGGAAGACGGAGCGTTCTCATGTCTTGTGGCGCCGGGGCCGGGTGTTTGCTCTACCTTCGTTTGAGTTCATTCTGTCCATCACCATCTGCTGCGTCAATCTTTAATTGCTACCATCGGTGACGTTCTCGAATGCAATGCGGCTTGATTGTTTCCCTCTATGACAATGCTCGTGGTCTTTGTTTGTCCGTCATTCTCAATAATTTCTTGGAAGTGTCTGTACTTACCTAAACTGGTTTTCGTCTACTTTTGCTTCGGTGCTGTTTGTCGGTTCCGCGAGCATTCCTCTCGAAATTATTCATTGCTGGCGATTGTTTTTTTTTCCCATGTATCACTGCACAGTTAAAGAGGGTCGGTGTAGTCGTTGTCTCGGTTCTGATTTTTTTCCTACATTTCGTATTTGCCCAGTTCGGTTTTCAATTGTGTGTATATGTCGCCTGCAACGTAGACGGAGTTGTGGTTCTGGTTGTTCAACAACACTTTTAAATTTGATTTCGAGTGTCTGGTCTCTCTGTTGGCGTCGCCCAGTGACAGTGTCGTAAGCACTCATATGTAGTGAGGTCACCGAACGGTTCTAACCAGGGAGTTTTTTTGCCATCTACCCTCAAAAACGGCCGGCAGTTTTCAAGCGGTCGGAAGTGTTTTTGAGCATAAAAGGTTTTCACTTATCAAGCGGCCGGGGCGTTTGCGGCAAAATAGCCCGGGCGGATTCTATCGATTCGCACTGGATAAAACGACGCAGGGGAGCCGGCAAAAGGGGCGCCCTTCTGAGGCGCCCGCCGCCTTGGTTTCTGGCGATTTGGGGCGCCCAAAAAGGGGCGCGCAAAAAACGCGCCCAAAATCAGAACAGCGAAACAGCATGGCACGGCCGCGATTTCGGAGCATTTTGGGCGGCCGCGAAAGCGGCCGCCTTTTCGCCGGTTTCAGAGCCTGGGAAGCTTTGCAAAAAGCGCCGGCGTGAAAAATAAAAACGCGAAAAAGAAAAAGCGCCCCAGACGCGCAAAGCCAATCCGCATGCTATGGGCCCGATTTTTCTTCGCTTTTTGGGCGCCCCCCGTGGCACCCGGATCGGCCCCATAGCATGGGGGCTGGCTTTCGGGAAGGAATTTCGGGAATTTGCCAAAATTTGCGATGTTTCCCAAGTGGCCGCCATACCGTGCGGCATAACGTTACTCGCGGTGGTATGGTGAGCCCATAAAAAGCAAAGCCGCGGCCAAGGCTGCGGTCGGCAAAAAAACGCCCACGACCTCACTACCCCCGCCCCGGCGGCTATATTTGGTAATTTCCTGGTTGTGCAGCTATCGAAACTCGAAAGCGTACAAGGACGATCTCCATAGAAATTACACAGTAAAAATGTCTTTCCACCTTTCCCAGATCGATTTCGGAATCGATCCGGCCCGAATCAAGCAAAACTACCGTCAGCAACTCGACAACGCGAAAAATCTCTCGACATCTGGGAGTAGCAAGCACGCCAGCGCTTCGAAGAACCCCACGCTTTTGGAGCACAGTGCGATCGAAGAGGAGCGCGAAAGGATAGCGAATTTGGACCTGGAGAAAGTGGACCAATGGCGCCAGGGGACCCCGAATCTGCCGCATTTCGCCGTCCCGGACTTCGACGCACTGCACAAGACCGGGCAAGGCTTGTTTTTTTCAATAAGCGTGATGTTTTTGATGTCTTTACTAACTTCACAATTTTGTTTTTGATCATGTAGAGCAGCTCGATGTGCATGACAGACTCCATCTGTGTTGTCAAATCTATTACGCATCACAACTTCCAACCAACAGGCACAGTCGAAAAGTGCGATGGCGCATGATAAACGGGGTGCGGGTCGAAAACACCGATGAGCCGGCGAGTTCCTCCAGTATGAGCTTCGGCAGTTACGGGCAGTCTGTGAACAAGCCAGGTTGTGCCAGTCCTCTAACCGCGAGGTCTGCGGCCAAGAAGGCGACCATCACGAAGGAGTTTGACGAGGGCGAAGGGGGACGAACGCCAAGAATCCCAGAGCCGAAACTGATGTCCTTTGAGAAGTTGACAAGAAGAGCGAAGTTCGACCAAAAGACGAGATACGAGGGTATTTTTATCATGATGGGAACATTTGATGTTGCAGGAGCTGCTTGTAGTTGGCGGCAAGATTCACCAGCTGCCTATGGGCGCCGCTATGGTGGAAATTATACCGCAACCTCAACCTCTCCAGGTAAAGTGTGCCGGTTTCGCGCTTTGATGAATGATTGCTACACGACGATGTACGAGCGGCGTCTGTTTTATGGATCTGTCAGGCTTGAAATCGTCAAAGTTTAGATAATTTGTAATGCATAAAATGCATGACCCGAGGCACGTGTGTTGCAGAGCAGGCAAGTGAGGCCGATTGTAAGCCTGTTTGGGGTTACAGCTCGAGCTGCTAAAGTAGCAGGAGAAAATCGCTCGTCTTTGCCTAAACAGCATGACAGAGTGGATTTAGGGACCACCGAAATTTGTCTTGCACCACTTGGAAACTGGGTTCCAACTGGCATCCATTTTATGCATGACAAATTATTTCAACTTTGTCGATTTCAACTCTGACACATCCATATGTTTCTGATCAACTACTACCTGGAAAACGACTATGGGAGTGTCAGGATCGAAATCGACAAAATCGAAAAATTTGTGATGCATAAAATGTAGGGCACGCGACGCCTGTATTGGGGGGCAGGCAAATGAGACCGATGGCAAGCCTGCATAGGGGTATACAATGCGTTGCCAGAGTAGCATGACAGGAGCAGTCTGCTTTGCCCAAACAGCATGACAGACTGGATTTTGGTGGTCCCGAAATTTGTCATGCGCCACTTGGAAACTGAGGCCCCAACTGGCATCGATTTTGTGCATCACAAATTTTTCGATTTTGTCGATTTCGATTCTGACACTTCCATAACGACACACTATCCGTCCACGAAGTCGCTTCTGCTGAGAAAAAAGCGGGCTACTCCGGCCGGGAGCCGCAGGTGTGGTTCCGGAGGGGGAGGATGAAAAAATTTGCGGCGCGGGATCGCGTGGAGCCGGGTCTGTTGCAGCCGTTGCAGGATGAGGATTGCGTGGAGCTGAGGGATTTTTCGGTAAAAAATATGGAGTTTGTTTGTTGTTCAATGTAAAGATCCATGTATGGTATGCCAATCGATTCATGTTTTTTGCGTTTATCTTGTCTTGTATGTGCACGTGAAGCACTTCTTGCTTGACAAATGGTTCTTGTCAATCCTTTCAGGTAAACGCCCCGATCATTCTGAACTCGCAAGAATTCTTCATCTACGATGCCTGTGCCTTCACCCGGGAGTTCTTCAAAACGCACTTGAACACGGAGTTAGCGGTGTTGGAGACAGAACACCTGGAGAAGGTCGTGCAACTTGACTCGCCAAAAGCAGGACGAGCCGAAGTTGCGGAGACTGAAAAGCCAGAGTCAGCAACTTCTAATAGTAATTGCAAAAAAGCTGCAAAAGAGCAGGAGGAGAAACCGAAGCCTGAGCCAGCGAACCGCTCTCCGGATGAGTTGGCAAAGTTGCTGCACCGATTAATAGGAAAATTGAGGAAGGCACAGAAAACGCTGCGGGAGGTACTACTTCTACTCGCTTGAAAAATTTTTGTGCAAGGCATACACAATGCGTCGATTCTGCGTTGCAATTGGAAACGATAGGAAGTCTTCCAGGTCGATGATCCGGGTGAGTAGAAGTTTGTCTTTGTGGTGCAAAAGAGTGTCAGCACTCTGTCTAAATTACAAAATTATCAGACCTTCCGCTACTTTGACGCGGAGAAGGACCACGTGCTTTGTCTCAACGACTTCAAAAAGCTCCTCACCCACTACGGCTACGATTTGTCGAAAGAGGACACCGGTTTTCTCTTCCGGTACTTCTGTTCGGAAAAGAATGAAAACGCGGCTTCCTTTTCGGACTTCGTCGCGGCTGTGAGCGGGGATAAGGACGTTGGGGGAACTGGCGGCGCAGGGGACAAGAAGTGGTATGGGGAGGAGACAGAGCAGCCGACGATTATTTGATAGTACATCGGCAGGAACGACAGAAAATAGAAATTGAGATTTGTTTTGGAAGATGAAAAAGTAAAAGCCGTTCATCGATATGGATTCTGTAATTGTATGATGTCCCGCTACAACAACTACCGAAAGTTTCAAGCCTACTTTTGGCGATCAACTCTGCAAATATAAAGTCGATTATAAAAAAAGCAAATTTATTAAGATAGCACAGGAGCCGCTGTAAAATTATCGAGAACGATCCGAACTAGGACTGACCACATGCGATAGATTTCAAAAGCTGGAACCATGACGAATGAGCAGAAGTGAAACTACGCGTTGCTGATGACGAAGACCTTTGTGTAAAACGAAAGCCTCTTCATGAGCAAATTTGAATGATTATTTTGAGTACCCGACGACCCTACAGATAAATCACCCGCAGCTGTGATGCAATTTATGCGCCAAGCGGGCTTGCGCCAACCTCCCTTGCTGCCCTAAAAAGTAACTGATACCCTTGTCTCTCTCTACTTCTCTGTGCGATGCTGCAGTAGCAGAGGTGGACCAACGTAGATTCATTCTCGTCAAAAATGGTAGGGGAGAAGGTCATGACAAGACGAGATCTTCAGCGGATCATGATCATGCGAATTTCCTGCGTGCCGCGATGAAGAGGACTTCAGTGACGATGGATCAGATCTACTACTTTGCCCTTGTGCGCAAGCGCGTTGAAGATCTTCAATGAGGATCGCTGCTAGAAACCAGCATTAGCACGTGAAAAGGCACAATACCTTTCTCTTTGTTCCAGGGTGATGTGAATATTCATGGGTGCCTTTGGTAGTCACTTAGGGTACCCTCTGTACAACAGCTCGACCAAGGACGCGTTGACTTTCGTCGACCTTAGGCATTTAGTCTTAAGCAAGCTGCTACGGCAAAAAAGAAAAACACTATTTACGACCTAGTGTATAAAAAAGCGAACTACTTTTACCTATTTCACACTCCTCGATACCGATTTCTTTGCGCCTATAGAATAATTGTCGACCACTTTTAATAAGCGCTGTCTGCTTAGAACGAGCTTACCTGAGCATTTTCACACTTACAGTTACAACCAGTTTCACCGAAATAAACGAGGAAGTAGAAAAAATTATCCCAAAAATTCGCTTCTTTTACTCGTAGAAAGTACTATCGATTTGCAGCTAACCCCTACACCACTCTTACAATACTACACACTTTCGAATTTCAATTTCCGTTTATCACTTTTTTTGAAACAATAAAAAGATACCACACTACTTTTTTGTGGCATCCCTGTACTGAAAACCATCACAAATTCGCAATTTGGCACGGCCACCGCCATGGCAAGTGCAGTCGCAGCCCCTACCGCTGCAGACATAGCTGTTGATACGGCTACAACAACTCCTGCAGCTCCGGTACTAGAAGGTCCTGAAAGTAGTACGCCGGCGGCAGTCGTGCAAGCAGCCATGATGCCAGAGCACCGGGACACCACTGGAGCAGCCATGCCAGCGGCTCCGGCGCCTGTCCCTGTGGCTCCGGTGACTGGGTTCGTGCATCAAGTCACTTCCGAGTCGAATGCTACGAGCGGTGCGGACGCTGTAGTGCTCCCTGTAGTTGTGAACAATACCACAACCGCCCCTGCAGCTGCGGCTGTCGTGCCTAATGTGGACGATGTGCAGCAGGTCGTCCAGGACGCTGGTGGTGTTGGCACGACGTCCGCGTCGTCTCACCCGAATGCTAGTAGTGCCGCGCCTGCAATTCCCCAGCACGACCAAGCTGCTGCTTCCGGACAACCAGCTGGCACGACGACGGCGACCCACTCCCACCACCATCACCACTCCACCGCAGCTGCCGTCGAGAAAACCACCACCGCTCTGGGTTTAGAGCAAACCACCAACAAACTGGTCGAATCGCTGCAGGTCTACGGGGTCGGGCCGCTGTGTGCAGTGCAGAAAGCGATCTTCGGCCGGATTGCCCACGGCAACGGGACCACCGCGTCGGGCGTTCTGGGCGAGCAGGTGGCCGCGATGAAGGTGGCGAAAGTGGTGCAAGATACTGGTGCTCATCAACCGGGAGGTAGTACAACCAAAGGAGGAGCAACTGGCGCAGCGGGGGCAGCGCATTATGCGATGCAAGATATGCAACCCGGCGTAGTTGGTGGAGCCCCTAGCCCTCCAACCACAGCGACAACTACTGTTCCTACCGCGATTTCCACCCCGGTTAGCAGCCAGGTCACTTCTGGCGCCGCGTCCGCCGCTACCCAAACCGCCACGTCCGTCATTGGTAATGCGGATGCCACGGGTTCCCACGCTGCCTCGACGGCGAAACATCATTTACAGCAAATCGCGATCAACGACGCTATGGTGCAGCTGAGCCACCCGTCTCTGACCGAAGTTGTCCACGCGGCGCAAGTCGCCGGCCTGCACGCCGCAGTGTATGGTGGTTTATTCGGCGGAGTAACCAGTGTACTGGTTGCGGTTGCGAGCGAATGGCGGAAGAACCAGGTGGTCGTTGAGGAGGCGGGTGCTGTGGAAGAAGCTGCGGACTCGGCAATGCAAAAGGCCGCCCCAGATGTTGAGAAAGATAGAGGCACGACAAAAATTCTGAGCACCTCCTGCGAAGATGAGATCAAGACCGAGCCGACAGGGGCGCTTTCCGCATCTGACAGCTCCGTTGAGGAGGCGAAACATGAAACCGACCCAGTTGAGTTGGCGACGGCTCGTGTAGTTGGGATGATGAATACTGAGGACACGACTTCTGTGATGTTGAAGAAGGACTACAAACCTGACGATCTTCAAGCCGGAGAAGTCTCCACTCCCCCCGAAATCACGTCTACCTCGTCCATGGAGACCACGGTTGGGGCTCTCGAAGACCATGAGCCGGAATCCGGGTCATTCACGGTTGAAACGCCAGCTAAGGACGGAGAGTTCGGAGAAGATGGAAAGGAGGGAGCCCCCACCGATCTTAACGACGCTAACCTGAAACCAGCCACAGTTCTCCAACAGAAATTGCTTCAGGAGGAGAGGAGGGCGAGGGCGTTGAGCAACATCAGCGCTACCGCTACTGGTGGACAGATGAATAAGAGGGAAGACAGTGGAACTACACCAGGCACCACTGGTACAACCGCTACCGCTCTTAACAAAAAACCGCCACTCCACCAAATCGCTTTGCGCGGTTTCGTCCAGGGCGCCTTCCCGGCGGCTGTTTCCGCTGCAGCAACGAGTGCTACGACCGATATTGTTCTGCTCTTCAAACTGCACGAGGCGCTGCAACACACATTATCTTCGACCTACATTTACGCTTTGCAAGTCGCTTCCGCCGTGGACCACACGACGAGTTACATGTTTCTCCTGCTCCCTCTCCCCCTTCCGGCCGTGCATTTGTCACCGTCTTTTATGTTCACGAATGGAAACACGTCGAACTTGCTCGCCGCAACGACACTAAGTTCGCTGAACGGGTCGATCGCGGCACACCACTTAACGACCGCCGTTACTGTCGCGGCTGCTTCCGGCGCCTTGGCCGGGGGGTTAGTCATGATGGGGTTGGACCGGTACAGGGGGGTGCCGTTGAAAAAATCGTTGACGATTTTCACAGCTGGTTTGCTTGGTAACATCCTTGGTGTGCTGACGATTGGTCCAGTGGGGGGTGCGTTGACCGGCGTGGCATTTAGATTATTGGCAGAGGAGGGAATTCGAATCCCCCTGCAGGAGTGCATCCGGCATTTGTGGACGCACCAAGTGCCGAGAGCGGTTGGGTTTGTGACCGAGGAGATGCGGGAGTTTTGGGAGAAAGTGAACGAGTTCCTAGTGACGGTTCAGGAGAGCGACTTAGTGGAGCGCGGGTCGCGGTCCTGCGAGAGCGGTCGTTTATTTATTTCGGGCAGGAGTTGCTGCTTGGGCCCGGCGGAGTTCCTGTTTGCTGCGAAGGGAAGATGCGGAGGTGGGGGAAAAGAAAAGCAGTTTTCGAACGGACGTGTGGAAAAAGAAAACAAGCAAGCTCTAAAACAGTCTGGCGGAGTGACCGACGAAAAGTCCGCCCAACCCGAGTCAGCGGCACAGAACCTGGCGCCGGGTAGTCACGAAGAACAGGTTAACGATCACGAAATCGAAACCGAAAACCTTGAGTCCGCCGGTACCGGGGGGTCTGAAAACGAGACCTCCGATAAGAAACAGCAATTAAAGCCACTGGTCACGTCGTGGTTTGAGTACCCGGATTTTTCGTTGCTTGAGCAGTCCGGGAAGGCGGTTGCCGAATCCTACGTGTGGTTGGAGGAAACTTATTCTTCTGCGAAGGAGAGAATCCACAGGATTTGCGCGACTGGGGCTGAAAAAGAAAAAGGAGAGCAGCAGCCGGGTTCGTCTTCCTCGGTGGCCGATGTTCACGTCGACGCTGAAGGTAAAAAAGCTTCTGCCGTGGATGATGTAGTAGAGGGGAATCTCGATCTTGATGGTGAGAAGACATCACGTGGCGGCTTGCACGTGCCGCAAGAAGAGATTGAAACCGCGAATGCGGAAGCGGATGGAGCACATTGTGGAGGCTCAAACGCAGCTGGTGCTGGTCTTGCAGAACAAAAATCTCAGGCTAGTACTGAAACGGAAGTGCCCGACGAAGCGCAGCAGGAAAAAGAGGCAGAGGAGGATGGGCCTAAGGTCCTCGGTGACGAAAATAATGAAACTGCCACTCACCCTGCAGAATCCGTCGGAAGCGATGAATGAGATAGAGACTGAAGCTTGATACTATTTAGTTTTGTCCCATTGCGGACGTCGTGCTTTAGCACGACCTGGAATGACCGACTCCAGGAGGGATGCGTCATCCGATAAATTCCAAATCCTATCAAGATAGGAAAGTACTAACTTCCTTACACTAGCAGCAGCATCGCTGCTGATCCTCAAAGGAGGATCTTCTGAATCTTTAATTTCGACACACGACGAGTGCTTCATAGCACCGAAATTGCACGACCTGTTGCTTGAGAGCACAGGGATTGGACTAGATGAAACGCATATTTTTTCATCTTCTTTCTTGTAGGTACAGACTCTCCGTTTGACGCCTGCAACGTTCTTGTAAGCCATATACGATGAAAAAGTTTTATATTTATAGCCGATTGCTTTTTTGCTTGGACGAATGTGTGTCAGTTTAGGGTCACATGCAAAGGTGCTGCCTCTGACAGTGACAGCAATGGAAACTTGAGGATGGGCATGATTGACTTTGGAAAGATCATGACACGTGATGCAAACGAGCATCGAGCTACGAAAACAGTATTTTTTCATCTTGGATAATGTTGCCTACAAATTGAACGGCACTACTATAAAATGATACTTACCTGCTCCTGCGGCTGCGGGGGGCCACTTCTGAGAGGAGGTGATTATTGCCGGCGGTTCGACGAACAACAGTTTTTCTGCTCAGTCTCAACACTGTGTTTTTTCCGAGTCACCAGTCCCCGATCACCTTCGACGGATCTCCAATTCAGTTCACGTACATTTCAAGAGATCACGACGCAAGATGGCATTTCGTGTCCCGCCTAAGATCGATCCAAGATTAGTTGTCATATTAAACTGCCACATGCAGACAATGTCGTTGATTGAATGACGTGCACGAGCTTCTATGATTGAAGAACAGTCATGCGTGGTTTGTTGGGTTTTTTTTATTTCCAAGGAAGAGCGACAACCAAAAACAAGAACTCTGATTACAACGTAAGTACTTATAACCACACGTCGAGACACCACGAAAGCCTAGTATAGTACTTACGCAAACAACGTTTGCCTTACGCGACTTCTTTATTTTTTCATCGGACATCAACGCATGATCGGTCAATAAATAGTGCGTTCAATATTCTTACATTCATAGTGTAATAACACCTCCTACCTCGTCTTTTTGCTCTGCAGCCCTGTATCCTGACCAGGAACAGCAATGGCGCCCCCCGTGATTGAAGATCCTGCTCGAAAAGTGCACCAGTACGCCGCCGGTAGCACTGCGCAGCTGGTTCCTCCCGCTGCGGTCCGCGCGGAGAGCCTGCAATCCCTGCACTCTTCCATCGGCATGCACCTGCTGGAGAATTTTGACTCGATTGTGGCGCGCCAGGTGAATACGTTGTCCATCAACGCGTGGGAACTGTGCGGCATGAAGAAACTAGGGCAGGGAAATGAGCTCTTCGGCGTTGGAAAGGGGTTGAAGTTGAAGATTTTGAGTTTCCTCGGCGACGAGGATATGTTTGACGACGAGGTCGACACATTATTCGCCGAAAAAATCCAGAAACAGCAACACCAAGACCACGAAAAGCGTTGCAAGGCGGTGCTGAGGAAAATAAAACGGGAAATCACAAAAGCAGTGCAGGCAGACCACTGTACCAAAAGCAAATGCTTTTGGTGGCGGGCCGACGCACTGGACACGGCGGCCTATCCCACGGGGCCGCAAACGCCATCGGACGCGCGAGTTGGCTCGGGCGATCAAACGTTTTTCGACTTTAGCGATATGAGGATGATCCGCTTGATCGAGCAGACCGGGCTCACCGTTGTCTGGTACGGGATATACGATGGGGGTTATCTGCTGGAAATTGGATGGTGAGTGTGGTATAGATATAAAGTAGAAGAAGTAAAAGACAGGCACGAAGAAGCTGAAGCGGAAGCCTCTCCAGGCACAACCGCCAGCACCATGCGCACACGACATAACGGACCGACAATTTTGGTTTTGCTTATCCTCACCAGGCGCCCGCACGCGGTGTTGGATTTGGAACTCGCTGTATGAATGAATTTCCGTTTCGCAATCCTCCTCCTCGTTGGTGACGAGGACGAAGATAGGATCCTTTCTTTAAACGATCAGGAAAGGTATTTATTAAAGCGCAAGCAGTAGATCTAGGTGAATTATGAGGCGCATGATTTTTCTTCTGCGGTATGGGACATTGATAGGCAATCTGTTCGTTCTCGCGATCCGTTCTACGTTTACAATGTACATCACGGAGAGCAGAACCTCATACATGAAGATCCTATCTGATCTCTGTCTTGTCGTGATACAGCTCATCTTTAACCTTCTGATCTACTTTATTGATATCAAACACAAACTCGTGGTGTAGTACATGGCTTGCTCCTTCTGCTCCGACGAGCATGAAGATCGATGCACCATCCTTGAAGAAGATCCGATGTGTTATGTGATGTAAGACACAGAATTTCTGCCTCGGATAAGTCATACAAAGCAAAAGCCTGCTCATGGAATGTGTCGTCAGCCCCACAGCTATTTCTGCGCCAGGGTGAACGCACGTGTGCACGTTGTAGCATTTCTCACATACAACGAATTATCATTATGGAGGACACAAGTAAGGAAAAATAGGGAGCTATCAACACACGACTACATTAGAGGCACGACATACATTTTTTCGAAGTACACAAATTTTTGACTTGTGTCACTTCGACTACGCGTCCTAGCGCAAGCACAACAGACGTGCTGTTCTCCATTTCTGTGTAAGTTTTCAAACCTCCACGACCGAATATCCATTTTGTCAAAACTTTCTCTCCGAAACTGAATTTTGCTGCATGTTCCGACTGCTAGCTACTCGCTTGTTTACAGACACCAGCTCCGAAGACAAGATGCCAGCAGCTTCTGATCGAAGTGGGGAAGAAAAGCACGACACCGCCAGCACCACGGCCCAGCTCGTGCCATTGACCGCGGTCCGTGCGAAATCCGCCAAGGAGATGCAATTTCAGATCGGAAAGCATGTCCTGGAAAACATCGACACCATTGCGGCGCGCCAGATCAACAAATTGTCGATCAACACCTGGGAGCTGTGTGGGATGAAGAAAATGCGTTGCGGATCGTCTCAGCTTTTCGGCGTGGGGCAGGGGTTGAAGTTGAAAATCTTAGAGTTTTTGGGAAATGACCTCTCCGCCCAGATTGCGGCCCACGTGGATACGTTGTTCACGGAAAAAGTGCGCAAGGCTCAGTCAATCCGGCATGAGAAGAGATGCGTCGCGGTATTGGAGAAGATCATGAAAGATATTTGGGGTAAGGTTGAGAGCGGTCACGGGTACACCAAGAGTATGAATTGGCTGTGGAACAATGGAGAGGACGCCCTTTGCAAAGTTGCTTTCCCCGATGGTGGAGAGCAGGTCGACGTCCATGCATTTTTCGCCTTCGACAATCGCAAAATGGAAAAAATGATCAAAGACGCTGGCCTCGAAATTAAGGCTATTACTTGGTGCAGCGTGTCGCACTCCCAATATGGTTATCGGCTACAACTTGGCTGGTGATAAAGAATCACGCCGGAGGTCAAACAAGTTGATCGAGCCCGATATGGAGGAACAGGAAAGCGTTCATCTTTACTTTGCTATAGTAAAAAGTTTTTTTTAAAGTTGTACTCATTCCATGGTGTTGTACGCGAGTTCCGTAGTCGTTTTGAAGAACTATACCTATGCTTTTTTGTTGTTTATCTTTCAATAGCTACAGTGGAGGACCCAATCTGATCACGATCTTGCCTTTTCGGTGGATGTGTGCAGCTCACCCACCATCACCCATGCTGTATTCACGACAGTCAAGACCTTCTGGCTGTACCCCAATGACGTGGTCACGAAAGGACGAACCGAAGACTTTCCGCATCGCTCTGCAACGAATAGAGCGGCTGTATTTAGTTGTTGAGACAGACACAGATCGGCGACATAGCATCAACAATCGAGGCCGTACGTACCGCTAATCGTCTTTTGTCCAAGGAAGCAATCTATAGTTCTCTGCCTTCCCCCTAAAAGAATCACAAAAGCACATTATCGCGTTACCAAAACAATGTGGACATGCCGAAGGCTATTTCCATTCTAAAGCTAAAGAGCCCGAGGCAGATACTTGAATAACCTTAACCTTGAGAAAACGTGTTTTCACATACATTAATAAAAAAACGAGGATTTATTTCGTGGTGGCAAAACCACTTGAGTCCCCTACTACGTACGTCTAGACTGTCACAACTTCCAGCTACGAGCAGGAAGTAGAGGTTCTATTTTTGGGAAAGCCACCCTTAACCAGTGTCCAGTGGTGGTAAAACCACAGATATGTTCCCCCGCACGAGCAGCTAGACGTTCCGCAAACTCATTTTTTTTCGCGCAAGAAGAACAACAAGAAAAAATTGTCGAACCGTACCTCCACAAATTCAGTGGACTCATTCTGAATGTACGATTTGTTTGCCCGTTTTCAAGAAAAACAAAAAGAAATAATGGGTCGGGAAACATTCTTGGTAAAGAGAAAGAGTAAGGCACGTACGAGAATCCTGTAACTGTTCTATAATCTATTTTGTAGCTTGCAGTTTGGTACCTTTTTCGTGTTGCGTTCCTTTCTTGAGTCGGAGAGCTGCTCAGGTCTGAGAGATAAGGAGTTGCTAGACGAAATCAAGAAAAAAAAACAAGAGAGACAAAGTAGATGATCTGGTGCTCTCGAGAGACAATCGAACACTTTGCGATGTCGTTATGCTGTCCTTCGTTCATCTACTGAGCAAAACGAGGACATGAAGCCGTCAGATTATCGCCGCAGAAGTATGCAATATGGAAACTCAGCAATATTTTTAGGCAAGAACGTCGAAGGGACGTGCCGGTAGTACTGAAAAGCAGCTTCATCTACCACCCACCAAACAGCTTTTTCAAACACAAAAGCCATGGTCGCCCAAGAGCAAGGCCGCGCCGAGCGCATCGCGCAGCTGCAGCTGATGCTGCAAACGGCGGAGAACAAATTGCCTGGCTGCAGCAGCTCCACCAGCGGGGCCTCATCCGCGAAAAATATGAACGCCGCCAATTTCTACCCCAAGAAGCAGCAGTTCGTTTGCACGAAGCAGGGGCAGCGGCTCTACTCCGGAAGATTCGGCGACGGGGAGAAAAACAACCACGAGCCCAGAGCATTTACCCGTACCTGTCTCCGCCGGGAAGAGGACGCAGCAGTGATGGAGACGCTGAAGCTAACCGCTTCTGGAGCAGCGAACGAAGGAGGGGAACAGCAAACCGTTTTCGGTCTACCCTCGTGGTCCCCGCGAAGAGGGGGTGCGGGGCATATTACGACACGGCGGAAAGGAGGTCTATTCGCGACCGGGGAAGCGGGGAACCGGAATAAGATGGAAACTGTGCGATCGCTGTTGGGAGGAGACGAGGACAAGATGCAGGTACAGTTTTTCTTTGATTTTAGGTTTTTTTTTTGTTGCAGCATAGTACCACGTGCTCAGGTTGATTAGGAGTCAAATGAAGCATGAAAGTCGGCAAGAAAAACCCCGATTTCGATATTGAACCACAGTCCACCCGCAAGCTCGCACCACCATCCCGTCCGGAAGACATAGACACCACGTGCACGAAAACGCACTTCTTTCCCGCTACTCGGTCCCAGCAGAAAACCACCTACAACGTGGCGCTCGACGGCCGCAGTCTCCAGTTCGACGTGACCTGTCTGACGAAGACGAGTTCGAGTCTGAAACGGTACACGCTGGTCTACGATTTGTTTGACAACCAGTTGAAGGTCGTGATCCCGGAGTACGCGGTGAAGGACGGACTTGAGCAGGTGGACGCTTTTGGAAATTTCGTGAAGAAGGGCTACTACCGGAATGGGGAGAAAAACAACAAACTCTTCTCCCCGACAGACTTCGCTTCAATCGGCGCGGAGTTCGAGCTGCAGGGCTTGAAATTCCGCGTGGAAGGGATGTGCCCGTTTGCGAGCCAGTACTTGGAACGGAATCCGAGTAAGAGTAAGGAGGTTGCTGCTGGTGCTGCTCAGGAGGAGGTGCCGAGTGCGGCAGGTGCTGCAAATACGACAGCGAAGCCGGAACTGTCTGCTACCACCGTTTTCAAGATTCCCTCTGTCGCCTCCGCTGCCGCAGCGCCGGTTTCTGAGTCTACGTTGAGCCAGATGCTGAAACAGTTGATCACCACGATGCAGCAGCAGGACCCGCGAAAACTGTTTCGGCAATTCGACAAAGAAAAGGACAACGTGCTGTGCTTTCAGGATTTTCAGGTAGGATTTCCCTTCATGATCATGTGATAAAAGTTTCATGCAGTTGGTTTAAATCAACATGTTGCAATCTCATGGCATTTGTGAAGCACAATAGCAAGCGAAAAGAACACTTCAATCCAAATCAGGCCCTCCTCTTCGCCTACGGCTACCGTCTCCGTGCGGTCGACGCTTCCCGCCTGTTCCACTTTTTCACTCCCGCTCCGTCCACTGCGATCAAATTCGAGGAGTTTCTGAAAATCTTACATCGGGATTACGCGAAAGTCGATTTGATCGAACTCACTCCCTTTTCCGAAGAACAGTTTCTGAATTTGAAAAAGTCGGTTGACGAACTGCAATTCCAGAAAAACACGAGGAAGAACTTGCAGCAGATGGCATCACTTGTCGCGAGAAGCTCCTGGAAGCACCAGATTCTGCAAAAATTTCGACAGCGCGAGAAGTCCAACGTGTGCTTCGTGTCGGCGGCGGAGGTTTGCGACGCGTTTTCGATCGCAACGGGGGTTGGGTTCAGTGTGGAAGAAGTGGAAAACGCGCTGTGCTTGCTGTACAAAAAGGAAGATGTAGAGGCGAAGATTTCCTACGTGCGGCTCATTGCCGACTTGGAACGGGTGCATTATGGGTGAGTAGAGGCGTGGCACCGTTCTATTTTTTGTGGTGCGGAAATTTGATTGACAACGCCAATGAATTACTACCCATTTTGAACTTTCATGAACGTTCTCGCGCCACCCATAGTAGTACCACTGCGTGGGGTGAACAAGACGTTCGTACTTGAGCTTAACTTTTTTACTGTGCTTTTTTTTTCGTGTAAAATCTAGAATGCAACTGCGTACCGCTGAATGAAAACTTAATGATACCAAGAGTTGAAGAACGAGAGTGCCAGTGCGAGAGTTGAGCTACTGTTTTATCGAAATTTACACAAACAACGTGACGCCGTGTCTCTGACCGATGCGGCAATGAATTGTTTTTATGTTTCTTTTTCAACGAACACAAACTTATTTCACTTGAACTTTTCGAGATTCACGCAGTACGGACTACGGTGCTGGCTCGCGGGAGCAAGCAGAAGTCTTGAGCTTACCTTTATTTGAGAATACAGAACAGAACTTGACTAGTAGGGATGACGAAGTAAAAGTCAATGACTGAGAGCTAATTTTTCAAAATGAGAATCTTTCCTGAAGAAAACAAATTTAGGAAGAGCTTTGACGTCCTGTCGTTTGGACAACACAGTAAATTCATTTTCTCTTGTCACTCCTTGTCCTTGGGCCGCCTGGCGCGACTTTCAAAAGCGCTCGAGCTGAGCAGCCGTTCTCGTTCTGCCCTGTTCTTTGTGCCCAGAGCAAACAAGATCAGACGATGATGGGATCAAGCAGGAGGTCCAGGATTTCTTCGTTCGTACTCGGTCTCGTTCAACATCATATAGATGTGTAGTTTTGTTCAGATCGGTCGGTATTCCTTGCGCAGCAGAGATCGCATGGTCTCATATCTCGCTGCTTGCCTTTCCTCCACATAAAATCGTACACGAATGAAAATAAAATGACAACCATGACCACCACGACGCCTCCGGTCCCGCCCGAGAAAACTATTCGCTATGCCAACCGCAATTCCCCGGAGCGAGTCCAGGAGGACGCGGTGGACGAGCAGCTGAAAAAATGGTTCCTTTTTACGCCTGAAGAACTCCTGAACCTCTCAAACCATCTGCTCAAACAGATGCAGAAAGGGCTGGAAGAGCACGGGTGCCTGATCCAGATGCTCCCGACTTTTATCGAGAAATTCCCCACCGGGAAAGAGCAGCAGGACTGCATCGCAGTGGACCTGGGGGGAACAAACCTCCGGGTGATGCACGTGAAACTCACGGGGAAGAACGGGGAGTACATCACCGGTGCGACCCGGAAGAAGAAAATCCCACGGAAGGCGCAGATTGGAACGCACAGGGATCTGTTTGGATTAGTCGCGGAAGAGATCGGGGAGTTACTGAAAGATGCAAATTTGGTTCCTGTAGTAGAGGGTGCAGCTGCAACTGGCGCAGGTGCAGCAGCAGCAGCTCCTGTTGGCGGAGGTTTCCTGGGAAACACGAACAATGAGAATGACGCTTTTGACAATAATGTCAGTAAAACGGACCATGTGAACATGAACGATCCGGCTGGTCCTGCGTTCAGTAAGATCGGGTCATCACCAAACTACGTGAAAAACGAAACCGTTTCTCTGTCCGAAACGCCGACGCCCGTGACGCAGCCACCGAAAAATCCGCTGACAAGCCTCCCTCCGAGCGCAACTACGACGCGCCAGAGAACCAACTCCTATCCTCTCGGTTTCACCTTTTCCTTTCCCCTGCACCAAACGGCGCTCGGCTCCGGCTTGTTGACCAACTGGGCGAAGGGGTTTTGCGCGACGGGGGTTGTGGGCGAGGACGTCTGTGAGTTGCTGGAAAATGAATTAAAAGCGCGGAACATCCCCGTAACGGTCCAAGCGTTGATCAACGACACTGCAGGGGCGCTGATGTCCGGCACGCTGAAAGAGCCAGACTCCTGTGCCGTCGGGGTCATCATTGGGACCGGGACAAACTGTGCGTATTTGGAAAGGGTAGACCGGATTCATAAATTACATTTGGAGGTGGAGAGTGGAGCTGCTGCTGGTGCGAAGGGAGCGACGTCCTTCTCTCTAGCAGAGTGTTTCTCCTCTTGCTGGGAGCCGACAGTTGGCAGCTTTTTCAGAACTGTGATTCCGGGGATCTGCGGGGCGAGCGCGTCGTCGTCGTTGATGAGTAGTAGTTCTGGTGAAGCAGGAGCAGAATCGACGGTAGCAGGGGGCTCTTCGTCATCTTCATCAACAGCACGCATCAACAAAGAAGCGAAGAACCATCTTCATCACAACCTGATGTGCATCAATTGCGAGTGCGGCGCGTTCACCGACACGGGTCTCAGAAGGACGAAAATGGACGAAGATCTAGACGCAGAGAGCAGCAACGCCGGCGCACAGCACATTGAGAAGATGATAGCGGGGCACTATCTGGGCGAGTTGGTGTTTCGAACCTTGGTGGAATTGCAGGAATCCGGAATGGCCTTTGTGGAGGCGAAGGAGCACGTATTTATTCTTGAGATTGTCCGCTTCTATGTTCATGTTGCTTTATGGTTGATGCTCGATCAGTCATGCGTTTTCTTGTCTTATGTTTCTTTCATCATCGGAACCACGACTGATGTCGATGTGTGAGAAAATACTAGCAAGATCAAAACCTTTCAGGGTCTCCTCTTTTCCGACCACCCGCACACGGTTTTCGAAACGCACATGATGGCTTCCACAGTCGCCAGCCCCTACAACGACGGCCGCGGGGTGCTCAGGCAGATTTTCGGCCCGGCGACATGGGATAGGAAGATGTCCTCAGGGACAACATCAAACGCTGATAATGCCAGTAGAAGAGACATTCTCACACTGTTCAAGGTGTGTTCTGTCATTTCCGGCCGATCGGCGATGATGGCCGCCGTGATGATAGTGTCCATGGTCCGGCAGATTCTCTCCGGACAGCCGGAGAGGAAGGAAATTGTCATACCTGTGGATGGTACAGTGTACAAATCGTTTCCGAAGTACAAGGAGAGACTCAATGACCACTTGATGAGCTTGGTGCAAGCTGCGCCGGACATTCCGAAGGATATTGTCGTGGTTTTGAAGGATGCCTGTGAGGACGGGAGCTGCATCGGTGCGGCGGCGGTTTTGGCTGCGGCCTGTAGGGAAGATAATTCTTGAGGTTTGGACTTTGAAGTTGGACGATGGAAAATTTTCTGTGATCATCATGCACACGCGCGTGCGAATGCGCAACCAAATAGGGAGACCGATCTTTAACGGAACGCAAAGTGGTGTCAGCCATCGTTTCTGTTGCCCGTGTATTTTTTTGAATTATTTGCGATTTTTTTCACTCTGTTTCTATTTCGAGACTTCAACTTCTTTCTTCGGCGTTTTTTTGCAAGTAGAACAAGCAATGAGTGCATGATAGTATCTCTATGAGGCTGCTGAGGAGGTGCTGCAAACTACGACGAGGGTGAGAACTGTGGCTCTAAAACCGGTACTAGTCTGGCAAACTCGAGAGACTCCGGCACCGAGCGCTTGTTGTCGTTTAAGTTTTCTTGCTACTTCCTAAGAATCCACCTGAAGAGTGCAGCGCTGAATCTTGCCACTCTAACCCCCCGCCCCAATCTCGGCAAAAAACAAAAGTCACTGCCCACCCGCCAGAATGCGCCTCGTACTCTCGTGCAGGAGACATTCCGGCGCCGCTGCGTCCCGGCCCCTGCTCACAGCGGCCACCAGCCGGCACAACGCAGCAAACACGTTTGCCGCGGCGGCTACTTCAACGTCGTCCTCAAGTTCGCGAAGTAGCAGACAGCCTAGCAGAGCACGTTTTTTCTCCACCACCAGCAGCTCCAACAAAGTCTACAATACCGCCGACGAAGCGGTGAAGGATATCCAGGACGGACAAACGTTGCTGGTCGGCGGGTTTGGGCTTTGCGGGATACCAGAAAACCTCATCACCGCGGTGCAGAAGACAAACGTGAAGGATTTGACCTGCGTGAGTAACAACTGCGGAGTGGACGATTTTGGGTTGGGTGTTCTGCTGCAGACTAGGCAGATCAAAAAAATGATCAGTTCGTACGTCGGGGAAAATAAAAATTTCGAAAAGCAGTACTTCAACGGCGAGCTGGAAGTGCAGTTGACGCCGCAAGGGACGCTGGCGGAGAAGATCCGGGCGGCCGGGGCGGGCATACCCGCGTTCTTCACTCCGACGGGGGTGGGGACCATTATGCAGGAAGGAGGGTACTTACTAAGGAGAGGGAAATCTTCGAAATCTGTCGAATTGATACTGTTGTCACTTCGTTCTGGCATTGTTGATGGTCGCGCACCACAGCTCGTCGTTCTCGTTTCTCAGTATTAGTTGATAATTTATTTGATCAAACAAACGATAGCCACAACATTCCCAGGTTTCCCATCCGCCAGAAGTCCGATTCCAATACCGAGATCCTCAGTGGCAAGCTCGAATCCCGGACTTTCGACGGAAAAGAGTACGTCATGGAGCTCTCTCTACCGGGGGACTTCGCGTTGATTAAGGGCTACAAGGCGGACATGCTGGGAAACGTGATTTTCCGGAGCACGGCGAACAACTTCAACGGAATCATGGCAGCGGCGGGGAAAACCTGCATCGTCGAGGTGGAAGAGATCGTCGAGACCGGGACGTTTTCCTGCGACGAAATACACCTCCCCTCGATCCACGTGGACCGCCTGGTTCTGGGTGGGACTAATTACGAAAAACGAATCGAGAAGACGGTGTTGGCCGACCCGGGAGATGGGTCAGAGAAGAAGCTGAAGCCGGAGAGGGAAAGGATTGGGAGGAGAGCTGCGCTGGAATTTAGGGATGGAATGTACTACATCTTCAGTCTTGAGTTTCTGCTTCATCATTTTGATGAGGGCAATTAATTTGCCTTGATTCAGGGACGACGTGATGAACTTTTGATGCTGCAGCGCAGCATGCGCCATGTGAGGACCTCGAGTTACATAAAAGGTGTGCGCACCAGTGAGAGATCTCTGCACTGGCAGCTCCTGTCAAAACAAACCTTTCCCCACAGGTACGCCAACCTTGGCATCGGTATTCCCACCCTCGCGGCGAATTTCGCGCCGAAAGACGTCAACATCGTTCTCCACAGCGAAAACGGATTGCTCGGGATCGGTCCCTACCCCAAATCCACTACCGAAGTCGACCCGGACATCATCAACGCGGGCAAGGAAACCATCACGATGATCCCCGGCGCCGCTGCCTTCGACTCGGCGGCGAGTTTCGCGATGGTCCGGGGTGGGCATGTGGACATCACGATGCTGGGGGCGTTGGAAGTCTCCCAATTTGGGGACTTGGCGAACTGGATCATTCCCGGAAAAATGATGAAGGGCATGGGTGGTGCGATGGATCTAGTCGGGTCCGGCGGGAAGACGAAAGTGGTGGTTACCATGGAACACACCGCGAAGGGAAACAAGCCGAAAATTCTGGAGAAGTGCACCTTGCCGTTGACGGGCAAAACGTGCGTGAATTTGATCATCACGGAGATGTGCGTGCTGGAGGTGGATAGTGAGAAAGGGTTGGTTTTAACCGAAATCGCTGACGGATACAGTGTGGAAGATGTGAAGGCGGCAACCGGAGCGCCGGTCAAGGTGTCGGACGCGTTACAGCCCATGCGGCAGGCGTAGATAGTGCTTGCGCAGCGGCTAATGTTGCCTGAGTGTAGTTCTTGCGCTGACGAATTTGTGAATGCTCGTCGTTCTGTGTAACCAAAACCATACAATTGCCACCGGGTTTCTTTTTTTTTCCTCTGCCAAAACTACGTGTAACCAAATGCCTTTCTAGAGGGCGGTAAGGCTTCCTCCAGCACCTCGTGCTGGAAGATATACGCGACGATCATGAAGAACTTGTACCCGCGAATTCCTTTCCTCGTGCAGAATTAGCAGGAATCCTGAAAAGTATCTATCGAGCGAAGACATAGACTTTGACAGTGACATTTTGCCACAGTCTGAATTTGTGTGTTCTGTGCCTTGCCCGTGCACGCTCAGGACTGAAGTATTTGCTTTTCAAGCAGGTGAGTGTGAAATTATCATTTTTGAAGACGCAACATCACACAGTTCTCCGCAAGCAAGGCTTAGTACCTTCCCCATCTTCAAGCCCCCGATAAAGTAATTCTTGCGCAATCACCAACATGAACATCGGAGCCGACTTTTGTTTAGTATAGAGAAATAAAGAGCAACATGGCAATCGGTACCGATTTCTCCACGACGTCTCCGCAACCAGCGGAGACCTCCACAGCGAGCTCCTCACCAGTGAATCCCCGCGTCTGGCAAGGGTCTTTCATAGTTGAAACCGCGAACATGCGGCGGAGGGAATCGCCGATGTATGTGATGACGAACCCCACACTCTCCGTCGCCTTGATCCCTGATTTACCTACCGAGGAGATTTTTTGCGATACAGAAAGGAAAAAGCTGAAAGCCGGGATTCTCTGCCTCTACTGCCCGGCACAGAACCATTGCAGTTTGTCCATGAACGAGAACTGCGACAGCACCGTCAGGAAGGATATGCTGGAAGCGTTGAGACGGATCGCGAATGGGTCGGGGACTGCTAAAGAAAACAAGAACAACCAGAACACTTTCGCGACAAACGCCACGGTCTTCGACTTGCTGACGACCAGGTCATTAGCGATTCCGGTCTCAAACGGGCAGTTGATGCTGGGCACCTGGCAGGGGGTTTATCTTTTCTACGATAACTACTTCTGTTCTGCGGAGCAAAACGGGCCGCCAAAGGTGTTCTGGGCGTTGATAGAGGGGGCGGAGTATGAGAGGACGGAGTATTCGGCGAATCATGCTGGGAGTTTTTCGCTCGGGACCTATTTGAAGGAAACCACTCTATCTAACGAAGAGGAATCAGATTCCCAGTTTCACTGCCTAACGCACCTCCACACACACCACACATCCGCGAGCTTGTGCTTGAGGGATAAAGAACAACAAGCATTCAAAGAAAAGGGAAACTCTCCCGAGAAGCATGATCCGAAGAAGCCGAAGCAAGCGAGGCGCATTGCCGCGTTGGCGAAGCAGGGACAAAAGAGCAACTCCGTCGATCTGGAAAGAGAAGTCATGAACGAAGTGGTCCTGGACCGGTGGAACGACGAATTTTTCGAGCACACGTACGAAGGCCGGGACGACATGACTGGCCACCTGAAATGCACCTTGCTCGGATGCTCAACCATACTGGATTTGAATTCGCAGGGCAGAAGCAAAAACGCCGTCTTGAACGAGCATCGGGAGGGGCGGTCGCTGAGGAAAATCTCGCTGGTGCACGTTTTGTACAGTTCGCAGAAGATCAAGAAGAGTTTGGAAGAACAGGCCGCAGGAGCTGCCGCACTAGCAGACTCTAGTACAAATTCTACTGCGCCATCCAACAAACAGGTGGTAGAGATAGTGATAGACGACCCCAGCAGCTCGTCTGCTCCGATAACGGATGTCACGGAGCTCGTGATACAGCATGTAATTGGTCGCAGCTCTGCATCTACTGCGGCCACAGCTCCTGCCGTGCTTTTTGTCGGTGTCTCGGGTCCGGCCAGGTTGGTCACAAGCAGGTCGAAGTTTCCGGTGGATACGTTGAAAGCGCTGTGTGCGAGGGAGTACTGGTATCACCTGCTGCCTTCCTCCGCGATGATACCTCTCGGTGGGTTGCGTTCATTTGACAGTGGCACGAGGACCGCTGGGGAAGAACAGGATAGGTTTTTTGTGGTCACTCAAGCAGGACCAAATACTTCAGCTATCAAACTGACGCTTGTTAGCCTGTGACACAGGTGGCATCTTCATCGTGATGAAGAGTCGTGCAGAAAGTTCCTGTACTCCACTAAAGCCGGCCACGAACGACCAGCTGAGCCTAATTTCTTGCCTCTACAACCGTTTCGCACGAGCAATCCAATCAACTCCAGGCAGCACTGCTGAATTCTAACCGCAGCCTCTCACTGTTCGGAGAACCAATTTTGTTTTCTGAGTAGACAAGTACTTTACTGATCCGGAATGAGGACGTAGCTGCCTCTTAAATTTTGATTTTCGATACGCATGGAGCGAAGAGGAAGACCTGTGAGTGATCTGACAAATACAAAGAATTTTTATTAGCTTTTTCTTGCCCTTGGGCTTCTTGGTCCGAAATCGTTGCACAGGATCCATTCATGAACCCATTCGATCTACTCTTTCGCCCCATTTTTTCTATATCGTCTTGATCGCCCCAAGGTATGTCTCGGAAACGGAATTCATCACGCTTAATAAGAAATTGGGATCTTAGAACTTATTACGACTAGAGTTTTTGATTTGATCTCACTGTTATCAGAGGAGAGTTTCATTTTTCGAGTAAAAAGTAGCGACAAGTTGTAAGTAAGTCTAAGTATAATCTACCAACAACGCGCACAAGCCTGTACATGTTCTGGCTCTACCATATCTATTCTCTTCTTCTAGTTTGAGACTTTTTTCCCACGACGCCTAAAGCGACCATGGCGACCTCTTCCTCCTCGAAAGTTTGTTATTACGAGCTCCTCGGTGTTTCCCGCAAAGCTGATGACGCCGAGTTGAAGACCTCCTACCGCAAGCTCGCGCTCCGTTTCCACCCGGACAAGGCGCCGCAGAACAACTTGACAAATGAGGAGGCGACGCAGCGGTTCCAGGCACTGAACGAAGCGTACGCAACTCTGTCCGACCCGCAGGAGCGCGCGTGGTACGACGCGCACAGGGAACAAATATTGTATGGGGACGATGACGACAACGAAAATGGCGTGGACCCGTTTGAAAAGCAGCTGAATTTGTGGAGTTACTTCCGCTCCAGCTGCTTCCAGGGGTTTTCCGACACGGATCCAAAAGGATTTTTCATCGTGTACGAGGAATTGTTCCGGAAAATCGACATTGCGGAACAGGACTACTACTCGGATGACAGTGAAGAGGAAGAGGGGAACAATTCTAGTTCATCGTCGAGTAACCCAAATAATAAAGGGAATAACAACAACAAGAATAAATCCGCAGCTAGCTCTTCCAAAAAAAACACTTTCGCGCCTGCTTTCGGCAAATCCGGCGATGATTGGGCGAGTAGCACTTCCAAATTCTACTCCCACTGGCAGAACTTCGCGACGAAAAGGCCTTTTGGTCACGCGGACAAGTACAACCCAAATGAGGCGCCGAATCGGAAAGTGAGAAGATTGATCGAGCAGGAGAACAAGAAGTTGCGGCAAGCAGCGAGGCAGGAGTACAATGAGAAGGTGCGGAAATTGGTGGGTATTTGTATGCGCCGGGACCCGAGATTTGAGCAGTTTGAGAAGGAGAAAGCAAAGAAACAAAGGGAAAAAACGGAGAAGTTCGAGAAACAGCAGCAACTGGATTTAGAGAGGAAAAAAGCGGCGAGATTAGCGGCGAAACAAGAGGAGATTGAACGGTGGGAAGAGGCGGAGAGGTTATTGCGGGAGCAGGAAGAGAAGTACGGTGGAGGTCTTTTATCCGGTAATGAGGTAGCTACAGACCCAGATGATGTTCAATGTCGCAATGCAAGTCGGACGCCGCGAGAGGAACAAGACGAACAAGACGCGGACAATTCCCCAGCACCGCAGGTGTTCGTGTGCGAGCTCTGCCGCAAGAATTTCAAGACGGAAAACCAGTTCTCGGCCCATTGCAAGTCGAAGAAGCATTTGCAAGCGGTTGCGGCCATGATGGAGGCGGTGGAGAGCAGTGAGGGGGAATTAGTGGAGGACGACGAAGACGATGCTCCAATGGACGACGAGGATTCTGACACGTCGGAAGAAGCTGCTGTAGAGAGGCAGCAAGTAGGAGAACAGCGGCATGACGATGACGAAGACCCCGATGACAAAAGCTCTGCACCAGCGAGCCCCAGTTCTTCCCAACCGTCACCAGAGAAAAATCGCAGAAAAAGTAGAAGGCAAAGCACATCTAGCAAAGGTAGTTCGCGGTCTGGGACTCGGAGGAGGAAGGACAGCAAGACAACGGAACAAGATTCATCTGACGAGAGCAGCGACGACGATGCATTCTTGTCTAGGTTTGCGAACCTGAAAACGAAGCAGAACAGCTGCAAGGCTAAGAACGTAGACGCAGCCAGTGACGTTGATGATGAGGTTGATGAGGAGGCTGAGGACAGCCAAGAGCCTTCATGTAAGAAGAATCTGAATTTCAGCCCTTCGAACCGTTCACGCGCTGCTGGCCAAGACGCGGGAGAAAGCAGTCCACCTGCGGTTGCAGCAAAAGCAGAAAACGACACTTCAGGTCTCGACAAAAGTAGCGAAGCTGCAGGCAACAAGAACGATGCAGTCCCAGCAAGCGTAATCGACAAAATATCGTCGCCAGCGGACGCCAAAGACAGCGACGACGCAGGCGATGTTGAAGATGTTCCGAATGGTAACGAAGGGGACAATGTTGAAACTTCACTACCACCAACCGACGACACGACTAAGAAAGAAAAGCGTAAGCGCCGGCGCGCAAAACCTCCCGATGATGGTGCAGCAAATAACCCGACCCACCGGTCCGTCCCCGCGCAGTCTGGAGACAGTTGGCCGGAGGCGGCTGCGTCAGCCGTGATCCTCTGTGCGTACTGCCGACAAACGTTTTCGACAAAAAACAAGCTCTTTGACCATCTGAAGAAAAATCCGACGCACATGGCGCTGAAAACCAACGCGTCCGCGAACTCGAAAAAGAATCACGACGCGATGCTGGCGAATTTTGGGGTCGGAAATGGTGGGGGGAAGAAGGAGAATAACAAGAGGGGGAATAGGTGACAGTGGAGAAGATGAAATTCTCGTCGGCTGAGCGGTATCACTATCGCTTCAACTGCTCCAACTGCTACTAAAAGAGTTCAAAAAAACTATGTTGGAGACGCAGAGTAGGAGTATGAGAACCGGCATGTCGCACTTCGCCTAAGCATACTGATTGTACAACGACGGACCAACGACATGATCAACAGAATTGACTACAAACTGGGCGTAGTAGTCAGTAGAACGAGAACTTCCTTGTGCTCGCGTTCGTCGAGCTATCGGGAATAGTATAATTAGTGTGTTCCAAAAATTCAAGAAAAGGCAGTGCTCGTGTTCCTGCATACGATGTGCCATCCGGCAGTCGACACGCTTTTGTCTTGATCATCCTTGTTGTATCGTTTCAGTGTGTCAAACTCATGAGCATCCATGATCTTGAATGAATTAGATCACTCTTTCTTTCTTTCTTTCTTTCTTACCATGCCCGGGCATGGCTTCAAATGTTCAAGGCCCTAAAAGTTCCGTTGCAATCCCAATTTCTTCTTTCTCGATTTGATCTCGCAATAAGACAACAGCTGAGCATGAACAACTTGTGAATTATAAGATCTAGGACGTTGAAGATAAAAATTTAATACAACAACAAGCTCTGTAAAACAAAACAAAACAATCATCTATTTCTTCAAAAAAAATAAATCATCTGAAAATAGTCTTCTTGTGCTGCAAATTCGATGGAATTTCCGTTGTATGAATTCTGTAATGCGCAAATCTATATTGAAAAGGAAAAAGTAGAGAGTCTAGATTTCAAGACTTTCTATGTCAGCAGGATAAATTTTTAATTTTTATCCTTTCAAAAAGCAAGTATGATTTCGTCTAAGTCTCAGCATCGATTTTTTTTTTTCTTCTGATCGATTTCACAGTCTATTTCTGACCTTCGCACACCTTTTCCATCCTCAAATCCACCCTGCCGTGCCCCGATTCGCATTGCCACCTTGGTCGTCCCCAAGCCACCCGGTCCGCCCGTTGGCCGCGTCATGTCGGTTGACCTGGGGATTTTGTGGGGGACGAGCACCGGGACCAGCATGATATTGTTGCATTCCATGCCATGCAGCGCCGCAGGGATAAAGAGTAGAATTATACCTGTTGGGGTGCCCCCCGCCCTGGGGCACCCGCTCTGGGATGGTGCCTGGGTGCCGGCCGCAAGTGCTCGCCGTCCACGACGCGTGCGGCCACCAAGTCCGTGTCGGAGGAGCACCGCGCTGGATGTAGTGGTTGCGCCATGGACCGGATGGGGCTGACGTGCTCCGACCTGTGTCGCCCTTCGTCCACCGATGGGTGGTGGCCCTCCTGCCGGCATGTTCGTGTGGTGAGACCGAGCGGTTTGTGTAGGGAGGGTGGACCTGGATGTTGTGGAGGGGAGAGGGAGCGACGACACCACCAAGGGATCCATGCATTCCATACCAACAAGCAACAGAATATTGAGGGTTGGAATTATACCTGTTCGGGGGGCCCCCACCATGGGGCGCCCCCGATCTTGTCTCGCGTAAATGTGCGCCGTTTCGCCTCGCCGTAGCGTGCAGCCGGCGTCGTGCTCCGGTGGGTGTCCCAAAGTGGCCATCTCCAGCAGGTCGTGGTTGGGTGGAACCGTGCAAATCGGTCGAGGGGCACGTGGGTTCTGAGTCGATGTGGTTTCCGGGCAGTAGGGGTAGGCTCTGGTGCGGCTGGTAAGTGACCTGTGTGGTCGAGGGGAGAGCAACAACGGCCAAAGGAGGACACTGTAACACGTCAAGTCCCAACGAATGATGCGCATCAATGACATGATAACTATACCTGTTCGGGCACCCCCCACCTGGAGGTGCCCGGGTCGGTGTCTCGCGTGGGTTCGTAGGGTTTGATTGCTCCGGCGATGTAGAGCATGTCCAGCTGGTGGGGTACGCCGCCGGGTGGTGCGGGTGAGCGTGTGCTTGGGCTGGGGTACAGGGCCTTGACCAAGATGCTCTGCTCGACTGTAGATGGGCGGCATGGGGTGCCGGGCGGGAGTCGCGTTGCGGCGGTTTCTGTACAGGGATATAATGAGCGAGGGAGGCCGGGTCTTGTGGAACGTGCAAAAAATTCCTGATGTTCATCGCATTGCTAGTTTCTGTGGGCAAGCAAGCATAACAATAAGAATACCGGTCAGGACCCCCCCACGCCCCCTCCACAGCCCCGCGCCCGCGGTAGTGTGTTTGGGGGGGAGAAAGCGGTGGGCGGAGTCCTGGTGGCGCTTTGTTTGCGCTGAAAAGTTCGGCCCCGGCATTGCGTTGTTGCGTCTCGTCCTCGGTGTCGCTGTCCCAGTCTGCATCGTCATCGAGCTCCCCGCCCGGCTGTAGCGCGCGTCGCAGCAACCTGATGAACTCGATGCCCCAGCACGGGTCCTCCTGCAGTGCCGCGGACCGGAATTCGCCCGGGTTGGACGGGTCTACCACCCGGAGGCTCTGAAGGGCCGGGCACTCCTGTACCAAGTGCGCTGTCGTTGCTGCCGGTGGGCTCTGTGTCCGCCCTTGACAAAACGGGCAGGCGTAGTCTCTACCGGTTATGTCCGAAACCAGCAGGCCCATCCTTGCCGCGTTGTAGGCGACTTCGTCCGCCCTCGTCGCGTGCGCCACGCTGTCTATCGGGTTTGCCGCGAAGTTGGACACCTGGCGGAGTGTCACGCAGGTCTTGGACCCTCCTGTCTGTTTTCCCCTGTCCTGCAGCTCCTTCTTTTTCTGTTGCCGCAGGGACCTCGCGACTTCCCGCTTGGCCTGCCTGTGCGTGACCCTCGCACCGACTTCGGTGTAGTCGGTTTGCTCCCTGGCCATGGTCGCGAGCTTGTCCGCGACCTCGTTGCCGTCGACGACCTTCCTGTGCGACTTTGTGAACACCAGCGACAGGTGTCCCGCGGGTCCTAGTTTCTCTAGGGCGTCCCGTAGTGTTTCGTAGAGCAGCAGGTCACTGCCGTCCCGAATTCTTGGGTTTTGGAGCGCCTCGAGATTGGACTGCGAGTCTGTGACCACGACCGCTGTGCGGACTTCCCCTGCCGGTCTCTCTGCTACGGTGGCCAGGGCCCCCAGCAGGGCTGCTCGCTCCGCGTCGAACGAGTCCCCGTAGGACGTTGTTGCCCAGCCGTACTCTCTGTACCTGTCCCACGCGTCTTCGACCACGGCCGCGGCACATTGGAAGTCCTTGACTGAACCGTCCGTGTACAGCGAGACGTCTGCCGCTGTGGTGAGTTGTCGCAACTCCTCGTCCGTCGTTCCGGTTGTGCGGACCGTTAGCCTCCCGGCTTCTTTTGCGGCGTGTACTGTGCTCAGGCCGTTCTGCGGGAGTGCCCCGGGTTCCGCTAGAACCTCGCACCCCTCCGGTAGCGCCGAAGCCCGTAGCGCGTCGGCTGCCGCCGTCACCCAGTCGACCTGCCCCGCTGCCGCTTCGACCTGCTCTCGCAGCGGGTCCGTTTTCTCCCTCGACATGCCACGCGCTAGCAACGCGGCAGCTTCTTCCTTTGCCAGGTTTTCGAGTGGTTGGAGTCCTGCCTCATGCAATGCACAGTCGCCGTTCGTTGTCCTCGGGAGCCCTAGTATGCTCCTGGCCGCCTGCTTGTGGAACCTGTCGAGCTCCTGCTTGCACTTTTGTGGTAGTGCGAAGTAGTACGAGCCGAGGCCGTACCGGACTAAGCTTTCACAGAATAAACGGCAGAAGACTCGGACATCTGCTGTGCGTGTCCACGGGAGCCGCGCGAGTGCCCGCACCGCTACCATGCGGCGCCGCAACTTTCCTAGCATTTTCTCGGTGTGCTTGCGAAATCTCATTTCGCGGTCTAGCGTGATGCCTAGGAATTTTGGATGCGACTCATACGGCAGCTCGGTGCCCGCTCCGCTGTGCGTGTACAACTTCAGCTCCTTCTCCTCTTGTTGGAACACCCGCTGGAGCACCGTCAGTGTGCACTTCGTGGGTGAAAGCGACATGTTGTTCCGCCGGCACCAGTCGTGTAACCGGTCCAGCGCCGCCTGTAGCTTTCTCTCTGCTTCTTCGGGATCATCGTACTCGACCGAGATTGCGAGGTCGTCCATGTACAAGAAGACCTCGCATCCCGTGCCCTCCAATACTTCCGCGAGCTCGAAAAAGTCGCAGAAAACCGTGGGCCCGATGACCGTCCCCTGTGGTACTCCTTGCGGGATTTTGTGCACCTCGCTTCGCCCTCCTGCGTACTCGACGACCCTTGTGCGGTCGCCGCAAAAATTCCGCGTCCACCTGACTAGCAACGCGTGTTCTGCTCTTTTGTCCTCCGGGAGGCGCGCGCCATTCTTTAACGCGTGGCGCGCGTACTTGTGCCTGTTCACTCGGTCGAAAGCGGTCTCCAGGTCGATCAGCACCAAAGCTCTGCGCTTGCCGGCGCGGAACGTCTTCTGTGCCCTCGCGGAGAGCGTAGCGACGTGCTCCGCCGCCCCTCGGTGCTTGCAGTCGCCGTACTGCAGGTGGGAGCGCACGGGGGTCCCTGCTTGTGCAAACAGCAGCCTTGTGCGGTTTTGGACGCATCGCTCTAACAACTTGGCCAGGATTGGCGTCAAAGCTACTGGGCGGTAGGAGCTCGGTTTGTCGACCGGTTTGGACGGCTTCAGCAGTGGCTTCAGCAGCTCCCGCTTCAGAGTTTGCGGTGTTCCCCCTGTGTTCACACAGTCGGAGAAAAAACCGCGAAGGAACTTTTTTCCTGCTGTGGGCAAGTTCTTAAACTGTGGCCCCTTTAGCCCGTCCGGGCCCCCCGCCGACGTTGACGACTGCGAGACCAGTGCTGCTTCTATCTCGTCGAGCGTGAACTCGATCCGTGTGCTTGGCTTTATCTCCTCGTTGAAGATTTTCTCGGCTTCTCTTTTCGCGGTCTGCTCCTCTGCTTCGTCTAACGTCGGCAAGGAGGCGTAGTGCTTTGCGAAGACCGTCGGCAGCCCTGTGGCATGGGACTCGCCCCCGAACTTTAGCACTTTGGCCGCCCCCGTGACCGGTCTGCCGCCCGCTTCGAGTTCTCGCAACAGCTAGAAAGCGCCGCTCGTTGTTGCCTGCGCCTTCTCTGCTTTCTCCCGGAACTGCTTGCGCCGCCTCTCGTTCTCTGCCTCCCGCACGGCCCTGTTTGCTCGCTTCGTCTCCTTCTGCCAGCGGGCTCGCTCGTCCCCGACCTGTGCTGCGTGAGCCCGGCGGGCGCATTCGTTTCGGCGAACGATTGCGGCCTCGAGCTCCGTGGGCT